ATCACAGTAGTTGTACAATCCAGAAGGAGGCACGAGCTGGAGCTCTAGTTAATTGACCCTCTATATGACATCGAGGTCTACCAGCAAGATCCTCTAATATAGGGGTGGTGAGGTTCGGTCATCCTACTTCGCCACTGACATCCTCATGATCCCTTCTCCCACGTGTGAAACCGAGAAAGGTTGCAGTAGTACTAGCCACATGGTTACTCGATTGAGGTTAACCACGCCCAGGGTTATCATGGCGACGCCCCAGTCGATGAGATCTTGGAGCAGAGAAGGCGTCTATGGGCCGAATGTACCACTGCGTCTACTTGATGGCCAGGATTGGGAGCAAGTGGCTTAAAAATACCGACTTTACTGGGCTCTATTACCAGAATATATAGCATAATAACTTGATTCACAACGAAACAACGACGCTCGCGCCGAGCGGCGTCACTTAAAGCTGCTCGGCGCGAGTCGGATGACTCTAAAATCCCATAGGTTCAATCGATTTCCAGCCCTTCTGCCATGATGTGTCCTCGGAGTAAATCCTGCCTCTCTCACACAAGTGGTACAAGAAACTCATCACCATTGTCCCATGTGTGTGTGACGGGGTATGTCTGTCGTCTCAACTTTCTATAGCCATGCCAAAGAGAGCCGCTTCCTCGGGCGTGATGACATCCAACCTTGACTGTCAGGTCTCTTCACCATTTGAACACAGAAAAATGCAGGGTTGAAAATCTCAGGAACTTGCCTTCCTGCCTGTCGACTGTGAATATCGCTAGCGTTCTTGACGGAAGGTACATCTAGGCTGTGGGTCTCGATTTGGTGCCTGCTTCTTTTGACATCAACTGAGTATCGAATTTTAGCTTCGATCTCCGGACTTGAGGTCTGGAGATCGGGAAGTCATTTCAAGTAAAACAATAGGTACCAATGCACTTTTAAAATAAGCAGTTGCGGTATTGACAATGGTTGAAGCTTTGCCAAATCTTATAAATTGTCTTCCATTTCAACATTTGCTCCAACTTACACTCCTCAACCATCTCATCTCGGTTCTATTTGGCCTTGAGTATATCTTATCATCCTCTAACCTCTCCTAGTACCTGTGCAAAACTGCACAACTAGGGACCACCGACCCGTTCGTTGCTTTTCGCATCTTTTTCTTGGGACCACTGGTCAATTACTTTTCACGTACAGCCATTGAACTGCTCAATCGAACTGCTCACAACCTCGAAAAAGCTCGTCTGCACCATGTCGAATACGACGCGGTACGCAGAGCCGAAGGTTAATACCGGTTCGGACACGGCCGCGTCGAAAACGAGCCGCATCAGACAGCTCCGCAAGTCCCGGCCCAGGAACGAGTTACGGCGAATTTCAGACGAGGGCGGTCCCTATGGCCCTGAGCCAACCAAGCAGTCCTTCTCATCGCCGCTGCCAGACTTAGACCAGCAGACCGGCCGAAGAGAGAGCGGCGAAAAGGCCCGAGGTTCCAACGTGAGCCAAGCCAATGATGCTGCCGTATATTCATTGCCTGCATGATCATATGCACCTTTGTCTGTACAATCACCCGCACCACAGACAAACGGGTGGTTAGGTCAAGGCCAAGGACAAGGACAGATCCAAGGACAAAGCCAGGGCCAAGGGCAAGGCCAGGTCCAAGGTCAAGGCCAGGGCCAAGGGCAAGGCCAGGTCCAAGGGCAAGGCCAGGGCCAAGGGCAAGCGCAAGCCCAGGGATATGGAATGCCCGACAGGTTCATCGACATCCTCAACCAAGCACAGAACACAATGCCCCCCCTCACCCTGCCTCGATACAACCATACCCTCAACAAGGCTCTGGACCGAATACAGACCCGTACGCTTTCACAGGTGTGTGCCACAAGTGTCTGTCACCCGTGACATCCCAAAAGTCGTGCAGCACTTGTGGCCACGGCATCTGCACCGTCTGCCTTACCGACACGCAGCAGACCCTGGCGCTGGGACGCACCATGCTCGGTCCTGCCAATCAACAAGACGTCCTTTCAGCCTTGTCTGATGCTCTTCGCAACGGTGTTCTGGGCCCCAACGGTCCCAAAAACACAGCAATGACAGCATTCAGTCGCTATACGCCGCCTCCGCAGAGTGGCATGCGCACGGCGGATTGGCCCAACCAGGATTCAATCAAATACGGTGATCCGTATCTCAGTGGGCATGGTTCTGGTTCTGGAACTGACGCGGCGTTTGTTCAGTCATTGCTCCAACAGCTGCGCCACCCCCAAGGACCAATGGGCTCTGGTGCGCCTTTTTCATCGGAATCTGACAGATTGAACGAGCAACTGTCTTCTGCGTCATGTATGTCAGACCTTGATACCTCGAGGTACCAACAACCACCAACAGCATATTCTCAATTCGAACCACTTGACTCGAGATACCAGCAACCACCAACAGGACCTGCTCAATCTGTACCGCTGGACTCGAGATATCAGCAGCCGCCAACAGGACCTTCTCAATCTGGTCCACTTGGCTCGAGATACCAGCAGCCACTAACAGGACCTTCTCAATCTGGACCACTAGACTCGAGATACCAGCAGCCGCCAACAGGACCTGCTCAATCTGGTCCACTGGACTTGATATACCCACAGCCACCAACCGGACCTTCTCAATCTGAACCACTGGACTCAAGATACCGGCAGCCGTCTTCTACATCACGTTTGCCAGGGCTTGATGACTCGAGATACCAACAGCCACCAACAGCAACCCCATCTCAACCTGGGGTAGTGCACCCGACTGGAAATGAGCAGCCACAGGGTCCAGTAGTTGATGATTTGGGCAAACAACAGCCATCAGAGCAAGGATTTCGAGCTCTGCCGGTGGACTCGAATGGTTACCAGCAGCCACAAGGTCGTCCAACTGAAGGTTCGACGTACCAACAGCCATCAGATGAACCATTATTGAGAGCTCTACCGGTAGATTCGAACGATGCCCAGCAGCCATCAGAAGAACCAGTATTTAGAGCTCTACCGGTGGGTTCGAACGATGCCCAGCAGCCATCAGAAGAACCAGTATTCAGAGCTCTACCGGTGGGTTCGAACGATGCTCAGCAGCCATCAGAAGAACCAGTATTCAGAGCTCTATCGGTGGGTTCGAACGATGCCCGGCAGCCATCAGAAGAACCAGTATTCAGAGCTCTGCCGGTGGATTCGAACGACGCCCAGCAGCCATCAGAAGAACAAGTATTTAGAGCTCTCCCTGTGGATTCGAACAATACCCATCAGCCACAAGGTCATCCAGCTGATAGTTCCAAGTACCAGCAACCGTCAGAAGCTCCATTCCGAGCTTTAACAGTGGACTCTAATAGCTATCAACAGCTACGAGATCATCTAGCCGACAGGTCAAGGCTCCAAAAGTCTTTAACAGCACCATCTCAAGGTCAACCTGTCGACTCGAATGATGCCCAGCAACGTCTGCAGAGTCCGCCACCGCGGGCCCCTCGAGACTCACCGGCGCCTTTAAGCCGCAACATCAGTCGTATCACTACTCCAGTGCCTGCAAGTGGCAAACCTCGTCCTCTGCAGAACTCTGGGAGACCTGCCGCACCCAGTCCAGATCTTCCGACTGTCAAAGCCGACTTAGAGGGCCCGGACACAAATAATGAGATACCCACAGTGTTTCCCGGTGTGGCCAGCCTTACCCGTGTCTCAACGCTTCGGAACAACCCATTCCTGCTCGCCGACCGCAAATCCAAGGCGGCCACGACCCGCACTACTAACTCCAATGTGTTTGCAAGCAACGGTCCCGAGTACCCGCGTTCCCATGGGAGTGACGTTACAGACTGGGTAGATACTCGTGGAGGCCAGCCAAAAGACAGGCCGGAACTCGACGTCGTTAGTTCTGAGGCAATGGACCAGCTTGATGAGTCGGGCTATGGCGTCAAAGAAGGTGCGCAGGGAGCACGCAACTCCTGCCGCACCATGGGGAATGACCATGACTCTCTGCCAGCCGGATCCTTTGGCGTGGCGGCCCGTCACATTTTGCAGCATCTGCATGATGCCGTGGCACCAGACTCCGATCAAGCACGCCGATTGCAAAATGGGCTTGCCCCTGGAGACCAAGGATCAGATCAAGCAGACCTCGTCCGATTTGGACGTGGTACTCCCGCTGAAGACATCCCGGCTGACCCAGTGCGCCAATTGAGCCAGAGCCAGAAAAGTTCCAAGAGTCTCAGAACGTCAGTCGGAGACAAGTACCGTGCTAGCAACGACAAGGATACTCTTAAAGACTCTGCTGATGATATTTCAAGCCAGCGACTTCCCCAGAAGCCAACGCGGACCAGCAAGATTGACTCAACGTTTTTTCATAAAGACACTGGTCTGGACCCACTTGAAGACTCCGGCATACTTGCACTTTCAACCCACGATACTATCCAAAGTTTGCCAGGCTTAGGCTCAGGTTCGGGCCCGACAGGTCGACAGTCGCAGCTAGCCACTTCTGTTTCTAGAGCAGGTACCCACGATCTGCGAACCGAAACTAACGGCAAAGAACTTCCAGCATCAATCGGACCGTTGGACAGGGGCAGTGCCTCATCGCCGAACCCTGAAACGAAACCCAGTCGAAAAAGAGACGACAGAGAGTCACTGCAGAACAACGTACACACACGTGAAGCAGGAACCAAGCCTCTTCGTACCGGCACGAATGCCAGCACCATATCCCAAAGTAGGCCGGTGGAACAGTCGGATGCCCCTTTTTCGGATGCTGGTCGACCTCGCGACGCTGCAAATAGCACCGATACTGTTGAACACGGCCAGGATCCTTCGCAATACAGACAGTCAGGCTCGCGCGTCCCAACTGGCCGTCTTGAAGATGGTCTCAATCCTGGAAAGGTGGGGCGGCAAGAAAGTCGACGACGAGATGACAGAGAGTCACTGCAGAATAACGGAAGCACTCGTGAAGCAGGAACCAAGCCTCTTCGTACCGGCACGAATGCCAGCACTATATCCCAAAGTAGGCCAGTGGAACAGCCTGATGCCGGTCGACCTCGCGACACTGCAAATAGCACCGATACTGTTGACCACAGCCAGGATCCTTTACAGTACATGCAGTCAAGTTCGCGCGTCCCAACTGGCCGCCTTGGAGATGGTTTCAATCCTGGAAAGGTGGGGCGGAAAGAAAGTCGACGACGAGACGACAGAGAGTCACTACAGAATAACGGAAGCACTCGTGAAGCAGGAAACAAGCCTCTTCGTACCGGCACGAATGCCAGCACTATATCCCAAAGTAGGCCAATGGAACAGTCAGATGCCCATTCTTCGGATGCTGGCCGATCTCGCGACGCTGCAAATAGCACCGATACTGTTGAACACGACCAAGATCCTTCGCAATACAGACAGCCAGGTTCGCGCGTCCCAACTGGCCGTCTTGGAGATGATCTCAACCCTGGAAAGTTAGGGCGGAAAGAAAGTCGACGCCTTGGCCAGGATGGGCGTTATGAGAGGGGATCCCTAGATGCTGGCACCACACTGGGAAGTCTCCCAAACACCGAGTCAGAACGGGGTCTCGACTCAGAAACCGGGGCTGAGGGAGGATCATCTTTAGCAGAGTTGAGTGAGTCATCGCCCATAGGAAACCCAACGGATGACTCGGCACCGTCTCCTTTACCTGCTTCCTCTCCTTCCCAAACACGACCTGATACGCCTCGTTCTTATGGTGTCCGTCACAATGCCCGAGGCCAAGGTCTAGATCTTGGGCTAGTGCCTGAGCCCTTGAATACGGGTTCCCAGGGGACGAGAACAAGCTCTCGTGATCACGGGCCTATCAGCCTGGATGACAAGACTTCCTCGCAGATACAGAAGAATGCTCGTGCTTCTAAACTTTCAGGACAGTCTCTAAAGTCAACGGCTTCTCTTGACCGAAAGTACGGTAAGCACATTGTCGATGTGATCAGGACCAAAACGAAAGCTGGCGCGACAGCCATCAAGTACCTCGTCTCGTACCAAGGCCTGGAGCCCGATCAAGACGAATGGCTCACGCCTACGCAACTAGGCGACGACTTCGCAGATCTCCTGAAGGCCTTCTACCAACGTAGTCGGCCTGGTTCTGAATCAAGTGACACCGACGGTGTCGGTTCTTACCTTCTACTCCCACGGCCGAGCCGCGACGGCCGAGCCTCGCATGGTGGTTCTTTCGACATACACAATGCCGTCTCGGCGCCAGAAGGAGCCGCCTCTCTCCGCCCTCACCATCGTGCAAAGGGCACCAGGGGGGAAGAAACGATAGTTCCGACTCGACAAGCCCATCACGAGCAGATCAGAGTCCCCACGGCCGTTTCCATGTCAAGACGCCCATCCGAGTCCACTCAAGCTTCTCGAGGCGGGAACATGCCGCACGATAATGACAACCATAGTATCGGTCGGGCTACAGGTCGCAAACAACCAAAGGTCCATAGAATGCTACCCGTGGGCATCATGACGCCTCCCGCCAATCCCAACTCCAAACAGCAGCACCCACGCCCTATCCGCGCCATTCCTTCGGTGGGCTACATCGGCACCAGTCGCGAAGCACCCGCTGATCACCAATGTCCCTGGCGAGATCAATACGCCTCGGAGCTATGGAATCTGCAACAACATCAACAGCCGAGCGGTGGTGGTGCTTACCCACTGTACGGTCATGGCCGCCGCATGTCACACAATTATGTCCAATACGGCCATACGCCTGCACTCGTAGACCCGTCATATGCTTTGGACTCGCGATATGCTGCTGCAAATCTTGCTCCCGTCACCACCGGCCTGCCGCAGATCTTGGTTGGCGCTCCTGGTCCTGGACTGCAGCAGACGCCCGATTCTTGGATCCATCAGCAGCAGCACTATTGCGCGGGTCACGAAGTACTCGATGGCGCAATGCTGGTACCGCGACATGGCATACCGTACCCGTATCCTCACATGGACTCCCCCCACCGAGTAGACGCAAATGCAGCTGGAACTGCCCTCCAAACGACCGGACTCTGGGTCCCGGATACGGCTTCGTTATCTCAGTCTCAGCAGCAGCAGCAGCAGGTGGAAACGGACTCATTCGTGAGCGGGAGGGCATCAACCCACCAACACCAACAACAAGGAAAAGACGACGAGGAGGATCGGGGGATGGAAGTTGGGCTTCCGCAAGTGCAGGGGTTGACGATCGTGATGCATGTGCGTGGCAAGGAAGATGTTGTTGTCAATACGGATCTGAGCCAAGGGATTACCAGCGGACAGGGCACCTTGGAAGATCACAATACCTTGGACAGTACGACAGAGTAGGAGGATTTGGCGGCATGCGGTTTAGTCTCTCTTCTTCCTAATTAACCATCGACTAAATAGGTAGTTTCTCCTCCAATCGAAAATGATCCCTAAATACAATTTCTTTCTTCTCGTATATGTATCAAGGCAGTGTATATCAATGTCAGCCTGATGGATCTTGGTCCCATACCAATTGGGCCTATCCATATCAGTGTCTTACGCAACGGGCGCCTTAACTGAGATCGGCCATCGAGTTCTGGGACCCGGACACGACTAAATACATCTATAACGAAGCCTTCCGCCCCTTCACAATATATAATATTGATCATAATACATAATCATAACCAAGCTACTTGAATCCATATTCCAGGGAGTTTATGTGATTTCAAGTAGTTCTCGGACCACATTGACTGCACCTTTCTAGAGAGTTAAAAGCATCCAAGACGTGACCAAGCAAATTAAGAAGCCTATTCACCTAATCTTTGTCAGAAAACGCAGTTCCCGGTTTCGAGAAGCCGCTCCTCTGCGCTATTGTACAATACTCACCGAGAAGTCTCTATTGGTCGAATAAGTGTTCCCTACACACGAAATACTCTAGGGTAGCAGCCAGTGCCAGCAGCTGTTATGCTCAGACGACATCATCAGTCTCCAAATGTGTAGCCAAGAAGCCCATTTTGCTGTACTTAAGGCCCTTATGGATGGACACCTTCACTCTTTTGACGAGAGGTAGACAGAGACACATTCAATTCAATGCTTCGTTATGCTTGCGAAATTCCAATATCTTCCCCTCTTTAGGTCAACTACCAAGAGTCGTCCATCGAATGCAACCAGAGTCGGGCCAGCTAGCCACTGCACCCGGTAGTCGAATATCAGAACAACCCCTTTTCCGGGGTCAGGCTTACAAACCAGCTCAAGGACGCGCAATCCTCTTCGATATGGATCCATCGAAACTAATTATTGACGATGGAGTAAAATAAGGCAGATAAAACGGCGGGGGGTACCGAAAATATGGTGTAGTTCATCATCACAGCGAATTCGATGCCCGCCGGTGTTCGCCCTCCTACGTATCAACCGCGGTGCATGACTGAGCGGCAATCATGGATGTAGTGAGTCACTGGGCCCCATGCTTCCGGTGTCGTCTTTGCGGTTGCGGTTGGGTGGATGAGCCCCCCAGCCCCGCTGCATCATGCTGAATGAAGCATTACTATGTAAATCCACGTAGATCTGAGTATCAATGTGGGAGAGAAACACGACTTTCACGAAGAATAAAGGCCAGGCAGCGACGCAATGTGAATCCTTTACTGGAGCAGACTGGGTGGAGTATTGTATGTTGCCCGATGTGTCACTCGCCGTGCAGGAGCAGGATCCCTGTTGATCTGCAATGTTGCGCAATTGCGTCAAACCTTATCAGCAGCTGCTGCGGTTCTTCCTATGACTTCTTACTTAAGTTTGCAAATGCACCTTCCCACGTCTCAAATAAATTGTATCTTATATACCAATACTCGAACATCCTAACTTCATCAAGTCAGCCATCATGAATCTACTCGACCTCCCAAACGAGCTCTTGTGCTCATTACCGAACTACATGCGCGACATCGAGGACTTCGTGAACGCAGCCTCCACATGTCGCAAGCTCCGCGACGTCTGCCATGCAGCACACCCAAACACCATCCTGCGCCTAGCAGCATCTTCCGCCCCAACCTTCTTCTCCCCGCACCCCTACTTCCTCGTCGCGGCCACCTGCCGCCAGGTCGCCGACTGGGCAGTGGGAGACACTGAAAAGACAGCACAGCTGAACGAGGCCTTCCAAGGCGGTATTGATGGGTTGTACGACCTGTGCATCGCCAAAGCAGGCCTAACGCTGCCCGAAATCAGCCGCCTCCACCTATCCCGCTTCACCATCTTCAACCCGCTCGGCGACAAGATTGACAAGATGGCTGGGCGGCAGTGGTACGCGACGCCCAATTTCTGGGAAGGCGGCGTGAGCGAGCCCAACACGGTCGACACGGACGTCGACCGTGCCGTGTTCCAAATCCTGATTTATTCAGAGCTATTCTCGGGATTCATGAAGGCCGTTTTGGAACCCGAGAAGCAGCTTCCCAAATTTGACCTCGACACCCGGTTCGAGTATATCAAGTACTGTGTCCCCGATTGGAATTGTGCAAGGGGATATGAAGGCATGCGTTCTTTTGCCACTGGGCCCTACGATCCCTCGTTCCAAGCCATGGGGAAAGGCTTTTGGCCACCCGCGGATCAGGTCGCCTTGAGTCACATCCTCAGCTGTAGCCGGTGGACGAGGTTGTGGGACCACGTATTGGAACATATCGGTCCAGCGTTTGAAGAGGACTGGAAACAGGAGTTGTGGCGCAACGCGCCGCTGACGCTGGGGTGGGAATGGTTCCAGCTTGTTACTGTGTTTGCGGAGCGTGAGCTTTCGGACAAGTGGCGGGCCCGTCTTTCTGATGTGAGGAGCCAGGTTGATGCCCTGGATGGCCAAAGGCATGTCCCGCAGAAGCGGGTTTTCACGAAGCGGCATATTGAAATTTATGATATTCCTATTTTGGGTCGCGAGGTTGAGATTCCGATGGCGGCATACTACCCGCCAGTCTGAATGAGGGGGAAGCGTACTTACAATCTCTGAGCTGGGTTTGGTGTAATGCGGTGAAGACTGCTAGTATAGGGGTAGTCGGGAACAGGAGACTTTCATGATTTCCTAGGCTACAAGGTGATGAAAGCAAAAGAGGAAGATTAAAACAAATCAAAATCACATTGCAGTCTAATCAACAACTTAGCAGGATTTCACATTCCCATTATAAATAAATGTGAACTCAGATTGTGTTGGCGCGAAGATAACCTTCATTTGATGCGTGAGGCTGACGGGGTATTGCCTATAAACCGGACATAGCAGATCCGGAAACCAGAGGACTACGGCACTACGAGGAAAGCTTAGATAAATGAAACCACGAGATGGGCAAAGGGTCTGGTACTAAGCACTGCACATAGACTGCTCTGGTTGCACCTACAATTGAAGTTCGCTGGTGCATTTAACACTAATCATGTTTCCTTCCATGGGTGCTGATTGTGAACTTCAAGAACGCACCTTGAAAATTCGCATAGAGTTTACGTAAGGCTATGGGAAGGAAGCCAAAGGCTGATTTATCGGTATAGATCATAACACAGACACCAAACTTGTCCGTCTGATTCGCAGTTCTTTCGCGTTACTGGTGATGCCTTGCTAATTACCTCTAGGTGCGAATATCAACTTCCCCGTGTTGTCAATGTCAATCTTGACACTTTGGATCACATGACCACTCACCATTTTTGCTTACTATGTAATGACCCAGGACTGTGACGTCAAAGCTGCCGATGCACGCATGGGCAACATCATGATCGGAGAGGATCCCTGCAGCCGATCTCCGAGCCTCCTACAGACACAGCGGAGCGATCCGAACTTTAGGTTTTGGAAGTGGAATGTTGGAATCTCAGGCGATTCTGGCCACTTAAGAGAATCCAGCCGGGTCCGCGGACAAAATGGCCATATTCTGCTTAGGGAAGCCACGCTTGGTAGTGTGGAATTATGTTGCAGGAAGAAGAAACTTACGTCAGGTGCAGGTGAGGTTGAGCTGTGCCGGGCCTCTGGTTATCACAAATTAAGGAGCACCTATCTCCTACCATCAACGTCATCGAATCTCGCCTATTCTTCGAGGGAATGCCCCATTTGCCCCGACGAACTCATACACAACATTGCAGCTTTTCCATTCTATTCCTTCTCTCCCATGGGTAATGGTTTTGCTTCACCCTTCCGAAAGGTTCGCCGTCCACGGTATATGCAGTAGTCACTCAAGCCTACCACTATTATGTTTCTACGTCCTTTAACGAAACAGATCGTGATAACTGCCTTTCCCATAAAGATTTCGGCTAGCAATTCCCTAATTCATTCCTCGTCTTTCCCAAAAGTCCAGCAGTTAGGTTTCCCCATAGCGTTTGCGATTCATAACAGATTCTTAGCTGAGAGTGGCTGCGCGTCCGACAGAAAATCCACGTAGTTCACTTCGTAACACACGTCGAAAAGGCTGTACCCACACATGCTGCAAAGGGTTCCACTGAGGCGCATAAGGATGAAACGTCCGCGGCTCTCGCCGCCATGCGCACAAAAGCAGCGCAAATTGCCGGAAGGTGCCGTGGTCGGAACAACCTCACCATGCCAACCTGGTGAGCCAGGATTAGCGTGGATTTTCACTAGGGCCCTCACCATTCTCCGGACTTTAGTTGCTCATGCTAACCTCACCGGAGACCCTGGTTAGGTAACCTGGTTAGCTTATAGTTGCTAAGGCTTCAATGGCTATTTTGACCGTGCTTAAAGTCCCTAACCACCGTGTTTTTAGGTAATTTGAAGGTATTGGAGATCCTTGCTAGCCCTATAGGACCCCTGTAGGACTCGTTAGCTTACACTCTACAAAATATCCGGTACTTTGAGACTTAGCTGTCATCTTAGTATTCCTTTTACGCTTAAGCCGCTACCCTTACACCATATAGTGTTTCATTTCCCCTATAACGCCGACTCTAGTAGCGATGGCTTCGTCTCTTAGCAGTAAATCTAACCAAAAAGTCACCAACCTCAACTAAACTCACCAGGATCTCTAGTCGGTCAACATCACCAGCGTTTTACTTACTAATTTGATCACCAACGATGGTGAGGTTAGCCCGACCCTTGGGAAAGTGTACCGTCCAGATGTTGCAAGGAAGTGCGGGTTGAGAGCTGTCGGAAACCGAAATAGGTACGAGCTCATTACGGGTAATTACAGTCCAGGACAAAGGCAGTCTAACTAGGCTACGTTGCAAAAGGCTGTTTTTATGAGAATTGCTGGCAGAATCATCAACAGTATAACGAAGCCACAGGCCAAAGGACTCGGACATACATGTCGGACATTAATTGTTATGATCACCCGCCGGGTATAGCGCTAAATTGGTAGCAAGGTCACAGGCTGTCTACAGCTGGTCATCTTAGGTGCTAACGACCATGAGGTATATCAGAACCAAATGGGTGATTCTCGGTGACTTACTCCGTCTGACATGATGGGATGGCACTGCCGTATCAGCAGATTGATCTCCCACTCAACAAGGTAAAACTGGGACGTCTCGAGACATACCAATAGCTTGGCCGCGTGCCCTCTGGAGTCCACCATGGTAGAGTATATCCATGCGATTGGTTGTGTTAGTAAAGTGAAGGGGTAAGCAGAAAACCAAAGAGGTTTAGTGAAGTCAAATTCCGCTTGCCAGCTTGTGTCAGCAACATGGCCATAAGTGTAAAGCTGTATAATCTTGTGAGCTGTGGTCCCAGAAGTGGGCTCTTCCGGGTAGCTTCGGTCTCACTAAGCATTTCTTACCATAGTAGGAGCTAGTTTGAGGGGGGGCAACCCAAGTTTGGAGGCTGCTAACATCTCACTCGACAGAATCCCCGTGGATGACCGCCAAGTCTATAGGCTCCAAACCCGGCTCCTGTGACAATCTGGAGATGAGCGATTTGGGCGCTTTCAGGGCTGAGGACTACGTAGAAATTAATGTGCGTGTGAGTCTAAACATAATTTTTGTAGTAGTTATTTCGGTGTCTTGTAGAATCTGCTTTGAAAAATGGATTACATGTTCTGTTCTTTGAGGCTGAGACGGCTTTGACGGCACCTGGGGGACTGTTTGCCAGTTCAGCGACTTGAACCATTGTCAGGGTACGGCTAGGCCGAAGGCAATAGTACAGAGTGATGGGGAGTAACGGGCGTCCCTCCTACGTAGCACCGGGTGGTCACTGGCGGTCTCAGGTAGGGGTGCCCACGGTGATGCATTGATCTCTGCTCCTTCCCTATCCTACTTCGAGATGGTCCTTATATAGATAGCTAGGCCGCCGCTTGGACCCGGCATAACAGCAGGGTCGGCGATGCCAAGGATCTTGACTCTCGTCATCCCAAAGCTTCACATAGATTGTAATCATGACTCGGGAGTCTTTTGTCCGAAACACCCCTCCGGCGCCCCACCGGTGTCTTGCGTTCAGTGTCCTGACACCCACTGGTGCCTATGGCATTCTGTTCTCTGACAACCATACCGTTCTTTTGTGTTACACCACACCTATTTGGCTTCTCTCTCTGTAGTCCATTCGAAATTAATGCCCACGCCTCTCTCTTCTCCCTCTCCGCCTTGAAAACCTACAAATTACGATAACTAGCTATGATTTAAGCCTCGTAGGTATAACTGAAAACCAGTTCGCAATTCAGATTTGTACAAGTTCACGTAGGTTTAGGATTTAAAGTAAGTCAATTTGTTGGTCCAGTGAGATCCGCCCTGTCATGTTACGTATGCCAATAGTCTCTACGGTTTTTAAGGATTGGGTTATCCAAGACTCGAGATTAGAAGACTTATTACCCTATTCTGAATAATATATACTATCATTTCTAGATTGGGTAAGTCCGTTCATATATTCCGAGCTATGTCCAGCTATAGATTGCCATAAACTGTTCATGGGGGGACAGCAATATACCGGCATCTGTTTCAGGTATTGGGAAGCTACTTATTAAAGTTATAGATCTCTTGCCACACATTTAAGATTATAGGCGGATATTAGATTTGAAGAATCTCATATTCATAATCCGTAAGTTTATCTAAATCCCAGTACGCTTAAGTCTTTCTTTGCAAATACACCTTGAAATTACGTTCGTGCGCCCCTTCCATTGGAGATAGACTTAGATTCAATATCTAATAGCGGTGGTGCCGTGCTGTATAGCCCCATTGAATCATAGTACTGACAAGGAGGTTCAGGTTCATATCAGCAGGCAGAGGTTCTTGGTGCGAGTTGTCCGTAGCCAAATTTCCTACGATATGCAACTTTACGTCCGCTTGTTGGCCATCTTCGTTTAAATGTCCTCCTTACGGCGAAGCGATGGGCATGATGACGCTAGGGTTGGTGCGTCTTGTTACACGCAATGGTGGTCGAATATTTGTGAAGTTGTAAAAGCATACTATTCTAGCTAAGATCATTGAGCTAGAAGATCGGACTTGAGCCCAAAGGGCTAAGTCACGTGGTGACCTTTGTGGACTTGGCAAAGCCCACCAAGGTTGCCTAACACGTCTTCTGGCCTCCTTTTTTTGGTATGACCACGGCGCGAAATTCAGCTGAAACTCTATTAAATACCGTCTAATGCGTTATGGGGATTAGTACTATCGCTATCATCAACCATATTCTTTTGATAAGTGAGCCCGTAGGGGGTCACGCTACCCTGTAGGATAGATAAGATACGATAAGATAGGGCTGTAGGGGTGCCAGCTAGCTAGCTAACAGAGCTTCATCAATACGTACACTTTATTTCCCATATGCGCACGCATCAGATAGCTTTTATGTTACTTAGATAACTTACAGCGAAGTGAACCGATAGGTGTGAAGTTTGCAAGATTTTACCTGAGCGAAAGGGTGGGATCATACGGTATTAGCTTCTCATGTAGACTGAACAAAGTGAGCTGGGGCTTATATTGCCACTGAAGGGATGCTATTTTCCTTGCATAGTCAGATTCAGCTGCAGGGAGTTTGAAGCGGGTAGAAAACTAGACGCAAGCTAAAGTGACAGGTTTCTCAGGCCCTAGTCCGGAAATGGATTCTGGCAAATCAATTAGACATGTATAATCTTCTTGGGCGAACGACCCGAATTTTGACCCCATAAATGCAGCAACCCCGGCATATACGATGTCGATTAGATTGCCGGCATCGGCGTATGCCCAAAACGTCGCTTGCCCCGTCCTCCCATGCGGAATCGCTGCCGACTCACCTGCTCGTTTGAGCTAGGCACATTTATTTCAATACGAGACGAGTCGAATAAGACTTTGTCCGTACCTGGATTCTTGGCACAGAACACGAGGTTGTCAACAAGGATCACATACATAATAATAGACGATGGCACTGCACTGGATCTGGGATTGTGAACCACCACGCCCAGCTCTTCTTCACTCAAGGACGTGGCGAGCAAAATGCGGTTCATCAGCAACGCCCTTCCGCTCCTGGTCCTCGGCTACTCGAGCCTGGGCTTGGCGGATTCAGTTCGATACCCACGTTGGCGTCGCGCTCTCAACGAGACGGACCAGCAGCAGCCCAGCGACGCGACACCAAATCGCTACATCGTCGAGTTGTCATCGCGGCTGCAATCTACTCGCCTCGCGAACAAGATCACAGCTGGCGTTCCCAGCCTGCGTGTTGTGAAACATTTCGACTCCGATCTCTTCCCAGCTGTCAGCGTCGAATGCGCGCAGCAGCATCAGGGGTGCGATGCCGAGTCGCTCATCAGCAGCTTCGGCGAAGAGGGGACGGTGAAGGTGTACAAGTCTGCGCCCGTGCGGATTCTGCCTGTGGCCGAGGAGGGCGAGAGTTTCAGCGACGATGCGGCAGCGGCGAATTACTCGGTGCATGGGCTTACGGGGGTGGCTCAGTTGCACGAGGATGGGGTGTTTGGGGAGGGGGCGACGGTGGCGATTGTGGATAGTGGGGTGCAGTATACACATCCTGCGGTGAGTTGAGCAATACTTGTTGTTGGAGTTGATCGTTGATCGTTGAGGATGAATTATTATGAGTATGGACTGACAACGATGGTTCACAGCTCGGTGGGGGTATTGGACCAGGCTATACGGTCATCGGAGGCTATGATCTCGTGGGTGACGGTGGTATGTATCAACCCTCACTCATCGTTTAAATTTGAGTCTTGCATGGCTTATAGAGATACTGATTGGGGTCATGTCTTCAGACTGGCCCGATACGCCACCCAAGCCAGATGATGATCCGATGGATCACTATGGCCACGGAACCCACGTCGCAGGAATCATCGCTGGCAAGAGTGATCAGTGAGCGCAGTCTGTTCTTGTTTGATATCACCTGTTAATCTCGCTAGATTCGTCGGTGTCGCGCCCAGCGCCAAACTACTTTCTTTCAAGGTGTTCAGCACCGACGGCTACTCGGACGAGGAGATTGTCATCGAGGGGTTCCTCAAGGCTTTTGATTCAGGGGTAAGTCTCCCACTTTGTTCTGTCCACGTCACCCTTTTCGTTTTTCTATGCTCGAGCACTGGTTGACTGCTCAGGCCGATATTATCACCGCCAGTTTAGGAGAGACCAGCGGGTTCACAAGTAATGCTTGGGCTGTGGTGGCCTCGCGAATGGTGGAGCAAGGTGTGGTCGTCACTATTGCGGCAGGCAACGACGGCCAACATGGTCCTTTCGACGCCAGCAACGGCGCATCAGGCCAGAGTGTCTTGACCATTGCCTCCGCTGAGCCGGGTGTATTTCCCGCCCAGGCATTCACAACCGATTTCATCCTGGACGGCTCGTCCAACAAGACTGAAGTTGCCTACATCCCCGCGTCTGGCTACTTTCCCAGCACCATCGCCGACTGGCCCATCGTGCCAGTGACTCTCAACTCTTCTGTGGAGAACGATGCATGTACTGCGCTGCCGGATGAAACACCGAGCTTCAATGGTACCATTGTCCTCGTCAGGGTCGGCGGGTGCACCGTCACCGTCAAACAGAATAATCTGGCCCCCTTCGGCGCCTCTTACATCCTCTTCTACAACGACGACGGACCATTTGTTAGCCCCATCACAGGCAATACAGCAACAGGATCAGGCCTCACCGGCGCCATCGAATCCAATGCCGGCGAAGCCATCATTTCCACCATCCTGGCAGGCGGCAACGTAACCGCCTCCTTCGACGTCGACACAGCCCATTACGTCGGGCTGCACAACGCCGGCGGTGGCCGTCCCGCCCTGTATACCTCATGGGGCGGCACCTATGACCTTGCTCTGAAGCCCGATGTCGCCGCCCCCGGAACCAAGATCCTCAGCACGTACCCAACAGATGCTTACCAAGTCCTTAGCGGAACCAGCATGGCAACCCCTTACATTGCCGGCGTCGCCGCGCTATGGGTTGGGAAATTCGGCGGCCGCGCTGCGCATAAGGACGACCCTGCATGGGCGAAGCGGCTCACCGCACGCATCATGTCCACAGCGAAGACAGTTCCGTGGGCCGACTGGGCGACTAGCCCAACGGATTACGGGTTTTGGGCGCCGACTACGCAGGTTGGAGCGGGGCTGGTAGATGCTGAGAGGGTATTGGGATATACTACCCAGTTGAGTTTTGATGGGCGGAAGTTCGAGCTTAATGATACGGCGAATTTTGTCGGGACTCATTCTGTCGAAATCACCAACATGGGCACTGAGGCTGTTACGTATGAGTTTGCGCTGCAGGATGCGGCTGGCTACGATGCGTATACCCCGTCTGTGCCCGGGAAGCAGCAGTCGTTTATTCCTAGCATAAATCTTTATGTTGAGTTGAGTCCCGTCAAGATGGCGCCTGGGGTTGTTATGCCGCAAGGAGAGTTTGTGGTTGGAGCTGGGGAGACTAAAACGGCAGAGTAGGTTCTGCGTTCGCATCGTCCCCCAGACAGATTGACGACTGATCCCTTCCGCAGATTTACGTTCACAGTCCCAGCTGGGCTCAACGCTTCCAATCTCCCTGTATATAGCGGAAAAATACTCGCCAGTGGCAGCAACGGCGAGGAGCTAAGTATCCCTTATTTTGGTAAGCAAACTGTCCTTAATTTACTTCACCCCTTTCGAGTTGGTAAACACTATTATTACGCGAACTAACTATATAGGCGTCGCGTGTGATCTCAAAGAAACAATTGAGAACAACTGGGACTATGGGAGTAACTTCCCCTACATAACCTCAGGTCTCTTCAGTGTCAAGCTGGAGAACAAAGCAAAGTAAGTCAAACTTGCTCGCTCTGATTTCAACGACGGGAATAGCTTACACGAAAAAAAAAACAGTTTCACGTTCAATCTCTCCAGAGACGCGCAGGACTTCCCCAAGCTTAGCGCACAGTTTGCTTGGGGAACAGAGGAGCTCCGATGGGATGTAAGTCGAGCCACTTTCCACTTCATTTCTCACACCTTGATGCATCGTCACGATTCCCACCCCCCAATATATCCTAAACTGACCGCAAAACGCTAGATTTTCGATGCAAACTACACCGAGTCAGCTTGGACCTACCCCCCGGTCCCCGGTCAAAATGGCTTCGTCGGCTCCGCCACGAGCTGGAACGGCACTGCAACAACCAATTGGTTCGATCCCAGCATCGCCAGCGAGGACGATATCTTTTCGTTCCCCCTGTATGCCCGTCCCCGTCGTAGGATGGATAGATACTACTGGCTTGGTAGGTTTGCAGATGGGTCAGATATCGTGCCGGGGGTATATAAGTGAGTATTAACCTGCTTCCCTCTCTTCCATGGCTTCCATGGAAGTCGTTTTTGCTGACTTTGGAAATCACAATAGTTTTCGCATTGCTGCGCTGAAGCCGTTTGGGGAACCTAAAGTCGCTGAGGACTGGGATATTTGGGAGACACCACAGATTACGGTGCTGCCTTTGAACTAATTAGTCCAAGCGATATTCCATGTGAGGGTACACGGAATGGCCGTGCAAGGAGACATGAGGCGGCACATATCACCCAGTAATTGGGATGGGTGATTGGTGCGACTACTTCACTTCGCCCACTGTATGCAAAATTTTAAAATACATTATTATTAAAGAAAAATGGTTGCTCTAATCCGTATATTAATTAGCATGCATTGTGTTTTGATCCGGAAGAGTGAAGGATCATCTGAATACAAACCGCCGTGTTACTATGAACGTTATTATCCATATTTTGAAGCCGAACTCTGTTTATAATCTCCAGTTTCCTGGGGCTGTTCTCTAATATGAGTATTGATAATGAGAAGAGGGATCTCCTATCTTCAACGCCGTATATAGAGTCCAATATCATGATTCCGGTGCGATCAAATACAGCATCCTGAGCACCTTTGTACGTTCTCATAAATGTCCCATGTGACGATTGTCACGTGATTCAAACAGGTTGATATTTAGTGAAGACATCTAACCTAAGTTAGTATGGTGGCACAATACCTAGGATTGCAGCCCCTAGCGCGGGCGTAGAAACCTTTTTTTTTTCACTGCAAATTTAACACCCACGAGGAGGATACCGAAGGCTTACGTCTTAGTCAGCAAATGTGCCGCATAAGCGTACACACATGCAGATGCCTATACAGGTTGTTACCTCCTAAGCAGTTTCAAATGCAGAGGAAATAGAACGCCCATGAAGAAAGTATTAAGGGCTTATGTGCTTGATTGATTCGGAGGTAAATATACTAGATGCTTATGTACGTCGACAACTGCCTAAGTAGACAGTGGTCCTGCGTCTTTCACGAGCAGAATACTCAGGGCTTATATCATCCAACTACTGGCCTGTATTGCGTCTTCCCCGCTCGATGGACATGTTCCCTTCAGAATTAATTCTCACGAGAGGTGTCTATCCAAAGCGCGAATCCTCGCTTCCTTGGATAGAAACGCGCTAGGTCTCTGCGTTCATGCAGCTATCTATAGTACGGTATTAGGCCGAAGTAAAACCACAGGTGCAGAGATTCAACAACACCGACATCCCTGGTGACATTCATGGATCACATCTCTTCCATGGCTATGCAGTACCACCAACCTCAGCTAGTTCAACCAGGGGACCCTGCTGTCGCCGCTTCATTTGCCTTTGACATATTTGCCTTTGACATATTTGCCTAGGATATAATTCTGACCCTTGCTCACGGAGGATGTTTGATTGTTTCGGTTGCCTATCGATCCCGGCTACCACGGCCCTAGATCGCTCGCGAGTACGTGCAGCAATTTGATGAGACAGACGAAGCCTTCATCACTGCGCCAGCCTAGGCTTGTGGTTTTCAAGTGGGAGAGCACGATAGATTTCCGACAGGTGTCCCATACGACGAGCCGCGCTAACGACGGCTTTACTGACCCGTGTTGAGAAAACGCGGGCTGTGGTGCCTGCGCACATGGAGCTTGTTGCATTCATACCATTGCGTAGCATGCCACGATCGATTGCGAACAAGACAGATCGCAGAGCATTGAAGCAACTAGTTGATGAATTTGGCGCAATACAAACTGCAATTATTCGCCCTTAAGGGCGAATAAGCCATCTCCCGACTCCCGACCACCAAAGACAAGTTTCTGCTACAGTAGCTGTGGGCTGTGGTTTGGGTTCCGGATCAGCAAAGGGTCCATGCAAGCGACAGCTTTGTTAGCGTCGGTGGTAATTCAATCGTAGTCTTGCGTCTGGTCACTTCGGCTAGGAACCAAGGGCTGGGTCATCTGAATGTGCAAGGCATTCTACGGTCAACCGGCTTAAGTGAGCAGGGCGAGACTTTTTACGACGCTAGTAACGAACAACTATAAATACAACCACAGCAATGCCAAGATGACTCGATGACATACTCAATCATTGCTACTGCATTAATTGATGGCGAGTATGACGCCAGTGAAGCTAGCAGCGAGCGGATGACGAATGTGGCCAGAAAACTGAGTACCTCTATCGACAGCATTGAGGCTGTAAATCTCACCACAAGCTTCCAACGGATGATCTTTGAAGCCGCATTACTTCCGGGAACAGGAAGCGTCCACACTTTCAACTTCGATTTGACAAGCCTGTACAATGTGACGGGGTATAGCGTGCCTGCGCGGCTGATCGCTTGTCATGGCGCCTGCGAACCGTGAGACGCGACGAGCAGCGCCCCTCGAAAACGGTGTTCGCCGATGACAAAGGTGGTGTCAAGGCGAAAGTCTATGTGAGCCTAGACCGTTTGACGCGTGTGGTTTGTGGATTTCGTCGATTCCGCTTGATGTTGAGGGAGTTGGTGACGGAAATGAGATGTATGGCGAGAGTGGGAAGGACGATGTCAAGATCGATCAGCATGAGCTACGATGGCAACGTTTTGTGGGACGAGTGGGGGAGGGTGCTAATGTATGGTTTGGTGGCAGAGATGTATCGGCCACGGGTTGCTTTGTTGGAGTCGGAGGTGAGGGAATAGCGGCAGCCAGAAGCTGGTGGTGAGGGCTGGGACATCTAACGGCGTGACATCGAGACCATATGTCGATTGATGATTTTCGTATTGTTTTTCTATTAACACCGGCCTAAATTGCTCTGAGGAGGGGTTCTCTTGGAGCCTCTACAAATTGATAATTGTGAATACTTCAGTAATTGATAGAAACATCTCATTTTCTGTGATTGTGGTAAGACTATCTGTACCTCAACTGCATCCAGATGTATTTAGGTGTCCCAATCTCGGTCCATCATCTTCCATGAGTTTGGAATGAGTAAAACGGTCATCGACAACGGTGGCTATTACTTACTTTTTAGTATGCTAAAGACGGTGGTCTCGTCGGGATGCTTCAAAAAAGGCGATATTTTAACGACCTGCTGACCGGAAGGGGTTGAAAGGATGTGCAAAAGGGGCGATGCATTCAACATTCCTCGTTTCGAGATATTCATAGACGTGAGATCATCAAGCCTCCGATATGCAGGTAGCGTAAATGCTACTTGCCTGGCTGGGCATGATGGTGCGAAACTAGGGAGACAGCACGAAAACTTGCATGCCGCTCAATTGATGTTGTCATGGAAAAACCCCATCTTTTCAGCTTTCAGCTCGGAGAAATTGCGTCTCATGACAACGAAGCAAAGTGCCCACACCGTTACACAAATACAGTGAAGATGTCCTTATAAAACGGGGAGGCATTTTCGCTCGTATCTTAGCCCCGGCAGATCCCCCGACCAATCATTGTGTTGTTCTAATCCTATTTTGTCGACGCAGCCCAGATGCAGCCCTACGGCGCGGTACCTCAGGGGTGGTCTGCTGCCAGGTTTGTGCCTGCTTCGCTGATTGAAAATACCCACTACATTGCAGGCAATTACAACGCACGGCCTTGACAGATTCCACAGCCCCCAAAGTCTCGTTGTAATTGCCGGAATTCAAGGCATTTGCCGACAATGTCCCGAATCGGCATGGTGCTGCGCAGCTGCAGGATTGACGAACGATACAGGCAGCTAGCAAGGTATCAAATTGGAACTCCAAGGATCCTTCCAGGGCCCTGTCAGGCGAAGAAGGCGGGCTTGGCAGATCCTGTTCCAAACTTATGGGAGTCCTTCTAGGCTCCATTGGACGTAGCATGGTCCCAGCTTGACGGTCACGGTCGCTTAATTTCTCTTTACGCGAGACGGCGGCACCACGTCCAACGCCTTCTAACTTCAACTGTCTCCTTCAACTTCCATCTAATCCTCTGCGCAAAGCCGACGACTGTTTCCTGAAGCGCCAGGCAATTCATCCTTGACTTAGTGTCTTTGCGATTCTGGGGTCCAACCCGCTAGCCTGCAACATCGGACAACATGGAGGCTGCCACAGTCATAGATTTGGCTGCGGCGTGCGCGGAACTGGTCGGCTCTACGGGAGCGTCGGCAATCACCATCAACCGACTTGTACGCACATACCCGGATGCACCCTCGGAGTTGAAACAATTACAAGCCCATTTAGCATCAGGCAGATCCACGCTAGATCGCCTTCTTTCACTGCTGGATCGCGACACTCCTGTCTTCCAACATCAGGCTGATATTGAAGCTCTGGGTGCTTTCTTCAGTTCGATTTCAGTCGTCGTTAGGGACATCCAAGAGCACGTGTCTAGCTTCGACGGCCAGTCTGGAGCATGGGATGGCGTGCAACATATATGGATGCAGCAAGAGATAGCCGAGACAGGAGGTCGGCTGGGCAAGCAGGTGGACGCCTTGGAGGTTTATCTGAGGGCTGCAAAGCACCAGACGGCGACGCAAGAGCCAGCGCAGATCACTCGCGAGGATGACAGGGCCTGTCTTGAGGTTGCCCGGCATGTTGCCTCAACTGCCGCGAACACGCCAGCGACCTCGGCCACCGGCGCAGACACTCCAGAAACTACGCCCCCGCCCCAGATGGTTCCAAGCCTGCAAAGTGGCCCCCCGACCGACTCATCCCATCCATCAGTCGCCTTGAGCAACTCGGTAAGCCGCCTCAACATTGCGCAGTTCATAGACAAGTCTAAGCGACAGTCCATGTTCGGCATACCTTCGGCACGGAAAGTCAAATCCTTGATGCTGCTACAGAAGTCAATATCGCCAATCCAAACACATGATCTGGCTATCCAAGGTGACGAAGTGTGCCCCGCCGAGTTCAAAACTCGAGTGACAGGGTACACCACTGGCATTACCCCCAGCTGGGAACTCATTAGTGTCCCGTACAAAAAGAAAACCAAGCAGGTTTACCGCAACCGCTTCACGAGGAGCCCCGCAGATGACGTGGCACCCTCGAAGCTGCAGTCTCACTTCAAGGTCGAGGACAAGCATGTTTTTGAGGCCATCATCCACAAGCAGGTCGAGAAGGTGCACCAAGTCATGGACCACAGGTGGAGCAACAACCCCGTAGTGGAGAGACATGATCGCTCCACCGCACTGCATGTCGCTGCCTCGCTCGGGCTGTACAGCATTGTGCAGATCATCGTTTCCTTGGGCGCCAATCCGAATTGCGAGGACCGCTTCGGTGCGACGCCCCTCCATTACGCTGCTGACCTTGGCTGCGCAAGTTGCGTTCATATCCTGGTTTCGGCCGGTGCCAAAGTCAACAAGTCGAACTTGAAGGCCAAGATCAAGACACCGCTCTGGTATGCCGCCGACAGGGGCAACCCCGAGGCCGTCGATGCCTTGCTGAATCTTGGCGCACACATTTACACCCAAGCCCCAAACCCTTGCGACACAATACTCTACGCCGCCGCTAAGAGCGGCAGTGTTAAGACGTGCCAGGCCATTCTGGACGCGGGCGCCAACCCTAACGAGAGTTTCGACCTCCTTTCGGTTGCGGCCACAACGTCGAAAGACGTACTGAACTGTCTCCGCAATGCAGGTGCGGATATTGACGCCTGCGACAACGAGCAGCGTACACTGCTGCATAAGTACTCGCTTTTGGGTGATGTATCCATGGTGGAGTTCCTCCTGTCATTAGGCGGGAACCCCAGCCCCAGCGACGAGTCCGGCAACACCCCTCTCCACCTCGCCCTGCACAAGGGTGGTTTCGCCCAATCAATCACCATCGCCACATTCCTCGTCGATAGGAGAGCCAATCTAAATGTGCGGAACAAGCTCGGTCAGACGCCGCTGCACTTGGCGGCGCTATGGGGCAGGTTTGACATTGCGAACCTTCTGTGTCAGGCCTGGGCCAACATGGACATCCCCGATGGCAACGGGGTCAGCCCGTTCGCCGAGACGCAGAAGTCAGACTACAAGACACGGCCCGTGACGAACAGCTTGATGGATTATAATAAGCTGGCGGAAATAATGCGGATTTGGCATGAGACGCCGCCCGAGACGAGGAGGGCCAAGGCGGATGCTATACGGCCCAGTGCGAGCGAGTTGGCCGGTGGAGAGGTTCTGGCGAATGTACCTGCCGCCGAGCTGGGGCCTCCGAATCTGGGGAAGGGGTTGGCGGTGGCGGCGCGGGAGTTGGACTCGGTGGCGAGGCTATCCGCTATTTATGAGATGCCTACGTGATAGGCTGTAGACACTTGATAAGTATTGTCTCGACGCTGGGCTAAAATCTGGGCGTTTATGGTAGATTGGCTGATTCCGTGAGCTAAAGGGGGCACACTTACCCCTAGGCCATTTTATATCTTCTTATCTGTACAATATCCTTCATGTATATTATTTTAATTCCATCTAGCGTTGGCGATTTGAACTTATTATATTTCTGTCCTGAATCCGAATCCAACACTTACGGTTAATGTCTCCGTGGACGACGGAGTTGGTTCAACAAATAGAAACAATTCGTACGATGCCGGCTGCGCAATACAAGCAACCGGCCACCGGAGAAGGTCAAGCTTGGTCTTGGAGTATAGATCATACCCAAACGAATCGTACTTGTGGTGTACAGCCTTGCTAACCTCCCCATGTGCGTTGGTTTTGCAATGAAAGTCGATAGCCCATGCGGACTTTTAGGCGAGGGTAGACTTGCATAATACATGCACCTGAATCCAAAGAATTCTTGGTACACCACCTCACCTCAACTCTGGTAGTGCTGTGCACCTGCAGGGGAATAACACACTACGGCCGATGAGATGAGGATGTAAGTTCCTCAGGCTACTCTTCATGCATGGGGGTTAACTTTGCAGTGAAGATTAATTCCAGCAAAGATAGACCGTTGGGCGAGGGCTTGAGATTTAAATGTCCCACGCAGCCATGTCAAGAAGAAAAGAAAAGAAGAAGGAAAAGAAACCCCAAGGAGGCTGGGCCTGGAGAAATGAAACATGACTGAAAACCCTTGTCGCTAGTGGCTATTCCAACTCCCTTTCTCAGACGGTCTAAAGAATGCCAGTTTTGGACCCAGGCTAAATTTCGACTTGTGCTCAGATTGGCTCTACAGCTTCTGCTTGACGAAATGCTAGCAGCTCTAAGATACTCGCAAGCAAGGAAAAGATCCAGATGGGTGAGAGTTATGTGTATTATATTGACATATTACAGATACCGATAAATAAGCTGATCTGGTAGGACAACAGCAATAGACTATTGATCAGACACAATATAACTAGTGGTCACTACACAATTGGACGAAGCTGATCCCCAGCTGTGAGAAGAAGGGTTCTTTCGTCTTAGTCTTACGCATTAATCTATACTTAACAGAGCCATCCTGCCCCCTTTTGTATAGTTATGTCCTAATGTAATCCTGCTTAGATACAAATAACATCGAGTCGAGTCTCATCGGATAGAGATTGTATGCTTCCGTGAGATAATCTGGAAGCTATGAACGATCTGATATACCACGAGTTTGACCCACCAAAGCACTCCTGCAGACGTACTAGAAATCTCCTTGACGAGAGAATATTGATTTACATAGTTACTAAGAATATCAAGCTGATCTAGGGCATACGCCTAGATTCCAGTTTCTCTTGTCTTCATCCAGTTGGATCTTGTCTATACCACGAATTAGGGGTTCGCTGCTCGAATATATATACAGATGTGGGGCGAAGAGTGGGTAAATTCGAAACAATTCCGAGAAGGCAATACTCCACGGTTTCAGGGTCATCGCACTCATCGTGCGCATCGATCACCATGGACATAGGCTGCGTCAACGGAGCAGCCATCACGGTTAGTGGGACCAGATCCCTGGGGAATTATCCATCAGCTCAATGCTGATGTTACCCTGTGACCCACTTGAATTCAATATCGTCATGGAAGGCCCCTTTGCCATGCAATATGGAATAAGCCTTAGACATTGCTTTAGGTAATGCTTAAACATATGTTTGGCTATTTTGGACATTGACACTTGTTTGGGGGAGAGGAAGAAGGGTGTCACGGTGGGATCGACTCCAAAGGTTGCGGGTTGGCTATGAAGTTCGGGCTAAAGGTAGACAGCGAGCTACAATCGACTCGCTATTGCCTGGTCTTCCTGTGAACCGTCATCACGAATAGATTATGACTACCGGATCGACGGCGATGCCTATCTGTCACGAAGTTACTTGTCGTAGAGCACTTGAGCTCATGACCAGCCAGGACCAAGTTGGGAAACCCTTGACTGCCAACATGACCACTTCAACCGGGATTCAGGGTGGCAGGTGTAAACTCGCCAGGCAGCCCACCACTTAAGGCAACATGTTCTCGTACATGAGGATCACCCTGAGCGTGGTGCCATCGGTAATTGGAAGCAGTTAGACGCCATTTCTGAAGTCAGGTAAGGTGGAAACCCATTCGTAATGTATTTCTTGTCGGAATGTTGTCTCATCAATCCACATGCCTCACCAAGTAAGGTAGGTTTCCTGGCAAGTTCGTAACCCACTTGGATGAAACTGAGAGGTTTTGCCCAACAACCCCACAGGGCAGTCTTGGGACGCAGTGCCAGCAGGAGCACAACGCAATGGCTGACACGTCACACCAGAGTCGTGGTTTGAAGGCGGGGAGAAGCAGCCAGTCCATATACCGTCATCTTCACTTCGTAATACGTAAGAGACATGGGGCCTATTTGATAGGGCTGCCTTTGATATTGTGGATAGCAGCCACGAAATCCCCGAGCAGGGTTCAATCTTGTTCAGGTGTTTGTACGTTCTGCAGAAAGCTGGAATAGTCAGGGTGTACCTATGAACTATAGATACCTGGTCGGCGCTTCGAATTGATGCTGTACTTCTAATGAGAACACCGAACCATCAACAACTCATCGGCACTAACGATCGGGCTTGAGATTCGCCCAGCCTGTGACTTCCGGCATTCGGAAAGGAATTGGTGCAGCTGCCACGCTATTCGAGGGCTGTTTTTTTTTCTGCGGAGGAAGCCGGGCGTGTTTTTTGGAGTTGGTGGCACAGCACTACTTGTGATTCGACACGCGGGGCGTGTGGAGACTTTATTATCGAAAGCTTGGGTATCGGTCAACAGTGATACCAGAGCCCGCAGTTTCTTTCGCTTCTGATCGTATCCCACCCGAAAGCGGCAGATTGAAGCAGTATTCACCATGTCGGCCGACGATCAACAATTTCTCGACTTGGTACGAAGCGCCAGCAGCATTCTAGTAGCTTAGACTACTGAGCACTTTGCTAACACAAACCACAGCTCTCTTCCCTGCCCAACCAGATCCGACGGTACTCGACCGAAGTTGCCGATTATGTCGACCAGTCTGTCGATAAAGTTGCAGACACCTTGAGGGACTCGCTTGCATCTGCGCCATGGCTGCCGGATTGGATGCCGGAGTACATCAAGCCCAAGGCGCCATCACGGCCCCCGCCCGTTACAATCGTGCCTATGACGACTTGCGAGCGAGTTCAAGATTTTGTCCAGAGGCATAAGATTTTGACGGGCGTCATGGTGGTAGCGGTGGGATATGTCACGTACAAAACAGTCCAGACAAGGAAGCTTTCGCGCAAAACTCGACGGGCGAAGCGGGCGAGGAACGGCGGGAGGCTCGAGGTGGTGGTCATTGCCGGCTCACCGACACTACCGCTGACCAAATCCCTGTCACTGGATATGGAGCGGAGGGGCTTCATCGTCTACATCGTATGCAGCTCGATCGACGAAGAGTTGTTGGTACAGAACCTGTCCCGACCCGACATTAAGCCGCTCGCCCTGGATATCACCGACCCTCCCAGCGCCGGGACCTCCATTGAGCGATTCGCCGCGTACCTACAAGCCCAACATGCCGCCGTGCCCCGCTCAAAACCAAGCTATTTGACATTGACGTCGGTGATACTGATCCCCTCGCTCAACTACCAAACCTCGCCCATAGCCACCATCCCACCCTCCTCCTTCGTGGACCTCTTCAACACGCACCTGCTGCACCCCATCCTCACCATCCAGGCCTTTCTGCCCCTGCTCACCTCAAAGCTCACCCCCTACGGCGAAACGAGCACCACGCCCAAGGTCATTGTCTTCACGCCCTCGATAATCTCCTCCATCAACCCGCCCTTCCACGCCCCCGAAGCGACCGTCTGCTCCGCCCTCTCGGCGTTCACCGACGTGCTGGCCGCCGAGCTGCGGCCGTTGGCCATCCCCGTTACCCATATTCAACTGGGGAGTTTCGACTTCGCTGGCTTTATGCCCGCGCGCACGGGGCCTCATCAGCATCAACCCGCGTCACTCCCGGCTGAAACGCTCGGTTGGCCTGACGCGGCACGGCATACGTATGGAAGGAACTACATGGTCCAATCCTCGTCCGCCATTTCCGCCGGCCGCATCCGCGGGCTGCGGGGTTCGTCATTGCGGCATCTGCACAATGCCGTGTTCGACGTCATTGACGGTTCGGAGCAGAACAGCGTGATCCGAGTTGGGCTCGGGGCGGGCCTGTACGGCTTCGTGGGGCGTTATTTCCCGAAAGGACTTGTATCCTGGATGATGGGCATCCGGAAAGTGGACGAGCTCAGTGTTTGGTCTCGGGAAGGCTCGTACCAGGAGAGCGGGAGCGAGAAGAGTTTTAGTGAGAATGGGGATGCTGGCGAGGCTAGCGAATTTATTGCCGTTGGGAAGGAGGAAGACGTTGGGGCTAACGTTTGGAAAGATTAAACGATCTTCCAACATGCTGAAGACTGCGACGAAGACCGCATTGGATCGGTGTGCAGAGCCGTGTGTTGGGGTGTATATATGATGATGATGACATGACCCTCCTCTCACAGTGGCAGGGGAGATGACGACTCTGGCATGAATACAAACGTATAATGAGTGCATATCAGTGATGGGTATTTTTCCTTCATTGGTGAGCGGTCATCTACCAGGTGGAGATCTGCATACGCTGCTTTTCATCAATACCATTGCGTGCGGGCTGTATATCTCTCAGTCCCGCATCATACTCCTTACAGTATCATAGCAGCCAGTCCTCATCCGGGCTCCGTTGGATGCTCTGCATGATATATTCACGGCGAAAAGCCTCCATGGCCTTGCGCGTCCTAGATTGTCCCAACGACGACCCTGGGGACCAAAACCAGGACCGCGAAAGTAAACACAGGGGAATCTCATGCTTTAGTAGTGGCCCCTACCCCTTCCAAAGCGCTTCTCTCCTCTGCCCCGCCATCCACCCCTCCCTCCTCTCCCGCCTCTACCTCCCCCAAACCGATCCCGCCCCCCTGCACCCCCCTCTCTCTCCATCTTCATCTCCCTGTCCTCCTCCATCATCTCCATCTGCTCCCTCCTCACAGCATCCTCCTCAGCCTTCTCACTCTTCGGCACAGGCCGATCCAGATTCTTCTCCCACCGCGGATGCGCACCTTCCTTGCACCCCTTCCCGTCTGGACAGAACCCCGCCAAGTAGTACGCACACAGCTTCCTCCTCGCGTGTTTCTTACTGCAATTCGGCCCCAACGGGCAGAACCCCCTCTCGTAGTGCGGGCACGGCGGCAGCTTGCTCTGCGGGTCGATGTGCAGGTACAGACACTCATCCCCGTTACTGCAGTACCCATTTCTCACAAAGAAATTGCACTCCGGCATCTTGCGCAGGTTGTATTCGTGCAGGTACTCGCAGCTCTCGCCTTTTTTGCACAGCGCGCGCAGCCAGTGCTTGCAGACGAGGCTGTTATAGCTGGCGTTTTGGTTTGAGGACGAGGACGGCGAGGAGTGGCGGTCGGGACAGGAGGTGCCCAGGGGGCAGTGGCCGGCGAGGAAGGACTTGCAAATGGGCCGGTTTGGGGCCAGGCCGTGGCCGTGGGTTTTGCGTAGGAAGGGCGTGAATGTGAAGGTGTAGGTCGGGGCGCGGTGGTCGAGAATTTGCTGCGCGAGCGCGGAGGGCGCCGAGGATGGCGCTATTGCTGCCATGGTGGCGGTGGGTATATGGTTGCTTCCAATTGAGAAGGTGATGTTCGCAGATAGATAATACGGGAGGCAGGCAGTAGTAAAGTGATTGCGCGAATGTGGTTTATTGCTGTTGTAATGTAGTGGTAGATTTCGGAGCTCAAATGAAGCTCCAGGGGTCCTGCCGTAGATTAAGCTCAAGCCTGGATTGGATTAATAAATAAAGTTTCAAGAAGCTGATTTATCGTATAAGTTGCTGCAATATGCAATTATACGATATATTACCAAATTGCAAACTTGAATCCCCCTAGGTTAGAGCACTTTCAATTTTCTTAGACTTGAAGTTCCTTGAAGTTCCTGGGGCTGATGATGGCGACATGAAAAACAGCTACTCAAATACTTACTCATGGCCATCTATAATCAAAGAGGTCTTGACGGGGTCATTCTGCTTGTGCCTGAGATCACTACCTTTGGAAGCTGCAATGTCAGCCTGAACCGTCAAAGAGCTGATCAGACCGTCCCGTATACATTCATGCATCTGCTCAGCTCATGAAAGCACTTCCGTTTGGGTTATCCGAAATTGTGGATGCCTTATAATTCTCAACAAAGCAGCGTGAGACAATTTCAAAATGCCCACAATTGCACCACACTCATGTTACCTGCCACTAGTATGGAGAAATATTCGGTACATGCTCGGTGCAACCCAACGTTGTCATCGTGGAAGAAGTGAGATGGCATCCAAGCTTGCTATTACATCTCGCATGTAATGTCACGATGCTTTTCACAGAGTCGGAAAGGTGCATGTGCAGAGGTGTTCTAGTGCGGTTCCACGATCTACCCATGCAGATCTTCCCCGCAGTTTGTGCGACAGCTGCGAGATCCCTGCCCTCGTCAAGCTTGCCCATACCGGCATCCACACTTCAACTCCGCTCCAATCACACATGTAAGAAGGTACTGAGTGGTTGTACGAGTTTCTCGTAGCTAGAATGCCACTGGTTTCATGACGGTTGGACTTGTAAGTGCCATTTGTTTTCGGATAGATGTACAATGTGGGACAAATGATATGCTTATTCCTGCATCTACACGTCACTATTGCCCCGCGTTTTCGTAGGACCCTCCAAGAGGCTCCCAACCTCCCTAGCTTTCCTGCACTGCTACTCCGATTCTGCATGCGGGCAGCTTCCCTAGTCCTTTTCATTTGCCTATGAGAACACCCGGCCGAGAATTTCTGCGATCAATTCCTGTTATGTTTGTGGCCATATAGCAGTGTTTTTCGTCATTGGTAGTCGGGGTTGCATTTGATGCTAGAGGCTGTCATTGGATCTATAAAAAACCGTGGGGAAGATGGAGTCGCTTACTTATATGAGTCGGGCCTTCCAACCCGGTGGATGGATTGGAAGCTACGACAATCTCGCACCTTCCTCTGGCCTCTCGTTAGACCTCGACCTGTTCCTTGATCGTTTCACGGCCTTCGTTGAACGGCTGGGCACCGTCTCATCGCTCATCTTCATCCTGAGCATTATCTGCTCACTCCTTATCGTTGTCGAGTATTGCTATTTTGGTTATCTCAAGAGAGACAACATGGCCCGTCGAGTCTCTATTGTATTCCTCGCTGCCCTTCTGGGGTGGTTTGCTGGCGTCCTATCCCAATCACCAACCACGACCACTGACACCAGAGCCGACACTGTCTTCACCTTGCCGCCCAACGCAGATGTGGGACTACCCGTCATCCCCAACATACAGGACCCGCTTGCGATCGATCCACAGTCTGTGTGCACCGGCTACAAGGCATCAAAAGTCCGGAACGTCTCCAACGGCATCACTGCTGACCTTTCTTTGATCGGGGAAGGTTGCAATCTCTATGGCAACGATGTCAAGGACCTCACTCTGGTTGTGGAGTATCAAGCTGCCGATCGCTTGCATGTGGAGATCATGCCCAAGTACATCGGCAAAGAGAACTCATCCTGGTTCATTCTCCCAGGAGAGTTGATCCCCAAACCCGGTGTGGACGACAAGGATTGTACCTCCAAGAGCGATTTGGCATTCTCTTGGAGCAATCGTCCGAGCTTCTCATTCAATGTGACGAGAAAGAGCACTGGGGATGTTCTGTTCACTACCATGGGAGCCCATTTGGTTTACGAGGACCAGTTCATCGAATTCGGGTCTTCACTACCGGAGAATTACAACCTGTATGGACTAGGAGAGGTCATCCATGGCCTGAGACTGGGAAACAATTTGACGAGTAGGCATACCAGTGGACACAGTGCAATGTGTTTCTGACATGATGCAGGGACCTTGTTCAATGCTGATGTGGGGGACATCATCGATGCCAACATCTATGGTCATCATCCCATTTACTATGACACTCGCTATTTCAAAGTAGGTGGAAAGTCAGAGAAACTCACTTATGCCCCAAAGGCCACGGATAAGTCGGCCAAATACAAGTCCTACACGCACGGGGTCTTCAATCGGAACGTTCATAACCAAGAGGTTCTCCTGAAAGAGTCAAACATTACCTGGAGAGCACTGGGTGGGACCATCGGTTCGTTTCCTCACGCCTTGTTTTGCTACTTTCTCCTCTGACTCGAAGGAACCAGATCTCTATTTCTACGAAGGACCGACCCAAGACAAAGTTACCAAATCTTACCAGAGGAGTGCAATTGGTCTTCCTCCCATGCAACAGCTCTGGACCTTTGGGTTCCATCAGTGTCGCTGGGGATACAAGAATTGGAAAGAGCTTCAGAGCGTGGTAGACAGTTTCAAGAAGTTTGAGATTCCCCTCGAGACAATATGGAGTGAGTAATAATCTTCACGTGCCGTCGTGTCACAGGAAACTGATACAATACAGCTGATATCGACTACATGAACCAATACCGAAACTTTGAGAATGATCATGTACAATTTCCCTACGGCGAAGGAGCCAGGTTCATCTCCAAAATTCATGACAACAATCAGCATTATATACCAATTGTCGACTCGGCCATTTACATACCCAACCCTGATAACGCTAGCGATGGTTATCCGACATATGACAGAGGGGCCAAAGAGAATTCCTTCATGCTGAATCCTGACGGTAAGTAATCTTCACACCCTCCCATTCGTGCCGCCTAATGCACTCCAGGGTCCACATACATAGGGGCGGTTTGGCCTGGTTACACGGTCTACCCAGACTGGCTTGGTGCCTTGTTCAACAGCACAGGTACCAATAAATGGTGGAGTTCTGAAATCTCAACATACCATGAGAAGATCAAGTTTGATGGTATCTGGATCGACATGTCCGAGGTCAGCAGTTTCTGCGTGGGTAGCTGCGGCAGTAAGAATACGATTCTCAACCCTGTTCACCCGTCGTTCAAACTGCCAGGCGAGCCAGGAAATAAAATTTTCGATTATCCTGAAGGCTTCAATATTACAAATGCCACGGAAGCGGCATCCGCGTCGGCTGCCGCATCCTCACAGTCAGCAGCGGCATCACCAGCAGCAACTTCCTCCATATCGGCTTTATATCATCGTACTACACCAACTCCGGGAGCACGCAACATCAACTGGCCACCATATACGATCAATAACTTCGCAGGTGATTTGGGTGTTCACGCAGTAAGCCCCAACGCAACGCATCATGGAGGCACCCAAGAATACGATTTCCACAACGTTTTTGGACATCAGATCTTGAATGCGACGTACCACGCACTGCTGGACTTGTTCCCAACGAAGCGCCCCTTTATTATTGGGCGATCGCAGCTGTTCGGGAGCTCAAAGTGGGCTGGTCATTGGGGAGGAGACAATTATTCCCTCTGGAGTTATATGTTCTTTTCGATCCCTCAGGCGCTATCCTATTCTCTTTTCGGATTTCCCATGTTCGGGGTCGACACATGCGGCTTCGCTGGCAATGCCGATATGGAACTCTGCTCCAGATGGATGCAATTGTCGGCCTTCTTTCCCTTCTACCGCAACCACAACGCGGCCGGAGGCATCAGCCAAGAACCTTACGTTTGGTCCGAAGTCATCAAGGCTAGCAAAATCGCAATGAAGATCCGCTATGCTTTGCTTCCCTACATGTACACCACCTTCTACCTCAGCCACTCTACGGGGTCAACCACGATGCGAGCTCTGGCGTGGGACTTTCCAGATGAGCCATGGTTAGCCAACGCAGACCGTCAATTCCTACTCGGAGATGCCGTCCTGGTCACGCCTTGTCTCGAGCAGGGCGCAACTACGGTCAAGGGGCTATTCCCCGGCGTGGGCTCCGGAACGGTGTGGTACGACTGGTACAACCTAAGCGCCATCACGGGCGTAACGGCAGGACAGAACGTCACTATTGACGCGCCGCTGGGCCATATCCCAGTTTTTGTCAAAGGCGGAAACGTGGTGCCTCTACAACAGCCCAGAATGACAATTGCAGACACGAGGAAAAGCTCCTGGAGCCTGCTGGCCGCCCTCGATGGAAAGGGCAAGGCGGGTGGGGGCTTATACCTCGATGATGGGGAGAGTCTGGTTCCGAATGCGACGACTTGGGTGGACTTTTCTGCCACCGAGACTAGTCTCAAGGCCGTGCCGTCGGGTAATTTTACAGATATGAATATGCTGGCGAATGTGACCATCATAGGCCTTCCCGAGCGAGTGCATGGCGTCCAATTTGACGGTGTTGAGGTCAAGTCGGGCTGGACTATGGATGGGGACTCCAAGGTTTTGACGATTACCGGATTAGCGGCGTATACGGTTGATGGTGCGTGGAACAAGGAGCGGAACCTGAGTTGGAGATTTGAGTAAGGTGGGGGGATCATTGGGAACGGGCTGAGGCAGTACGGCAACGGATTGGGCGGGTTAAGTACGTTCCTCAAGACGTGTGGTTAATAGACCTAGTAATGCATAAGTTAAACCCACAGGAACACGGGGCATGACAGGACATTTTCATGGGATGAATTTCACTGTAATCACCTTACTCTGTTAGTCTGCCTCGAATGTCCTGCTGGATAAGAAATAAGACATTAATATTGTAAATTAGTCCATGAAACTCGGTGCTACAAGCTAGAGCAACTGAGACCACGTTGTGGTTCGAATTACATTGAAAAACTATGCTTGCCAGTTGAGATATTGCGACTTCCCAAACAGGCTGCATCATAGACCCCTTCCAAGGCCTATCGAATTATCATTACCTAAACCTCAACCTCCCATCAGAGTCGCCTCTTCTCCATCTAAGCTGGGCCCATACTTACGCAGCTGCTCAACCTTCTCATATCCCTCTCGATTCGAGACGACATGAACAGGCCCAAGCGGGAGATCCGCTACAACCTCTCCCCATCCTGCCTCTTCATCTCGTCCCTAAATAAATTCCTCCCATCATCCCTCCCCCCCGGCCGTTGGAATTCCATCCTCCGATCCTCCGTCGGCGTCCCCGCCAAGCTCCCCAACGCATCGCTGTCCCTTCTCGGCCTACCCCCTTCGGGCTCATACTCAGACTCTGGTATGTCACGATACACCCCTCCCCTCTCAGCCGCGACCTCCTGCTCCATGAGCTGGATACGCTCCTCCGCCGCTTTCCTGTCGCTGCCGTTCTTTTTACGGTCCTTTCCAAGTCGCATTCGGGATCGTGCGCTCCGGCCCACGCTATACCCGTGTCGACTGCGCGACATGATGTTGCCCAGCCCAATGCGCCGCTGCTGGCGGTTCCAGAGGAAGGTACCCACGATACAGACCACCACGAAGACTAGGACGGCGGGGAGACCGATGTAGAGCGCCAATCCGACGGGGGCGTTTGCAGGGGCCTGTTGGTAAACAGGCGGGTTGGTCACCAAGACAGTGGGGCCCTTAAGTATCTCTGCTTTTTGGCCCCCAATGCGGAGAGCAGCGAGCTGCAGCGAGATGTTCACCCCTGAAGTCTGCTGCATGAGGGACTTGTCGATGGTGTAAGTCCAGAACCCCCATGAAACGAGAATGTTGTCGCTTTGGAAGGCTTGCGTGGTGGTTAGGCCCGTGCTGGAATTGAAGTAGTTCCCCTGGACGCGGAGCGTCGTGTTGCTGGAGCTGAAGTAGCTGGCATCCCAGGTGAAGTAGTACGTCGAGCCGGGATAGAGAGGCATGCCATCGGTGGGGATACACCACGGCGCTAGAGGACCGGATTCGTTGGTGCAGATTTCGAAGGAGCCTGCGCCGCCGGCGGCGGTGGCCGTTGCAAGGGGCGCGGCGCCCGTGCTTGTTGTTACTTGTCCGTGGATGGTGTGTGTTTGTACCGTGGCGGTCAGTTTGTTGGGCGCGCCCGAGAGAAGGGTGGGAGTGCCTGAGATGGTTGTGCGGATGGGGGTGACGGTGCTGGGTTTGCCGTCGGAGTCGACTGTGACCCAGAGAGCGTCGCTGTCGGTGTTTATTGTTGTTGCTGTTGCAGATGGCGTTGTGGTTGGCACGTCTTCAGGTTGGACGGGATTAGGAATAGCTGTGATAGTGGTGGCTAGCAAGGCCACCGCGGCCAGAATGGTTGTGAACATGGTGAGTATGAGCAGTCGTATCCCAAGACTTGGACGCGCCTCGGGATACACCTAGCAGCGCAGCACAACTGCAACAAGAAACTTGTTGCGATCTACTAGTTGAAATGAGTGTATCGATATCCAAGAGGGATGGATACGGCCAAAGAAATAAAATTAAAAAGAGCGTGGAGGGCCTACCAACCCAACTGATCAACAGAACGAGCGAGGATGCTCCCTGGACTGAACCTTGACGGAAGCTTAAAGTCAATAAAGTCTATGATAAGCCTACGATTGCTGGAGCTCACTGGAGCTTTCAAATTGGCGCCCCGTCTCCAATATAAACCCCCTGAGAACCCCCGCAAGCCAATTTCGGCATTCGGCAGGGTTGGACGTGCGCTTTTGTAGTTCCTGCAGGGAAGCTGGCTTGGTGATGCTACTCCACTCTCAATTAGTGTAAATTCTACATGGTACGCAGTAGAGCTGAATACTTGAGCAATATTAAATATTTTCATGTCACATAGTTCCTTTGCTCATGTTGAATGCCTACAAGTACTTCGCACGGCCCCCCCTGTTCGTCTTTGCCCCTTGATACGTCCTACAATGGCCCTGGCGGCGCCCTCCTTGCCGCAACAATCACCTCTACCCCTCTCGCCAACTCGAGCAAGTGTTGTTCTTGATGTTCCAAACCAATGAACTCAATACCCACAGGCAACCCGTTCTCCGTGAAGCCAACCGATACAGTCACAGCCGGTAGTCGGGTCATTGATGCCAAAAACGTGTTCGTCGGGAACTCCTTCCCCTCAAAACGACCGTTCTTGGTCCAGTCCTCGAAATGTGGCGGCGGGACTTGAACATCGGGCAGCGTGAGAGCGTCCAGGCCGAGCGATGCAATGAGGCAATCCAACTTGCGCTTCAACTCATCCCGCTGCAGTATCCTGTCTAGATAAGTCGGGTCGTCCTGGGGGTCTTTCGGTCCATGCGCCACGGCACACAAAAAATCCATGAAATGCTTTGGCGGTTCTTTTGGCAAGATGTCGGCGATGTCCTGCGGGAGATGGGGCTTCGCCGCCAGGAACTCGTTGATATCACTGCGAGAGCGAATCGTATATGTCTGCGTGTAATCCAGGTAATGGTCGAGATTATCGATGTGCACATCGATAAATGTCGTGCCGGCACTGGATAGCATGTCCATCGCCGCCGATATGACCGTGTTGACGGCTTTGCAGTACGGATCGCAAACGGGCCCGAAGCGCTGTCTTACGACGCCGATTTTCGCTTTCTTCAACCTCGAGGGCCCTTGGTCGAGATTTGCGGCGTAGCTTCCGTTGCTCGGCAGGCCAAGGGCTGCTGCTGTTGCTGCGAAGCCCGTGAAGTCGTCTTTCGGATCAAACCCTACCATGCAGTCGAGCATCAGGGCACAATCGGTAACAGTTCTTGCCATTGGTCCTGGTGTATCGTGGTTCTTGATCAGCGGGCAGAAGCCATGGCGCGATATGAGACCTGGGGTGACGCGGATGCCCACCAAATTGCAGAATGAGCTGGGCACCCGGATCGAACCTCCCGTGTCCTCTGCCACAGCGAGGACGGTGAAATTGGCAGCAACTGCAGCGGCCGAACCTCCTGACGAACCACTCACGTCGTGGTTCAGATTGTATGGGTTTTTGGTGTACTCATAATTAGTCGCGGCGTTCCCAGAGTACCAGACTGCTGCCCACTCCGCCATTGTGGTCTTCCCTAGAATGACGGCACCAGCTTCCTTCAACTTGGTGACGACGGTGGCATCCTCGTCAGGGATATTGTTTCGAGTTACGTCTGAGCCGTAGGTTGTCACCATCCCCTTGGTATCGGCCTAGAATATAGATCAGATCAACTGAGAGGCAAAAGAAAGTTGCATTTTTACCGCACTTGATCCTTCACCAATACAGGGATGCCGTGGAGTCTGCCCTTGAACTTTTTGGTGTTCCGGAAGTATTCATCCAGGGCTGCGGCGTCGTCAAGTGCTGTGGTCGACATGGCCAATGTTGCGTTGACGCGCGGGCCGGCTTTATCGAGCTTCTCGATGCGTTCAAGGAACGTAGTGGCCAGATCCTTGGCGGTGAAGTCGCCGCGTCTGAAACCATCTTGTGCTTGGGCTATGGTAATTTCTTTGACTTCGACCATCTTGGCGGCGATAGTGATTGTTGGGATTGGAATGCACAAGATTACTAGGCGAACAGGTATGAGACCTCAGATTTACCCGGAGCCAAGCCTCATAGAAAGAGGAGAATGGGAATTGTGATTGAGTTACTGTGTTGGCTTCATAATTCGCTCAGCAACCACAGTCGGTTCCCCTCATGTGCTGATCCTCGGGCCGCTTCATCTTTCTCTACTTGAACCTGATCACCAGTGTCTGCTTAAGCTTTCGCATTACATACACAGCGCGGGTGTTCTTATCTTCGCGCTGTTGGAGATCTCAGGCGAGCTCGGGCTAGTCCGCATCTCTAACCAATAGAAACCATGCCGAGTTTCCTTCGAGGAGCATACCTATTATTTTCGGATACCAGCGCCACTGAATAGAGCGGATGGAGGCGGAAATTCGGTGTTCTCCGTGGCAGAACTGCATCACACCAACCAAATCATAAGCTACCTAGCATGTCGACCGGCTTTTATGTTTGTGTCCCGGGTATCAGCTCCATTGGTTCCGGTCATGGGATCGTGGAGCCGGCGCAACCAAGGGAACAACACACCGCTTATGGATACAAACTGCTAATGCCTTCATGATTCCCCCGATCCTGTGACGTCGTCTGCTATTCGACATTATTTCCATTTTTGGGACCCTACCCATTGAGCAGTTTGGCCATCCAAGTCGCCAGGGTTTGACGATAGAGTAGGTTCGGCAGCGATTTAGCAAGGCAAAGGAGAAGACGGGTGGAGGGCCTCAAAGCATCGCGTTCCAGAACAGACCTACGACCTTTGCCCCTGAAGGTAGGGACGATTTATCGATCTTGACGTGACGTCTCCTGAGCGATGAACATGGATTCTGTATCGATGACATCAGGAATCAGCAGCCCACCTGTCACAGCCTGGATTCCGTCCTGGGCCCTGGCTTCAAAACTGAGGCCAGAAGTTGGTAAGATGACCAATTTCACTCGTAAGCCTGCTTCATGACAAGCACTTGGGCATATCGTCGGCCGCATCAGCACATTATGGTGCTGCCTCGCCCTGAGGGTACCTTCGGTTTGTTTTCTTCCTATCGGGATCTTCCTTTCATCTCTCCTCGTATCGAAATCCCGGGGTCAGTTCTGTGACAGCGTTGGTATTGTTAAATTTGGAATGGCCGAGGGAGACGGCGCCGCCCACAAGTCTTCGCGTTTTTGGTGCAGGGTCGTGGTACTGGGTCCGGAGCATGATAATGAGGGTATGCGGAAGAGGTTGAAGGCTGTGTCGAGGGCTGGCAGGGCCAAGAAGAGGCAGTAGGAGTGCATTCTGGTAAGCAGACGTGGACCTTGGGTGTTTTGCTTGGTGATGACACTGAAGGCGGACTGGTTATTGTCGGTCTGGAGTGACTGTCAAGTGAAAATCATAGGGATTGAGATATCGTTGCTAATGGAGGCCAAGACATGTATCTATGGCTGTCCATCAACCCATAACTTACCACCCCTTCGTCCCCATGTTCGTTCAACTCATATGTATATAGACTCAGCTCGTTATGTATGATTCTTACGCTGATTCCAATGAACGAGCTGCCATGTAGTTCCTGATTGTAGAAGTAACCTGTCGGCTTTATTTCTGAAGGGGCCTCGAAGACCAAAGTGGCAATTATGGCTCCACGCTTGGCTACGAAGAACCATAGTTAAGAGTGTCTAGCCGCGTGCCGTGGTCAGAATTTTGCTGTTTTTGAAACAACGGCATTTAAAATATTCCTAGTACAGGATTTGGCTTGATATCTTCAGGGAAATATCCACCAATAACTGATTCGGGCTAGTACGTCGGCCAATAGAAGCAACGTGGATTAGGAGATGGGACGAACTTGTACGAACAGCACAGTGAGGTGAATATATTCATTGCTTGACCGCTTGACTGTTCGTACCATTAGCTGTTTTCCTGTTAGTTTTCAGGTTCGGTGTCGTTCGCTGTAAGTAGTTGTGTCGTACTTAAATGTGCATATGGCTTAGGAGGAGTACAAATATATGCACACCTTCCAATCTGACTACACAGATATCTTCAGTACTGCCAGTCCGGCCAGCAATTATGTGAACGGGCTGCTTTAATCGCGGCTCGCAGTCTAACTACTCCCCAAATCAAGAGTCAGTCAAACTTTACTTATGAAGTACAAGAATAGGAGAAGCTTGCACACAGTAGCAATAAACAATGCCTCTGTTAGATTAAATAAAAGATAGGATAAGAAATAAATATATACAATATTTATAGTTAACTCTATTCCAAGTTAGTCTCATGCTCTATTTGAACCTACTTCTTCAGGAACAATGTCTGCACGTCACAATACCCCTTCAATCCAGCCTCGCCGTACTCGACCCCGACGCCACTCTGCTTGTGACCTCCGAAGGGCGCGTTTGCTTGACCAGCCATATGATTATTTCTGTAGGCCAAAAGTTAGCTATACAGTTACTAGTGGCAAGAGAATTGGGCATTTGAAATCGTAGAGTCTCGAGAAAGGGGGAACTCGCATCCAAACACTTCCCACTTGAAGCTTCCTAGCGATACGCTCAGCTTGAACCAGGTCTTTAGTCCATACAGAGGCACCCAGTCCCATATCTGAGTCATTTGCCCGCTTGATGACTTCGGCTTCATCTGACCACTTGAGAACTGGGAAGACGGGGCCTGTGAGGAGTGAGAATTCCGCTTATATCAAGTTGCGAGGTGAGATCGAGTACTAACCGAAAGGCTCCTCTACCACAATCCTTGAGTTATCTGGCGGATTGTCGATGATGGTAGGCGTGATAAAGTATCCATTCCCCATAGTTGATACCTTGGTGCTTCCGAGCGCAACCGTAAGCCTCGTCCTCTCAATATCCTCCAGCAGATTCTTCACTCTGTCATACTGCAGCCTATTATTGACCGGACCAAGCCAAACCCCCTCCTGAAACCCATCCCCGACATTCAACCCCTTAGCATACTCCACCATAGCCTTCAGCAATGCCTCGTAAATCGACTCGTGCACAAACACCCGCTTGATCGCGCAACACACCTGTCCACTATTTATCAGTGCCAAACCCGCGATCTCAGGCGCTACCTCGACTACATCGACATCGGAGCACACGATCGCCGGGTCGTTCCCGCCCAGCTCGAGAGTTACTCTTTTCAGTGTCTTGCTGCAGCTCTCCATCACGCGCTTCCCCGTCGCGATAGAGCCGGTGAACGTGACCTTGTTCACCCCAGGGTGAGCGGTAAGCCAGGGCCCGAGGTCATCATCGCCGCTTAGACACTGGAAGACTCCCGGAGGAAAGAAGGGTATGGCTAGTTCGGCCATTTTGAGGCTGCAGTAGGGAGTGAAGGGAGAGGATTTGAGGATGAAGGTATTGCCCGTGATGAGGGCGGAGGCGAGCTTGACGCTAGCTAATTGGATGGGAAAGTTCCAGGGGACTATGCCTTTTGTTGGTTTTGGGTAAGTATATTGAAACATGGGTAGAAAATGAAAAGGGAGGATTTGAACAGGCTGGCGTACCGACTACGACGCCCAGTGGGATGTACCGGGCGATGACCTTTTTGTCATCGGTTTCCTCGATGGTCTCCTCAGTCTCTGGAAAATTTGCTAATTCGCGAAGGCAGTTGAGAGTTATTTGCATTTCGAAATTGGCAAATCCGAGCTAGCGATTGTTCAGTCAGTCCACATAGCACTTAGCTCAAGATGATGCTGTCTTCTGATGTCACTTACCGGCTTGCCTTGCTCTTTGGTGAGCATCTGGCTGAAGTCGTCTATTTGAGATTCCAAAGCAGCTGCAAAGGCATGGATGGCCTTCCGACGCTCTGTCCATGGCACTTCGGCCCATGATTCCTGCGCTTTCTTGGCTACCTCAACAGCTCTGTCTACATCGGCGGGTGTACTGACAGGCACTGGAGGAAGATCTTTGAGGGTTGAAGGGTTGACGCTGCATCGCGTCTTCTCAGTGCCGACTAGCTTCCCATCAATGACATTTTGAAACTTGGTGAAGCAGAGGGATGTTGTTCTGTTGGTGATGCCATCGGCCGCCATGGTGGGACTGGAGATCGTCAAATAATGGTTTGAATTACATGAAACAAGTATTTCAAGCTCGCGTACTTAAGTAGGAAGGGATTTGGATAAAGCCTGTGGACGATGCCGGCCGGTTCAAATACAAGCGGCGTATAAGTGCGGGGAAGCTGATATATGACCCTGCGTAGTACATTGTGCCGGCCAGATATCACCAATCACACCACTGACTGAAAAATAATGCTGCTGAGTTGTCAGATCCGGTGCGAAGGCTTAGCTCTGGCAAGATTGGCTACACCTACAACCGCCATGCAACTCTGTGGCGTGGCTAGTGGCGTAACTTTACTGATTGAAGTTATAATCCTGCGCTACAAAAGGTATAAAGAAGCCTTGCAATGTAATGCTACTCAGGACTAAGCCGCTGAACCGGACATGTACTTTTGCGAATAACATGTGGGATAGACTGTCAGATGCGATGTAACCCTGGGTTTTGAGGTTGGTCTTTACTAACTAGAAAGCAAGAATCCAGTTTAGGCAATTTGAATTATTGAGCTATATAGCTAGACTGAGAATCTCGTTATACAAGACTGACACAGGCGCCTTGCTCCAACTAGAAGATAAAATCTGCAATAGGAACGCATACTTTCAGCACTGCCGAATATAATATGTACATACTTGAGGTATTGTAAGGAGGTAAACTACATGATTACTGATGATGATTAGTTGTCTATATAGTACTCGAAACTGTGCTGTTAGGCAACCTTGGTGGGCTTTGCCAAGACCACCAAGGTTACCACGTGACTTAGCCCTTCGGGACTAAGTCCAACCTTCGTGCTCCATAAGACTAGATAGAATGTCATGCTTTTACAACCTCACAAATCTTTGACCACCTTTGTGTGTAACATGTGCTTCATTAGTAATGATCCTGAAAAGGATCGAAATATATGTCGTTGGACATTATGTTTCTTTACGACTTGGCCAGCCTGGAGTTGTTACGTAGCCTCATTGAAAGCAAACAGACGCATACAGTCTTAGTAGTCTCTACAGCTATCCATAGTAGCACTAGCAGGCACTCTACAGTCTTAGGCAACATAGAATAATTACATAGCTTAATTAGTAGACGGTGGTAGGATATAGAGAAATTCCCGGAAACATTCAAACTTCGCTTAGTGAGTTTCGTTTCCCTTTCGTCCCACCTTCCATCCCACTGTCACCGCATGCTATGATTGGTGTATCGCTCTTGTCCCTGATGCATTTCGACCCAGTCACATGATTCTGGGGTAGCTTCAGGGATTCTGGGCCCCAGTTAACCTTCACAGCTGAGTCCCGCCTTTTTGTTTCCATCCTCCATGATACAAAACATAGCTACGGGAACTGCACGGAACTGCTGAGACCGCGGCACGTTTCCAAGCCAGTATCAGAAACATCCTAAGATTTTCGCATCACAAATGTCACCAATCATGATTAAGAAGTTGCTGACTTCCGGCCACGAATCTCACAAAGTCAAGAGAATCCCACCATCTCGTCTTATCTTAGACCCAGGACTCCGTACTTCTCGTGCGTGGCATTTACTCTATCTAGCCAAATCGGCTCGTATAGATAGTGTGCACCACCCAGACCAGCAGTTCAACGGAGAGGTCCACAACGTCGCCTTTCACGTCACGTTGTCGTTCTACGCAGCGCCCCGCAGACCAAGGCCGAACAATGATAACGTTTGCTAGTCCCGATGCATGTATCAGACGAACTGACACCTTAGCCTTCTATTTTCGTCTTTCTGCTAGCCATGGCAAAGCTTGAATGCTTCTAACAACCAAAAGGTGTGTGGTGGATCCGAGATCAGGAGGTCACGAGTTGGATATTGCTTGTATTATGACGAAACAGGCTGTGGCCTTATATGTCTTCTCCCACGCTAAGCTTTACGCCAATATGTATTCATCCGTCTCGGCCCCTCGTGCCGGAAGCTTCGCGGTCGGGTCGTTGAGCCTGGGCAGCCAAGATCGAACGAATGCACGACATGTTGAGGCTTGGATGGTCTCGGCAGAGGTGAGTACTATAACATCGATATCCAGGTTGCAGACAACGCTACACTCCCTAATTATAGGCTTCAATAGTGGACAGTGTTTTGACATGTTCGCGGGCACTTGCATCATGAGACTGCCGAGAGCTATCGCTTCTGGCTTCGGAGCCTGGTTTGGGTGACAGCCGCAGAAAAACATGTGTTGCGCTTTCTTATCTGTTGAATTGTGGGCAAAGTTGGTGCCCATAGAGAAATTGTTAAACCAAGCTTTTTGTGGTATGTCCCTGAAATAGAGTTGCCGAGCTGCAGATAGAGTTTTGAACGCGTACTACTACGCGATCGAAAGTCCTCATTTGATCATTTAAGATAGGTGGGCAGACGTACGAGTCAAGCCTTTCCCTCTAGCAAAGAGATATCGACTGTAGTCGTACTTCCGTCGGACCGTTGGCTCTGCAAATCTTTGAAGCTGACGCACCTCCTGATATAGTAAAGCATGATTGGCGTTGGATCTTCAGGTACGAAAGCCTCCGATGTATCCGCCCCTTGACATGCCCAGGCAAATGGGCAGCCAAACCGCATATCACTGTGTATTTAGGACCCCTGTGGCCGTTACTATGCTTCAGGCCTTTGGATCTGGGGGAGAAATCATCTTCAAGCCATTTGTAATACAGGACTAGGTATTGCAATTTCAATGTCCGATAATTTCCAAGAAGTGAATCACCCCCGCGGCCTCTGAAAAATCTTCAAAATTTGGGCCACGCTGCTCCTGGAGTTCTATTGGTCGTTTCGACACATAGTATGTACTGCAAAGTCTGGATGCGCTCAGCTCATGCAGAGCGGACTTCAACCCGCAGCTGAAGCCTTGATGCATCCTTCTAGACTATTACGGATGCAACATATGGCAGCCGTTTCTTCTTGATGCAGGCCAGACTCTTCCACTCGCAACGTGCTCGTGTGAGAAGATTTCGTTCTGGTTCGTTCGCAGTTTGGTCGAAACAACAAGAACCCACGGGGACAAGCCCACGGCTGTGTTCTTCGCTCATCCAGCGTAAGCATCCCTTGTCGATAACGGATTGAGTGGGCATGCGGGGACTGTCTCCTCCTCGAGGCTTGGCGAGAGATCGACCACAAAGACCACATTCGGCACCCACGTGGAGAATTCTCCAACTCTGATAGGAGAATGCCTAGCGTGTAACCATCCCCCGCCAAGAGCCTCATGGACGAACGATAGTCCAGTCTGGAGCTGACACCGCGGGTTTAAAGCCTCTTCAGTGCCGCCAAGGTTTCGCCAAGATGGCCAAATCCTCTTGTCGTCCTGGATGGCCACCGAGGCGACGACTGATCGAGGTCCGATGCAGCGGATAAGGCCGGTCAGTTGGCTGCGCTTGCTGGGGGGGCTTGCTTTGCCGGGGGTGCTTGCCTGGCCGTCACTTGCGAATCATACTAAGCGATGCGGGAACGTGGACGCCAAATCTATCTAAAAAGGGCGGAAACTGTAGTTGCCACAGTTTGTCAACGGCTTCCCTGGCCTCGGCGTCCTAAGGGAACAGACGGGGGTTGCATTAGAGGAAGTTACAGACAGTACACAAAAGCAGCTGTCTCGCGCTCTGGTTTTTGTCGGATTTCGGACGAATGTTCTCGTTGTTCAGCATCCGATCGAGTCATCCCATCTTTCGCTGAGAACTGACTGCCTGGGGCCCCTCGATCAAGATGGCGCTCGAAGAATATACCTACGTTTTTGTCATCGGTACCATGTTTGCCATGCTCGATGCCTACAACAACGGCGCAAGTGAGTAGTCAGGCAAAACAGCCATCCCCATCTGTCGTCTACTATTGGTTTATCTTCGAGATGTGACGGAAACTAATCGACTCAACAGACGATGTAGCTAATGCGTGGGCAACTAGTGTCTCGTCTCGGTCCATTTCATACCGACAGGCCATGGTCTTCGGCACCGTGTTTGAGATGCTGGGGGCCATCACGGTGGGTGCACGAACGGCCGACACCATTAAGAACGGCATTATCCCCAACTCCGCCTTCCGGGGCGACGCCGGCGTGCAGATGCTCGCCTTCACATGCGCACTCGCTGCTGCCTCATCATGGGTCATGTGGTGCACCAAGCACTCAGCCCATGTGTCGTCGACGTATTCGCTTATCTCGGCCGTGGCCGGTGTTGGTGTCGCTACCGTCGGCGCTTCTCAAGTGCAATGGGGATGGAACGACGGCAAAGGCCTCGGAGCCATCTTTGCCGGTCTGGGCATGGCACCCGTCATCTCGGCCGGGTTTGCCGCCACCATCTTTATGTTGATCAAGTTCATGGTGCACATGCGTAAGAACCCCGTCCCCTGGGCCGTCTACAGCTCGCCCTTCTGGTTCCTTATTGCCGGCACCATCTGCACTCTGTCCATCGTCTACAAGGGTTCCCCCAACCTCGGTCTGAACAAGAAGCCCGACTGGTACGTTGCCAGCGTCACCATGGGCACCGGTGCTGGTGTCGCCCTCTTGTCCGCCATCTTCTTCGTCCCTTTTGTGCACTCCCGCATCGTCAAGCGTGATCACACCGTCAAGTGGTACATGTTCGTGCTGGGTCCCCTCCTCTTTAAGCGCCCGGCCCCCGATCACGCCGACCGCGCCGCCGTGCCCAACTACGCCGTCGTCCAAGATGACGAACACTCCTCCGTCGAATCAATCCGCAGCCACACCGACCCCAAACCCGACGACGTGTTGCCCATCTCCACGTCCACTCAAGACACGAGGGAAAACGAAAAGCGTCTCGTCAATACCGAGGCCTCGCAGCGCAGCTACAAGGAACTCGAGGCTGCAGGCGAGGAGCGTCTCCACGCCGCCCTCCGCAAGAAGAAGGGCCCCATTGGCTGGGCTATGCGCACCCTCCACGAGAACCCCATGGGCCCCGGCCAGATCTACGAGCTCCACAACATGAAGATTCTCGCGAAGCGGATCCCCGCCATGCTTGTCTGCGGTGCCCTTTACGGTCTGCACTACGATATCCATGCCGCGCAGACGGGAACCGAGGGGACGCCCGAGGGTGCCCGTATGGCAAGGGTGTATGCCCATGCTGACAAGTACCCTAATGAGGTTGAGCATACGTATTCGTTTGTGCAGGTCTTGACTGCATGCACGGCTTCTTTTGCACACGGCGCGAACGATATCGGGAACTCGGTTGGTCCCTGGGCTGTCATTTACTCGGCTTGGTCCACTGGCAATGCCGCGGCGTCCAAGGCCTCTGTGCCGGTTTGGCAGTTGGCGGTTCTTTCGGCGGTTATATCGCTGGGCCTCATCACCTATGGCTACAACATCATGAAGGTTATGGGCAACAAGATTACGTATCACTCGCCTAGTCGAGGTTTGTCTTCACCTCTCCCCCCCACCGTTTTCCTCTATCATCCCAAACAAAGATGTATTATGCTGACTCTTTCCTCTCTTTGCAGGTTGCTCCATGGAAATGGGCGCGGCCATCACCGTCCTCGTCTTCTCCCAGTTCTCCCTTCCCGTATCCACATCCATGTGCATCACCGGCGCCACTGTTGGCGTCGGTCTCTGCAACGGCACCTTCAAGGCTGTCAACTTCCAGCGTGTCGGTCTGTTGTTGCTTTCGTGGATTGCGACTATTCCCATCGCGGGTACGTTGGGTGGGGTGTTGATGGGCTTGTTCCTCAATGCACCGCACTTTTCTTCTTAAGTAAGGGGTTTTGCATGAGGGATAAGAGATGAGATTAGATGACCTTCTAGACATAATGTCATAAGACAATAATAGTAGTTTATAAGATTTGGTCTCTGAATTTAGCAGGGGAAATGTTATAGATATCGGGGTTCATAGTCTTAAATACGAGCCCATAGCGAGATTTAAACTCTGGAATTTGTGCTTGGTTAACCTTGTTTGCATCACTTAGATACTAACTTACAGTGTGATTTGTTTCACAATTGAGAGTTTCAATTTGCAATTCTCATGCGAGTGCGCCTATCTTGAAGTTATTTGGCTATAAGAGTAACGTGATCCACAAGTCATTTTCGCACACAAGTCACTTTCGCACTTTTCTTGGCACCTTCAAGTAATTCAGTAATATCCTATGCATAACCCGCATTTTATCCTTTAAATTACTCAAAATCTTCTTCATTATCAGTTTCTACTTCTATTGAACAAGTCCTTGCATTATGTCCAGTCCCTCCGCAAATACCACAGCGCCTTATACCGGTCTGCCGGCGCTTTACAGGACGACTGCTTCCGCCTTCTTCCTCCTCCATAACCTTGATATCACCCCTCAAGGCCCGTAAAACTTGTGCATCACCTATACTAAGTGCTCCTCGATATTGGATTTGCTTATTTTTCGTCCTACGACACTTACTTAGTATATGGTTCGTCTCACGAAGCTCTTCGTTCTCCCGACGTAATAATGCATTCTCATGCATCATTGCATGCGTAGCCTTCGTAGTCGAGTTAATTGAGTTCAAAATATGCGTCGGCGAGCTGTCTTGATGCCTCTGGACGCTACTTTTAATCAAAGTTGACTGCGATTCGGCTTCGAGGGTGTTGGTAGGCGTCTTAGAAACCCAGACGGAGGGAGGCAATTGGGGGTCGGGTGTCGGTGTTCGTACTACTTTTGCGATATCCAACGTAGATATGACCCTATCCGGGTTAAAAGGAACAAGTCCAGCTGCTTCGAATCCTGATCTGATGTTTTTTTCGTGAAAAGCACCAATGAAAGCTTCTAAAAACCCAGCTAAGAAATCCTGCTTCTCAATATGGGTTTGATGCCTTCGCATTAAACCCTCCACGAACGCACCATACAGCCGTTTCAACACACTAAAAGGTACCAAATCCAAAGGCTGGAGCTTGTGGGATGAATGGGAAGGCATACACAATGTAATTACGCCGTGCGCCGCGAGGTAAGTCTCAAAATCCATCGAGTGGTGGCTCTCGTGACCATCCAATATTAAGAGACTTTTCGCACCCTTCCGACGGCTAATAATATGTTGAACAAAGTGTTTTGCCCATTCCACACCAATATTATTAGTAGTCCAACCGTCATGGGAAAGGTCGACCTTCCAGTTGGCCGGTAGGTCGTTACCGCGATACCACGAAGCAAGATGAACCTTGCTCGCGAAGATGTACGGCGGTACCGCACAACCTTGCGAATTAATAGCCTGGATCACCGTAACCCATTCCCGACCTCCTTGTGTAGCCTGTCTAGGCCGTCCGTGTCTCTCTGCACTCGTTACAACCATACCGGTTGTGATTATGCCCATTAGGAAGCCCGTCTCGTCAAAGTTGTAGATATCCTCCGGTAGGATACCGTATTTAGCGATTGTGTCCCTAACAAGCTCAAACCACGCGTAATACGCGATAGGATCTTCGCTAAATACCCTCTGGTAATCAATTCGACGGTTTAAACGCGTTCGGAGGTCTTGTCGGCGGTTAACGAAGTTCGTGGTCCAGTTCTTGCCGACGGGGAGCGCGTCGCGTACGCGTCGTAGGATATTCGCCATTTCTTCAACGTATCGAAGCCGAGGAGGAAATGCTCGCGCATCTAGCTCAATTATACGTCGGGCAATCGTATCCTCTTCGGTTTGAGTTAGATTTCGTTTTAACATATTAGCTTCGTGTCGCGTTTGGTCGCCGTCGAATCGATTCTTTAGTGTACGGTCGCAAACGTTGTAGATACGGCCAAGCTTACGCCATGAAATTTCAGGGTTGCGCTTTTTAGCTTGGATAGCTAGCTGAAGATCGGCTTCTTTAGATTTACGAGGCATATTGTGGGAGGGAAGAAAAGTACAAGCTAAGTTAAAAGGTTGAAATATTTGAAAAAGTGCGAAAGTGACTTGTGTGCGAAAATGACTTGTGGATCACGTTATAGTATAATAGATTGCTATGAGATAGATTACTGCTCCCTCCAAAATTAGACTAGCCCTTGATACGCCCTTGATTACCTCCTCTGCCTTAGCTTTTGTCAGGTGTATCAGATCTCACTATATATACATGTTAGCCTTAATTCGACATTGAAGGAGATACACAAGTACACTCTGAATCACAAAGTCTTGTGTGCATAATTTGAATACTAAACGCATTCTAGATTATCGATTTCACTATATTAATCAAACTTTGATCCAGCTATAGTGTTTTGGATTATTAACACGGCTATTCCAAACAAGACATTTAAGTATCTGGACAGTTCGACAGAAAAGCCATTTAGACTAATTTAGACTTTCACTACTAAAATAGATATTCTTCGTGTAAAGAAATATTTTTGATATAGTACGTCTATTTTTATGTAGATACATGGCTCGTTTCAGTATCCTAATGATGCGAGTGCACATGGAGAGTGAGTGTGTATATTGGGGAAGCTTCGGTGGCTAGCTACTGGCTGGTACCCATGCAGTCCTATCTTATTCATCTATAGCTACAGGTTAATCCTCCTTGGTTTCACGTATCACCTAGATCCGTAGTTACTGTCATATAGCTAGTGTGATTTCTATCACAAGTACATGGACAATAGGCAAGGAGACACCGGTATAAGCTGTTGTAGACCCGAATCACCCGTTCCCCTTATAACAGAAGAACGAGCACCTGTAACCAACGTCCGAGTCGCAATTAATAGTTTTGGCAATCTGCGGCTTGATCTTGATTGGGACTCGGCCGGATGACAGGCTAGCATATTTGGTCGCCCCTGGTAGCGCCAGTTACATGATACTTGGCCACCTACCCCGCCCACCCTTCATAGGATCCAACACAGCGTTGCTCAATATGAAGAATACTTCAAACAACGGCTAGTCCAGAAGCTAATTGCAGCTGGCGGTGAAATTAACTGTATCATTTGCAGACCCTCACCGATTCATGTACGCAAGGTCAGACCTATAGTCACCACTTATGGTCGCCATCAGGACAAGGAACAAGCAAATGTGGAGCTTCTATTGAAAAACGGCGCAGATATACACCGACCAGCACGACAGGTACACCGCTGCAGGAAACCTATGAGATTGGCAGCTTCAAGGTGGTCAGGCTCCTCCTTGATAAAGGGATATACGTCAACGGATCGCCCCCGGATAGGGGTAGAGCTACTGCACTGCAACTTGCTACCATCACCGGGAGCGTTAATAATGCCAAGCTGGTCTAGATCATGGGGCTTTGGTGCAAGAATCGCCGTCCATAATGAACGAAGGACGGCCCTTGAGTGAGCTACAGAAAATAGTTACTTGGAAATGATTGGGGTGCGGTGGAATGCTTCATGTGGGGTGGGATTCACGTCCGAGCAGATTAGCAGCGCGATAAGCCTTGCGAATGGCAAAGGCCATCAAGGGTGTTTTGATCATATTATTGAGCTATCGTCAGCAGCGGCGAGTTTCCCCTTGTTCAGACTGATCAGCTTATCGGCCCTGTAATGACCTGAGAAACTGGGGTGGCACAATTTGAGTTATCTTCGGGTTTGGTGAAAGGCAAAGTGTCTTGGACTCACGTATACAGTTTAGTACACGAGGGAGGGGAATTTTGGGGAGGCTCTGAAAGCTGTACAAATATATGATTTTTCATGTTTACTTGAATGTAATGTCTCCAAATGAATTCTACAACGAAATATATCATACTTTCATAGCAACGGCTGTGGGGGCATATCTGGTTGCTTCTAATACACTACGCTGTGTATCCGAATCATCATTGTCATGCGAAAAGACTTACGTAGCACCAAGGCCGTGGAAGCAAAGAGACACAAAAATACACAATATTTATTTACCAGAGCCAGTTCCAATTAATAAAATCTTCCATATTACAATAAGAGTGCCTCGGGTCTTTTGGTTCTTACCTCGACTTCATTCTTATCGTCTGCAGCCCATTTCTATTTTACAGCTATACTCACCGTCTATCGCCTCGTCGTGTAGGTATGGAAATCGTCTACCTAGCTACACATAAGTGTAAACCGCTCCGCGAATTTCTATCTCGTGGGCTAGGAATGCAACAGTCAGTTTTATACCATAGCGAAATTTCATATTACTCGTCCAGGAGCAGGGATAAAATTCGGCATCTCTAATCCCTGAATTCTTCTAGTATGCGTATTATCTCTAGAATTTGGTGTTGTATTCCAGATGATACATAACGGCGGGCGTGATGGTACATGACATATATATTTATCCAACTTCGGTGGGGTATGAATGATTTACTATATATACAAGACTAGGTCATCCATATATACGGCATATCACTAGGATCCCCTTTCAGCAACACGCTCCAATCCATCTTCCCCGCCGTTGCAGCCATCGGCTTGGCATTATTCACCGCAGAAGCCGGTGACGCAACCCCTTGCATCCTGTACATAGTCTGCTGCACCCTAGTCATCGCTTCGAAAGTCTTAGCGTGTTTGGGGCCAAAATTCTCTCTACTGAACCCAATATACTCCTCCCCCGCAGCAACGCACCGCTGAGTATCCCGGTTCTGCTCCTGGATCTGAAACCCAAGCTTGTAGTACTCACGCATGACGTATATGCACCTATCTTCCGGAGGACTATTCATCCATTGCTCGCCCACTTCATGGCGCACCGCCTCGGCTTCATCAAGTCGTCCGTTATGCCGGAGTGTGTGCGCGAGGGAGAGCTTGGTCCACTGCGCCGCGTTGCCATCATTGACGAGTTCCTGCTGGAAGGCGATGCTTCGGAGGGTTTTCTTGGGTTTTTCCACGTCCATAAGGCCTAGGAAGGTGAGTTCGTCCGATAGCTCGACGGCTAGTCTGAGCAGACCTAGGTTCTGCGTTCCGAGTTGGTCTTCGATGGCTTTCCAGTACGATTGCAATACGTGCAATGCATGAGCCTTTATCTGCTGCAACCCCGCACGCTTCAGTCTTGACCAGGCGAGGTTAAATGGATGGTTCGCGGGAAGTCGGATAGCGGCCATCTCAGCTGCGTATTCGAGGAAGCGCTGAGCCACGACCGGGGGCAACCAGAGGGTGGCTGCGTAGGCGTAAATGAAGAGACCTGGATTGGGCGATGTCATAAGACGCGGGTATTGGTCGAAACAGGCATCGTAGAGGTAGAAGGCCGGGGTGAAGCTGCCGAGATGGAACAGCATCCGCGCAGATCGCATTCCGTACAACCACTTTTGTTCCAAGTTGGAGCGCATGGTCGTCTTGGTCGTGTCGAAGGTCCAATTGCCGCTGTCGAGGCAGCCGCATACCAGTTGGCGTGAGATCTGCACCATTTCTTCGGCCATCTTGATGGAGTCAGGGGACTCGATACGTCGAGGTGTAGGGTGGTGAGACGCGAGCTGCGTGGGTGATTGGCTTGATATCCCTAATGAACTCTGTCGGCTAATGGAAATGGACTTACAGATGATGAGCCTGTGTCTATGAGAACAATATTACGGTCTTTACGAGCTGCCAATCGCGGCTTGGGGAGTTCGGCCCGGGATGCACTGTGACCAGATTGGATGCTCTGGTCCTCTTGACGCAAGGCTTCGTCGACCTGAGCCGTTTTCACGTACTTGGTTAATCCCCATTTGGCGACACGGTACTTGTACATTTTCAAACTACCACGTGCCGTTAGCTATTTTGTAATCATATTGAATGCAACTGACTTACGTTGCATGGAAATTGTGCTTGTGCTCCATTATACCTAGCAGCTCCCTCAGCGGTTTCTTCTCATCCATATACAGCCTTGTGATGAGTGCACGATAACTGTCCCAATCCTCGGTGGTAGCCCAGCGAACACGACGCTGGCCGGTTGTCACTCCTGCTGTGCCGCTAGCATCGCCGTTGGCCTTGTTTCCACCGAGATTGGACGGCGGCAGCGGCGGCGGCTTCTTCGTCGAGGACGCGGCAGCATCTCCGGCGCTGACATCTCCAGACACAGCCACCATAGACATGGTCCTCCCTTGACAATAAGCTCAGTCGTCGTCCAAATGCTGCCATGCACCACTGATTCCCACTTTTAGCCGCACGTTGCTGCATTGGACTTTTGGCCGGTTCAATTTGTGAAAGTTGTCAGGTTCACACTCCATGTAAAAGTGGCTCTAGAATCCTACTTAAACCGCTGATTGTAGGATTTGCAAGTTTGCCGTTGGCCCGGCATGCCGGTGCCAAGCTTAATCCGACAAGTATCCTGACCTCCTCTCCTCTAGTGGACGAGGCAAGCGCTCAACATGCTTTCAAAATGCATTCCGTCGATTGGCGTAACCATGTCAAGGTAGTCGAGTCGCTTTTTTTTCTTTTTTTGAATGCTGAGGAGATCACCCCTCCATTGATGACTCTGATGGCTTTCATATTGGTCGCCATGTCTGCTCTATGCGATGTGCTACGTAGGTTGGCGTTGTGTAGTGCTCTCATCTAGAAGGGAGGAGGGAAGGAAGGTAGGATCTGACCCACTATACACACTGGTAATTGTACCGCTTTCATCCTAGAGCATAACAGTGGCGCTCAATCCCGCAAATACAAGTGGTTCGGCGACACACCGGGGACTATAATTTGGGGGCATCTATGCCGAAGATATCCACAAAGCACCACGGCAGCGCTTAGCAAAACAGCACCTATAATTAGGCTCTATTAGTGGGGGAACCACTTTATAACGACAAGAAAATTCGCGTAACCCTTTACGATGACGATTTTATTGATGCGAGTGCATATAGGGGGTAAAATGTGTGTACTGAGAAAGCAAGGTTAGCTAGCTAGCCAAGATGTCATATATTCACGTATCTTGCAGTGTGACCCTGAGGTAGCCAGTCCAATTAATCGTTATTGTTGTGTGTGTCCGTCTGGAAGGCCCTTCGGAAGGCTCTTCGGCAGGCTCTTAGGCTGACCCCAAGTGGCTGGTAATCTTAGCCGGACACTACTGGTCAATCACGTGACTCATTGTATCTGACACGAGCCAACGCGACCTGCGTGAAGGCGATAGCTCGGTGCTGTTTCAGCCAAACCTTAGACTCCTCAAAGGCGAGTTCATAGAATCCGGAGGACGAAGGGGAGTATGAGTCGTGTTGCTCCTCTGCACACTCCTACTGCTGGCATTAAGAATTGATGATTGTGCCTGGCCTCCACTGCTGTCTTTGATCTGTTTTTACAATTAGGAAACTCCTTCGTAGACTACTCACAACCATGTCCAATCCTGGGGTCGGTGAGATATATATCAAAGAGAAAGTTGGAATGCCATCCTCCGGGCATATTACCCCATCTCGAGACAGCTCTGCGACCCTCGAAATTACTGATGCCGATCTAACGGCGATACGCGCACGAATCCAATTATACGAGGAATTAAAGGAATTAAAGGCTACGGAAGAAAGGCTGAAGGCAAAGCTGATTGGTGCCAAACGGCCTGGGCGATGCCGCCGCTCATCGGAATCTAGCTCTCACAAGGACGTGGATCTTTTTGACGATATACCGATCTTCAAGCAGACGTTTTCGCTTCGCCAGCGGGACGCCTGGCTTTTCATGCTCACGCAGTGTTTTTATCCGCCCTCAAAAATATGACAACAATCCAGCACAGAAGATTCGTACAGCCGTATCGAAGATGGAGACGGTGTGTCAGAACAACTGGGAGTTGGAATGTGAAGTAGTAGCGCTTCAAGGGGAACCAATGCTTAACGCTAAGTTGTCGGATTGGAATCGATTCTAACAATGGACTATGCAATTGCTAGGCTTCACCGGTGACATTGAGGCTCGTATTGCAGAGATGCTGGAGAATGCTAGACAACGCAAGGACCAAGATCCCGAAGATTTCAGTATCGACCTCGCCTCCTTGGAGAGTAAAAGACCTGCACAAGACGAGGCTGGAAGTGCTCTCTACTTCTATGGAAAATTACAAGAGGACCTTCAATGCAAGCTTAAGACGGTTTTCCGTGAGATGCTACCGAGGAACCGTCAAGAAATAGTGCACCAAGCGGCCATTTTTGGGACCAGCTACAATCTTGCAAGCGGAGACACGACGAAGCGACTGTTGAGGATAGCTCAAGTAAGAATTCGAGGAAAGATGATTCCCAAATTCGACGCGGTCGTGGAGGATTTCGTGGAAGAAACCGTGGGAGAAACCGTGGGAGAAACCGTGGAGGAGCCCGGAGGGAAAGAGGCGGCGGAATTCCGGCGCATCGTGGTTAGTTACAGTACGCAGCTGGAATAATTGATCATAATGCAGACCAGACAAGAAGATGAGGAGTGGATGGGAAACTCCGTGGTCAAGATGGCAAGGTTTTTAACTGCTTTTGTTGTGGCAGTTGAGCCCATTTGGTCCCTGAGTGCCCTAGAAGGCAACCGCAAAGATGGAAGAGCTTCAAAAAGGAAAAGGCACCGAACCATCGTCTTCACGTATGCTCCGTCGGCTCGTATCCTCTGGCTTGTGCCTCCAGACGGTGGTCCTGTTCACTGCAACACCGCGCTAGAGTTTGTATACTTAATCACTGCGCTATCACGCTATATGTAATTCCAAAAGCGATTGATGTCCAAGTCCTTCACTTCAATGCTTGTAACCCGGTGCTACTCAACTGTTAAGGCCATTGTCGGTTAGCCACGTGAGCTGCGACACAGCGAGAAGTCCAATTAGGAATTTATCAACATAACATCATAGCTATATTAAAGTAAATATACAAGTAATAGTATAGGTAATCATTCAAGCAGAATCTAGACAAGGCGGTCCCCAGACTTTTGGAACATGATTGTAGGTAAAACCATGCAGCTTTGCAGGATCACTAGCAGGGTAAGATGATAATCAAGTCCAAGTCAGCGCGAAGATAGTGTGAAACGCCATGTCCAGGTCGTTTTGTACAAGGTATGTGGCATTCGAGCAAATACCGTGTTCTATTCGTAAAAACGATATATCGGCATGGAAATCGTTACTTATAAATTGGCTCTATTACACATGAAGATGGAAGAACCCCAGTTCCGCACTCTCCACAATTACGGACTAAGATATACATTTTCAAATACTCATTGCACGGTTATTATTGTATTTCTCCCCGACCAGCAAAGTCCTGCAGGATCAATTGTTGCGATGATCCTAGGTGTAACTTTCCAAATGTGATAGTCCACAACTGCCAGCCAAGACAATTGCCGATGTGGATACCTGCAACTACCGAAGCTAACGTGGCATTGACAGTGACTATTCAAGTCCACCGCATATGAACTACCACTATAACCTTATGCGCATTTCACTTCGGTAGACCATACTAAACTGGAGGTCCGGGATATAATACTTGCTATACTGGAATATATACTTTGCATACTTTACTAACGTAGTCCACGGTCCAATTGCACACTTCGGCAGATTTTCGTACGCTACCACTTTGACCTGCGGTTTTTCACCACATAACTATGGTTGGTTCTTGGAATGAAAGTGATATGATTCTAGCATTACATGCGCTTCAATCTGATCCAAAATTAAGTGTACGTGGCGCTGGTCAGATCTATAACGTACCTTTTAGAACCCTTGCGTATCGACGCGACGGTAAAACTGCTCGAACGATTACGCGATCGCCAACGCAAAAGTTGACTCCTTCCGAAGAAGAGGCAATCGTACGACATATAACCGACCTATATTCGCGAGCATTTCCTCCCCGATTGAGTGGTGTTGAAGATATGGCCAACCGATTACTTCGAAGTCGCGACGCGGGACGCGTCGGCATCAACTGGGCCTCGAGCTTCGTAAGACGACAACCAGACCTCCGGACGTGTTTAAATCGAAGGATAGACTATCAGAGAGTCCTCTGCGAAGACCCCGACGCGTATCGCGCGTGGTTTGACCTGGTACGGAATACAATTGCGAAATACGCGATCCAGGAGGAGGATATCTACAACTTCGACGAGACCGGTTTTGTGATGGGCCAAATCTCGTCCGAAATGGTCGTGACGACTTCTGATCGGCGCGGAAGGCCTAGAGCAGCCCAGCAAGGAAATCGGGAATGGGTTACAGTTATTCAAGGCGTTGGGCCGTCCGGTTATGCCCTCCCTCCGTACATCATTTTCGCCGGCAAAACCCACCTCTCGTCATGGTACGAAAACAGCCCATTACCGCCTGATTGGGTTATCGCAGTTACTAAAAATGGCTGGAATACGAACGAGAGAGGCGAATATTGGATAAAACACTTCGATCATCACACCAAGTCTCGTACGAAAGGTACTCATCGCCTATTGATCCTCGACGGTCACGAAAGCCATCACTCGACCGATTTCGAGGTATATTGCAAAGCTAACAATATCGTCACGCTTTGTATGCCTCCTCATTCGTCGCATAAGCTCCGGCCTCTTGATGTTGGTTGTTTTCGCGGGTGAAAAAGAGCGTACGGAAAAGAAATCGAAGATCTCATGCGAGCACATATAAGTCATATCTCGAAAGAAGACTTTTTACCGGCGTTTTTAAACGCGTACAACGCAACTTTCACGGTTTCAAATATCCAAGGAGGTCTCCGAGGGGTAGGAATAGTTCCGTACGATGCAGATTATGTCATATCACAGCTCGATGTGCAATTACATACGCCAACACCTCCGGGTAGCTCGGCTGGTCTCCCCGTCCCTTGGGAATCAAAGACTCCGAACAACCCAACCGAAGCCCAATCACAAACCGATTATGTGAAAAATAGGATTGTACGACATCAAAATAGCTCACCAACGTCAATTTTTGCTGGAATAGATCAGATTGCGCGAGGTACAACGAAGGTTATGCATCGGCTTGCCCTTTTAGAAGGCGAGGTCGAATCACTTCGAAAGGCAAATGAGACCTTAAGTCGACGTCGCCGTGCGAAGAAAAACAGCTACAGAGTGGAGGGTCACTTCGTATACAAGCTGGACAGGACATACAGTCTCAACGAGAGGTTGATGGGCAGTTACATGACGAATTTCGTCAAATTGGTGGTCGTACGAGACGGCGAATTGCGCGTGTACGGCGCTGTAGAATCTGCGGCGAGCCCGGACATAATGCGCGCACTTGTGGAAATGATGTAGAGACCTCTGAAGATAACGATTCTGAGTAGTTTCAATTGATGATAGGCGTTGTGGTTGAATTAACTTATACATTGTCGTATAAGGTCTGCCAAAGTGTGCAATTGGACCGTGGACTACGTTATACCTTGATTTAGACAACTAGTTCTCGCCTGCTTAGGGACAGTAGAAACAATATACAAAGTATATCCTGTATAAGAATTATGGTCAATACCTAGTACAGTACAATATTTGCATGTTGTCGCATGTTCAACGACCGATCTGTGATGGTGCAAGGCTTGACAGAGCACTTCGTATCATGTCTAGGAAGAGTCGAGGGTGAATATCAAGAGTTTCGACGATTCATGGACACTAAAGTCATCTCAACACCTTAATATCAGACCGAGTGAGTGACTCTTACATATAACGACCGCATTTCTAATCACCCTTAACCACTCAACCCAGGCGTCTCCCCAATCCTAAACACGTACTTAACTGCATTCGCCCTTCCCTCCTTAAGATTCTCCAACGCCTTCTGAATCCCCTCGAGTCCTCCCGGAATCACCTCCTGCGGCTGCGGCTTAAACCAACCCTCCTGCAGGCCCCTCGCCACATAACGGAAATACACATGTCCAAAGTCCTTATCCTCGGCATGCACCGAGCTTACCTTCGTATTTGAAATCTCGACATGCTCGGCAATACCCGCCGAATCCTGGGCCGGCAGCACAAGTGTAAGCTTGCCCCCTTTGTCGAGAACTTTGCCCAGGGTAACATAACTTCCCTTTTCAGAAACGGCGTCATAGGCATACAGGAGCTGAATGCCGGTAGGTACTGCTTTCTTGATGCCCTCAACGAGCGCTTCGGCGCCTTCGCGATAGTCCACGATGGTATCGCCCTTGGAACGGTCGATGAGGGATTCCACGTGTGCCGTCGACTTTCCCGCTACGCAGATGAGCGGGTGGATGTTAGCTTGGATGGCGAGCTGAATGGCGTAAGAGCCCACTGCTGAGGCGGCGCCATAGACTACCAAGGGAGTAGGTGAGGTGGCGGGGCGCCAGGGCTCTGGGAGGCCGAGCTGGATAAAGAGACCTAGGGCGGCGGTCATGTAGGCGAGGGGGATGGCGGCGGCGGCTGACGATGGAGTTAATCTCTTTGTTCTAAGTCTGGATACTAGACCTGCGGGGAGAGGGGACAGGGCGAGCTTGTTCGTTGTGAGATATAGTTACCTTCAAAGCTCGTTTCCTTCGGGATGTGGAAGGTGGTATGCGCAGGAGCCACGGCGTACTCGGCGTATGATCCGCCTGGGGTCATCATTTCGTGGAATGCTGCCACTCGGTCTCCTATATCAGATACCCATCAGTAATTAATTCGTGGTTTCATAGGAAGCGAGGACCAAGAAACTAAAATAAGGGAAGTGGAACTAGCGAGTCGCACACGCGGATATGCATAGCTACCCATGCTTTCCCCTTCCCCTGAAAGCTCCCAACCTGTTACCAATTGGCGTCGAATCCACTCACCAGGCTTAAACTCATAGACAGCATCGCCAACCTTGTGAACGATGCCTGCAATGTCATCTCCCTGGTTCAGCACCTTGTCGGGCCACCAGTTCGACACCTTCCAATCCTTCGGGTTCGATCCACTGACTACGACCTTGATGACAACTTCATCTGGCTTCGGCTCCGGGATAGGCGAGTCCTGGATTGTGACCTTCGGGCCTGTAAGGAGTCAAAATTTGGCACATGCAATTATTTTCGATGATACTTGCCATTTGCGACGATGGCTTCCTTCATGATGATATTTCGTTATGAGCTATTCTTAATATTAAACAGTTCTGGATAATGAGGTGCCGCATTCTGAAACGAAACCGTGAAGAGATGGGTCTTTAAATATCGGAGCAGCAGTAATGACAGTCGGAATAAATATATCACCATAAATTTCCGATCCGTGGGTGGCATTCCCGGTCGATCATAATGCTTAATAAGCAGTATCCGAGGTGGGCTGCAATTCATCCGTGGGCCGTAGATTACATCATTGATATTGCATCACCGCCCATATCGAGCAACTCGGGTCCGAAACTTCCGGATGAAATATGCGGACACTTACATGATTGGCATCACTCATGCGGTGTCACCGGTCGGCATATTAAGTACGTCTCCAGCCTGAGCAGTCCACGGTTATGATTAAATCCCGAGATCTGCTACCTTCACGGCGGCCCGGTTCTGATGTGGGAAACTGTTTTGCTGTGATGTATCCACTAGGCTACCAAGGCATCCGTGAAAGTTTATTTTGGCCTACTATCGCTAGCCGCATGGACTATAAGGTCTAGAGCGCATTCATTTCGAAACTTCTAATAGTCTGACTTATATCAACAGTTTCGAAGATGTACGCGACCGTGAATATCGGCAAGAAAATTAAGTCGAGCAGAGGTAGAAGCTCAAAACATAATTCTACCTACTACCACTTACAGTAAGACTTTTCATCGCTTGAGGATTGAGTGAATATTTTTCTTCTTATTTACCGCATGTTGCTGTTGAATTGCTTCATATGAACAAGGCACTCAAGTAGAAGTCACTTATGACAACTCCCTATAACCATCTCTGCAGGCTGTCGCTGTCTCGAAACCTCAAAATGCGGCCATGGCCAGAACCAACCATAATGTCAACTTCCATGTTGACCTAAATTTGCTCGCTCCCAGCAGCAGCTAAGTTTCTGGTTCATGGTGAGGGTTTAGAAACCGCCGCAGAATGCTGGCCCATTTCTCCTTTTACATTATCTCACCTTCTAGGGATCTGAAGGTCTCCGGGTCGAGTTGCTGTGGGCCTCTTCCTATCTCGTCCAATCTATCCCAAAACGGCACGCCTGGTCTCCGCGTACTCCGTAGAATTTTGAGCGAGGCGGCGTCCCAGAATACCCATGCTTGACCGCTATTTTTCAATTTTTGCAACGACTTACCTGATGCCCTGAAAACAGGAGCGGCTTCATTCAACGCCAGTATGAGATACGAGGGAATAGAGGGCTAACTTCCATTCAAAGCATCTCGTTGGACGTCTTCTTTAGTCGAGAAAAGTGGTGAAATTGACAAGCCCTACCACAGGCTGCGAGGGCTGCCACTGGTCAGGCACGATAAGTGCGCGTTGGCCCGACCGGGTGACCGTCGGAAAGTGACTGCCATGATGGCAATCAGAATGGAGCATTTTGTAGTGGTAAACATTACCTTACATTCCAAGAAATGCTCATGCGAATTTGTCGTTCGTCAACTCACAGATCTAGATGATGAAGTGCCGAAAGGAGGTGATAGCCAGGACGTTGTCAAGAGATCGGGCAAGAGACCGGGGATTGAATCACCGAAGATTAGCCAGCTCATAGCAATCTCCGCCAACCCCAATTGAATTCAGACCACGTTCTATTCCATCAACACTGTCGAATGAAGGGAGCCAAAGAAACCTGCAAAATGACGACCCTTAACTAAAACTTCATTAACGTACATAAGCATCCCCAGGATGACCCTTCCAAGATGAGCCGCACAACAGGTCTCTTCACCACCTTAATCCGCACGCACCACATCAAGAGCAGGAAGAAGCTGCACCGGGTCAAGAAAGCCGCAGCCCAATGCGTAGTCCCCTTCGTACTGGTCCGCAGTGGTGGGTCGCCAGGCATCATGTATGCTGAGAGCCATGATGAGACATCTTTGAGCAACTGGGTGGGCATTGTGCACGACTTGCGGTACAAGGATTTTCAGTGCGTGCAAAAGCCTGCGATGAGGGAGGTTACGTTGCCTAAAACGACGGTGGCTGCTGCACGGTTTAATGAGATTGAGTCGGTAGCGGGGTTTGGGGACATGATGGATAAGAGGGGGTTGGGGACTTGGTGGAAGGTTGGAATGGGGTACCAGATCTGAATGGTTCACGGTTAGAGCGTTGGTTAGATGAATGTTGGTCGCCTCACATCATGGCGTCATATCAATCAAAGCAAGGCATCTCCAGCAGCTGGGTTGACTTGCCTAGAGTATTAGTGGAAGAAGATTTTTTGCTTCTCGTACGGTACAAATGAATCCAGTCAATTCAACTTACCTGGTAGCGAGATTTGGCAACACTTGGCAAGTAGGACTGGCGATCGAAATTCCACTACGAGGGCAAGGTAGTGATACTTCTCAAATAAAGAGAAATTAGGGGTTGCCGGCACATACAGAAGGACAGAAAAGGGCCAACAAGATTTTTGCCGAGTCAATCGCTGATTTTGAATCTGAGACCACCTCCGGATCAAGACTTGGCCAGAATATGTTTCGCACATCAGGCTCATCACGGAGAGATTTACAAGAGACAGAGGGGTTGCAGACAACCAGATCTCCCAGCTGACTACGATGGTTGGTAAATTTTGACCTAACTTTGCCTCAAGATCTTTCAACGCAAACCGCACCAACAGACAGAGCTCTTGTTGCCTGGCGACAATACCAATAACCCGGCGATACTGCAGAATGGTCGCCCACACAGCTGAGTCCAATATCTTTGTCTTCAAACATGTTCACGATGTGCGATTATCCAACTCGCAAGCCAAGCTATTGACTTCAACGTCTTGCTAAATGAATGTCGTTGTCACTAACACTAGCTGGTTAACCGCAGAAGTATTCTCATATGAAGAGGCCAAAGAGGGCGAACTGTGATAGAATCGGCGGAAGCTTCCCATTTCTTCGCACTTATGTGCTCCAAACAGCCATAGGCCGTCCAATGAGAGATCGATATGACTACCACTGTCAACCTTTTTTTCTGCTCATCCGCAAACTGTTCTTTACTCGGCATAGATGTGCACCAGGTCTTCACGCTGTGGACAATATGTCCCCGAGACGCCAATATCTCCATCATTGCTGCGTCTCCACCTCCATTTCTGCGTGCTCAATATCATCACCTTAGCTCGTCAGCTCGTCAACTCGTCCGGAGCCCAGCCCCTTCCAGCCAAGCAGTCTTTGCAGACAATGTTGCTGAATCCGTCGTTTTCGTGGCGGTAGTCCGGGCAATCCTTCGTTGCGAGTCCTCGTTCCCTGGCGACCGGGCAGATAACTTGGGCGTGGTCCTGCCGGATGACCGTCTTACAGTCCCGGCAGATGTGCTTTACAGTGCCGGATAAACACATGGTCGTATCTCAATAGGGATGAATGGGTTCGGCAGGGATGGACTCGGTAGATTGTGTTGCGCACTTGCGTTCTATAACCAGCGTTGTAGCCGTGGTGGGTTTGAGGTCGAATGACGTCTCAATTTGCCGTAGTGCGATCTGGCGAAGGTTGTGACATCTGTTTCGCTGAGCAAATATCGACATAACTCGAATAAGAGAGAGCGCAGATAAGTAAGTAGTCCATAAGTGTGCAGGTAAACTTGATGTGTCTCACGGGAGTTTAAAATGCACAAGACACTCACTTACATATCGACGTCACGATCGCAAGCGAATGAATTGATCGCCAAAACCCCAGACCCATACAGCTTTGACAAATCCCCAGGTAAATGCCCAGAAACGCCCCCACAGGCGGAGTCAGATCCTACAGTGGCACATCACGATCACTTGTCCGCGGGGAAAAAGTTCGCCTCCCGGCCTCTTCTCATTGCGCAACGATGGATAATGTGCAATGGACCGAGGGGTAGCTCCGGGGCGTCAAGCCTTCCTAGGCATTATTGACACTATAGCATCCAGACCCCAAGCCTCGCAGAACCAAACAACTATTCTTCTGTCACAATCTTGGAATAATCGCATCTTGAGGGCTTTCTGTTCTTTATAAATTCCGACGATGAGGTCGAGATCTCGGTCGAGGCGGTAGTATTGCCGCTCCGGAATGCTCCCGCTTGTAGGGTCGCTGCATCGAGCTGCACATAGCTACCTAGGCAAAACGGATGGACCAAAAAGCTCTTCGGTGACGACTCTGAATCAATTTTCGCAGCCTCAACGCCTATAGCCAGGTCCAGATCAATCTGTATATTACAATTGGGAAGTACCAGCAAGCCTTCCGCCGCAGCAGACAAATGATAGCGCAAAGACATAAACCAAGAGCTGCCAAGACAGGTGCGGCTGAAGGGCTTTCACACCCAACAACAACAGATGAAAAACTCGCATGATGAAAAACTCGTAAAATCACAATGCATCTTCCATCCCAGACAAACTCGCGTTGTCGGCAAGTCGAACCCTCGCAAAGGCGGGCAGGATTCATTCGCTGTCGAGAAGTGTAAGGTAGCGACGTGGAACAAAGCCTGTCATAGGCGCGCGCACCTTGAAACGCGACCAAACGATACGCCGTTTCACTGTCGGGTTTGGGGCTACCTCTAGTGCGTCACCATTTATGTATCATTGGATATTGAGACCTGGTCTGAAGATCAGAGCAGTCGAAGTGTTCATCTCAAAAGTGATCCCGAGTCTAAGAAACTGGATGACGACTGTGCCAAGCCCGCAATGACTGCACGATGCTCTCCTAGTAGACGAAAGTTTACGGCACTGTTAAAGCTTGATCCCAGAATGGATCTTCATAAGGTGGGGCAATGTTGACTATTGCATCTGTATTTCAAGAAGCTTTGACAACGCTGCCGCTAGCAAGTAGACATGGCCACGAGAGAATCCTAAAGACGATTTTTCTTACACAATAGATTTCATATCTAAGACATTGATTAGCTCTAGAATTCGTATTATATGACGAGAGGCTTGCTGCATCCATTCTCGGCAGCTGGGTCGATTCCTCTAGTCTCTTGGCATTTTGGATTTTGGGCCGCAAGTGTGCTGCCTTTGTATACGAAGCCTCTGGCAAAGGTAAGTGAACTTGCAGGTGCCGCTGACAATGTGCGGATAGACAGTGCTATCGTACTATATAACGTACCCCACAAGCAAGTTGGCCACTTTTTCTTGGCACCGTATGAATAACTTCAATAACTTAACTAAACTAAAAAATAATAATTCAAACTAATCGGAATCCTCTTCCTCGTACGTATCTTTATCATTCTCACAAGTACGAGCATTATGCCCGGGCTCTGCGCAGATCCTACAGCGCCGTCGGCGTGGTTCGGCTGGTCTCGTACGACGACGACTTACACGTATATCATCCTGTAGCTGCTGTTCCATATCCCGTTGAGACTGTAAGTCCTGAGCGTCTCGTAAACTAAGAGATCCTCCATCTTGTAGCTGTCGATTTTTAGTCCTTCGATGACGGCTTAGCTCTTGATTGGCCTTCCGAAGTGTAGTAACCTCATCCTCAAGTAAAACTAACCGATGCATAACAGCCGTCGCACCACGTGAAAATTGGTCAATAGCCGTAAGTATTGTCGTCGGGGAGCTATTCTGATGCTGTACGATTCTGTTTTTAACGTATTCAGACTGGGATTGCGCCTCGGTTGGGTTATTTGGAGTCTTTGATTCCCAGATTAAGGGGGCGCCAGACGAGCTCCCAGGAGGTGTAGGCGTATGTAGCTTAATATCCAGCTGTGAAATCACATATTCCGGGTCGTACGGAATAAGTCCTGTCCCCCTGAAACCTGCCTGGATATTCGACTTAGTTATAGTCGTACGATACGCCCTATAGAATGCCGAAAAGAAATCCTCCTTCGAGATATGGGTTATATGCGCCCGTATTAGGTCTTCAATTTCTTGACTAGATTGTCGAGTATCGCGTCGAGATAGTAGTCCGCGTTTTCGGTTAGCTAGAGTTGTACGAGGGACATTGTAGAGTTGGGCAGGGCCTCGGATGCTTAATTCGGGTTTCGATTGAAGCGCCTGACACGCTAGAATCATGTCGCTTTCTTTCCAATTCGATCCCATCTTGGTATGTGTAAAGATGTTAATTAAAAGGTTGTTCGTACGGTGCCAAGAAAAAGTGGCCAACTTGCTTGTGTGGCCAATTTGCTTGTGGGGTACTTTATACTTAATATTATCTCGTCCTTCAGGCCTTGTTTTATCCTCTAAGCTGGACTAGGGGATTGTTCTAGTTAGGTTAGCGAGCTGAAGTATCCAGGGTACGACTTCCACCCTGCGATAACACTGTCTGCTCGGACAAGTGGCAGGGGCCCCTGCAAGTCCACTTACTTTTGGCCAGAGCCTTTGTACTTCGTACCACAAATCGTGCCTACCTACAGATGGTCGGACCGTGGGCCGAGGATTGCAGTTTTCCATCACCTTATTGCTGCCGCAAAACTGCGTAGAATCTACTTCGGATGCTGCAGCTTAAGCATGCTATTTTCACCCCGTATAGAATCTACGTTCATTGTTTGATATCGTCGGCTTCTACCATCTCTTCAGCGCATTTCGAATACTCGAAGGAGTAAGCTGACAGTACTGCAGGACCAATCATAAGGTGACCAACGCCCAAGGTTATCACCCAAAAGAAAGTCTGGCAGGTGATGAATCCTCCAGCGAATTTATTTTTGTCCGCAAGGACAAGGTCAGTATTAGCGCTCCTTCGTGGCATTGCCACAGCTAGCAGGACCTGATCTAGCACTGTCTGAGTCTTGGTTTGTCCGACGGTTGGAATTACCACTTTATCGTCGGGTGTTCCCATTGCCGCCGTGCCACCGTTGGTCTGCGCCACACTTTCACAGAGAGGCTCCATTGCCAACATCCAACCGTCCTGCTGCCTTGGAACAATTAGTACTCCCTAAATCTCTTGGCGATACGTTCAGCTGGGCTGTCTTCCTTCTTTCATTTCTCCCACTTTGTTTCCTACTATTTCTGTGACTCCTGATTCTGCTTGCTACCTCTTTGTTGTTTATTGTCTTTCTTTACACATGGTTCTCACGGTTCTCACGGTACTCGCTAGACGGTTCTGAGTTCTGTCACTTGCACTGTGTATAGTTAATCCTCGCATCCGACGACCTTTCCTCATTTGCATATTACATCGACGATACCCTCATTTCGCGGCCCGTCCCCATTGCCCATTCTCTCGGCGTGGCTCCACAACCTTAATTGTCCGTCAAAACCCACATAGAACGATCGTCAATCCCAAAACCATCATCATGAGATCCGTCGCAACTCTTGCGACTGGCTCGCTGATAGCCTCCGTCGCACATGCCCAGGTCGTGCAATGGGACATTGCGAAGCGCGAAACAAAGGCGGCGGTAAATGGATTGCGTAAGCGCGAGGCTTCAACATACGAGGAGATTGTCAACAACGAGAAGAACCGAGGCGGTTACTTCGCGACAACAAAGGTTGGCACACCGGGTCAGGACCTGACTCTCCAGTTGGATACAGGAAGTAGTGACATCTGGGTTCCCGCGAGTTCTGCATCCGTCTGTACAGAAACCTCCAGCAGTTCGAGCGTCAACCAAGGCTGCGATTTTGGTTCTTGTGAGTGAATGGAGTCTTTGACTTAAAACGATGCGCTCTTGCTAACTGTACATGTGTTAAGTCGATTACGAAGCCTCCACAAGTTTCGATGATGTCGGCCCCGGCGAGTTCAGTATCAGCTACGTGGATGGTAGCCATTCGAAAGGCGATTACTTCACAGACAACTTCGAGATCGGTGGAGCGACCCTGACAAATGTGACGATGGGCCTGGGCCTGGACACGGACATTCCCTATGGCCTTGTAGGTGTTGGCTACGCCCTGAATGAGGCAGCCGTCGCTGGAGGACTGTCTGAGGTGTACGACAATCTTCCTGTACAGATGCAGAAGGAGGGATTGATTGCCACCAACGCTTACAGCTTGTGGCTCAACGACCTCGACGCCGGCACAGGCAGCATCCTGTTTGGCGGCATTGACACCGACAAGTATGAAGGCGACTTGAGCCGTATGGACATCATCAAAGACCCTCAAACAGAAGCTTTCACTTCCTTCATCGTGTACATGACATCCATGTCGGCCAGCTCTTCGTCCGGTACAGACGCGTTGTCCTCGCGCCAGTTCCCTATTCCCGTGGTCTTGGACTCGGGCACAACCCTAAGTTACCTGCCAACAGATCTCGCCACGCAGATTTGGAACGAAGCCGGCGCCGTCTATTCCTCCGATGTGGATGTGGCCGTCATCCCGTGTTCTATGGAGACCAGCAAGGGCACGTTCGAGTTCGGCTTCGCCGGTGATAACGGTCCCAAAATCAGCGTCGGTATGGACGAGCTTGTCTTGTCCCTGACTACCGGGGACGCTCCCAAGTTCCAGACTGGCGCGTACAAGGGTCAGGACGCGTGCCAGTTCGGCATACAGAACTTCAGCAGCGACCCCTTCTTGCTCGGCGACACTTTCCTCCGATCTGCTTACGTCGTCTACGACTTGGTGAACAATCAGGTCGCGCTTGCGAAGACCGATTTCAACGCAACAACCAGCAACATTGTTCAATTTCCCAGCAAGGGTGCCCAGATCCCGAGTGCAACCGTGGTGGCGAACCAGGTTACCGCGTCCGCTGCTACGGGCAGTCTGACGACACCGACCTATGGTGCGAGCGCTGGCTTCACCGACTCTGGTAGTGACGGGTCTACAAGTGCGGCGGTCACGGTGCCGGCGTTTGACTGGGCACAAGTCGGTGTCATCGGCGCTACTGTGGTATTCACGCTCGTTGGCAGCGGATTCTTCCTTCTGTAAGTCTCGGGCCTGAGTTTGAAAGTTGTGCGTATGGCGGTAGTACATGCGTCCAAATTGGAACCGTAACCTTCATGGCACGCGTCTCAATTTGAGGCCTCGTTTGCGATGTGATCGAAAAGGGTTATAAATTGAGAATTTGTGGAAATAAGAGCACGAGGCAAAGAGACAGGCTGGTAGATTAGTTAGCTTGCCTTGTATAAAGACACATGCACACATCGATAGACTCGTTTGGCGTAAATTCGTTGCATTTTCGGTAACTCGACTTTGCACTTCGCAAGACGGTGTGTGTAATCCTCTACCGAAATGACGATGGATATATCATGGACTTTGTTCCTGAGTCAAACGGCGGACACATGTGGATGTGAGTTTTCTGAAGTTGGAGTGCGACTTCCTTCTCGATGCGAGTCATAGTCACTGATGCGAGCCATGTTATTCGAGGTCGAAGCTCACTATCGTGATTGTGAGTGGACGTGTTCACAAAAAGAACCAAATTAAGCCAATTGCCTGTGGTGTGGATGCTGAGGTTGGTCTGGGGGACAGCTACCCTGTAGCGTGTCTTGATAATCGCGGGCCATTGATTTGCCGAAGGAGCTGTCAAATAAAGGTAATCTTCAAAAAATTCTCGAAAGCCGTGAGCGCATTGAGAGGAAAGACAGCGGCGACCAATCCACTCTTTTTTGACTCGGTTTCTTATTTCGCAGTGTTCTTTGCAAGATGAGAGTTCAACGGGCTGTGGCTGCCCTCAATAACGGCCGGATTCTGTCCTCCAAGTGCAGTGGGCGCTTCATGGGCATCGTGTCCCAAAAAGCTTCAGGGCCCCCAACGACACAATGGAGACAGGCGCCTCTGCAGATAGAGGGCCGCAGATATTTCAATGTCTCGCGGCCAAGGAGGGCAGCGCCAGTAAATGCTGCTGCGGCTGCGAGCGCTGCGTAAGTTTCATGCAGCTCCAGCAATCAATCACTGTGACAAATCGCTTACAACATGGCAACAGCTTGAGGAAAGCTGCCGAGGACGCTGCCAACATGACACCCGAAACTGTCTTTGCGAACATGGACCCAGAAGAGAAACATCGACTCTCAAGAGTGCGAAATATCGGAATCGCTGCCCACATTGATAGCGGAAAAACGACGGTAACCGAACGAGTTCTGTTCTACACAGGCCGAATCAAGGCAATCCACGAGGTGCGAGGAAGAGATGGTGCCGGCGCAAAGATGGACTCCATGGAGCTCGAACGAGAAAAGGGAATCACTATTCAGTCTGCTGCCACCTTCTGCGACTGGAAAAAGGTGGAGAATGACAAGGAGGAGACGTATCACGTCAACTTAATCGACACGCCGGGACACATTGATTTCACGATCGAAGTTGAGCGTGCTCTGCGAGTTTTGGATGGTGCTGTCATGATTCTTTGTGCCGTCAGTGGTGTCCAGTCTCAGACCATTACCGTGGACCGACAAATGAAGCGATACAACATTCCCCGAATCAGCTTCGTCAACAAGATGGATCGAATGGGAGCCAACCCTTGGAAGGCGGTTGAGCAAATCAACTCCAAATTGAAGTTCCCAGCAGCCGCTATCCAGGTCCCGATCGGTGTCGAAGACCAGTTCAAAGGTGTTGTTGATCTGATTAACATGAAGGCAATCTACAGCGAAGGACCCAAGGGAACGATCGTCAGAGTTACCGACAAGATTCCTGAGGACCTGAAAGATTTCGCCGAGGAAAAGCGTCAGGAACTGATTGAGAAGTTGGCCGATGTTGACGATGAGATTGCCGAGATCTTCTTGGATGAGCGAACGCCCACGCCTTTACAAATCAAGAACGCGATCCGACGAGCCACCGTTGCTCTCAAGTTCACACCCGTGATGATGGGATCTGCCTTGGCCGACAAGTCTATCCAACCCATGCTTGACGCAGTGTGCGACTACCTCCCACAACCCGCCGATGTCGAAAACTTGGCCTTGGATCGATCCAAGGGTGAAGCGCAGACGAAATTGGTGCCATACAATTCTTTACCGTTCGTTGGCTTGGCTTTCAAGCTGGAAGAGAACAACTATGGTCAACTTACATACATCCGAGTCTACCAAGGAACGTTGAGGAAGGGGACCTATCTCTTCAACTCGCGAACCGACAAGAAAGTGCGAATTCCGAGAATCGTACGGATGCACTCCAATGAAATGGAGGATGTGTCTGAGGTCGGTGCTGGTGAGATTTGCGCCGTGTTCGGGGTTGAGTGCGCGTCTGGTGATACCTTCACAGATGGAAACCTGCCATACACCATGACTTCCATGTTCGTTCCGGACGCCGTCATGTCGCTTTCCATCAAGCCGAAGAGGAGTCAAGACGCCGACAACTTCTCAAAAGCCATGAACCGTTTTCAGCGCGAAGATCCGACATTCCGGCTGTTCGTCGATGAGGAAAGCGAAGAGACCATCATTTCGGGCATGGGTGAACTGCATCTCGAAATTTACGTCGAGCGTCTACGCCGTGAATATAAGGTGGAATGCATCACAGGCCAACCGCGTGTCGCCTACCGTGAAACCATCGCTCGGCGTGCCGACTTTGACTACCTTCTGCGCAGACAAACTGGTGGTCCGGGTGATTTCGCGAAGGTCGGCGGCTGGATCGAGCCAAACGAAGATCCTGAAAGCAACTCGTTCGTTAACGCTGTTGTGGGTGGTTTGATTCCCGACAAGTTCATCTCAGCCTGTGGTAAAGGTTTCGAGATTGCCTGCGAGAAGGGCCCGCTGCTAGGACACAAGGTCATCGGTGCCAAGATGGTGGTTAACGACGGTGCGACTCACGTTACTGACTCTTCCGATTACGCTTTCAGCTTGGCTGCCCAGATGGCCTTCCGCAAGGTCTTCGACGAGGCCGGTGGCGCCGTTCTCGAGCCGCTCATGAAGACGACCATCATGGCGCCCAACGAGTTTCAGGGTAACATTATCATGTTGATGAACAAGCGCAGCGCGACTATCATCGATACCGAGATTGGTACTGAAGAATTCACGCTAATTGCCGACGTGAGCTTGAACTCGATGTTTGGCTTTTCGAGTCAGTTGAGGGCTGCCACCCAAGGCAAGGGCGAGTTCAGCATGGAATTTAGTCATTACGCCGCGGCGCCGCCACATTTGCAGTAAGTGGAACCATGGTTTAGATGCGAGGAGTGAAGGCGCTAACAATACTCCAGAAAGGAACTTGTCGCCAAGTACCAGAAGGAGTTGGAAGCCAAAAGGTCAAAATAAATTCCCTCTGTCGAATTGGGTTCTCGACGAATGAACGATGACTATCGAATGACCACAACCTACACGCCAAGAATCGAGGAATGGACACGACCGCAACAAGTATCACTGCCGTGTCGTGCTGTACTTGATGATGGTGTTAATGATGTTATATATGCTGTACAACATGATTCTGATGTGCCTTTGCTGCTGCTGCTATAAGATAGATCCATCCGGTAGACTAGACTGGACTGCATATCTTGGCAGCGTTACTTGGGATATGTACATATGAAAAGGGGCGGAACGGGACCATTGCACATTACGTAGATTCGTGCCTGTATAGACCAAGACGAAAGAACTCTTCTCATCAAATCAGACTTTGGCAGTCACATGTGAGTGTACACGGCTGGATGCAAAGTCAACATGTTTAGTCATCTGGCTGTAAGCGATATTATATACTCACTCTCTTATACTACCGCATAAATCCCGTAGATTCGCCATTCGCTTCTGTACGTCCGTCCATAGAGAACGCCGGGGATCTACATGTAGAAGTCTTGAATTGGCTCATTTCCTCGGTTTGATCGACGTGAAACTCTCCATTTTTACCGCCAAGGCTCCCGATTAGTGGTAAATATAGGCGTACAGAAGCGTATAGCAAACCTACTCGATTTACACGATATATCTAAACTAGGTTGATGTGCGACTCTTTTTGCCAGTGCTATAGTACAAGGGTTTCAACGGTAAAGCGCAAGCGAACGCTAAAAGCCATGCCCAAACCAGGGGGGCGCGCTAAGAACAACCATATATATACATAGAGTATTAGTGTCTTAAGCTGACCCGACACGGATACCCATCCGCAGGATGCGCCCCTCCCGACTGCGTCTGGTAGGCACGGTCTCCATTGACATGCTTCACCTTGGAAGTCGGATGCAACCGATCCCACTCCTCGAAAGCATGTCTCACATCGAACTCGCGCACCGTCAGTGCCAGCGTGATTTTGACATCGAGCATAGCTAGCGTCTGGCCCAGACAATTGCGAGGGCCGTGCTCAAAGGGCCGCCACCCGCCCTTGATGGGATATAGCGGATCCTGGGTATCCTTGACGAGCCATCGCTCGGGCCGGAAGGCCAGCTCGTCGGGCCAGTAATGCGGGTTGCGCTGTACGGCCGAGTGCAGGATCCACATGTTGGTGCCCTCGGTCGGATATCGGTTTCCCTTGTCGTCCTGAAGGTAGACGCCCGGCAACCCGCCGCGCATAGCGGACGCGGGAGGGAAGAGACGCAGGGATTCCTTGATGACGGCAGTTGTGTATGGCAGGTTGTTGAGCAAATGGGGCTGGGAGCGCATCTTGGACGCCGTCTGGGCGATGTCGAGCCCGAAGACGGCGTCGTGTTCGGCGCGGAGCTTGGCTAGGGCTTCGGGGTGCGATTGGAGGAGGTAGAAGCAGTAGCAGATGGTCGACGAGGTGGAGTCGTGGCCAGCGAAGATGAAGAGCCGGATTTGCACCGTGGCCCAGTCCCGGAAGGCACGGTCAAGTTGCTTGGGCCGCGGCTGGTCTTTTTGCTGGGCTTGCTGGGCCATGTAGCCGGCTAGGGCGAGGTGGATGATGGAGCGCGAGGAAGCCGCCGTCTCGTCCGAGGTCCATTCTGCGTAGCGTTTGTCGAGCTCCGCGGCGATGTAGCTATTCATTTGGTAATTGTTGTACCATTGCACGAACGGTCGGACCGGGTTCCACCGGATCAGGAGGTTCCACTCGTTGTCGAGGACATGCCAGCGAATCTGGCGGCGCAATGCCGATGCGAGAGGGTTGAACTGGCGCTGGGAATGAAGTCGCGAGTCGAGGGTCACGGTGCCGATGACGTCCATCAGATACCAGCAAGTCACATCATCCAAAGAGAACATCTCCTTCTTTCGGGCGTACTCGCGCAGGGTCTCGACATAAACTTCGGCCTCATCTACAATATGAGACGTCTGCTGCAAAACGTAGCCCGCACTGAAGCCCGAGTTGAAGAGTGCGCGCGAACGCTTCCATTCGGGTCCGTTCATGGTGAAGAGGTTGTCGCCGCCGGCCAGAGGGTTAAAGAAGGCGTGCAGAATGGGCGGCTTGGGTAAGTCGTATTCCTGGCAGGCCTGAACGGCGAGCACAGGCGAGCAGATGACCATCATGGGGTCGGCAAAGGGCCACATATCGAGATAGATAATGGAGTCGGCGTCCTTCTTCTCGTGAGCCTTGCACAAAGCCTCGAACGCGTCCGGCTGTTGCGCGTCTTCGGGCAGCACTTTCATGACTGGGGGCACGGCCAGGAGGTGTCCGAGGATCGGGTTCCATGGCGGCATGGGCTATGTAGTGCAAACCATATTAGCAAGGTCAGTTTTTTAAATAGATGGTTAATGATTGGAAGATTGGAGTCATACCATTCCTTGCTGGCGGAGGCGATGGAAGACAAGCCGGGCTCGGTAGCCCTTCACCACCAGGTATACGATTGCGCTGGCGCAGGCGATGAGCCCGGCCGAGATGGCACGCTCAAAAGAGAGCGGCCCGGGGCTGATCATGGTGGGACCGGGGCTGAAGTTGCAGGTAAATGGAAAGAGTGACAGAACTCCTAGTTGTGGTTGCTGAAGTATAGAGCCAGATACCCCATGAAGGCTGTCAAAGAGCTCCCTGGCCGCACTGGCCGCGGCCGTTGTTGGTCTTGGTCAGTCAAGAGACTCGTACTACTCGAGATTAAGAAGTCAAGCTGCGGCGCTGTAAAGCATGGATTGACCAACAGTAAACCCTACGACCCTGTCGGTTGGTTAAGCATAGCGAGACGAGCCAACCAAAGTAGCACGAAAGCGCCGCATGCAACCAACGTGCTGAAAGCCGCTTTACTCAGGCTATTCCCGGGCCAGTACACCCAGGCCAGCAAAGTGAGCCGAACAACAAAGTGAAAGGCTATCGCAAGATGGAGAGCGCTTCTGATAAAACCGACAGCGATCATGACAAGGTTGCTAATACTGGGAAACTTGAAAGAAACAGCGCCCCATGATGATTATTACTTTACCCACGTCTGATGGGGATACTTATCACCCTTGTGAACCCTAGGGCCTCACAGCCTGGCTCGCAACAAAATAGGCCATATTGGCCATATTGGCCTCATCGTTGCATGTCCATTTCCATGCCACAACGCCGCCGTTGTACAAGAACCTGACAGCGCAGTAGTTTAGTTCGTCTAATATCAACAAGCAAACAGGCTGCAGCCCACGACCAAGAGACGACCTATCGGTGCATTCAATCGGCAACTCGTACGGATTATAGCCAATCAACATTCAGCCTCTATATTGCAGGTAAGGGGGGCCATGTTGGGTTACAGTTGCATTATCGCTTTTAAACCACTCGGGGTGCAAACTCGGTGTATGGTAAACTCGGTTCATTTCAGCTGAGGTCTCGGTCAAAATTGAATGTGTTCTGTTATCAGGACGGGTTGGTTCCCGACTACTACCCTACCTTATGTATGCCGTGGTGTGGTTGGGATTCTGTACTACCTTATACCCATTGCCCGTCGCCCCCAGCCGCCCCAACCCCCCCCCCCCCCCAATCCTAGCTCTCCAATCCCGTCCGTCATTCCGATTCCCCATCTGGTAGATCCAGCACCCAACCCAGGAGCTGATTCTCCAGGCTCCAGGTGAGCGGACCCCACTCTCATTCAGCAGAATGTGGTCTTATTAGGATTACGAGAGTCTGACAACACCAGCTGCCAATCACACCCTGCTCTTACAGAGGGGTGCTCCTATGGCTGCGTCCACCAAAATAGCTACACAACTATAGGGTCCTGGGATCAGTTCCTCTGAACCGATCTTGATTCAATGCTGCGAAGCGGCTACTGCGGGACAAGTACTCCTAGAATCGCTAGAAATTGTCTCATCATTTTCTATGGCTGCCTAGGTGTCCAGGTCACAGTGCAGGACGGCCAACCCCGATTACTCGTGGACACGTCGGTTACTATCAAATCTGGGCTGCTCATACATGACCGTCGGACGGGCGCTGTCAAGCTCGGCCACTGGGTAGCCCTGCGGGTTGTCAAGCTCAGCTACAGCATCCTGCCGCGAGTTATAGTTATCAAGCTCGACCACCGTGTCTTGCTGTGATATTCCCTCTAACGGCACCTGCGTCATCTGCGAGCCGGAATCACGGTTGTTGCGGCGGATGAAGGTACGTAAGCCCATCATGGTAGCACTGGGGACCTCGGGCAGGGCATCATTATCGTGCGACTCGAGACCGACGTGCTCCTTGTTGTTGTGCAGGAGGCGCACGCGGTTAAAAAATGACTGTGCAAGTGGCCGGGGCCTCGCTACGGCTACTCTGGCTCTATTGCGCTCGTCGCGAAGAGCGAAGAGGGACCGAACGACGGTCAGTGATCCCATCATGACGGCCACTGCGGCTTCGATATACTGCCAGAAGAACTCCCACGGCACGTCCACACCTGCTGCTCCATGGATCTTGCTCACACGGGTGATGGCGAGGCAGACCATGACGAGGTTGAGGCAGAGGAACATCCCAAGACTAATCTTCTGCATCGTCCGCAATCGAGCGCGGTGGATGATAATGATGGGGATGGTCGCAACTAGTGGCGAGGGGGCCAGTCGGTTAGTATTCTCGCCTCAAGCTCACTTGCTGTGCTACTACGTACTCAAGATGTCCGAGAGTGCATCCAGCCCGGTGACCAAACCAGTCATGGAGATGTAGAGAATATCCTTGGAGTGATCGAAGCAAGACACTGTTGACAGTTCAGTTGAGACACATGCAAACAGCAAACGTGAGGTGCCTCAACGTACAAGAAGCATACCCAAAGTCCGAGCACAGGATGAAGGGCTCCGAAACCAGAAACATCCACGAAACGACCGTGAAGACGACCACAGTCCAGTAGTAATACTTAATCCGGTCCACGAGCCGAATCAAGCCTTTGAAAAAGGCCAAGAACGAGAACTTGACGAAGAAGGTGGTCGTCCATGCAATGATGAGAAACGTAGCATTCTCCTGCACGGCATTAATCACAATAGCATTGAACTGTTGCAAGTCGAGGCGGAACACAATCGACATGTCCTTCTGGATCGCTGTAGAGAGGTAGAACTCGTCGCAGAGGTGATACATCAAGCCCGTGGCCGCGGACAGGAAAGCAGCTGCTAGGAAAATGAGATAATCGTCCAGCGAAAGTTGGCGCCGGGTTCTGAGCCGGATCACGGCTCGAGCGACAACGGAGAGTAGCGCAAGGCCGAAGCAGACGCCTACCGTTATCTATATGTGTATCGTGCATCAGTTTGCCTTGTCTACTGAAACGGAAGCTTTGAAAAGGAAGGCCACACGCACATACCTTGAAGGCCGGCTTCTTAATGGTGGCCGATGCCTCAATCACCGCCGCCAGTGAATCGTGAGACTCGTCCATTATGGTCCTTGAGCACTCGGTTTATCGGCTTCATACGCAAAGTTGATCAGCAGGAAGTCGGGTACATGACAGTGATTGTTCTTTGTGCCAATCCAGGTCAGGAAGGTCCGGCGCCTTGATCGGGAACCTCTATTATGGATGAGGTGAGATTGCCATTGGCGGATTGTATCCGTAGGAAGAAGAAGCATGATTACAACTCCGGTCAACGGCGAAGAGCGCTTTTCGTGTATAGAGTTACATTTCAGCCCAAACCTCAAAGGAAGAGAGAGTCACAATAACTTGCAACCCCAATTAAACGAGGCTCAGCTTACACACCAACTGCCCCTGGGCGCTCGGCGGGTAAGCATCTAGACTGCAAGCAGACCCCCAAGATAGAGAGATAGCCGTAACCACTTCCAACGAAACAAGGTCCAGATTTACAGCAGCTGCAGTTGGGTAGTGCTCGGATGAATAGTTACCACGGTGCAGTCACATCGCCCTCAACGAGACTTATCATGGACCCACTCTCCCATTGCTTCCACCGCCACGACGTCCGTCAGAGATACCACCCCTTCCTCCCACGCCCCTCCTCCCGCCTCCCATCCCTCCGCCCTTACCCTCTGGCTCTCTTACAGCTTAATTCCTATGTTGAAGCAGCCCGAGAAAGGACCGGTCCACGCTGCCGGATCCATTATAATGTTGGATGACAAGGGAACGCTAGGAAACTTGGCAATGCACGTCAGACCAATACAACGCTGCCTGCGTTTGGATTGCATCACTTCGTTTCATTGGCTTGATTAACAGCATGGCGCCTAAGCATAGGACTTTACATTAAAAATATGTACAAGAAAGTTTATTTAAGGGTATATATTTAACAATGTACATCGTATCAGTATATTAGAACTTCACTATATATGCTATAGGCTAAGCTACTTAATAGTATGTATACTATAGGTCTCGGCTTAAGTAGTAGGAAAGGTTACTTCAGGTTTCAGACTATTATCCTTATTGAAGTGAAGTAAATTAAAATTATATTATATCTATCTAAAGTGACATATTTCGTGTAATATAGTTCTAGTATAAAGAGACTGCTAACTACATGAGGCTCATTAGTTATATTATAAATCAACTATTTTCCAGCGGTATTATACTTGATTCGAACTCTCTATTTCTCTCTTCTGTATAAAACTTGTGCAACATACAAGTTGAAATATACTTTCACGGCTTATCTAAGACCCCTCGGACTGACAGACATGCCTTCAAAAGGATACACAATCCGGAAGTCAGCCAGCTTCCAGATTATTCAGGGCTATACGCCGTGACATATGCTACTTCGAGACCTTCTAGTGCACAACCCGACATCGATATCATTTCATACAGGCTCCACAATGGAACTCGCCGTCCTATGCTCTTTGCTCTCGCTCCTTCTTCTCGGCCGCTATACCTTTGTCTGGCTGGTATACCACTGGGCCCATCTCCACAGGAAAGGCAAACAGGTCCCACCAACGTTCCCAAACGTCCTACCACTGCTGGGCAGTGCTCTACCCTTTGCATTTGATTGTGTGAGTTTCATCAAGAAGGCAACGTAAGTCACCCGGCATTCAAGCCATACATATATCCAGTAACAAAACCCCTGGATAAAAACTGACGCTATATAGACAATATGCCGGTTCCCTGGTCCCCGTCAGGCTCTCTATCCTCTCGGGCGAGATCTTCCTATTCCAGGGCCCCGAGACCGTAGCAGCTGTCTGGAAGCAGCCGCAGCTAGGCAGTCCAATCTTCATCTACACCTTCGCGCTCAAGCACGTCTTCGGCATGCCCAAGCACGCCTTAGCGCCGTATGAAGCGGACAGTTCTGGATCCCACCGCAAGCCACATCCCTCCAGCGACGTGGCGCCGCACAACCGCGTCGACTTCCTCACACACGTAGACCTATTCAAGGCGTTTGGCGGGTCGGGGTTGACAGCGTTATTCATCCGCTGTGCCGACCTGCTGAGGCGCAATTTGGCTGCCTTGCCCATCTCGACCGACGAATGGGTCGAGATGCCCGACTTCTATGCGTTTTTCCAGGACCAGCTCGGCGCTGCCGTGCTCGAGGGGCTGTACGGACCGACTTTGCCCGTGCTCAGCCCGGGCTTCCTCCGAGATTTATGGACATTCGATAGGGCTACGCCTAAGTTTGCGAAATTGATTCCGAGGTTTCTCATTCCAGAGGCTTATCAGGCCCGCGAGAGACTGCTGGAATCGATTCGTCGCTGGTACAAACATGCGAGGGAGCATTTTGATGAGTCGCTCATTGGGCCTGACGGTGACGCGGATCCGTATTGGGGATCCCAACTGGTTCGGTCTCGACAGAAGGTCTTGCTGGAGATAGATAGCCAAGACGATGATACTATTGCGGCTGCTGATCTCGGGCTCATCTGGGCGTAAGTCATCACCAAGTGCCCTCTCTCTGTCTTTCTCTATCGCTCTATCGCTCTATCACTCGATCACTCCCGCACCTCAGGGACTCAATGCTAACGGAACCACAGATCCGTAACCAACGTAGTCCCCTCCTCCATGATGTGTGCTCTGCACATCTTCCGCTCCCCCTCGCTAAGCGACCGCCTCCGGGACAGTCTAAGCGACGCTGTCGACACCTCCACCTGGCACATTGAAATGGACAAGGTCCTCCGCAAGCCGCTCCTCTCGTCCGTCTATGCCGAGACGCTGCGTTTGCACCTGCAGGCCTACGTCACGCGGTGTTCGCCGCACTGCGACGTTGGACTTGGGTCCTGGTGGTTACCGAAGAATCGCGTGTGCATGGTCAATACCTATGCCTCGCATATGGACGCCAGCTTCTGGAATACGCGCGATGGGGAGTTTCCTGTTGAAGAATTTTGGGCAGAGCGGTTTTTGATCGATCCTAAGGATGAGAGGAGTGGCCCTGTTAGGGGGATGTGCCGATGTCGGTGTATAAGAGGCCCGCTCCACCTGACGACAAAGACGAGCCTTTCTTTTCCGTTCAGGGGCTTGAGGGAGCCTGGATCCCGTATGGGGGTGGGTATGCGGCTTGTCCTGGGAGACATTTTGCCAAACGCATTATTTTCTACACCACTTCCCTTATGTTGACTTGCTTTGATATACAGATACTCAATGAGCGGCTGGTCATGGATAACTCCAGCTTCGGCCTGGGGACGCAGAAGCCGAAGCAGCAGGTCCGCTTTCGTATCCGGCGGCGGAAGGAAGGGTTAGTGGCATGATTCGGTATTATAATACCTTTGTTTCACGGCCCGGACTGCTATTAAGGGTGGTAACTATGCAGTATATTTTCTCGATCTTTTCCGGAGGTAAACGCAGATTGGAAGTATACTAGATGTGACGGCGCAGACTGGCCATCTGGCTCTTGACAGGGTGTCAGATTAGAGACTTGTTAGAACTTGATAGCCAACAACTAATTTTCCGATCCACCGGGTCAGCACAGGGCCTTATTTCAGGTGCCCGTTCACCCAGACAAATCCGTAGCTGTTCAGGGAGGCAGGTGGGGGCTGGCGGCATCAATGCGTGTACCTAAGGCTCTTTACATAGAGATATTCTTACGCTTAATGATTCAAACAATCAAATAAGGATCTCCACTGAAATTTATACTTGAAAGTCTCCTCGGTGCACTGAAATCCTCGTTCAATCCTTGCCTTTATTATCCTATCGAATACTAGTGTGTTCAGGATATACCCTAACTACTATAATGCTAGAGGTGGACGCAGATAGTCTGTTCTTAGTACGTTTAGAGATTATAGCTTGGTAAGTAAAGCTTCATAAATAGGTTGGTAGTCTTATTTCAAATGATTTAGGGCGAAGGGTACGTACAGGGTGTATAATTATTGTTGGGTGTATCTAATGTTATACCCTTGTCGCTGTCGAACCTTTGTGGTTTAGCCTGATCTGGTTATAAATCGACACTGTCATACTACCCTGCGGCGCAATCCGTGCCTTTCATTACAGCTGTTCACTGCGTCCGCTGTTTGCTTCTGTTCCTATCTCTCCGTTTTCTTCTCGCCAGTTTATTCCTTCTCCAATTTACCTGCCAGCGACCCCTAAACTCGAAGGGTCGTCGATGGAGGCTATCGCCAAAGACGCGCTTGAACGCTGGCTTGCCACCCTATCGAAGGCGGACCCCGATGCTCGCCTCGGCGTTTCTTTTCGGAACCTCTGCGCGTATGGCTTCACGTCGTCGACTGACTACCAGGCCACGGTCGGTAGCTATGTACTCGCAGTTGTCGCGGTGCTGGGCAGGATGCTGGGCTGGCGACGGCGGCGTAAGGTAGATATCCTACACGGGTTCGATGGTCTTGTGCGCAGTGGCGAGATGCTGTTGGTCTTGGGGAGGCCGGGAAGTGGGTGTACCACCATGTTGAAAGCACTGGCTGGCGATACGCATGGATTTCATCTTTGTGCAGGGTCAGATATCAATTATCAAGGTGAGTGTCTCTAGTGTTAGCCCATGCTCATGTTTTCACATTTTCAGTTTTATTTCCATCTGAACTTCTGTAGAATTGGACATGGAATTGATTATCACTCCCCATTTCTGTAGGTATCTCCTTCGACAGTCTGCATCACGACTGCGAGGGTGCGGCCATCTACCAGGCCGAGCTGGATGTCCATTTTCCAGAACTGACGTTGGGTCAAACTCTCGGCTTCGCTGCTGCTGCACGAACCGGCCGAAAGCATGAAGGTTCCAGTCAAGACAGCAGCAGCAGCGAGTTCGAGTCCTTGCCGCCAAGCCAGCTCGCCGCATCTATTTTCGGCCTCGCAGGTTCGATGCAAACCATGATGGGCAACGAAATGATGCGCGGCGTGTCAGGAGGCGAGAAGAAGCGCACCAGCATCGCTGAGGCCTTCATGGCCGGGGTTCCGATCCAAGTTTGGGACAACACCACCCGTGGCCTGGACAGTCTGACGGCGCTCGAGGTCATCACCACCCTTAAGCGCGCCGCCACCGTCCGCGGAGCTTCCGTCATGGTCAGTGTGTACCAGGCCTCCCAAGCCATCTACAGCCAATTTGACAAGGTCACACTGCTCTACGAAGGCCGGCAGGTGTACTTTGGGCCGGTTGACCAAGCGGTGCGCTTCTTCGAGCGGCTTGGCTTTGACAAGTCGGAAAGACATACGACGGCTGACTTCTTGACTTCACTTACCAATCCCGCCGAGAGAGTCCATGTGGTGAGGGACGGGTTTGAAGACAGAGTACCGCGGTCTGCTGCCGAGTTTGCTGATGCCTGGACCAAGAGCCCTGAGAGGCAGGGGCTCATAGACAGTATTGCTGCATACAATGCTGAGTACCCCTTAGGGCAAGAGGCAGTGAGGCGGTATCATTCTTCTAAAGCCACAGCTTTGGGATACAATAGGTGAGAGTGCCGTTTCATGCAGGCATTTTCTATTAGGAAAGCTAATCATTATTGAGGTATAGAACTTCGCCATATAGCATCTCCACTTGGCGCCAAGTTTCAGTCTGCGTCCGGCGAGGCTTCAATAGGCTTCGCAATAACTACGTGCCCGTGGTATCGGGTGTAATTGGGAATACCGTCGTTGCCATCATCATTTCTAGCGTATTTTACAGCCTATCCGAGACAACTGACAGCTTTTACAGGCGAGCTGTTTTGATCTTCTACAGCATCGTCATCAATGCTGGCATTAGCGCATTTGAGGTTAGTTGCGTGTGCCTCTCATGATCATCACGTCTCTTGGCTATCTATGCCTCATGTATAAGTAGTTGACGCGATAAAAACAGGTCCTGACCATGTGGGCAGCTCGCCCTATCGTCGAAAAGCACCACAAGTACAAGTTCTACCACCCCTTCGTCGAGTCGACCGCATCCATGATATGTGACCTCCCCAATAAAATCTTCACCTCTATCGGATTCAATTTGTCTATTTACTTCATGACTAATCTACGGCGAACACCTGGTGGCTTTTTCACCTTTTATCTCTTCTCTTTTACTTGTCTGGTCACCATGTCCATGTTTTTCCGTATGGTGGGCTCCCTATCTCGTACCATAGAACAGTCCATGGCCCCCGTCGCAAATTTGATGCTGCTTTTTATCATCTACGCTGGTTTCGTCATTCCGGCCAAGTACATGCACCCCTGGCTGGGCTGGATCAGGTGGATTAACCCGATTGGATACGCGTATGAGAGCCTGATGATCAATGAGGTGCGTGCTAACCCAGCCCCCTTTCTGACTTTCTGCTTAAGGAGAATCCAAGATACTTTTGCTCACAAAATGTGGTCCAGTTCTGGGGTCGAATGTACTCTTGCTCAACTATGGTGCCTTCAGGTCCTGCGTACACCCAGGTGTCTCCCACGGAGCGCGTGTGCTCTGCCGTGGGAAGCATACCTGGCGAAGACTATGTGCGAGGCGAAAGATACCTCGAAGTTCAGTATGGCTATGTTCAGTCTCATCTTTGGAGGTACGTTGATCTAGACCCCTAACTTCATAAGTCTGTTTCCCACTTATAGCATTTCGTTTCAGAAACTTTGGTATCTTGCTGGCAATGATGATTGTGTTCTGCTTCATTCATCTTCTTGCCGTCGAGTTCATACCTGCCCAGCGATCAAAGGGCGAGATCCTTCTCTTCCGCCGTGGCCATACCGCCTCAGATCGACTGGTTGTTGTTGGCGACGAAGAAAAAGCAAGCGCAGCCCCCGACGTACCAGTACGATCGGATGTAAAAGAAGAGACCGAGCTGGTGGCGGGTCACAAGTCTGGTATCTTCGACAACTTGCAGAAGCAGACTGCTGTTTTCCACTGGGATGACATCAGTTATGACATCGAGGTAAAACATGGGAAAAAGCGAATCCTTGACGACGTGGATGGCTGGGTGAAACCGGGAACATTGACTGCACTAATGGTTAGCAAATGAGACACGGCATCATCCTGCTTGGTTCGGGATCGGAATTGCTAATTAATTGTTCTTGTTCAGGGAGCGACCGGAGCTGGCAAAACCACCCTTTTGGACGTACTAGCCTGCCGCACATCCATTGGTGTTGTTTCTGGGGCAGCTTACATCGACGGAAGACCTCGAGACAGCAGTTTTCAGCGCAAGACGGGCTATGTCCAGCAATCCGATATTCACCTGCCCACTGCTACTGTGCGCGAGGCATTGGCGTTCAGTGCCTTGCTTCGACAGCCAAGGTCTGCCACAAAAGTAGAAAAGTTGGAATACGTCGAGCACGTCCTTAGGGCCCTGGACATGGAACTATATGCAGATGCTGTGGTTGGAGTCCCGGGAGAAGGTTGGCTCTTATCTTTGTTGCTTCCATTGCTTCGAAAATAGCGTCTAGTACTTAACACCAGACCCATAGGGCTGAACGTCGAGCAACGTAAACGATTAAGCATTGCCATAGAGATGGCTGCGAAACCAGAACTCCTTCTCTTTCTTGGTATTGCCCCTCTCTTTGCACAGCTGTCCGAGCTGGTCACTAACGACAGACTGCACAGACGAACCCACCTCGGGTCTAGACAGTCAAACCGCATGGTCCATCTGCACCTTGCTTCGTCGGCTGGCAGACAATGGCCAGGCCATCCTCTGCACAATCCACCAGCCTTCTTCGCAGCTCTTTCAGATGTTTGACCAACTGCTGCTCCTCGAGCGAGGTGGTCGTACCCTTTATTTTGGCGATATCGGCCGTCAGGCTGTGGGACTGGTCCAGTACTTTGAAGATCTCGGGGCAAGAAGCTGTGGCGAGGGAGAAAATCCAGCAGAGTGGATCCTGGACGTTACGGGAGCTAATCGCACGTCGAAACCAGACATTGACTGGTCTGTGAAATGGCGCAATGGTCCCCGGAGACGCGAGCTCAAGCGGCAGCTGGCCGAGATGAAGGAGGAGCTCTCAGCCAAGCCGGACTCTCGACCAGCTCGACTGCATGATGAGTATGCTGGATCATTGATCTCTCAACTCCTTCTTGTCACCCACCGGATATTCCAAGAGTACTGGCGCGATCCGGTCTATCTGTACTCCAAAGTAGCCCTATCTGCCGGCGTGGTAAGTTTCGAAGCAATCAACATGGCCAGGGCAGGGGAGTAATGCTAACTGACTTCGGACCAGGCCTTCTTCAACGGCTTCTCGCTCTTCATGGCCCCACTTGACATTCAAGGCATCGTCAACATCCTGTTTTCCATTTTCCTGCTCACCTCTATCTTCAACAATGTCGACCAGCAGATTATACCGCGGTTCATCCGCGGCCGGCAACTCTTCGAGGCCCGAGAACGGCCTTCGAAAACTTACTCGTGGGTCGCCTTCGTAGCCTCCAACGTGCTGGTGGAGTTATTCTGGCAGACCGTTACGTCCGTTTTGTTGTTTGTCGTTTGGTACTATCCCACCGGACTGTGGAGGAACGAAGACCCATCGTTCTCCCGCACTGAAAGGGGAGGTTTGATGTTTGGTCTGCTGTGGATATTTTGCCTTTTTATGTCTACCCTCTCGCAAGCTATCGCGGCGGGTATTGAACACGCTGAGACGGCTGTTAATATGGCGCAGCTTGTCTCATCGCTGTGGCTGATATTTTGCGGGTACGTGTTAACCGCCGTATTACATTTTCATCTCATCGCTTGCCCTGCCCCCGTGTGCCAAACCCTTCCCCCAAAGGTAGCTAAAACGTATTCCAGCTAATCCACTCAACTCTGCTGCAGTGTTCTAGTACCGCCCTCACAACTCCCAGGCTTCTGGATCTTCATGTACCGCGTGGCGCCGCTGACCTACCTCGTCGGGGCCATGACCTCAGCTAGCATCGGGAACACGGTCATGACCTGCTCACCGTACGAATTGCTGCGTTTTGACGCGCCGCCGGGCCAGACGTGCGGTCAGTACATGGCACAGTATTTGAGCTATCCGGGCGTTTCGGGGAGTCTGATCAACCCGGACGCCACGGAACAATGTCTGTATTGTCCATTGCGGCAGACGAACGCTTTCCTTGCAACTATGGGTATTGATGTCGACGACCGCTGGCGTGATTTTGGACTGCAGTTTGTCTATGTGGCTTTCAATATTACGGCTACCTTTGTCTTGTACTGGCTTGTTAGGGTACCGAAGAAGAAAACGAATACGGCTGGATATTGATCAGACAGATTTGGTTAGATGGTCTATGTATTGTCGTGCACGCGATAAAAAGCGGGGTCTAGTCTACAATGGAACAAGTGGGATATACCGACAATTATCTACATATTCAATATAATTTACATCCACGAAGGAAACGACTGCTGAGACTAAAGAAAATAGATATAATCACCAGGGGCCTGGCGATGGTTAGCAGCATGCGTGCATCGGCACCGATATCTATCTGGGACATATATACACGAACGGTGGGCATAGAATTCAAGTAATTCAGCAAAGAAGCCATTTTGTAGTTTACAGGTTAAACGAGTTTTGCCACTAGACTAGTATATCTCGAGCCGGGGCTCCTTAAGGGAATATCTCGTATCCTCAAATCAAAATACGAAGAGCAAGCTGTCTCCGTTAGCATCCTGAATCCTGATGGAAGTTAATTGGATGCTACGCATATCCACGAAGAATGTGCCCTTGGCACACCTTGGCTATCCTAAAGCTGGAGCATCCAGCGGCGCCATCATTGTCACACTGCCTGCCGCCGGCTAGCTAGCCAGTAACAAGTCCTATCAATCAATATATTCCCACATGATTTAGTGGCGGTGATACCTTAGCGTTGCCCCTGGGCTCGAAAGATACAACCTTAATAAGAAGGCGGCTAACGGGGCCAGCTGTTCATCCATACTTGGAATGTGTAGGTCCATGCATGCTGCAGCCCACAATTATTTAGTTATAGGAGCACTAACCGCAAACCAAAATCAATACTGCGCCGCCGGATAGCGACAGTTTAGCATGAGGGGAAACGGCTGGACGCGGGAAATATGACCGATGCGGATGTAACCGGCCTACTTCGTTGAAGTTATTTGCTGAAATTGTAGTCGAAATAGGAAGGTAGTTTAATGATAACCTGTCCCGTATCCGAGAACTCAGATGGCCCACATATGAGTAAATGACTTTTGACGGCAACCCCTAATATGTGACCAAAGTACAATGTGTCGGGAAAGAGCAGGGGTCAGCCTCAGTTGAAGGTCCAACATAGAGTAGGTTAGAAGAATCGACTCGACGTGATACTGGCCCCAGCAATTCAACCCAGCACCGTTGTACCTCGAAGACAAACACAGGGGCTTTAAAAGACAAGCTTGACCTGGTAGCTCACCATAGTAGTCCTCATATCAATCTCGAGACCCGAGTTGTCCTTCTCCTGTGTCGGCTTTCATGGTCAATTTTTGCAAATGCTTTCGCTAGGTACTTAGACCCCAACCGCAACGGCAGTCATCATCCTACGTACTTAAGTAGTCATCGGATATCATGTCCCAACGTCCCAACCTACAGTGACCTGGTTGCCGCCAACAATGTTTTCCCGTAAGAACCTCTGTTCCTCACGAGGCTCGATAAAAGGTTTTGCGGGCAACCAATCCCCAAGATCGCAGGCAGAATTTTCAAGGACTGTGGCAAATCTGTTGGAACAGTTCTTGACTGCCGTTCCTTTTTTTTTAATCGGCCTCGTTTAAGCACGCTCAAATAGATAAATAGCTGGCTTGTGGTGCTTCCATAGCGTCTAATTTCTGACCTCAAGCTCAGGACAGACAGGCCCAAAAGCAGACGGTCATGCGCTCGTGCGCTACTTGGGCACACCCAACGGGCATGCGAGTTTTTTCAAACACGAAAGCTACCACTGTGCGTAGACTATTGGGATACATGTATCAGCCCAGACCTGCTCGTACCGACAGGAACGCGAATCTCACCTGCTATAAACCAGCTCGACCACTCGTGAGCAAGGATATATGTGTTTGTGTTTGTACTGATTGCACAACAAACACCTTAGGCTTCCTGAAATCCTCATTAAAATATCCTTGTCGTATCCCGCAGATATTCATTTAGTAGTGCTTCCTTCATAGTCGCAAGGACACACCCCAGCGTCGACACGTCGCTATTCTCCGCCACGCAGGGATAAACTGGCACGCCTTCCCGGTTGAGATTGTAGAACCGCCCTAGGATGTAATCGGCGGCCTTGCGGATATCTCTGCCGCCAGTATAGTCCAGGAAATAGTCGGCCAGAGGGCTCGTCTGTAGCTTATTCCTACAGGTGGCCGTTTTGTTCAGGAGCAGGATGATGGATCCCTTGATGAACCACTTGGAGTTTACCATGGTCTCGAATAACCGCATGTTTTCCGCCATTCGGCTTCCCTGATTGTACTGGTCCAGGTCAACGACAAATATGATAAATTTGGCAGCGTCAAAATGATGAATCCACTTCTTTATCTTGCCGCTTAGGCCGCCAATGTCGAAAAGATGGATGCTGAGATCGTTTACCCGGAGCCTGGTATCGTATATTCCCGTGGATGAGCTCGTCGCTTGAATAATGTCCATCTCTGTTGGCATGTAATCGAATGATGAGATTCTTGAGATCTCGGCAAAGAAACTATTGCTTGGTTAGTTGGTGTCGTTGGTTGTTAGACGGCTGTGTTGCTTAAGGTAAAATAACGAACTATTCGGCTGAGCTGGGAAGAGCGCTCTCTCCAGACGGTTCCAATAGCCCCGAGACACGCGGATTTTGTAGGATGGACTCAAGTGCGTTGACGAACGCGGGATCCAGTTCCCAGTATGTCTTCGTGGACAACTCGAGACCATTGCAGTAGCCATCTATTAACTCAACGTATCGCCAAAAGTACTTTGCCTCTGGATCGATCTTGAGGCGCCGGATTTCTTGTACAATAGCACGTGCGCATTCCGTCAAAATCTTGATCACCAGACGTTTGTAGCTATTTAACTCGTCGCTCGTGTATGACTTTCCGCCCTTGAGTTTTGCGGCCGCCAGAATGTCCAGTCTGGATTCGGATCCAAGCACCAGAGCCTGGAACTCGCGTGGTTTCCTTTTGGCTTCATCTCGTATGGAACGATCGATGGAGAGAGATTTCTTGTTCAGCGAGTCGCTCTTCTTAGTCGGCGCCATGAATCGCAGTTGCTTCAATCTCTCCTTGGGTGACATGGAGTCGGTACGAGTCCGAGTGTGGCTGCCTGTGCTGCTGCTTGTACCCATAATAGAAAAAGGGTCCTCGCAGACGTGATCGGCCTTGAACTTTTCCAGTGTTTCTGCAAATGCGCTGTCGTCGGCCTTAAATTTTTCTTTTGTTTCAACGAACGCACTGTCATCGGCCTTGAACTTTTCCACGGTTTCGACCTCATCCACTTTGAACTTTTCCATGGTTTCGACCAAGGCTCTATCATCGGCCTTGAACTTTTCCCTGGTTTCGAACAAGGCTCTATCATCGGCCTTGAACTTTTCCCTGGTTTCGACTAATGCCCTGTCATCGGCCTTGAACTTATCCATCGGTTCAACAAACAGGTCCTCGCGCGGCGGCTGCTGTTCCCGGAGGCTCTTCTTTATAGACCCTCGGATCCATTTTTCGTATATCTTGGAAATGAAGAGTTGCTTGTCAAACCCGAATCTCAGAGATTTTACCGATGAGCTGATAGATGGTGTGATGGACAAGGTGCGCATTGATTCCACGTCTCGGTGTACGAATAATGAAGAAGTGTCGTCCTCTATGGCGTCGAGCAGGCGCCGTGTCTCCGGCTTCTCAAGCAGGCCCTTCTGTTGTGCGATCATGGTTCTGAATGCAGTTGCAGTCAGCATCGCATCGAAAATGAACAACAATGTGGCAAGGCAACAAGGTGACAGGCGTACGTATTACACGCCGTGAGCAGTAGCGTCAGGGCGTTCGTCTGCTGATCAATCATACGCTGCGTGTTCTTGAAATCCTTTGACTTCAACAGTAGCTTAAATTTGCTCCGCGTGTCCACCGTCTGGACTTTCAATTGCGATATGTCGGCGTCAAGTTTGGTAATTAGCAGTCGACAACAAGCGATGCAGCGGTCGAGATCCATGATTAGCTGATGGTGCGGATCGTCGAAATGCGACTCGGTCCATTCCTTGGTTTTGCTCAAGGCCATCCTAAGTGCCGCGAGCTGACTCTCAAGGACCAGGACCATGAGATCGGCATCCTGCCACTGGCTTCGCATTTCTGCCACTACATTGATAGTATTACTCAGCGCGATAATGATGTTGGCCACGATGCCCGCCGTTGTCATGAGTGTGATTGGCTCCATCCTGTTGACTTCAAGATAGAAGGCGAAGAAGGACTGAAGTGTTTGAGTACAGAGAAGGCCAACTGCTGGCAAAATCCCGAAGCTGCCTAAATGACGTGTGTCCCTCGCCTTATTGGACTGCAGGTGTGTCACGTACCTACGACCGCTGATTGGTCTATTTCCAGCCCATGTAAGATGTGCTTTAGACATTGTAACCGTCTAGGTCTTTAGTGACCGGGCCTTAATATTCCGGTCCGAATTACAATATACAATGTAACCCCGCCCCCCTTGTTTCCTCGCCCCAGAAGGATAAAAGATGATGTATACCCCGAAATTTCTCGATTCCAACACCACGAAACTCCAATTCCTAAAATTCACCAGAACTTCGTTCACCTCACCCTCGCGTAGACGAAAAGACCGGTGGGATTCCTCTCCCGCTCCCGCTACCTCCCCACAAGTCACCCAGATTATACCTTACACCCCCATAGACGGAATAGCCAAAGGAATCCCACTGCCGCTCCCACACCCGCTAACTACTCCCCCTAAGTCACCCAAACCATACCCCATCTTCCTCGTCTCCAAGATCCCCAGCAACTCTCTTCCCCTCCTCCACCGCCCACTCAGCCTAATCAAGCACTTCCTCAGCGTCTCCAGACTCCCCTCCGCCACGACGTCCCCACCCCCGCTCTCCTTCCACATGTCAAGAAACGTGACCGCCGCCGCGTACACGGCATCCAGCACCATGGGCGGCGTCTTGACGACGTCTTCGTCCTGCGCCAGTAGGGCAAAGAGATTGGATGCGAAGTCGCGCACGTGAGCGGCAATTTTCTGCAGGTTTTTTTGGGCGGTTAGTTTGACGGTTAGCTCTTGGTCGGTCCAAGGACCGGTGGTGGTGAGTTGGCAGTTCAGCCAGTCGCCATAGGCGTAGTTGGCATGTACGTTGAGCGAGGCGGAGAAGGCGACGCAGCGCGCGGGCAACAGGCTGAAGTAGGACGCTGGACAGGCCCTGAAGTCCGCCTCGAGAGTTTCGTGCAGGTTTTGGGTTGTATCGGTTAGAGTGGCGAACTCGTTGTAGTCGACATGCTCGCCGCTGAGTCTGTGACGTTCTGTTACTGCGTGATGATGCAGTACCCGAGACACGAGCAGTGCCGACTGACAGAGGCGTGCAAAGGGCGATTGAGGTTTGACAGCCGCGGAGGCTACGGTGGTTTGCATGGAGTCGGCCGGCTCACCGCTGTCCCAGACCCTGTCATCGGTGGGGGTTAGGTCGGTGGGTAAAGGTTCGGGACACATGGGGCGTTTGCAGGAGCCCAGAGAGACGAGTTTGTCGAGGATGTAGACAGCCCACCAGACTCGGCGGCGTTCTTCGGACTCGGCCCATGTTGCCTGAAAAGGAGTCAACTTGACTGGTGAGTTTTCATAGGGATGTGATCGAAGGATTGCGTACAAATGGTCCCAATGCGGCATTGGTGTCTTTATATGATGGCAGTCCAAGAAACTCGGCATAACGTACACACTGTCCGACTGTCATCCATGCGGGTGGGTAGATTCCCTGCCCATACTCATATAAGGCTATAAGTATCAAACCCTGGAGGTAATGCAGCGAAGTAGTCCCTGTGGCCTCCAATAGGGCGGCGAAGCTTTTCGATGCTGTGTAAAGAAAATTTTCTGCGGCCGTGAAGCCGTCTTGTGGTTGCGAGGTGATTAGTTTCATGGTCAAGAGTAGTAGTGCCACGTCGCTGCCCGCCTCCCATGATGGAAAGACTATTGTCACGAGCTTTCGTGACGTCATGGGAAACCACGGATGGATGTCGCCAAAGTAGTCTGATACCGTCTGCTCGATCTCCTCTGCGCTGCCAATACACGATAACACATCCTGTCAAGGACATCTATGTCAGCGGCTGGCAATGTTACCATCGGGAACCGTGAAGGATTCCATCGTTATGTACAGTAGCGATGCTTTATAATGCCACATTACATAGCAGCGTGTGTGGTGGAACGGGTGGACCCGTCGCCCAAAATAGGGGCTGCCAAGTTCCGTGGGTTGGGCGAATGTGGTAGGAGACTGAAGCGGAGACTTACATGAGGTATATCAGACGTAGGCTTGGGTAACATAAGGCCACTCCATTGGTACACACGAGAGTCGAGAAAGAAGGCGGAAGGGAAAGTACTCGGGCAGCTCTGCCACAGCGATTCTCGCGATAGCAACTGTGGGGTATGCGACACGGGCAGAGTGGCCTCAGCGGCAGCCGCCGCACCGGTGTAGTCTAGTCGGTTCTCCAGTTCAACCAGCTTCAACTGCAGCCCTATGATATCCTCGGCCGTTGGGGGCGGCTGGGTCTCCGAATAATCGCAACGGCGTGCCATTCGCGAGCAAAGACTGCAGGCTGGGATGGCTTTATCGCACTTGCGCTTCTGTTGTATAAACGGCTGGATTAGAACAGTGTTGACTAAAGCAACCTTGGATAGCAACTGAAACTAAACACAGGACTGAACATGCCTGTTTTCTGCATGAGTAACATGCCTGAGGCGCCTTTTCTGTCGCGTGGGCGCCAGATGGCTCTTCGCCGGCGCCCGCACTCTGAGGAGAACAAGTCACGATTGGCATGGCTATCGTTCCACTGGGTATAGCACTGCCAAAAATTGCTCCCGATCAAAAATAGGAATGGCGAATTGAGAAAAATGATTCGTTCCTGGCAGAGAACATAAGTCGTGTGGTGGCGAGGCAAGGTGTAACTACCGGAGATATATGGGTGAGCTGTCATCAACTGATATCGGGGAGTGAGTTACCATGTGTAAGATTGGAGATGCCGATCGAACTCGAGGCGGTCTGCTCGTTTCGAGACCAACAAGCAAGCAGATGGATTGACTTACCGTATACCGACTGTTGAGAATGTGGGTTTCTGATCGATGAGGGAAACATTACCTAGGTATAACATCGTTTCGATATGGTGATGTTGATCCTTCAGGGCTGAAAGTAGCGGGCGCAGGCTGCTAAACTTGGACCACCCAGCTCCCGGATCCCTGAACGAGCCATGCAAGACCTAGTTCTGATGCATTCTCCCGAGATCCAAGCTTTTCATCGCTGGCTGCTTTGCGATGGACCTTGTAATGGGGTACTACACTACACTTGCATTACTTGGACCGCATCGGTCACTAGATGCGGCAGGACTTGGTGGACCAATAGGTGTGCAGACGATGAAAATTGAGGCATTGTGACGCACGGCTTGAAGGCTTGTTGAGCGCCAGAGACTTGGAGCGCAGCTTATAGCGTTAGTGTTGAGAAAGTCAAGGAAGGTGCCGCCATTGCGGCGGTTTCGCTGCGGCGGTTTCGCAGCGACCAAGCCACCCGACTTAGACCCGCCTATTAGAGAGCATTATTCCCGAGAACCGTCCGGTTGGTTTCCTTCCCAAATTTCAACCTAGCTTTCGTCTACGAATCAACCTGGACGGGAATCACTCGTAGCTCACGAGGATCAGTGTATTTTTATCTACGACAAGGTGAGTGGGTTATATGACTCTGTCATTTTCTTCACTGCCATGCCCACAGTGGGTTTTTGCGAGGAACCGGACGGCGATACGGCCGCCCCGATCGGATCGTCGGTTATCTTGAAAAGACCAATCATGCAATACCATTCATCAGCCCTACCAATACGGAGTATGGCATCACATCGGCACAGGTTTGCCGACCGCCAATTCATTATTCACGAGCTGCAACTGGATCCGATCTTGGTATGTTCATCGGAGAGTCCTAGACGCCTGCAGGTATTCTCTTTGAGGCAGCGTACCATCCAACCATCGTCCCCGCGTCACGGTTGAGCCCTTACCTTTATGTGGGGTCTTCTCCTCGCTGTCAAGGTTAAGCATTCCTCGGCGTCAGCACCATTGGTCCTGTCACTTCTATCCACACGCTTTTCCCCCCCACCAAGTTGGACCGCAACGATGGCTATGCCAAGGGCGGGGTTCTTTGGGCATCACCACTCCAATTTACGAACCTGCCAGCGCAACATCTCGACAGTTCAAGATAAAGTATACCCGCTTGTCGTATGACCGTGTCAAAATGGGTGCGCGTGATGGTCTGGTTGGTTGAGAGGAATCGCCATCCCTGCCACTCATATGGCAAGCAAGGTACTCATTAATTCACAACTTGGCCCAGTTGCCGCATGCGACTGTTGATGAGGGGCAATGAAAAAGGGGAACGCGGCGCGGCGCCTCCCTTGTGTTTGACCACATTGACCATCATCAGTCACGGAAGCATCGGTATCGTTTCGACGTTTGCGGAAAAATTGCCATATTTGTATCTGTGCATCTTGCTGATCTCGTTGATCTCTACCCTGAAAAAAATCGATAGGTCGCACACGCCGAGCCGAGAGGCTAAAGCTACCGTTCAGTGGCAGTTCTGACATCCAATGCTTGCATAGGGCTAAACCCACCACAAGCTATGGCGGACGCCTCGGCAGGGAATTCTATCAGGAATGGTAGCACCAGGACTCGGCGGCTCCGTGAAGGAGGGAGTTCAAGGAACTCTTCGGCCAGGTCATCTACCGTCTACAACGATGACTTCCTGCAGCCGGGCTACGGTTCCACGGGACTGCGATCATCGACATCGCGATTCTCTCTCAACGAACAATTTGCTGCCACGCGTCGCGAGTATGAATTCGACTATGACGACACATCGTCCACACTCGGTCGATCCACTATCGCTTCTGAGGCCATGGGCGACCAAGACGTCGAGGATGCCGAGGACGAGGACATGTTAGCTCTGCACGCGGCGTCTCGGGGCCGGGATTTGTACGAACTCTTGTGCCTACCCCGAAATTCGTCGGCTCATTCCATACGCCGCGCCTATCACCGTCTCTTCGTCCTGCTCTATCCCGACTCGCATCCGCGAAAAGTCCGCGCTGCTGCCGATGTCTACTTTACTACCGTCCAGACTGCCTTTGAGACGCTCATTGATCCCTGCAGACGATTGCAGTATGACCTCGACAGCGCCAATGGGGCAGACCAATCATCATCCCTCGAGACTCAGGATCAAGACTACCGCCTTTGGCATGCCGAACTATTAAGGCATCATCTCCTGCATCCGAACGCGGCAGAAGATCATGATGGGTTAGAACTCAGCGTTAGGTTCGGCGAGGGACCGTCCGGTCTGCCCAATGTAGGGCATCGACACCAACTTGAGCCTGTCGACTTCGCCATGGGCCAGTCCTTTTCGATACCATTGTCCATCTTGGGGGGGCCTTTGGACCATGCGTTCCACACAATTCGGAATTGGATGACACGGGCGACCCCGAGGGATCCGCCGTCTGTCTCGCCAGATCAACCAGACTGCATAAACGGGCAAATTAAACCGTCCTTAGTAACATATTATGGCCCGCTTCTGACCATTAGAGCCTCCATATATGGGCTACTACAAGATCTCATGTCGATACCCGTAGATGTTTTGGCGGATCCTTATCAGCCAACCCTGGCGACGGAGATTCCTAGGGACCGGGTTTTACAGCTTCTCGATGGCCGCATACATCCTTTGCTTAGCGTTAAGTTCCAACATCAGCTGCCCCCATCTGGCCCAACCAAACATGGGAAAATGAAACACGGGAGCAGCAGAAACAAACTAAGCTTGGACACGTCGTCAAGGGGGTCAAGGGGTGCTATCGTCGAGCTGGAATCAGATATCATTCCAAGTCCGGCTCTAGCTACTCGCATGTCTACACAAGTCTTAATACCGTGCGACACCACGCCAAGCTCCATACAAATCGCCGCCAAAACCGCACCATGGAACAACCACTTTCCAAGGATTGGCGCAAACCTGCAGCGGCCAACAGCAGGCGGCTTACTCATGTGCAATCTTGACAGCGGGGATTGGACGTCGCAAGCGGACTTGACATGCAGTGCCTTCACCCAGTTCACTAGGATGAAACAGCAATTCCTTAGCCTGGACATCCCGCTGCGCATTGCTCCAAAAATAGAAGTCGCTTACAAGATGGGGGGTTCGTTTAAACCCTCTGCCACATGCATTTCGGATCGCGCTACCGAACGTGGCCTTCGCAGTCTAGAATGGGGCATGGAACACGACGGCGGGGGCTCATGGACAGTTTCTACAACAGGTGAAGTTGGTTATGTCGGTTCATCCATCAGGTACGGCCTTGACGTGAATGTGCCATCATCCAAATTTGTGGGAAACGGCCCGACATGTGCTTCGCCAGGCGCAAATCGTACGAGTGGTCGTGGGGTTCGCCTTGAAGCCGAGCTGGCCTCGAACTCCCTTTGGACCACTTTCATGGCATTGAGGTGTCTCAAAAGAATCGGGCGCTTCTCCAAGGTTGGCTTTGAAGTCGGACTGAGCACTAACAGCCTGCACCTCTCGGTCTACTGGTCGCGACTCGGGCAGCGTATCAGCTTGCCTTTCTTGATGCGCTCGCGGGCTACCCTCAACGCCCAGCTTCTCTTCTGGACCACTTTGGTCCCTTTCGTTGGGTTCGCAGCCTGGGAGTACGCTGGATATCGCCGGCGCCGAAACAACGCCAAGCGACGTGACTGGCGGAAAGACCTCAAAAGCAAACGCGCTGAAGCAGACGAGGTGAACATGCTCCTGGCGGCCAATGTCGAAAAGCAGCAGAAGTCTGAGCTTGCCAGGGGTGGACTCGTCATCCTCAATGCCAAGTATGGTGTTAAAGCGGCGGATGAGAGCAATGCGTGGGGCGCCGAGGAAGTCGCCGATGTGACAATTGCTGTGGCGGCCCTTGTCGATAATGGCGAGCTTCTTATTCCAGAAGGCGTGGACAAAAGCCAGCTGTTGGGATTTTGGGATCCGGTTCCTACCTCCGCCAAGGCTCTCCATGTGCGGTACCTGTATCAGGGTAAGGAGCAGGCTGTGGAAGTAATTGGAGAGCAGCAACTGCTCCTGCCATCCGTCAAGGACTGAAAACCGCACGCGCGCTTGCTTGCCCTTTGATGTGCTATCTATCATTTGAGAAACACGACTTCCAAGCTTGGAAGTCAAACGTCACAACTACTTTGCTAATTGAAAATGGTTAAGTGTGACCGACTCAAATATTCCATTGGCGTGTGGAAGCCACACACGCTTAACACAAATCCTTTTGGGAGACCACGAACACTTCCATGCTCAAACACTTCTGCTCGGAATCCAATTTTCAACAGATAGCCATCCTGCAACGATATAGCATTGGTCATATTTGATTCTACCATCCCAACGCCAACATCCATCATAATGTCATCCTAAACATCTACCACAGCTCAAACCGAGCACAATCCAACTTCCCGGCCCTCTTTTGGGACCGAACCGGTTGCAAGGCGCCTCAAGGGGTTTCTTGACATATTTAGCAAAGTCCCTAGAGGCCATTCTCCTCGACCCCCATCTAGCCCGCCAGCAAAGGTTCGCTCAGCTAGAATCCATCCTCCGAACCCGCATCGCCGCGCAATCCTTCGGCGATGAACCGAAATCTCTGGACACAAAACCCAGTGTGTCGTAGTACCGTCACCATCTCCTCGCCAAAACACTCATCGGGTAGAGCTGCTAGTCGGACGCCAAGGCGCTGCTCAGACAACTCATCACTGTCTAGGATTCACTTTAACAGGGTATTCCCCGACCTGAACACCGAGCCCAAAGACGTCGGGTCCTTGGATATAGCTGCCGTGGTGCTGCTGCAAACGGAGCGGCTTGAAGCGGCGGGGTCGGTGGCCTGGAACTTGTTACAGCTGCCGCGGGGAAATTGGAGGCATAGGGCAAGTGCGCCGGCGATGCTAGAGACAACGGGGGCATTAATGAGGATTTCGGGTGGGACGGGGAGGTGGGTCTTTGAGGAGGTTGAGCAGGGGATTAGGTGGTAGCAAGGGGGAGGTGAGAGGATTATGGAGAGAGGAAGATGGGGAATAGGGGGTTTGGGTTTCGTGTAATGGAGAAAATAGGGGGGTATGGGTAAAGGAAGTCGTAAGGGATGTTGCGGTGTGCTTTCGAATATGATTACGAGAGAAAGAAATACCAATGACTTGGGGGGCACGATGTTTGGGGGATGTGGGATTTCTCGGAAGCGTTTGGGGAAAGCATCCTGGGGACGGATTAAGGTTCCATAATGATTTACGCTCTACTGCTACGACCGGAGCTGGGATTGATTCCTTAACTGCTTCCAAATTGTCCTAGTCGCCACGTCAGTAGCCACATCCAATCAGGTCTGAGCAGAGCTAGTAGATGTGACGCTTGGCTTGCCTAAAGACCTCAAAAGCAAGCTTACGGTAATTTATCCAACAGTCTTTCAACCGAATCCAGCACTTTTCAGGACCAGGCCCACCACGAAGAAGCCCATCAGAATTGACAGCTCATTTCTGGGTTCCGTGTTAAGCATGACGCACTTCACCAACAGACTCAATTCCTTCAAGTAAGTTTCCCAATTGAGTACTTCCATGTCTCTTTGATACACGTCCATCTGGGAGAGAGATAAGAGCCACACCTTGTAGTTGGAATTCAACAAGGCAAAGGGAGTCAAGCAATGGACCCCCTCCTGGATTATTATTTGCCAACGGTTACGAGCCCAACTTTCGGTCGATATTTGTGAAATACTAAACTATACTGTTTTTGGCGTCAAGGTAGAAAGCGTGATGGCCATGAGTAATGTAATGGACTGAATATGGGTCAATACTCGCCAAAAGGAATATTGGCCAAGATATTTTAATCATTGATGAGCGCGCAAAATAACCCCTCGAGAAGAAGCTCCGGGGAAGTACCAGTTTAAAGCTACTGGAGGCCTGAAAAGCGAGAACAGAAGTAGAGATGGGGGTCTTTGGAAAGGAAGTTGCCACTGGTGAGAGAGAAGACTCCACACCCGATTAGGGACAAGTGAGAATGCGTTCAGGCTGTCACCAGTAGGTAGGTTGTTGGTGAAGTATGGTGGTACAGGTAGGTAAGAATCGTGATGTTCTATCTATGAGAGTTGTACTACCTGGGAAGTTACTAGTAGGAAAATATGAGGTGAAGCAGACACGGAAAGAGCATTTGGGAAAAGAAATTGAAAAGGGGGAAAAGGGGGGGAATATTTCCAGCAGACTGCTCCAGGCACCAAGAAGGCTACTTTCGTAGTTGGCAGCAGTTAACAAGCAAGTACTTTATTTTTATTCACGTGTCTTCTGTGTATTCTTAATACCATGGGAAGTTGCCTATGTTTGCTTCTTCTCCTCGATATTTCAATATATACGAGCTTACTACGGAGGATATGAGGGGATAAGATGAATATAGAGCCGAGAGTATGTCCAACTATCTCCTTCTCCTTTCCATCCAACACTACAGCCCCCATCCCCCTAACAATCAATCACTTCACCATAACCCTATGCACCCACTCCCAACCCATCCTTCCAATAACGTTCTCTTCTCCCTCTTGGATCTCCACATAACCATCTAATTCACCAACCTGATCATCTCCCCTCTCCCTTACCTCTTTCCTAGTCCATCAACGTCCTCAATCCTCTCTACTCCAACCCGCAACCCCCTATACAAAACCGGTCTGTCCCACCCTTCTGGCGATGCCAACCTTAAACTCGACATTACCTTCTTCCTTTCACCTTTCTCGTCTCCATACCTCGAAATAACAGCATAAACCCCACGAGCCCCCTCCCCAACTCGAACCGACACCGTTCCAAACACACCGCATTTTAAGGTCCTTTTCGCCTTGGGATCTTTGATCATCCGCCTCATCACCATCACTTGCAGTGACTAGGAGAAAGCTTGCATAGTCTTTTGGATGTACTTCTCTAGCAGAAGTTCGAGTTCCCGTTTCGGGCCACCGCCAGAGAAGGAGGAAGATACGAGCTCACCCTCAGCTCCGGGACAGGGATGGGGAGAGAGTAGACGCGTTCGCGGACTATGGTGAAGTCACCAATTTGAGATACAACGGCAGTGTGGACATGGGATGGGATGATGGAGTCATTGTCATCATCTACTTTCAATTTCTTTGTTTCTTCGTTTCCTGCTGCTTCTGCTTCGGATTATGGTAAAGCAGAGGCGGAAGTGACAAGATCAGGTGGACTAAAAGTCGTCCGCGCTGTCTTCGTGCGGCGAGGGACCAGTGAGGTAGATAGGATGTGCTGCAAGGGCAAAAGACGCTAATGCAACTATTGAGCTGGCAGGGGATGCCGTCCAGGCAGAGGAGGAAGGCGGATGGCATAGTTACGTTTGGTACTGTATTTCCCAGTATTAGGTCGTCGTGATTTGTCAATAGCCTCACTGAGTAGCGTCGGGTTGTTTTGAAATATGACAATCGCAACTGTGACTCGGCGTAAGTCCGATAGGGGATCAAGGCAACGACAATGGGGAGAAAGATGTAAGATTCCAACGAGGAATACGGCTAACCGGGCCTTAGGACTAGAGGTGAGCCTGCCTCATCCCTTCAGCTAAGTTTCATAGTTCGTATCAGCTACAACGAGGCTTGGAGTGTGACTCAACAATATATCAGATTTCAACTTCATCGTCACACCATCCTTTGTATTCCATGTATTGGTTCCTACAAGTCCTCGTCGAAGTGATCATCTTGAGCAATGCATGGTATTTACTCGTTTGCAAAGTATGCTATCAATTAGTTCAATTGCCTGGTCTCAGATCTTGGTTCTTGCAAGTCAGTTGATTCCACTCTATAATTCAATCCAGAAAAAGTGGGTAGCGTGGGAAACGATATTTTAGTAGTTTCATAGACCATCTTCATCCAATATATACAGAAACCCCTTCCCAGCCCTAACAGACCATCTCCGCATGTACACTCGCCTGCTCTGATCCGATTCCACGAACACCCATTCGCCTCTAGAAGGAATGCCACCATACACTGAGATATATGCAAAAAAGCAAAACCAAAAAACACCCCCATAATACTTCCGCCATTGTTATCAAGTGCGGTAGGTGAAGTTACACCTCACTCCTCTCCAAGTTATCCAACGGGACATACCCCTCATCCTTCCCAGCCTTCCGCCCCAACACCGCAGCAGCAGCGTCCTGAATCTTCGTAACCACACCGTCCAAACCCCATCCACGGCCCATCTTCTTAAGTCCGCCCTGATTTGCCAACAGCGCCTCGTCCATCCACTGGGGTCGCGTCCAGAACTTAAGCAGAAGCGAGCTAACCACAACACTGACACTGCTGCATGCCATGGCGGCACCCGCGGCCATGGGGTGCAGATGCCAGCCGAATGGCAAGAAGACGCCCATGGCGAAGGGGAGCCCGACGATGTTGTAGAGACAGGCCCATGCGAGGTTGAGCTTGATACGGATGAAAATGGTGCGGGCGAGGTGGAGGGCAGCGGGAATGTCCATCAGGTCGTTGGGACGCATTAGGACCACGTCGGCGGCTTCCATGGCGACGTCTGTGCCGCTCGACATGGCGATGCCCACGTCGGCTGTGGCCAGGGCGGGGGAGTCGTTGATACCATCACCCACCATGGCGACACATTGGCCCTCGTCCTGGAGTTGCCGAATGATGGCTTGTTTTTGGTCTGGGGAGACACCAGCGTATACATCTTCGGCAGGAATACCCACCAGCGACGCGACAGCCAAAGCCGTAGAGCGTTGGTCACCCGTCACAATAGCAGTCCTGATGCCCATCCGGTGAAGCACGGAAATCGTTGGTGCAGCTCCTTCCTTTATGGTATCCGAAAGACAAAGATGACCAGCGTACGTGCCGTCGATGGCGATGAAGATGTTGGTAGTACCGGCAAAGGACAACTTGGACTGGGACTTGTTCGCTTTCGAGTTGATCTGTTCCGAGGCCTCAATTGCTTCCGCAGGCACATCGACATCGTTCTCGCGGAGGAAGCGGACGTTGCCAACCAATACGGTATAGCGCGTTCGCAACGTACCGGTCTGGGGCTCAACGATTGCGCTGATACCTCGGCCCACGGCTGCAGTGAAGTCACCGATGCTTCCATCAATGGCACCTTCTTCGTCTACGTTAAGTTCCACCCGTGCAGCATTCAAAACGGCTTTGCCCACGGGGTGCTCGCTGCCCATCTCAGCCAGTCCAACAACGGTCCACCAAAGTCGTCGGGCCAATTCGCTGTCTTGCCATGAAGGAGTAATATTCGCAGTTGCGACTATCATCTTGCCGTAAGTGATGGTTCCCGTCTTGTCTAAGACTACTTGTGTGACCTTAGTCGTGGTTTCCAGAGCAGCGCCCCCCTTGACGAGGATTCCGTTCTCCGCTCCCACGCCGGTACCTACCATGACAGCCGTAGGAGTGGCTAAGCCCAGCGCACACGGGCATGCAAATACTATGACAGAAATGCACAGCTTGACGCAAACAAAAAGCCTACCACCGCTCGCATCTTCCAAAAAGATCTTTGGGGGATTCGTCAAGACGTGGCTGAGGACCATCCAAAAGACGAAGGTCAGGAGGCCGAGAGAGAGAATCATAGGTACAAACATACCAGCCAGTTTGTCCGCCAGCCTCTGGATTGGGGCTCTGGTGGTTTGTGCATCCTGGACAAGCTTCACAATCTGGCTGAGCTGCGTGTCGCGGCCGGCTCGCGTCACACGGAAGTCGATTCGCCCATGACCGTTGACTGTGCCACCAATGACATTGGTGCCCTTTTTCTTTTGAACGGGGATGGCCTCGCCTGTCACCATGCTTTCGTCCACATATGTCTCACCGCGGACGATGACGCCGTCAGCAGGGATCTTGTCGCCGGGTCGCATAACGACAATGTCGCCAACTTGAATGAGTTCGGTGGGGATAACTTTCTCCTCGGCCGCGTTGCCTTCACGGATTGGAGTCTTCGGTTCTTCTGACTGGACGACAGCGTCCCATCCTTCGGCTAATTTCTCAGCAGCGATGGGGTCGACGTAAATTGTTGCCATAGACGGCGCGAGAGACATGAGCCTGGATAGGGCCTTGGAAGTTTGTCCCTTCGCACGGTTCTCCAGGAAACGACCGAATGTAATAAAGGTGATGAGCATAGTGCTTGTGTCGAAAATCGTGCTAGGTCGAGTGTGAGGAGGGAAGCAAACGGACACAACCATGGCTGCGATGCTGAAGAAGAAGGCAGCAGATGTGCCAAGTACCACCAAGACATCCATGGTGGGCGAGCCATGCTTGACAGACTTATAGGCTGACACATAGAACCGTTTGCCAATGCCAAATTGAATGGGTATCGTGAGAACCAAACAAATGATGTCGCCGAGGAAGAGACCATCGAAGATTTCCCAGCCGCCGAAGTCTAAAACAGGGATGACCATAGGAAAGATCATGCCAATGAAAAACACTGGGATCGCAAAAGTCACAGAAACTTTGAAGGCCCTGCGCCATTCTTGAATTTCTCTTGTTTTTGCGAGGGATTCAAGCTGAGCATCATTGTCATCGTTGTCGGCAACCAGCGCATTGTAGCCCGCGGCTTCAACAGCATCGACAAGAGCGCGCAAGCCGATGATATTTGGATGATGTGTGACTGTGAGCCTTGAAGTACTGAGGCTCAGTCTCGCAGATTCCACGCCCGACAGAGCCAATAGCGCATCTTCGACTGTTTTAGCGGCTGCCGCACCTGCGCAGCCGTAAACTTTGAACTGGGCCACAGTTGCAGTCGAACCATGTTCCGCGGTGTCAACTGTGGTAGATAAGATCTTGGCGTCAAATCCTCGGTCTACAATGATTTCGGCAATCTTGTCGGCAGGTACTTTGGCCAGGTCATGCGTAATGACGGCTCTTTCGGCCAGAAGACTTATGTTAAAGCGCAGAATACCGTCGAGCCCGTTGAAGCCACCTTCGACTGCTGAGGTGCAGGCACCACATGTCATACCCTCGATCGCAACTGTCGTGGTCGCAACTGATGGTCTTGATCCAGGTGCTAATGCCATTTTCTTCGTAGGCTTCTGCTCTTCGCTGTCCACCAGTGTGGCATCGAAGCCTCGGCCCTCGATTATTTCGATTATTTTGTCGACGGGCAACAGTTCCACATCGTGCTCAATTATAGCTCTTTCTGACAGTAGCGAAATACTGAAATGTTTGAGTCCCGGAACGTTCGCGAAACCGTCCTCCACCGCAGACGTGCAAGCGCCGCATGTCATACCTTCAATAGCAATGGTCGTAACCGTAGTCGTCGGTTCGTCGTTGTCGGCGTCGAAGAGACTCTCATTACTCCGGAGCAGGGGGGACGGTATATCGGTCGCTAGAACGTCGGCTTCGAACCCACAATCTTCGATGGTCTCCTGAATCTGCTCCGCGGATATCCTTTGAGGATCGTGCATTACCACCGCTCGTTCCATGACCAAGCTCACTGACACATTGCCCACACCGTCGACGCCCCTAAAGCCTGCTTCAACTGCTGATGTGCAAGCACCACACCTGTCGCCCGTTAGTCAAGAGCGCATGCAATCCGTATCGCGAACGCAGAGCGAGGGACCCACGTCATGCCTCCAACTCGCAGAGTTGTCGTGGCCCATTGTGCTGTTGTCGGAGTTTGTAGAGACGACTTCAACGGGCCCTGCGGAGGAACTTTGATGTTGGAGGGCGCCATCGTTTTAGTGTACGAGGGAGTCACCACGAGGGCGGGAGTTACGAAAGGAAAGTGCCAAAAACGCGATAGTGTCGACTCTTCCCTTTACACAATGCCAACCATGCGTACTATTATCGTCGCATTGCCTTTGGGGTTAGGTCGCAAAGAAGGGAAACAGCGAGGTGTGATCAATGAACAATGGAGTCGTCGAGGTCGACCGCCACAAATGCAAGTCTAGGCAATATTGGGTGGGAGAGCTGATATAAGCTTATGGAGGCTAGACAATATGACAATGTGGCCAAAGAGCGAAGAAAGCAGCGCAGTCGGGATAATAAGCTTCCAATGCAGTTCCCATAAACACTCTATGAGCCGTTCGGGGCTTCCTTCGTGGTAGTGGCGCGTGTTCCGGCGGTCCGTGCAGTAACCACGGAGCTCCTTAACAAGGGTCTCGGATCATGCTTGTCTATCTTGAATCGTGTCAATGGTTAGTGCCAGCAGCCAAAGCCATAACCACTTCAGCCTGTGCTGCAGCAGACATGAACAGTACAATGACGACGAGTCATGAAAAGAGCGGTCACTTCGCAATACAAAGAGACTGGTTCAATACCATAGTCGAGTCAACTATTGCAACAATTAGTCAGGATGACTAAAGCACATGGGCAAAGTTCCAACGGCTCGTAGACAAAGTGGCTTTCTGGGATGTATTTCAAAGCTAGGCGGCGAATGATAATCCGGCTGCTAAGAGAACAAAGATCGCATAGAACTTAGTCTTGCAATGCACATTTCATACTGCCGTACCCAGAGATTTGCAAGTCCAATATATTGGTTTCGAAAAGTGGTAGGGCACTTCAGTGGCTATCGGGTGAATCGCGAATTGGTTGGGTTACTTCGATGTGTTCATCCCCATGATTGTTGCATGTTTCGCGAAAGAACAATCGATCATCAATGGTTCTTTTGCATATCACATGGTCCTTCGAAACGATAAGTGCCAGAGAGATTGGGCATCTGATCCATCTTACTGCATCGTTTCAATGCCTGATTACCTCTGATATTATCCAGCGTGACTGTTTCAATGACTGCAACGGGGAAGGGAAATCGCTGGGTTCTTCAAACATTTTGTGCTGTTGCTACTGTCTCCGTCTCCCGCAGGTCGGTCGCAGCTCCGAAATGAACCCCAGGTGTTTTGACCGATCGGATTGGGCCAAATATAGAAGTAGAGATAGCTTGCAACCGGATTTCCCAAGGATAATGGTATGGGTACGTATCATCCTGTGTAGTATTGACGATAACCAGCACAATTCACTGCTGATGGGGACCGAACTTCAACATCTAGATTGAATCTATATGTATACCGTGTCCTCTAAGCGGTAGACGCATCCGAGTTACTGACTGGCCAAAAGCCAGGCCCCGCCTGCTAGGGCCGGTGGCTTAGCGTGATGATGCGTGCTTTGTTCCCGCTCCCTTCATGCTCTAGTCTCTTTCAGAACTAGCGCATCTCAGTAACGTGGAGTGAAGTGCACGAAGCCGCAGCTCAAACAATCATGATACAAGCAGCATTTCAGAAATTCAGACCAAACACTCCTGGATCGTCGCGTCTTTCATACTTGTGGCAATCTTAGGCAACACACGAGGCTAGGAATCACCAATCATAATCCAGCTGGCTAGTCCACGACTAGGGTCCCTTGCGCAACGAGGCTGTCGATCCAAAGCTTGTTTGTACTGCAACAGCACAAGGCTACCATCGTCATCTTCAGCCTCATTGAGAGGTTATGATATTCATCATGGAGCAGATGAAGGCCCTGAACGCTTTGGCGGTACATAATCTGCTTGAGCCCCCAAATCTACACGTGAAGCTAACCACCAGCAGCCCTTTCTGGCCCTCACCAAGTCGGCGACATCTCCCCGAGCCGCCGCCGACCTTATCACACGCGCAACCTCTGCACCCGGTACCTATGTCTTTGCCGAGCTCCGGGAAGCCCCCCAGGTCCAGGCCCTTTCCCAATCCGCGGAGCATGCCCCATACCTCAACCTTCTGGACATCTTCTCGTACGGCACATACGACTCCTACAAATCAACCGCAAACCTCCCCTCCCTAAACGACCAGCAAGCCATCAAGCTCCGCCAACTCTCCCTCCTCACCCTCGCGCGCGACCCTAACAACCTCAGCTACGCGTCCCTCCAGAAGTCCCTCGACCTCCCGGACACGCGCGCCCTCGAAGACCTTGTCATCTCAGCCGTCTACGCGGATCTGATCACGGCGCAACTTGACCCCTACAACCAGACGGTACACATTAGTTCTGTGTCCCCCCTGCGTGACCTAGCGCCCAACTCAATCCCCAACATGCTTTCCAGCCTGCAGACCTGGTCCAATCGGTGCACATCGACGCTGTCGGACCTCGAGGCGCAGATCGCGGGCATCAAGGCTGATGCCGCTAGACGGCACCGCGAGGTGGAGGCAAGAACCGTGGTGCAGGATAAGCTTATTTCGGAGGAGAAGGAGAGAGAGAAGTCGGGGGGTGTGCATGGGCGTGGTCAGTCGGCTTTGATCAACCGTGCAGTTTCGAACATGCGGAGTGGGCGATATGCTAAGCGCGGAAGCCAGACCCTGGAGGCTGATGATGAAGCGATGGATTTGGATGATGAGGACTATCAGGATGAAGGGGCAGAGGCCAGTGGGGGAAAGAAGACGAGTCGACGGAAACTGTGAGATATGTGCTCCTTGGCCTAGGCGGGCTTACGGGGCCATTCAGCATTTTGATACAGTGGAGTCTCCTGAGGCATGCTGTACGCATATTTGGATGCACTTCTCCAATCTCATGGCCACAGGCAATGACACACGGAACAGAGATGAAGGCTGCTGCCGGCTAGCAGTTTATCACAATGGTTATGCTGTTCTTCTCTGGTCGGCTTTGACCATCTATCGAGCAAGCATCAGACGACATGATGAATGACGACTTGCATGCGACAGATGATACTGGGGCAACTTCATGAATAGGCCTGCGGCAGGGTCAAAATGCAGGCGAAAACAACTAGATATGGAATAGATCACAAGACGCACCCAAGCGAGTAGACCCAGATACAATGGAATTGAGGCATAAAATGTCTGGGCACCAAGGAGTTCTAAGAACAAGATCAAATGGACATATGAGCCCACAGCTGCAACTAGCTACCGCTTTGGACGATCGTCACACAGCCATAAACTCTCACGACGCAGCTGGCACATGTAGGAGACTGGAGGGCACAACACTCTCCATTCATCAAATCCACCAACTATTTGGCAGATCAACTATCTACTGTACAACTAACTGCAAGGTGGTTATACTTCTGCAAGCGATCAATCCCCCCATCTGTCCTCGCTCTGCAACGAGCGCATGCGCAAATTACTTAATACATTACTTCCACCTCGAAGAAAAGCACAGCCCAGTTTCGGGAGAAATGCATGTGAAATCCGTTCGCGATACGCCATACGCCTCGGTGATCCAGGATTATTAGTCCATTGATCAGTGAAATGAATAAAACCATCGCCAACTTGGTATCCTTTGGTTGTATTTGTTTATTCAGAATACAGAATGAGATGTTGATTCGCAAGAATGCTTGAAACACAAAGTGGTCGTAATGTCGTGAGGAAGGATGTGCTCAAACTGCCAATGACGTAGTACCAGAGGTAGAGAGCTGAAGAAAGACATCCATGTTCTCGCTTTCTGCTACAATCTCTTTCCGGGCACAAGGATGAAGAGCACGCAGAGTGCCGCATCAACTAGTACGGTGACGGCGAGTACCATGATGGAGCGCTTGACCAAGAGTTTGCGGACATACGGCTCTCGGATGCGTGAGAACTTGAATGGTGTGTATTCTGTGAAGCCGAGAAGGGCCATGAGAGGGTCCAGGGAGTATTGATATGAGGCCAACAAATAGACACCAATGGTGAATGGGAGAATGACCTAGTTCCAATTGTGAGCATGTCTTGCCTGCAATATAAAATGAAAGAAAGCGGAAATGAACATACATAGCAGCGATCAAGTCTTGACCTATCAAGGAATATGAGAATGAATGAGGTCCAGAAGCCACCGAATATTGAGACGAGACCAATAATCAATCTCGCAATAATCGTTGGTGGGATCAAGTTACCCAGAGCACGAGCTCGAAGAAAGCCTGGAAATGCATCACGCTCCATGGCCTGGAAAACATAATCCTTGGCGACATCAAAAACCTCTGGGTCATCGCGGCCATCTTGTTCAATGGCAATGGTGATATCTTGAGTGATGGAACCCGGCAGGGTGATCTCACGCTCAGCACCTGGCAGTAGGAAAGTGTACAGGATCTTCTCGGCACTAGCGCGAATATCCTCTCTTGATACTGCATGAGCAGGTGAGGTTGAGTCCGAGGTCAATTGATGTGGCGTGCCAAGTTGCATACTACTCCGAGTACGGTGTTCCTGGCTGCTTGAAGGCGAATCATGGTAGGTTCCCGGCGTATGTGGTTGCTGCTCGCGAAGGTAGGCGGACATCTGGGCATTCTGTTCTCGTTCCTTCTCTGTCGCATAATGTGATGGACCAGCTGGAGAGCTGTTGAAGTCTCCCAATGCTTCGAGGGCCATTGACGATCGCTTGTCTTGATCCTTCTCCAAATCGGGCGTCCCAACCAAGACTGATCTTCGGAGTTCGCGCACGTAGTGGCGACAGAGGGACATATGCTGGGCAACATCGAGCCTGGGTGTTGTTAGCAAAAATGGAATAGAATAAGTACAAAAATATGTACTGTACCAGAAGTCCAGGTAATCAACGGATCGCTGCTGGTCTCGCATGTAGATGTAGAAGGAGAAGAGATCCACCGGAGGATGAGTCCTACGACTCAACACCTCGAACAGAGTGGGCAGGCGATTCCTCGTCATCATCTCTGGCGTCGGCGACGGTGTGCTCGACGTATCGGGGGGGTTATGTCCTGAGTACGCCATTGTTAAGGAACGTGGGCAGCGCAAGGACTTTGATCGCGTAGGGTAGAAGGTTTGAGTGAAGATTCGTGCAGGTGCAAGTATCGGCGAAGTCTCCCTCTGCGGGACTCAGCGTACGGGGATCGTGACCCAGCAGGGAGGTCTTGACGCTCAAGGGTTTTGGATTCAATTGGGGCAGGACTAGCAGGAGACTAAGTAGATAGATGTCAATATGACAGATGAGACGGTGACAAATTAGAACGAGTGGAATTGCGCACGGCGCTGAATTTGATAGTGAGGTTGAGATTAGACGTTGAGGCCGAGAGAGTTGGTGCATTTCTTGACAAGGCACCGCGCCGATAAACAGGCCTAGCGTTTGCAACAAGACGACGTCTGTGATCTATTACCCCTGTTACAGAGGCCCGTTGCAAATTAACGTGAGGCTGGTAGCCGCTTGCAATTTACAATTTGCTAGCGCAACGGGTTAGAGCTGTAAAGCCACATGAGCACCGCCACAGGTTGAATTTGATTTCACTTCGGCAGTTGGCAAAGGAACTGTACTTCGGGTTGTGGCATACTCCCAAAGACAAGATGGCAGTTGTCATTGTTCAATTGTTGCAGAATCTCCAAATACTTTGTTGCAACCCTCTTTGGTATCCTACGTTCTGATTCCCAGTTGTTCGTAGTTACCTCAATGATAGATAATCAGAGGTAGCATTGCACTGGGATACAGAGCAATGTTGTAGTCATGAGTTCCCTCAATTTATCCCATCAAACTCCCTGTGGAATAGACATTTCATAGTCAATTTATTCCAGGGTAATCAAACATGAACTGACAAGCAGTTGAAAATTCGTGACATTCCATCACTCACACCTTCTGAAGCCAGTGCCCGTGCCACACCCCACTTATTTCAGATTCGCTTGAGCTCACCAACCTAAGTTGGTACTCACCACCAACTTGGCCAGTTTTTCGACACTTTCAACTTCAACCTATCCTATCTTCGTCAATTCATTAGCTTTTTCCAATCGCAATGGACTCACAGCTACAGGAAGCCGTCCTCTACATGCAAGAGCATCCTCAAGCCAAAATTGCCAAGATTGCGCGAGAAAGCGGCGTAAAACGCGAGACCCTCCGATACCGCGTCAAGCAAGCTGGGAAGACTAAGAACCACGGAGGACTCAACAAACTACTATCTGAAGCCGAAGAAAAGGCCCTCTGTAATTACATCGACCGCCTTGATAGGATAAATCTTGCGGTTCGCGTAGAATTCGTTACCGGCGCTGCAAATACGATATTACGTGAGAGAGTCAAGGTTCTACCAAATCAGCCACCACCAACAGTCGGATCAAACTGGACTACACGTTTCCTCAAGCGCCATAGCTACTTCCACGCTTCCCAGCGGAAGCTTCATTCAAACCGCCAGACTTCTGAAAACCTCGACACTATACGAGAGTATTTTACACGGCTTGAGAGAGTCCTCCGGGAAGAAGGAATCGATCCCTCTGATCTCTGGAATATGGACGAGACTGGCTTCCGGATTGGTGTTGGTAAGGATCAACTTATCATCACTAAGCGCAAGAGGGCCCATTACTTCGGCCTACCAAAAAATAGAGAGACAGCGACAGCTATTGAAGCTATCTCTGCTGCTGGCGACGTAATACCAGCTTTCCTCATACTCACGGGGACTATCCACTCGGCTCAGTGGTACGCGCAAGACCTTCATCCAGATACGAAGATACGGCCGGTCGATACATGCTATTCGAATGACGAGATCTCTCTCGAGTGGCTTTATGCACTTCGAACAACACTCTAAGAAAACGCAGAAAGGTTGAAAGCGACTATTGATCTTAGACGGCCACGGCAGCCACCATACGAAGCAGTTTATCCAGTACTGCAACGACCACGATATTATACCCTTCGGCTTGCCCCCCCACATCTTACTCATCTCTTACAGCCACTAGATGTGGTTGTTTTTCAGCCATATAAGCACTGGCATGCGAAGTCCCTCTGATACGTGACCCCATGGGGGATTGCCCTATAGCTAGAGATAAGACAGATAAGAGCTATAAAAGAGCTCTGCCAGGCCAGAATAGCTGACCTGGCCATCCTTTCCCAATACAACAATTCACACCCCATATGCACTCGCATCACCCTCGATCAGCTAGTACGGGATGGATGTACCAATATAACCAAGCTAGAGTTCCTCTCAATTATCAAAGATGTACGCAAAAAGACCTTCAAAGCGAGTACTATCCAGTCAGCCTTCAAGAAAACCGGTACATATCCATTTTACCCTCATCCAATACTACAAGAGATTGAAGAACGTATACCAAAGACGCCATCACCACCACCAGCCCCTTCATCTTCGTCATATGAAGGCACACCTACTACTTTTCGACAAATTAATAAAGTAGCTAGCAAGATTACGAACTGTCTTACTGATCCAGAGCTTGGTATTAGTCCAGATCTAGCCTATCGACTTAGTCGCTTTGTTAAAGGGTCCCTCGTTAATGCGACCGAGCTTATACAGACTAAGCGCGATCTTAGCCGTACAAAGTACGCCGAACGTATATCAAAACAACGGCGCGCTACGAAGAACTGTCATCTTCAATCTGGTGGAGTTTTATTCGTTGCAGAAGGTAGAGAGATGGTGAAGAGGAAGGTTGAAGATGAGGTAACGTAGTCCACGGTCCAATTGCACACTTCGGCAGATTTTCGTACGCTACCACTTTGACCTGCGGTTTTTCACAACATAACTATGGTTGGTTCTTGGAATGAAAGTGATATGATTCTAGCATTACATGCGCTTCAATCTGATCCAAAATTAGGTGTACGTCGCGCTGGTCAGATCTATAACGTACCTTTTAGAACCCTTGCGTATCGACGCGACGGTAAAACCGCTCGAGCGATTACGCGATTGCCAACGCAAAAGTTGACTCCTTCCGAAGAAAAGGCAATCGTACGACATATAACCTACCTAGATTCGCGAGCATTTCCTCCCCGATTGAGTGGTGTTGAAGATATGGCCAACCGATTACTTCGAAGTCGCGACGCGGGACGCGTCGGCGTCAACTGGGCCTCGAGCTTCGTAAGACGACAACCAGACCTCCGGACGCGTTTAAATCGAAGGATCGACTATCAGAGAGTCCTCTGCGAAGACCCCGACGCGTATCGCGCGTGGTTTGACCTGGTACGGAATACAATTGCGAAATACGCGATCCAGGAGGAGGATATCTACAACTTTGACGAGACCGGTTTTGTGATGGGCCAAATCTCGTCCGAAATGGTCGTGACGACTTCTGATCGGCGCGGAAGGCCTAGAGCAGCCCAGCAAGGAAATCGGGAATGGGTTACAGTTATTCAAGGCGTTGGGCCGTCCGGTTATGCCCTCCCTCCGTACATCATTTTCGCCGGCAAAACCCACCTCTCGTCATGGTACGAAAACAGCCCATTACCGCCTGATTGGGTTATCGCAGTTACTAAAAATGGCTGGACTACGAACGAGAGAGGCGAATATTGGATAAAACACTTCGATCATCACACCAAGTCTCGTACGAAAGGTACTCATCGCCTATTGATCCTCGACGGTCACGAAAGCCATCACTCGACCGATTTCGAGGTATATTGCAAAGCTAACAATATCGTCACGCTTTGTATGCCTCCTCATTCGTCGCATAAGCTCCAGCCTCTTGATGTTGGTTGTTTTCGCGGGTTAAAAAGAGCGTACGGAAAAGAAATCGAAGATCTCATGCGAGCACATATAAGTCATATCTCGAAAGAAGACTTTTTACCGGCGTTTTTAAACGCGTACAACGCAACTTTCACGGTTTCAAATATCCAAGGAGGTCTCCGAGGGGTAGGAATAGTTCCGTACGATGCAGATTATGTCATATCACAGCTCGATGTGAAATTACATACGCCAACACCTCCGGGTAGCTCGGCTGGTCTCCCCGTCCCTTGGGAATCAAAGGCTCCGAGCAACCCAACCGAAGCCCAATCACAAAGCGATTATGTGAAAAATAGGATTGTACGACATCAAAATAGCTCACCAACGTCAATTTTTGCTGGAATAGATCAGATTGCGCGAGGTACAACGAAGGTTATGCATCGGCTTGCCCTTTTAGAAGGCGAGGTCGAATCACTTCGAAAGGCAAATGAGACCTTAAGTCGACGTCGCCGTGCGAAGAAAAAACAGCTACAGAGTGGAGGGTCACTTCGTATACAAGCTGGACAGGACCTACAGTCTCAACGAGAGGTTGATGGGCAGTTACATGACGAATTTCGTCAAATTGGTGGCCGTACGAGGCGGCGAATTGCGCGTGTACGGCGCTGTAGAATCTGCGGCGAGCCCGGACATAATGCGCGCACTTGTGGAAATGATGTAGAGACGTCTGAATATAACGATTCTGAGTAGTTTCAATTGATGATAGGCGTTGTGGTTGAATTAACTTATACATTATCGTATAAGGTCTGCCAAAGTGTGCAATTGGACCGTGGACTACGTTAGCTAAAGCACAGAGAGTTCTCGCCAAGTATCATGAAGGACTACGTAGAGTAGCCAAAAAGAGCTTTTCTGATGCCGCAAAAGAAGCTAGAAGACGTCGATTGACAGGCCAATCACAGCCTACAGATGTATTCGAGACAGGCCTTGGTTGGCGGTTATTACGTAGATTCTAATTGAAGGTTGAAATCCGTCGAAAAACTGGCCAAGTTGGTGGTGAGCACCAACTTAGGTTGGTGAGCTCAAGCGAATCCGAAATAAGTGGGGTGTGGCACGGGTATTGAATCGAGCACAAATTGGAGCGGTGCACTGACCATTTAAATTGTGCCCCATCCTTATCCTCTGATTGGCTGGCTCCACAAGCGAGCCAGACACACAACTGCCAAATCTTGGGCTCTCATCTCCAATTTGCAAAATCGTGACCAGACTTCGAAAAACTCCAGCCAAATCTCACGACAACCACCGAAGCATCACCACCCGTCACGATGTCGTCCAAAGGAAAGCAGCCCGCTGGCAAGAGTGCCATTGATCAAGTGGTGGCAAGAGAGTATACCGTACACATGCACAAGCGCGTATGTCAATCTATTAAGGCTATCGAGTCTTCATTGAGAAGAGCTGGAGCCCAAGTTCCGACAGGTTGGAGGCGGCTAACAGAAGAACAGATGCACGGCGTTAGCTTCAAGAAGCGTGCTCCCCGTGCCATCAAGGAGCTCAAGGACTTCGCCACCAAGGCCATGGTACGATCCCCCGAATCCATCAACAATTGCGACCCCTGCAACTATCCGAACGATACAACCCGTGGACAGAATAGCAGGCACTAACTAGACTTCACAGCAAACCACCGACGTCCGCATCGACCCTCAACTGAACAAGAAGGTCTGGGAGCAGGGAGTTAAGGGTGTCCCGTACAGAATGCGCATCCGCATCAGCCGCAGACGTAACGATGCCGAGGACGCCAAGGAGAAGCTCTACAGCTACGTCCAGGCCGTAAATGTGAAGAACCCCAAGGGCCTGGTGACGGTCGTCGTGGAGGATTAAAGCGAGAGGGCACTCGACCAATCTAAAGGGCAAAGCAAAAAACGGGTTTCTTCTTCCTTCCTGAGGGCCAAACGTTTATGTGTGTGTGTGTGTGCGTGCGCGCGGTCGGTTCAGCAGAAATCTGGACTCGAATGGCATTACACCTCCTGCTACTCGACAAGAAGAAAGGGCATGGTTTCGGAGTTCGTCGTGGCTTCTTTCTGCACAAGTGAGATATAGCTTCACTGCTCATCGATGGGATAAATCAAGACATGTGAATGCTTCTTTCTATGGGCTTGGGCTCTAGCGGCCCAGTATTCTTCTGTGATACCTTGACTCTGGCCAGTACAGGTCCTTCAGCTGGTTTGATAAATGAAAACTGCATTCTTGTGGCTCCCCGTTGAAAGTTCTTCAATGTCCAGGATTCGATCGCCACGATGGACATATATGCGTTTGCATGTGAATTAGGCGCGTTGCGCTCGCGATACGTCCTGCATTTGTCTGTAGCAGTCTGACTTCCTCAGGGTTCCCAGAAGTTCGTCCTTCACCACAAATCATCCATCACCGAATAGAGGACCGCCATGAACCGCCTAAACGTTTGTTCACGAGCAAGCCAAAATTCGAAATGCAAGAGATTGTCAGGGTGTCTTATTCACAACTGCCCACAACTGCCAATATGGGAAAACCCTCCCAATCAGAAAACCCATGTATGAATGCTATGCCATCCAGTAAGTCATGGCCGGGAGATGAACATCATCTACCAACCCAGACTTTGCTAACCATAAACGTGTGACTCCGTTCTCCAATGCTGGCCGTGATGGTATCACCCGTTATGCTGAACCACCAAGTCAAGTTCTATAAACACCACCCCCCAATGAAGTCTTAGGAGACTCGTTCAGTCGTCATCCACATCTCGGTGACGGGCCGTTACCTTGCGCTTGAACTCTTCGAAGTCCTTGTCCCAGAGCTCGGCGGCTTCTCCGTTCAGAGGCGAGGCGCTGGAGCATTTGTCAGCAAAGGTGCCCTTCCCGTTCGGTAATCAGTCCGATGGCAACTTACTTGTTCGGCTCTCCCAGCAAACTCTGCAGACTCAGCAGTACTGTCTGAATATTGTACGCGGCCGTCCACTTGTCCTTCAGAATATCGAGGCAGATGCGACCCGAGAAGTCGACATTGGGGTGGTAGATGGGCGTCTTGAAGAGCACCGTCGGCGGCGCGTAGGGGTAGTTTGACGGGAACGCGAATGAGAGCTTGAACGTGAGTCCAGCGTAGGGCGTGTCGTCGGGGCCTTCAATGGTGGCAGTCCACGACAGCATGTTGCCGTCCGCCGACGGGAAGGCGGACACGCCAGGCGCGGGAGACGTCATGAGCTGCATAAGCTCAGTTTGCAGTCTGTTTGGGTGGTAGCTGAGTCAGTACCTGCTGCGGGAGTAAAAGTATGCGCATGTGCTGGAGAGAATAGAAAACCAGCTAACCTCTTCGTCACGCTCTGCGCATCGGGTCCCTTGCGTGATCCGCCGAGCTTAGCAGCTTGGACGCTGCCGGGAGCCGAGTTTTGGCTGTTCTCGCTGGAAAATTCCATCTTGCCTGCTGTGAAGTCTTTCGCTAGATGTGTCCGAGAAGTTTCGAGGTGATAGTTCAACCTAGTGCTGGAAAGACGGTCGAGCGAGGCTATTCAAACAAAGGCGGGATTCCGTGGATCGGAGTTGGGGCCGGCAGAGAAAGAAGCGAATTGCTTCTGTTGAGAATGCTGAAAGGCCTGTTAGCTTGAAAGAAGTTCGACTGTCCGTAGTGAGCCAATTGGGGCAAGGCAAGGCAAGACGCAATTTGAGAAGGTAGCAAGGAAATGCACAAAGCAGGACACAGACAGTTGAGAATGCAGCAGTAGGGATGCTTTGGCAAGCGTGGAAGATAGCACGAACCTGGTGAGGAAGGAGTACTTCGTACTTTGTACCGAGCGTCCAATGTTTTCGTGATGTTACTTGTTTTCTTAGGGGCCGTAAGTGTACGAAGAAAAGAAAATTAACCGTTAATTAGGAAACAACGAACTTGCAGGTTCGAGGTCTTTTGCAGGGGCAGCTAGTCGTTGCTCGTTTCCTAATCCATTCGGGGCGGCTGTCAACAACAAACCTAGCCTATGGCAACCACGATAAGATCTCCTGGGTCGCACTTGCAGGGGTTGGATAGTGGCCTGGAGGGGCTGGAGGGGTCATCATCTAGCGCGCTCTGCAAGGGTACCTTTCCACTCAGCCAATCGACTCTGTCTGGCGCGAGACGACATCAAACAAAACATCGAGTTTAATTGATATTCGCGAACAACGCGTTCACGAGTCGAGATGTTGAGCATTTCGTGTTTTTGACTCTATACTATACTGGGAACACATCAATACTTGCAACTTTGCGTCCATCCCGAGGCTTGACTCGCATAATTCTTGGAGATCCGGGTTTCCACCATTCATCTTACAGCATCTCGTGTGGTGCACATTCGAGTCCCTTCATTCGTCGTCAACATTGTTCACGAGAGTTCTTCAAAGGACATCTCGCTCAACACAATGCAACAGTCTCAGTTAGACCCCCTGCCGGCCGATCTGCCCTTCAAGATAATATCAAAAACTATCGGAAGAGGAGCCTATGCATCGTGAGTTTTGGGACCACACCTAGGGTTGTACTCGTGTACTAACAAGCCTTCCCTCAGAATTAAGAAGGCAATACCTTTGGATGCACCATCGCCGGTTTTCGCGGTCAAGTTGATACACAAGGGCTACGCAACCAAACATGGCCGAATATCCGCCAAGCAGATCGCAATGGAAGTTTCGTTGCACTCGCACATTGGACAGCATCCCAACGTGATCGAATGGTTTGCGACAGGCGAGGATGACGTGTGGAGATGGATCGCCATGGAATATGCAGAGGGTGGTGACCTATTCGACAAGATCGAGGCCGATGTGGGAGTGACCGAGAACATCGCGCATCTCTACTTCTTGCAGCTGATAAGCGGCGTGAGCTTCATGCACTCCAAAGGTGTTGCGCATCGAGATCTCAAGCCCGAGAACATCTTGATGTCGGAGAGCGGAAACCTCAAGCTCGCGGACTTCGGGATGGCGACTATGTTTGAGTACAAGGGCCAGCGAAAGCTGAGCACCACTATGTGTGGGAGCCCGCCGTATATCGCGCCCGAGGTTTTGGCATGCGCCCGAGCGACCGGGACGAAGACGCCTCAGGCGGGGAAATACTCAGCAGATCTTGTGGACGTCTGGTCTTGCGGTGTTATCCTGTTTGTCTTGCTTGTTGGAAACACGCCCTGGGATGAGCCAACGGCAGGCAGCTGGGAATTTCAGGAGTATGTGAAAATGAATGGTCGCAGCACAGACAAGCTCTGGCAGAGGATACCAGCGGATGCGTTATCCTTGTTGCGAGGCATGATGAGCGTCGAGAGCAAGAAGCGTTTTTCATTTGCTCAGATCCGACAGCACCCTTGGTACACGCGCAAGAACCGATTCCTGCGGGAGGACGGCCAAGTAGCAGATCCCCTGAATCTTGCAACTCAGATGCTCGAGAATCTCCACATCGACTTCAGCCAACAGCCGACCTCATCACAACGGCAATCACAACATTCGACCGATCCTATGGACATCGATACCCCTATGATCTCAGCAACACAACCTGAAACCCCCATCAACGATGTCCTCTTCGACTGGGAACGCCCCGCCATCCGCTCCTTGGGGGCCCTCGCCATTTCCTCCACCCAGCCCGTCTCACGCGCAGACGTCGGCATATACCCCCCAACCCAATCCGCGGCCTTCCTTCAAGCCCTCGCCGAGGAACCCACAATGTCCCAATTTTCCCAAGTCCCGGGCGTACCCCTGACTCTGACCCAACGCGCGCAGCGCTTCCGGGACATCATGCCCGCGCACTCGTTCTCGCGCTTCTTCTCACACATGCCACCACAGCTACTGGTGCAGATGCTCAGCGACGCCTTGCACAACCTAAACGTGCCATTGCCGGCGCAACCGCCGTACATAGGCCAGGGAGATCACGTAGCGACACTCAAGGTGAAGACGGCTGATAGTCGAAGGCAGAGCTTGCACGGCGATATTGTGGTCGACAAGTATTACCTGCCCGAATTGCAGGAGCTGCTCGAGGTCCGGTTCGTCAAGGTTAAGGGGGATCCTTTGGAGTGGAGGCGGTTCTTCAAGAACGTGGCGCTGCTTTGCAAAGATGGGGTTTATCGACCAGAGGCTGAAGCTGAGAAGGTGGCGACGGTGTGATGATGATACGAGACCTGATTGGCCCCTTTTTTCTTTCTCATGGATTACCTGCTTTCGCGGATTACGATTTCAAACTTCTTCCATGAGCGGTTGGGGATTGATGTGGAAGGCGTAGATTAATGTGTACACTAGAGTTGTACTTGGAGCCAGAATGGATTCGGTGATGCTTTGTATATATGGACAGCAGGAGGAGCAAGTTGTGTTGCGCAATGTTTTCTAGACTGCGCGGTTGTATTATAACCTTAAACTACTAAATAATTGCGTTGTGGTCTATTAAAGCTAGCGAACGTAAAATCTGAGCTTCAGGTAGGCATTACTCTTCAGCGTTTGCATCGTTTATTTTTCTCTCGGTGCAAGTTTTCCTGCGTTGTCCTGCAATGGAAGGAACCAGTAGACAGATTTTACTCGTGTGCCTTTTCCACATTACCCCCGAGATGACATTCAGACGGTTGTTGATGCACAAAGGGCTTTGTAAGCTGCAGCACACCAATCACATCAAGTTTCTGAATACGTGGATGCCTATATCCGACAGCAACAACGGGAAAGGATCATGTAGATGACAACTCAGTGGTTACTGTTAATAGCTTTGACACACAAGGAGTCAGGGAGCGGTACTGCTTGGCAGGAAGATCATCAAATTCTATAAGCTTACCTACTTTAATCTTTAGTCGATGCAAATCAACCCGTCTACCTCCGCTCCGCATCCCATCCTCAACTCGTCTTTTTTTCATACGATGCTCCCACAACGCGATCACCCCTGCCACTCCCGTCCATGATGTCCATACTTATTCCTATCCTGAAGGCTCGGGCAATACTTTGGCAATACGTTGTTGGGAACCTTGGTTCTGGTGTTAGTCCAGTTTACTTGGATACGAGGAGTTGAGCAACAAGGTTAATTAGTACTTATATAATTTCCCAAATACATTATGTAACGACCGTATGCCTGATCTACACAGAACCCAAAGACCCATCTAGCTGCAACGCTTGCTCTGGAAACCTCGAGTAATAACACAAACAAAGCGAATATCTCTGCGCAGAGTCATCGCAACCGTGGACAATGATATCTTCACACAGGAAAAAGCCACCCGACACATCTAGTAGGCACGCCATCATTGTCTCTCTGTAACCCACGAAAGAACCATTGCAAGAAAGCACGCCAACTCCCCAGACAAGCAAATCCAGTCTGACTCGTTCCCTTTTGCGCGCCATGCAAAATCTAGAAACCCCCCATGACGTTGTACAAATTCTGAATAACCCGAACCATCCGTCGATCCCATCCAAGTTCCAACAGAGAGACGAAAAGTGACAAAACGCCGTCGCAATGCCAGGTAGGTTTGGAACCAAGTAGAAGATCCTTCGCCCAGGCTCTTGGTGATAAATGAGAAAGAAGAAGGCCGTCGCAATGCCAGGTTCATAACAAGAAGATTCTTCGGGAAATTATCGGAAAAGTAACGTTCAGGGCACTTCTCCTCGAAGTATGGAGAAGGCAATTCAGTGATTTGGATCGGGATCCCGGCAGGGCATGTAGGTCGTGTCGGTCCCGTATCGGAACGTAAGTCCAGCGCTCCTGGTTCCAGCTACCGCAAGGTAGGCAACCGGCATTGAAGGATGGCCGGTCGAATCCCGGACGTCACTGTAGTCGTCGGAATACCGAGGCATGTGGCCATTGGTCCCGGACATGATGAAGTCGTCAGAGTACTGCTGCACGTAGCAGTCACTCCCGGCAGAGATTTGTCGTTGAGGTACAGCATGTTACAGCCATCCCCAGACATGGTGTGGTCATTGGGATACTGCACATGGCAGCAGTGGTGGCTGTTCGCATGAAACTGGTGGTTCACCCTGTCCTCGGCGGCCTTCTCAGTATAGGTCCGTTCAAACTGTCCCAAATCCGCCTCCATATTCCCCAAGAAGAGTATATCCGGCCCCGCCCACCGATCAATCAAATTAGCAATAAGATGAAATCCCTCCGTATGCCCGCCCCGAAGCCGTGCCTTGGGCCCACACCGAATGAACAAATAGCTATGAATGAGCTCATGCAAGAAAGTCGAAATCAGCAATCTTCGATTGTACCGTTCACTCCGCAACAGCGGCTGCGAGAGCACGATCAGCGTCTCATATCCTCGGTTCTTAGCCCTCCGTCTAAGTGCCGTGGTCCCCAGAATCCCGTGGCGGTACTGTGCACTCGACACGTCGGACCAGTCCCAGCGGACACGTCCCTTCAACCGCCCGCAGAAGAACATCTCGTTGGCCGCGAAGAATATGTTCTGCAGGGCCGGGTCGTCGATCTCGAATTCCTCGCCCGGGGAGCGCGGACAGATGAGCGTCTTGAGAATGCGCTCCGCTTTGGAGTCCCGCGAGCGGGTGCGGAAGCGCCGCTCGGCTTCCAGGGCCGCTTCTAGGTCGGTCTTCATGCCCGTTGGTGGTGGGTCCGAGGCCGAGACGGACTCGTGGTAGGTGCCGTCGTCAGAGGAGATGGAGAGGCCGCTTGAAGTCCGTTCCATGCTCGGGGCTAAGAGGAAGTTGCTCTCGATGGGAGACGGGTGGTTCTCGTGGTTGATGGAGCAGACAGGGAGCGTCTTGGTGCTTTCCCGAGTGAATTGTTGGCCATGCTCATAACCAGACGTCGGCACGGGTACCGGACTGCTTTCCCGTTCCTTGATAATGTAGAATGCCGGCGGGACGGGCTGGCGATATTCCACCGATGGACCCTCCTCGTAGAACTGGTGGACATATCGAGGGCGCTTAGACTTGTGGAAGACATCTTCATCGTGCCAGCAGTGGAGATCCCTGACGTGGTCAAAGGGTCGTTTCCCGGCCTCGACGTACGTCCGGAAGGCATTCTCTCCTCGGCCATCGAGGTAGGAAGAGGCGCTCGCAGAGCGCGAGCTAGAAGTCCCTCCTACATACCACCCACACGCCATCGAACATGCTCGACGAAACGTTGAGCCAGTGGAAAGTTGGAGGGGGACTGGTTCGAAAAGAAGTGTACGTAATGGAAGTGAATTAATTAAGTGAACGCGAAGAGGGAGATCAAACAGTAGTCTCTGGGCACCTGGTCATGTTTGGTGTTCGAGGAGGGTAAGGGGGTGGGTTGTCCTCGAGAGAAGAATGGTGGGAGACAAGACGACGACGACAGGCGAGGAAAAGGTTGGATGCACAGTACAGATTTACCGCCGCCGTGTGTGGTTCCAGTTGAGTTGCTCAACTACTACTGCAACTGACAAATGATACGGGGACTTTACTACGACCGTATCAGATTAGCCTCGTGTCGGGAGCTGGTAGTATATGGATGACAAGGCATGTCAAACGTTTCTGTTGGCCGCTGCTACTGATGGCCTGTTCAAATGTGGATGTGTTGAGGGCCCATTCCAGTCGGCGAGGCAAAGACAAGTTGACAAGAGCCCACATCGCCGTTAACGCATGGACTCCCTCGCTCACATATCAACCATGGCCCACGAAACGTCGAGGTCTCTCGAGCGGTACGAAGGAGGTACTGTGCGTAGCACCGCTGCCGGACACAGCGGGTCCCTTTGCTTGGGGACATTGGCTCGCAATGGGCAATCCATTTGGGGTCCACGGCTGCTGCCCAGTGGTGGAGACAATCTAGGTGATCCATAGTGGATATTGAGACACATCTAACACCTGGCTGATGGTGACCCAAGCGATCCTCATATCAGAACGGCAGGAAAGAGCTGAAAGGATCTAGAAAGTCCAGACGAATATGTTACAACAACCTCTTTTGCGGCACGCACACAATAAAGCGGTGTGAGAGGGGTTACAGACAGAAAGGGTAAGGGATCGATTGATTTGATTTGGTTTGATTGATTGCCCTTCTTTCGCCGCCGCCGTCGCGTATGCAGGCCCGCTCCTGGTCTGGATGCAGTAGTGCAGAGGCTATTCCGACGTATGACAGCACATCTCTTTTACTCGCCGAGCTTCGTCGCATCCCACCAAATCCAGACGTGGGAAGGCAACACGACGTCGGCAGCGATAAGCTCTTGAATGGACATCCAGCCAGATCTTAACAGGGAGATTGCATGCGGCAATGACCGGGAGATTGGTCATGATGTCGGCAAGTTCCCAGGTATGAAGTGTTCATCAATCCAATGTTTGTCGCGTTCCTATTTTTTTCTTTGGATTCTTAGCTGGCCTTGGACCCTTGTCACTGCCAAGGGACTATAGTGGATCGAGTTCTGTCTGACCCTGTCCAACAATTCGGGATCCTGTCGATTGGCCGCCTCATCTTTTTTGCTTCGTTCAAGGCGGACCACAACTTTCGGTCGAGGCTGTCAAAATAGAGGGAAATTCAGTATCCCTTGTCTTTCACCTTGCTGGTCAGGGCCTTGCCAACAATAGCACGGCCCGCGCATCAATCCATCTCTTTGATGCAGCTGTGCGCGTGGCTCAAGTCCACATAATCCGAGTTCTGTTGCTGCATTGACGCGCTTTCGACGCAACACTGCATGTGTCGTCTACTGACCTGCCATATGTATCGGACAATATGTGTGGTCGATACCCCTCATGCGAAAGTGGGATGAGAGCCACCCATGCTGCATATTCTAGCGTATAACGTGGAGGAACGCGCTGGCAGTGATCTATTTCTTGACAACTACTTATGGTGATCATTCATGCAATCCGCCTCGTGCTATCCTCCTCCCAAAACCATAACCCATAACTGTCGATCCCACGGCTTCGAATCGTTACAATCTACGGAGCAACCGCCCAGCCCTTGGAGGAGACAACTGCCTCATTGCCTCATACAGACGCGACCAATCGCCGTCAGAGCCCTGGGCACGACGGATACGTCTCGTCCCAATCAATCATCGGCTCAAACACCGTTGCGGATGCTAGCCCCAAGATATCTTACGAACCGCACGTCGTTGGCCTGTCGCTCCAAAGCGAGCCTCATCATCTCCTTGTACTGCTGTTCCTCCTTCTCGGCCGCAATCTCTTCGGGTGTCTTGGTGTGATCTTCAAAGTCATCCGCCGTGAATTCGGGCTTGGGTGAGAACCCGACAAGCCCCAATCTCTCGCCCGTCCAAAAGAGGACATCATCATCATTGGCCTTAACCATGTCGTCATCATTGCCTGTCTGGGTAGCTAAGAGTTTGCGTGCTATCTCGCCCGAACCCGGCATCGAGGCGAAGAGTGACCGTTGTTGACACTTCTCGGGGTGTCCAATCAAGGTGCTGCGAACTTCGGTGAAGCCATCTCTTTCGACCCATTTCAGATACCCCTGGCCATCAGAAACCAAGATCCGTGTGCCATGGTTGATGACTGACAGTAGCTTCGACTTGGAGGCGGTCTGCCGGTTTTTCATAGTCGAGTCCAACGTCACCCCCGAAGTTTCATGGGGCGACAGACCATAAACCTCAAGAGAGCCTTTCGTGTGGTATTCGCCGCACGCGATCAGCGTCCGTCCGCCCAGCGGCGTGCTCTTGGCCGTGTCGACTTGTTCCTTCGTGAGCTCACCCCGGCGGCGAAGTCCACTATCGACGCTGGAAAAGGGGTAGGGTAGCGAGGCCAGGCTGCACAAACTCGCGCCTGAGTGAATAGATCCCGTGATAGCTGGAAACTTGCGGCGGTCGTAGTGTAAAATACTCGAGAAGCGGCCCGCGACGAGGATATCGTCCGATATCATATCCTTCCCTCCTGCCTGCTCGAGGTGTAGAATACTCAGTGGTTCCGACTGAGCCAAGGATGCGTAAGGTGGAAGAGGATCCGTCTCCCATATTTTGGAAAGGATATGAGAATTGTGGCGAACCAAATTATCTATACGCTCCTGCCGATCTCGCTGGACTTCGGATCTACGTCTTGAATCATGTAGGTGGAGGCCGTGAAACGACCCTACGGTGAGTGGTACACTTGGGTGAGCTGCCGATAGTGTTGTGATAGCCCACTCGTATGGCTGGTTCCCAACAATTTGTAGAGTTTCGAGGTCGACTTCCAAAAGATCTGTGGTACCATCAGCGGGGGTGCTCAAACTTGTCTACCAAGAAACTCACGGCTCTGCACGGCGAAAAAGGCCCTCTTTCTCTGGCTGTCGACGCTGACACATTCGGTAATCCCACTACTGACCATCTTTGACCGTCCTGACAAGTTGGATCCAGGCCCATCAACACACAAGAGACCCGGCGCGCTTTTGGAGAGGATGGAGCCTTTGCCACTGTGGGTCCCCTTGATATCCCACAGACAGACCGAGCCATCCTCAAGAGGTGAGACTGCGAAGAGTGCACCGCCTTCTTGAGAAGGTCTGTAGATTGCTGTGCCCTTGACTTCGATGGCATGTTTCCCATTCCCGTTTTTGGCCGACTGCGGCTGCTCGAACCAGCTTATGGAGACAGGACCATGTCGTTGGATGTACTCATCGTACCAAGACACCCTTTCATTTTCGAATGTTGGGTCCCAGTTCGCAGCGATGCGGATTCGCTCCTTCTCCAATGCCTTGCGAGACTTCCACTGAAAGTCAACCGGCAGGCTCGTCTTAGCTCCTGGAGCTTGCCTCTCCTGAGCAGTCAAAGCCGCACTCACGAGAGGCTGTCCAAACGATCCTTTCGATAAACTGGTGAAGCGGAGGCCTCGTCGGACGTTGATACCGTCGAGGAAAGAGGACTCAAGCAAACACCGGGTTCGCCAGAACGTGTCATCTCTGCATACTTTGAGGAGTCTTCTCGACTGACACTGGAGAGAAATGATATCCTTCGGCTCAAGGACTAGTGACCTGTTAGCTTAGCCACAATTTCGAAGGTATCATCAACGACCAACAGGATATGATATCCAGCAGTATCTCATCAGGGAGAGCTTCGAGATAGCATGAGTGGCCCATGTCTCCACCGATCCAGCTAACGCAAGTCCAAAGACAATTTAGCCACGGATCCAAAAGACAGGCAATGATGAATAGAGATGAGTATTCTAGACTATGCCATCATATGAAGAATTGGAAAAAATTCCCGTGAATTGGAGAACAACACGGCCAAGCTGGTTGATTGATGTCCGACGTGATGTCCGACCGCTGCCTCGAACTGACATTCGAACGTTCACAACCCCCTGCCCCGCATTCAAGGCTTATCGGTATCATCCATCACACAAAGGTGGCTACTGGCCCGTGCTGAACTCAGATTTATGGACCCATTCAAGCCAAGAGCGGGCAGCGGTCAACTTCCAAGTCTTAGACTTCCGAGGTTGATGATTGTCGGGGAGTTGCTCACGCTACGGCAAACATTCATGGTCTGAACCCAAGTTTGGGTTAAGGGATTCATGACGTGAATCATCTTTCAACTTTTGATTCTTTGCATCCCGACCTTCGGTTGAATTGATTTGTCAAAGACCATATTTATGGCTATTCTTCCATCTCCTTTGCTCTCCTACGCCTTGTGTATCTTCACCATGTTAGGTCTAGGATGAATAGGAGAGCTTCTCTCACGATAATTTCCTAGCGGTATTAGGCTTGAAGTCTCTCTTTGACAGGGATGGCCCCATGCAACCTGTATGGGCTGTTATAAGGGATTACGGCTTTGAATGGGGAGATATGTGCCCGGGAACAACTGGTTGTCTAAACTTCTGTACTATGCACAAAGATGACACTCGGATGGGCACCATTTACGCCTTTTTTGAAATTCAAGTGGCAACATTTGTGTCAATATGGAAATTCCGGCCTCTTCCGATTTGGAAGAAAAATCTGGTGGTCAAGTTCGTGGATCTAACATCTGTGTGCAACTACAACGGAAAAGCTTCATGTTGTCCCGAGGCTTAGCTCATTTAGATTTGTTAGATACTAGTCAATAATACTGAATCCTTTCAGAATCGCAACTTGATACTTTCATGGACTTGGTCCTGATCAAAATTTACAGTCTTGTAGATGTGCGGATGGGCCTGCTATTATATTTCAAGATCCATTGGCAGCTTTGACATAGGAATGAAGTCTAGCATGATACACACTGCATGGCATCCATGGATTGTTTTATTTTACCCCAGGCCCAGGTCTAAGCTTGAAACTTGAAGCCAAACCGAGACATACTATACTAGTCATTTCCAAACATACTCAGTAGAGGTAATGGGGGTTTGGGGGGTTCAGTGTGAGGCTGAAGAGCACATTCATCGTTATTGGCATATATACCGCACTATAATACTTTAACAGCACGGAACCACGTTATTTCTGAACATAGGTAAGGAATCCGAATGCAGTTCACAACTCCATGTCGACAAGGAACCAGCTACTGTTAGCCTGCACATAAGGGTGATGTTGACCAGTGAGTCAATACCCAAATTTGTTTTCTGCGCCAATCTTCACAGGGCCTCAAATCCAGAAGCCAGCTGGGCCTGGCAGCTTTGAAGTAACTTTCACTCTGCATAGGTTCTAAGAGAAGACTGTTGAATGATGGGGATTGCGTAGAGTTTCTCAAATATCAGCTACAGCCAAACGTGAGGTCGTCGTGGCGGCGATGTCAAGGACACGTCGCGTCCTCGTGAAGTTGCCGCACAACTCATCATTATAGCCCTTAGTTTCTATTCACTCATGTGCTATAGGGCAATCCCAAAAAGTCCGCAGCCGAACGCACAAATCGGGAAATAATCAAAGTCGTCATTAGGTACGTTAGTCAACTCTTCGACGGCAACATCGTGAAGCCAGCTTCTATAAACTCAATTAGTTCTATAGACATTTAAAAGGACTATATCTAACTAAAACATCAAATTGGAAATCCAGGCCTTGATTTAACAGTGTGAAATCTATACTTGGTACCAATAATTCCTTGCGTCCGCTGCTATTGGACTTGCCAGGGGCTACAGTTACAGACACCGATGTCTTCATTCAGGAGTATTAAGCCCTCATCTTTGATATTGTAGACGAGCTTGATCCTTGTAACAGACCAAGATCATAGCTGAATTGTAAAATCGGGTGGTTTTGTATATCCGCTGGCATGTATTACCACCAACTCGTTGGCAACCAAGTGGAAGGCATTTTTGATTATAGGGCTCCAATGACAATTGTTAAGTTAGACGACTTGAATTCACCTTTGTCAAGGTCGCGCGTATGATCTTGCAACTTGTCGCGTCTGTACTCGGCTTAACCCTTTTTCCAGACCTCCAGCTCCCACCAGCCCTGCCCCAATACAAACGCACAACTCCTCAAGGAGTTCAAGTGAAATTGAACCGTTAATTTCACGAGTTTTCAATGCTCCAAAGTCGAGTGAAACTGTTTTCTCGCTTGGGACAATTTGAAGCTTTCTTCAAGTGCCATTTCGGTCTCATCCCCAAACACCTCCATCGTACTTTCCCACCCACGTCTCAACTCTCCAGAGTTAATCATCAAGATTGCATCCATAAAGCCACCGGCAGCAGCCTGTAAGAGCGAATCCATCGCTCTCGCAGGCCGAGCTTTCGTGGGTCACCCTCCGCGAAATCTTGGTACGCTGGAGCGAACCTCGAGGTCAGTCACCCGACCCGTTCTTTCCCATCGTCTCGTCTGCTAACAACACTTGAAGGGATGTCAACTGCTGCAGAAACTTTTGATAATTGATCTCTGGGCTCGTAACATCTTCTTCAACCAGGTCATATACTTCTGACCGGAGAACTCATCTCTGAGTGATTGATTTAATCAGTATTCATCTTCAGGTTCGTCTTTGGCTTCCCTTCCACGCCTTCCATCCTCTCCAATGATGCTATTGGCATTCAACCTGAGACAAGCTCTTCTGACTTCGCGAAGCAACCCATCTGCAACCATGGAAAGCAAGCAGGCGCGTGATGAAGGAGATTTCTTCCCTTTCGCGGCTTCCTCCGGGAAGTCGCCTAATACCCCCAAAGAGCAGGAGCGACCCGGCTTCAAAGGTTCCCGTAGCATCACCCCCCGTGGGACGCTCTTCACCAACCTCGATGAGGCGCACCGTAAGATCACCTCACGACTTCCCTCTAACAATCCTTATCGCAAGCCTTCGGGCGGGAGCCAGTCGGCCCAGGACATCCCCTCTCAAGACCTTTCGACTCCCATAAGCATGCCGCCCGACAGTGGAGTTGCAATGATGAAACCCAACCATGGTCTGCATCAACATGCCACAGAAATTGTCCTGCCCCTTCCTTCTCCCCAGAACCCCAACAGATCATTGGCGGATCGTCGAGCTGTGAAGATCGAAGGTCCATTGTCCACTCATGATGACAAGAACAAGAATTTTGCTGTAGCTGGTTCTGCATCCGCTGAAGATATTCTGCCTGATGATTCAAATGAATTCAGTCACCCGGGCACAGAACCCAGCACTGTGGACAAATTTGTGGTCCAATATGCCGTTGGAAGAGGTAGTCGTGGTCGATCACTCAGCATAGGGAGCTCCGAGTACCACGGATACAGCTATTCCAGCCCGCGCAACTCGCTGCAATTTGACCCCTACTCTCGTGATGGTGCAACCACTCGGTTGGGGTTCAATGATGAAGAAGAGCGGAACCGCTTCAGCCGAGACCTGGAGCGAGGTCTGCCACAGGTATGTGTTACTTTTCACATTGGCCTTTTTGGCACAGCAGCTGACCTTTTAAGTGGTGCGATGAAAGCGAGTATACCTCATCTGAGCTGCCGCAAATTCCTCTGCCGCACCGCCAATCAGTCGTGGCTGGTGATGAAACATTAATGCAAACAACGAATGTCGCCGATGCACAGGGACTGTTGAATGCAAACCCAGATAGCAATGAGATCCCACCGGCGGTATATGATCTCTTTCCTCAGCCGTTGCGTATACCGTCAAAGGATCGGGCGAGCTTTCAGAAATCCCGACCTCTGGAAGACGTGTTCAGTGATGCTGATTCCTCGTCCATTGGATATGATCCATCAACCGGGTCCAATGACGACCCGTTCAGATATGATAGCGCGAGGTACCGGGCATTCCTTAAGCCTGGTAAGGAGAGAGATGTGAGCCAAGCCCTGAGACATGTCAGTGGGGTCGGAACATATGGCGAGCATTTACTCAAGGACAGCAATGCCAATGAGCGTGCAAGAAAGGGAATGAAGAACTCTGCTCGTGAGTCACGAGACTTATCTGCACCTCCTCTGAGATCCAGAAAGTGGCTTGATCAATCCGAAGGTGGCTTCTTTGATCAAGACACACTCCCTGCTGATCAGGCAACGGTGGGGAAATCTCGTGAAGTCAAAGTGATCATCAACCACAACCCGCAGCCAGACAAAGGAAAGGGCAAAGAGAATCACGAGAAGAAGGAAGACAGCAACTTTGGCCTCACAATTGAGCGCAACGAACAGACAAGCGCCAGATTGACCAAAGACGCCACAAACGATGGCGATTGGGTGACCGAGGCCACCAGTGATATCGGATATGACCGTCAAGCTGCACCAGGGAAGCCCTTAAACTATGATATTAAGCCAACGGGGAGCAGCATTGCTGATTACTCAGATAACGATGAGGAAGCCATCCGACAAGGCATCGTGGGCTCCACAGAGCAGATCCTACATCACCCTTCCGGCGAATCCTTGTCTACCACCTACCGCATTCACAATGTAAAAGGCATGCCGCAGCAGGTCATGCTGCTTCGCACCCAGGTGAATCGTGTCAACGGATTTGCGCAGAATTCAATGCGCTTCAAGCCGGACGCGGGGAGGCTCAGTGGTCTGTATGAAACACCAGGCATGTTTCAAAAGCTATCGAAATCCAAGCCATTCCCAGGAAAGCCCTATCAACGTGCCGACAGCAGTAGTTACTTTACCAACAAGACGGATCGCACAAAACCCTCAAAGTATGATTTCCGTGATTCGACATCGGAGTATACTGTATCTGTGAACGATAAAAAAGTCAATGGCGATACCTACGCTGATATCCCCTCGACTTCCTTGGCTTCCATTGATACCGAAGAAGTTCTGAACGAGAACCCCAGTGGTGAACACATCGGAGCCCCATACCAATACCCTGTGGATAAGCACAACCAAGTTAATCAGAAAACTCTTGGGGATTCTCACCGGAATGGACTCGATTTTCCGAGACCGGATGAAAGCAGCATCTCCAGACTTGAAGCTCGACAACAGATGATGTATGAGGCCGACGGGAAAATCATACCTTTCCCTCCAGACAGCCAGAATTTTGGGATCACTTCAATCGGGTCAAAGTTTAGTTTCCCACTGTTGCCCCTTCGTGATGCACAGTCGCTTCATAAACAAAGACGTGAAAGTGGAGAGACTGATGAGACTGAGTCGGCTGCCAAGCGAAAGATGCGAGTCTACAGCGATCAATCAAGCCAGCCAAATATAACTCCCATATCACTATTACCACCATCTCCAGCTTACCTCAAAGGTAAGTCAGCTGTCCGACGAGGATCAGATTTCCGACGAGGGTCAGGCTTTCGAAGAGGGTCAAATGTCCGACGGGGATCTCTTTTGTCAACCACATTCACGCCCCCACATTGGGTCAATTCAGGTAGGTCACAGCCATATCGTTCTAGAGGATGCCAGCTAACTCTATGAGATAAACCTTCAGTTGAGGAGATCTCACCACTCTCTGATCCATCTCTTCATGCTACTCCCAGCGCTTCACAGGCAGCAACAGCACTGGCTAGATATGGAGGCGGTGAGGACACGCCAGCAGCTAAGCGTGGATGGTTTGTTCAGAACAATCCAAGAGTCTCAAAACTACAACGGGACAAGTGCGCACAACAAGATGACGCCGAGAACAGCCTGGAAATGATTGCCCGGCAAGGTGGAGCATACCGAGAAACTGATGAGTACATTTCCAACAGAGTCCGTAAGGCCAGCAAGCGACATACCATCTTTTTCTACGGACTCGTGGTGTTGTGTCTCATTCCATTCATCCCGCCATTTGCCCTGAAGGGCAAATTTGACAATACACTTCGCCATTTTACGAAGGGCCAAGTCAACCGACTGACATCCGACCAAAGGAAATTCCTCCAGTGGATGTGGCTTGTTCAGATTGTCCTCATCATTGTGGCCCTGACCGGATGCGCTACTTACTTTGGTAAGCCGTGAAAGACCGGAGTCGGACACTCTGGCCGGACAGCACAACTACTTCGACTCGTGCAGTCCCGGAAATATTAAAGACTCAGCTCCATCTTCTGAGCACCAAACCTAAACCCTGGGAAGTATTATCCCCTCAGCATATCCTGATCTGTTCTTTCGACAACTCACACTCGTTCTACCTTTGTTCCCACTGAAAATATAGTCACAACCACCATGTCAACGCACAACTCACATTGCAGCCTGCACCTCGAAGGTGCTCATCTCCTCAAGAAAGGCTACTACAATGCAACCTATCTCTTTTCATTCAATGAGCAGCTCATGAGAAAGAGTCCAGGCATTCTTCTTGTTTGATACCCCTGTTTTCTGCAACAAAAGGCAAACTCTTCAACGCTCTTTGAACCAACTTTGGCAGACCCTGAATTAACCATATCCCACGGAAAAAACTCCCATGAGTATCTGTACCAGTGCGGCAGATGCTAAAAGACCCCGGAACAAATCTCTCCCCATCGAGTTTCCTTGATTCGTCCGCTACGAGTTTCAACTGATCAAAACGAGATTCAATTCTCTTGAGCTTAAGTATCCCCTTCTCGATCCGGCATCGCCAGTAAATGGTTCCAGTCCTCCAGTCGTTCTTCGAGAAGAAACTTGGAGAATGATCCTTCACTTGACAGTTTCATTCCTCCGGTTACTTACTCACTAAGCAATACAGCTGGAGGATGATAGCAGTTGTTGACTTTGCAGCTTCTTCACTAGGCTAGGTACTTTCATTTCTCCAGTCACTTGCCAACGACACATCTGGAGGATGATGCTGGTCGTCGTTCAATTTCACCGAAGACACCACTTATCAAGCAAGCATATAGAGAAGCACATTCGAGACAGGCAGCACCGTCTAGCAGACCCTCTCACGAGGCTGCAAAATGATCTTTGTGGAGGAACTGGCAAGTATCTCAACTCGCTAATCTCGCAGCAAGGTTGCATACCCTAGAGAGATCTGATCAGTGTTTGGAAAGCCCCGTTCAACATCTCGCTGGCGTTTCGATATGTTCGTAACACACCAATGGAACTTCTTGTTGAGGGAGCTGGACATCATCATGTCTCGCTAGAACCTCTTGGCAAGCATGCAAACTGGAACCGGATATCACACCACGTCTCGCTGATCTCTTGGCAACGAACTGGGATGAGGACCGCCACGTCTCGCTAATATCTAAGCAAGGACGCGAACTGGGATGAAGGGACCTGCATTGAAACTGACAATCTGGACTTGGTCATGACTTTTGGTCTGCCAGAACTTGGATGTCTTTCCAGGAGAATGCGATGGATGCTGGATTTGGTCTGCGCACTTTTGATGTGCTAGGGAAGGCCTCATTTGGACTGACACTTGTCATGATTTCTGGTTTCTGAAAAATGTAGAAAAGCACAAAAACAACACCCAAAATTGGTGGTAGATGAATGGATGTCTATTGAGAATAAGTGGTGTTCAACGTGTCTGATCCTATTCATACTAGCCTTTGGGCCCTCTCGGGGCCCAACGATCTTACCGGATGAAGCACTTGGAAGAACCATATGTCCAATGATAACATCTCTTGGCGTGCAGCTCCGAGATACACGAAGAAGCCTGGGTGTGACCATTGCACCCTGGCATGCATATTGCGTCAGAGGAAGCAAGCTGGCGCAGCACTGAAGCGACGCCAACTCTCCATCACCCATTCAATACATTGTACACAGCCAGACCAAAGAACCAATTGACCCGCGACTTAAGACATCAGAGATGGGCATCCTACGAGGACGAAAGAGATTACCCCCGGCATCATATGTTATGTCTGGATCAAATATGCGACTCCCATATCTCCTAGACCTAAATGATCAAATGCCTGAGAGTACAAGAACCTCAATTAACTACAGATGTATCTGGTATGCCAACGCCCCAAAGCAACAAAGCCCTTCGTTTCCGACCCATACCATCATCCATCCATCCATTTTATTGATCTGAATCCACTTCTCCTCGCTGTGCGAGATATCAGAACAAGCAGCAATCAGGATTTGACGTCTTGCTATTCATAGACAGCCAAATAAGTAAACTAAAGTGGCCGAGCCGGCAAGAACGAGTAAAGTAACCTACTGGCCAAAAGAACAAAATCAAAATCCACAGCACGGCCAAGAGCCATCCATATCAATGTGGTCCAGCTTCTTCCGGTAATCCTCAACTCCTGCGTATGCATTACCTCTGGAAACATCCCAGCACATTTATCCCGCATTTGTTGGCTTCCGCTTCCATGAATCTGTTACAGCACCAAACTCAAATGCGGCCGGCCCATTATGGCTGCGCTTCGGTGACCGGCGTTGGCGCGATGCGTCTCTTCTTTGATGGCGCACTGCTTGCACCCTCGTCCTTCTCGCTTTCACTAGCATCCCTCTTTACGCCAGCCGTAGAAACGTAGTTGTTGCCGCTTCTGGGGGTTTCAGGAGGAGTGCTAATGGGCACACCAACCACCTTACCAGAGTTGGCAGCTGCGAGACTGGGTATACTGCCTCCAATCAAGGGCGGGTTGGTCATGGCCGCTGTCGAGGCCTGTGTGGCTATCGAAGAAGTACTATTCGACCGAGCCGGTGATGAGGGTCTCATACTGACAAACGAGGCGGTAGGAGGGGGCGATGGCGCCGCAAAGGAGCCTGCCGAGTTTCTGTGTTGATGCACCGGGCCGTGAAAAGGGGATGGAGGCGCAAAAACAGACGTCGGCGTTGGGGTCGGGGTGAGCTGGTTGGAGGAAACTCCGGCGCCAGCCCATGCTGGCGTCTTAGACGGCAGCAGCTCGCCAGTGTAGACTTGACCTAGTTCACCTTGCGTAAAGGATAGGGTGGAGCAAAACCCATCCGAAGATGATATTAACAAGGTCGTACCATCGCTTGACCTAAGCATTGTTAGCACGGTTCGCATGTACCATCGATCAATCACCGAGACCGTGTACATACCAAGCCAAATCAGTGAAGGTTGCCAGATGCAAATTACTGACAACACAGATGGGAGTACATTGTTGTGTATCGTAAAGAAGAACCGAGTCCTGCGTGGCCACCGCGTACACCACCCGATATGGCAGTGCGAATGCTTGTTTTGGCCCAGGGGTACTGGCATTCGTTTCCACGTTCGCGTCTGAAACCTTGGAGGGGGTGGTAACCTTTTCAGACTCAGATGCGGCAGAGGTTGGCGGCGGTGGTGGGTCCATGACTGAAGGAAGCGGCGAGGGTTTGGAAATGGGCTCAGGAAGTTCAGGAATGGGATCCTCGTCAGACGACGTGTCTATAGTGATGTGCTTTGTCACAGGAGGCTTGCTCCTGAGCGTATAGATAACAGGGGAACACTTCACGGCAACCGAAGGCTTCTTGTGTCCCGGCAGATGTGCCATGGGAGGTCTGTTGATACCACCGCGGGTGTAAATGTAGACAGTGTTGATGACCTCAGATGTAGACTTCTGCCCATCGGCCGGATGCGTCATTTGGTATTGTCCAGCAGGGGTCAATAGCAGGCTACCATCAGGCGTGAAAGTCAGTCGTCTGAAGAAGGAGGTCAAAGTCTCGTTGGCATACAGACTGGCATTCTTTGAACCCAGACTGTAGCTCGGCTTCGGCGACGGCTCCATGGGCATTACTGCGGGTAACGGCAATGACGGTGCAGGGGAGACAGATCTGCGTGACGAGAACGACGAACGTCTGCTGTGACTGACGGCGCTAGGCGGATTCATGGGCAGCGGCACAGATAGAGGAGTGCCAGGTGCCGATGGCACAGGCGAGCCAATGGAGGCGATGGGTGTGTCGGCGGCAGCGGCTGCAAGCTGAGCTCGATATCCACCGAGGCCCGTCTCCATGGGGGCTGGGCTACTTGACGAGATACGCCGCGGAGGAAGGTCCATTTTGGCATGGCTGGCCACTTTGGTCGTCTTCTCATCGTGGCTGGTCAACGTGTACTGGCCATCTTTGGTCTTCAGCGAGTAGATGTGCACAGAACGATCCGACGACTGTGTGGCAATGTACTCGTTCAGAGGGTCCCAGGCAACGCCTTGGACGTAGTGGCTGTGTTCTGCAATCTGGCGCACCAAATTGCCCGTTCCAGCATTGTATATACGGGCGACATTGTCCATACTGCCGATGATGAAGTAGGTGGCATCTGGTGACCAGGCCAGGTCATATATTTCAGCACCCGACGATCGACACATGTGCTTCGTCCGCCACGTTTCCTTATCCTCCAGCCCTTCGTTTCCAAAGGTCGGGTGGTGCGTGTCTGATGGCACCCAAAGGATGACATTGCCATCGTCACCGGCTGAAGCTAGCATTTCCCCTATAGCGAATCATCTTAGATCAGCATCATTCTGGCAAAAACAGGGGAAAGTCCAAGCTGAACTCACCCTTGGGCGCCCATCGAACGACATTGACAGCTTGCGTGTGTTTGGACAAGGTTGAGAGGTAGTCAACCTTGCGGTCTTCACCTTCTCCCTCTACCTTCCATATCTGGTTGTTTGGGTCAGCCTCGCGTCCTGACTATCTCGGCAGAGAGTTGCCCATACCCGAACATTGTTGTCTCCTCCTCCCGTAGCTAGTCGACCCTTTCCATGTAACTCGAAATGTGCCGAGTAGATGGGGGCGTTTTGGTCGTGCCAATTGATGATCAACGGAGTGCTCTTCATCTTGGCGTTTTGGGAGACATGAGCTTATCAGGAAGGGGGATGTCGCGCAAGGGTGATCAGGGTCGAATGATTAGAGACCGAGATTCTGTCGCATGAATCGTGTTAGAGGTCTCCAGCCCGGTGGAAAGCAGTCGAAGTGAATCTGGAGAGGTGGTTCAATCAATGGGGATCAAAGAAGAGTTGGTTGTGGTAATAAGGTTGTGCCCTCTCCCCCGCTATAGCTGCAGAAGCTCCTTGTTATAACCGCAGCTGAAGCGTGAAACTCAGGCTTCAGTGGACCAGGGCCAAATCGGACAATCGAGAGTTTATGTCGAAGCCTGTGCTGTTGCCAAAGGTGCCTGAAAGCTTTGTTCCTTGAGCATGCACTTGGGAATGGCTCGAGCAGCGCTGAAGCTCGGCTTCAGGACAACGGAGGGAGCTGTCCTAAATTCTCTCGGTGACTTTAGAGTTGGTTGGGCGGGAGCTTCTGAGGCACGGGTTCACTTCTGCATGTTGGTATCCGCGGGATCAATGGTTGTTATGAAGCCTGTTTGCATCCACGTTTAATGCAGGTGGCAAGTTGGCAATGATGAAGAAGAAACGTCAGAAAATCGTATTGATCTTGAACTGCAGCTTCAATCTGTTATCGAAGCACCTGGGATGGGGCGCTCAGCTTTCTCGATCAAACGCGACGTGTGGAGTACGTGTCCGGCCAATGACTTCGCGGCATTACCAGTACGGGAATCCACTGTGCATTACACCACTACTACGCATTTTCGGGCACTTAAAATGCCATTTGTAGAGACTAACTCCGAGCTGAGTGAGGTGAGGAGTCGCGTGTGTTTGCACGGTTGCTGACACGCTGCAAACATCGAAAATGTGCACGTCTTCTTTTGCGGCTATTGAATCTTGCTGTGCGACCGGATGAATTCAGCATATATATCACCTTAACCATGTTCCCTTTGATCATTCTACCGTTAATTTTACGCTCCTTGGATGAGTATGGATTGATCGACGTTTTGGTCAACCTTGGTTCAACAATTTTGTAATCTGCATGCTTCCCTCGGATAGTGTCCCCCGATTACTCTCTGGCCTGCTTGCCCGATCTGACTACAATGATGACAGATTCAGCTTGTCCTTCATCGCGACAGCATCCGGCCACCGCAACCCCATGCTACAGATTAGCAACCTGCACATATCGGTGAACATGTCTGATTGTTTCTGAAGCGGTACCGTGTAGGTAGCCTCACTTGAGATACGCCGAGCGGGATTGCCAATAGTCTGCTCAGACGACAGCCTTTCTCGGGTTTCAAGATTCGGTATGTGATGCAGCTGAGTACGACGCCTCGTTACTCACCTGGTCACCCTCATTTTATCTGTTGTAGTCCTTGCTTGGCCGATGGTATTGGCATGGATGATCACTTCACTTCAAGCATTTTGGAGCCTCCGATTGAACGGCTTGTGCTTATCTTCAAACAATGACCAACATATCGCTGAAGATCATATTTGTTCCAGGCCGTGGCTCTGACCTTTCGCCCTTCTCGACCCAGTTGCTTATTATCAGGTCATATGGGCAGGGGCATGGTCAAACAACCCCCAAAGTTTCGTCTAGCCAGATGTCTGAACTTGCTGATGTTCGGAGGAAGCAGCCCGGGGAGCGGTAGGAAACAACCTCATCTACTGAAGGACATCGTCGGCTAGTCCGTTCGAATATGATGCCCTGCAGAAAATGGCGCGACTTATCCATGCCATTAGGCCAGCCCTCAGTTTCGAGACGGTGAGCCTTGAACGGTATCGAACTTGCAGTTGCAGACATCAACTCCTGCGCTATGGAATTCAATGCCATTGGTCAATCAACGGAACAGGGGCCAACCAGGCGCAGATCTTGAGTTCGGATTGACCTCCTGGATAAACCACTACATCGAACTCGGTTGCACTGCCACATTCTAGATGGACACACTATAGGTGGTCAATCCGAATGGAAGAAAAACTGCTCGCTGTTTGCAATTGAGCCACAATGACCGCCACCCCTCGTACTTCAAACCTTGTCCTTGAACTAGTAATTCCAATTAGTACAGTACCTTAAGTAAGTATGGCGAACAGTTACGAACAAGCCAACATCGGCTCATACCATAACCCCCTGCGACTGAACATGATACTGCACTCACAACAGGATGGGAAGCGGACAACATGATGTGAAACTTGGCGTGCATTCGGAGCTTAATTGGACTATTTCCGGATGCCCGGTTGCCCCACCCGAGCTCTACACAACTCCATCTTGTGTGGCAAGATGTTATATTGTATCGCAATATTCAGCATTGGCTCACACGAATCAGACACTATGTTGTGCAATCTGCTGCGACGACCTTGATTGGCCTCGACTCCACGTTTTGCACGTTTTGCCTGGCGGTTCCCAAAAATTGACCACAATGTAACGCCTGCCTGGCTGGTCCTACTTGATCAAACGATTGATGGGGAGTAGGGCCTGGGGGATTCCTGGCACGAAGTGTCTTTCAAGATCACAACCTTGAGTTGTATGACTCGCAACACAGTAACCACAGTAACATGAACTGAAACATTCACGATACCTACCGCTTTGGTCTGTATTTGCTCCAGGTATGGGCAAACTCCAGATCACGTCCAACTGCATATAAGGAGGAGGTCGTTCGCCCAAGGCACGGCTCGTCGCTTTTCACCCGACGCCACTGCCCCCGCATGGCTCACTATCATCCTTCCTGCGATGTTCGTTTATGTCTCCATACATGTGCACCTTCCAATCCTAGATGGCCGCTAATGCAAAGTCTTGGACCCCATGCGACTCACTGCGAAATTCCGCTGGGGATGACTGTGCTTGCTTCATATGCCATCATGAACGGGAATGACCTCGACGTGCCTGTCGCATATCATCCATGCATCCCAACCACCATCAAGGCACCTCGGCCGAATCCGTTCCAGGTCATGCGCCCTTTTTACACTGTATCTCTACACCGCACCGATTCTTTCGCAAGCCTCACAGTTGATGATACATTTCTCATTAGCATGGTATCTCGTTAGTGCTGACCAATCGGACCGTCGGAAACTTCTTCCAGGCATCTTTTGCCGTTCATGGTCATTATCGTGCCGACCTCGCGCGCGGCGCAAAATGAGTCAAGCGGCGTGGTTGTCTATGACTTACCTGCCTACAAGTGTAATTTCCTAGTCTTTCTCTGCATTTGGTTCCATTTCCGTCGTTGTCTTTCGACCTGACAGGTTGATTTAATCCAACACTGCCCGGATTTGTCATAACCGTTTGCGTCAAACTTGAAAAACACCTGAGATTGGAATAGAATTGTATCCACAAACAGTGGGTTTAAAGTCACTGGTAACCAACAGCGGTTATTATCTAAAATCTCAAGCTGCAAGGGCTTACTATCCTGCCAACTAAAATAAGTTCTCTAGGCGGATTCCAGCGGTCCAATCGACCATCGCAACAGCCCGTTTTGGCGAGCTCGCCGCCGCGGATAATAACCAACAAGAAACAAACAGCCATTTGGCGCGACTTAGACGACACTGTCAAGTTCAACATGTCGGACACGACGATGTTGGCAATTGCCGTTACTGCGCTAGTGGCAATTGGGCTTTTCTCGTTACCTTCTCTACAACACTTGACAAGTCAGTTGCGACGACGAGATACAAAACCTGAAGTTTACGAGGATGATGATGGGAAAGCTACGCCGGAGGCTGTGGCGGCTTTCAGTACCAAAGTTCCCAAGGCCTTTGTAATTCTCTTCTCAATCATTGGATTATGCGTGTCAATTACACTTGCCGTACTCTCGACGCTGAGCCAAGGGGATGGCTTATTCGTTGAGAATTGGCTGGGTGTGGGAGCTTGGGTGAGCCTCGCGCGACAAAGCCTATGAAAGAATTTACTAAACATGTGTTGTATAGGTTCTCCTGAACTGCCAAATGGTCTCCATTGTCATGGCGTCCAGCCGAACGGGTTATAGGCTGGGTGGCTTCTCAGCTCTGTCCAGCGCTGTCCTCGCAGCAGTCCTTGTGGCCCAGGACAATCAGATCGCAGTGGATCTCCTGAGACATAAAGCAGGTATCTTCGCGATCCGAGTGGTCGAGACTTCAACCATCCTCGCTCTGATGTTCGCCAGTTTTTCTCTTCCTCGAAGGCCTGATGTCTTCCATGATGGAAAATTGGTAGACGGTGCATACACCAGGTCGCTTTGGTCCCGACTGAACTGGTCGTGGCCTGCAAACGTTCTCCGTGAAGGCAAGCGGAAGAACGACCTTGACCTGGTCGACCTTCCAAGACCCGATCACTACACCCGAGCAGAGGAAACTACGGCAGACTGGCTGAGCCGAGACTCCAAGGGGCCACTGTGGTTATCCATCATTTCCGCCCACAAACTCGGCTTTGCGATGCAATGGTTTGCTACGCTTATGGCAGCCGTGCTAACCTTCGGTCCTTACTGGTGTGTCCTTCAGCTTCTCCGCATCATAGAACAACGACCGAAAGGTGAGGCTTTCGGATACGGTGCTTGGATTTGGGTGGTATGGATCACCCTCACCATTCTCGCTCAGTCTTGGGTGGAATCGTACACGTTCTGGGTGTCCTGGGGCGAGCTGTCCATTCCGATCCGAGCGCAACTATCGTCCTTGATCTTCATGAAGTCGATGCGACGCAAAGACGTAAAAAAGGCTGGCAAAAAGGAGACATCGGTAGCTAAATCAACCGAGCCTACCGTTTCTGGGCCAGCGGGAGGGGTTATTGCTACCGACAGTCCTCAAGTGGAGGAGACGGAAGAAAACGAGGAGGAGAAGGTCAAGAAAAGCAAGCAGGCCGTGGTCAACCTAATTGGAGTGGACGCGAAGCGTGTCTCCGATTTTGCCTCGTTCAACTGCTTTTTCCCCGGGAGCGTGTTCAGGCTGATCGTGAGCTTGGCCCTTCTGCTTGATCTTCTGGGCTGGAAGGCCTTGGTGGCTGGGTTCTCGACTATGACCGCCCTAATTCCGGTCAACATATTTTTTAGCAAGCGCTACTCGAAAGCTCAGGACAACTTGATGAAGGTCCGGGATGAGAAGATGGGAGTTGTGTCGGAAGCCCTCCAGGGCATTCGGCAGATCAAGTTCTCAGCACTTGAGCCGCAGTGGGAGAAAAAGATTGGCGAGGTGCGAGAGAGGGAGCTTGGATGCATATGGAATGCCTTCATGAACGACGCCATGCTGATCGGGTGCTGGATGACGAGCCCCATCATGTTGGCAGCGGTTTCCCTGTCGGTATATGCAGCAGTGCATGGCGAACTCACCCCTTCCGTCGCTTTTGTCAGCCTGGGCGTCTTCCATTCGCTCGAAGTCACGCTATCGGCTATTCCGGAGCTTACGACGGATCTTCTGGATGCTTGGGTGTCGGTGAAACGGATTGATGCTTACCTCCAGGGAGCAGAAATCGAGAAGAACACCAAAGATGCTGATGAGGTAACTTTCGACAACGCAACGATAGCATGGCCATCAGACGACAAGGATGAGCGTTCCAACGAGTTCACCCTACAGAATGTGAACGTCAAGTTCCCCCGGGGTGAGCTGTCAGTCATTTCGGGCAAGACTGGATCAGGGAAGAGTCTGATGTTGGCTGCTGTCCTCGGCGAAGTGGATATCTTGTCTGGATCCATCAGCGTTCCACGAACCCTGCCGATAAAACAACGACACGATAGCAAAGCCAATAAGGCCAACTGGATATTGCCCAGCTCCGTCGCCTTCGTCGCGCAGATCCCTTGGATCGAGAACGCGACCATCAAGAACAACATATTGTTCGGTCTTCCGTTCGACGAGGATCGTTACCTTAAGACGATCGAAGTTTGTGCCTTGAAGAAGGACATCGATATGTTCACTGAAGGCGAGAAAACTGAGATCGGGGCCAACGGGATCAACCTTTCAGGCGGGCAGAAGTGGAGAATCACGCTTGCTCGCGCCATCTATTCCAGGGCGGGGATACTGGTGCTTGATGACATCTTCAGCGCTGTTGATGCACATGTTGGCCGCCATATCTTTGAGAGATGTCTGCACGGAGAACTTTGCGTTGGACGGACAAGAATCCTGGTGACACACCATGTTGCCCTTGTCGAGCCCAAGACGAAGTATTTGGTGGAACTGGGCGACGGTGGCGTGCTCAACGCTGGTCTCGTGTCTGAGCTCGCGGAAGCTGGTACCCTGCAACAGATCAAGAGCCATGAGCAGACAGAACTGGAAATGCAAGCCTATGAAGAAGTCACCGCCGTGAACTCCGAAGAGACGTCTGAAACCGATGGCGAACTCATTGGAGAGCCCCTCACCAAGGCTCCCTCAAAGGCACAAGGGCGGAAGTATGTCGAGGAGGAGACGAGAGAACAAGGGGCCATCAAGAAGCACGTTTACGCCACTTATCTCCAAGACAGCGGTGGCTGGTTCTTCTGGCTATTCATCATTATCTTTTTCGCATGCGTCCAAGCCTTCACCATCGGCCGCTCGTGGTGGTTGCGTATATGGACCGGAACCTACCAAGAAGAGAGCATATCGGCGCAGGATCAAAGCCATGCGTACACATACTCACTCAGCCTGCAGCAGATGTCTATGGATAAGATCGTGCAGCCCATGATTAGTACCTCTGATCACAGCCTGGGTTTCTATCTTGGCATTTACGTGCTGCTGGCTCTTGTCAGTGCTATCCTTGGCACGGTTCGGTACTACTACGTCTTTCTCGGATCCATCCGGGCTTCCAGGAAAATTTTCGCGAGGCTCAACTTCGTTGTACTTCGGGCGCCACTACGTTGGCTCGACACCGTACCAGTGGGCCGAGTATTGAATCGCTTCACAGCCGATTTCAACTCCGTGGATTCGCATATGGCGTACAGTCTGGCCTTTGGTTTCTCCAGTCTCCTCAACCTAGTCGGTGTAATTATCGCAGGTATTTTTGTGTCCCCCTTCATCATCTTTTTGGCCTTCTTCCTCCTTCTTATCAGTCTTTGGTATGCCTTGCAATATCTGGGAGGCGCAAGGCCGGTGAAACGACTGGAGAGTACCACCAAGAGCCCCGTGTTCGAGACTTTCAACGCCGCCCTGAACGGTGTGACGACCATCCGGTCGTTTGATAGGACGCAGCCGTATATCGAGCTCATGTTTGGCAGACTCGATGATTGGTCGGTGGCTACATGGCATCTCTGGTTATTTAACCGCTGGATGGGCTGGAGAATGGCGGTTGTGGGATCTTTCTTCGCTTCCATCGTCGCCATTCTCATCCTGCTGACCCCGGACATGCATTCGGCCCTGGCTGGGTTCGCCCTTGCTTTTGCGTTGGACTTCTCAGGAGCTGTCATGTGGACCATCCGGCACTATGCCAATATCGAGTTGGAAATGAACGCCGCCGAAAGAGGTAAGCCGCCGACTTTGATATGATTCCACAGTGATTCGTGGCTAATATTGGTTTAGTCGTCGAATACACTGAGCTGCCGACCGAAAGTCTCGAAGGCGAGAACCCGCCGGCCGCATGGCCTACAGAGGGGAGCGTCGAAGTCAACGACCTCGTTGTCGGCTATGCTACCGACCTACCCCCAGTTCTCAAAGGCTTAACCTTCAGCGTGAAACGTAACGAGAGGGTCGGCGTTGTAGGACGTACCGGCGCCGGCAAGTCATCTCTGACCCTGGCCCTCTTCCGCTTCTTGGAGGCAAGATCAGGCTCAATCCATGTGGACGGTCTTGATATCTCCAAGATCAAGCTTCACACTCTGAGGAGCCGCTTAGCGATTATACCACAGGACCCAGTACTTTTTTCGGGTACTGTACGGTCGAACCTGGATCCTTTCGATGACCACACCGACGCCGAGCTCTACGACTCGCTTCGCCGCGTTCACCTCGTCACTGAGGACAAGACCTCGCCCGGCACTCCGGCGCAGACACAAGACACGCCCAGCGAAAACGAAGGAGCCAATAACAAAAACATCAACGTCTTCCGCGACCTGGGTTCAAACATCTCAGAAGGCGGCCTCAACCTTTCCCAAGGCCAACGCCAACTTCTCTGTCTAGCCCGCGCCATCGTGTCGAGGCCAAAAGTCATGGTCCTTGACGAGGCCACGAGCGCAGTCGATATGCACACGGACGGGCTGATTCAGCGGTCCATCAGAGAGGAGTTTGGGGGAAGCACGTTGATGGTGATTGCGCATCGGCTGAGCACCATTGCGGATTTTGATCGGATTTTGGTGCTCAGTGATGGGAAGGTGGCGGAGTTTGGGACGCCGCGGGAGCTGTGGGAATGCGAGGGTGGGAGGGGCGTTTTTAGGGGCATGTGCGAGGAGAGTGGGGAGGTGGAGAGGTTGAGGGAGATGTGTTTGGGTGGGGGACACGGGAATTAGGGGGTCGAGGTTGAAATGAGGTGGTGATATGAAATGGGATAGGACGAGGTGAAAATGATACACGCGGAATAATGCGTGAGGTGTTTTCATTCATGGTACATATTCGGGTTATGTTTATGTTAAATTTGAGGAGTCTAGTGGTGTGCGCCTTAAGATGGCCCCTAATTTGATCCATGGGGAGATTGGTGACATTAGATGACCACCTACCCATACTGCATCTCCTTTGGTACACGTCAATCTGACATTTGAAGTTATGCATGCAGCCCAAGGCCCAGGATCAGGCGAGCCGAGATGGTTCAGCATTTCGATAGGCTCTCTATCACATATCTGTAGGAGGACTAATCGATACGTAGACGCTTCATATCTACCGACTTCAACGTCTTATCGGCAATATGACGAGAACCGCGCCGGTAAGGGTTTCCTCCCATGCGGCTGTCAAGAGCAACCAAATTCAACCGTTGCCTTGATGATGAATGGGTCCCACCCGTAGGATGACCACGAGGTTCAGTCGGGAAACTCTGAAGCTTCAGTTTGCTTGTCGGGTCTGAAGCTCAGTGCTAAACAACGAAATCCTCCCACGTTTCCCCACATTTCCCCGAAAAAATATAGAGAGAAAAAAAAGCTCATGGGTCGCCAATTCATTTGTGTGTGTTCTTTTCGTTCAGCGTTGGGGAATGGATGGGTAATGGTCGAGGCAATTAGCAGGTGTTCGGAGAGTATGTCCCACCATTATCGACAACGAGCCAACTACATCCACTCTTCATATCGGAGGGATATACGGGGGAAAGTTTCTTTAAAGGGTTACGAGGGGTTCGGCGTTTTCCTTTTTGCTTTTACTAGAGTATAGCTGGCCATAAGGCATTCTTTCATTATACGGGTCAGTTCAGGCTCATTGGCATAACCTGAAGGCGTTTGGCGCAAGATTGCCTCATGAACGCAGACATGAGCAATGATGGGAAGCTATTATGAATATGTGCTAGTACTGAAATTCTATGTATGAGATATATCGCGTTAGGTAGACAGCTAGCAAAGACGTGCCCCTTTTTCCACGATGTGACCCATGCTTGCCGAGAACAAACCATCCAATCCTCATTCCCCAAAGGTCTCTTGATCAAAATCCATTCCTACTAGACGCAATCTCAGAAAATCCCCGGCTATAATTGACTAGCGGTAATACCGTACAGCTCATTGACCCATTGCATTTACTGCATCTGTAGTTGTTTGATGTTTCTATCTTATCAATCGCCTGATACCTTCGCTGGTATCGTCGCTTTCCCAATGAACTCCTGGCAAGTCACATGGACGCTTCGGGGAACTCTTCTGGGTGTTGGACACGTCCCACCATGTTGATGCAGCGATCTTAGCCAACAGGGGCGAATCTCAGACTAACAAAGAAGATGCAGAAGGGCAAGACGAAAGAAGTTTTATCAGGGCGACTTTTGTAATGCTGGAATCCCCGTGTTGTTCGAATTTATTTGTTTCTTGAGAAAGGAGAATGTTTCTGTTGTTCTCGAATCCTCAGGCCGCATGCAAGTACCTACCTTGAGGACTATTTGCCTGGAGAGACTTGCGGAATCGGCTGACTGGTTTAATGCAGTGAAGGTAGCTCTAAGCAGTGAATAATAAGGTACAGTACTTATAGGACCCCCGTATCGTAGATAATAGTAACTTAATAGTGTACTGGCTACTGTCAACTGCTTTTCGATATTACTGTTAATTTGACACTAGAATCTGCGTATCTTCAATGTTGCTGATGTGTATCTGATGACTGCAGTGTGACAAAATCTGCGTTGGACGTACATGATGCATGTACATGCCCAGGCAAACTGGGGCTCACCCCATTGATACCAACAAAGATGCAGGGGCATCACTCGAAATGCACGCATTGGTTTGACTCACAGAAAGCCAACTAACCCGTAAAATCACAGCCGAGCCATGAAGAGCCAGCCAGCTAATCAATAGACAGCGAGCCGACTTATAGGAGGCCCAATCTACCCATAAGTGACGGAGCAATTCATAGCCATCTTATACACTCATGATAAGACTTGGACATGACCTGCTTGAATAAGGACCATGTGACCCTAGAAGCGTCGTGTTCTTACCAAATCTGGATCGAACTTGGCGGTCCCATGAATAGATACACGAGAGCTTCCCTGAGTACCGAAGTGCGTCCACTGTTGGGTGTATTTACATTCATCTCTTCGTACAGCCGTCTGGCGTTTTCCTCGGCTTTTCGTCGAGGCTGCAGGGTTACAGCGGATACGGAAATGAGCCAATACCCTCTGAGGATGTCACAATTGCATTACACTACAAGACGAAAATATATCGCGGGGGATGCAGTATTCAAGCGAATACATAGTGCGGACTAACGAAACCGAAGCAAGCGAGCCCAACCGACGTTGGCCAACGGGCACTCGTCAAAGTTACTGTCTGCAACCGCACTTCTGGAGAGACGCGATGCCTGGTACGCATCACATATCTTCATGCAGGTCAGCGACAGCCGGCCATGTGATCTCGCGCCTTCTTCCCGCCGGTGACTCAGCTTTTCTAGTCCTGCTGATATCTTGCATTTGGGCAGAATGCTTCCACTAATGATCACCGACCTGGCATGTGTCTGCCATAATTCACCAAAAAAGCCATTCGCTACAACTCACCCAGGTTTTCAAAAACACTTCTGCCAACTTGACGACTTTGGAAATTCAAAGTTGCCCTCCGCGCCATGGATTGTCGCTGCCAATGCGGGGACATCGACTTTAAGACCCCGCTCGCGAAGCCCCTCGCGCTATACATTTGCCACTGCTCTGAATGCCGCCGCCAGAGCTCATCTGCGTTCGGGACGTCGGCCATCTTTCCCAAGTTTCAATTGCCGCAGTTTGAGAGCTTGGCGTGTTATTCGTAGGTGCTCTCCGCGCCGTAGCGGTTCAAACTGGATTGATGGATCGATTGGAGGCTCGGTACTGTATGGAGACTGACTAGAAGACTGAACGAGCAGACGACCAACTCCGTCGGGTCATACTCTGTACTGGTGCGTTTTCCGCGCCGGGGGATGAACTGTTCAGTTGTGAGAAGGATGGTTTACTGATTCGTGTAATGTGCAGCTATTTCTGTCGGAATTGTGGGACGAGATTGATTCATACTACACCTGTAAGATTCCTCATTTGATTCCACACTGGTGTAAACCTTCGTGTCGTGCCATGCCATGCTATCTATCCCCAACCAATACGACAACATGACAACATGCTCATATTCTTCCAGGGCAAGAATGTAGTCTCCGTCAAAGGTGGCTGCATCGAAGGCCTCGACTGGAAGCAAGCCATTCACATCTGGACCAAGTCCGCCATGGTTCCCATACCGGAGGGCTGCGAGTCGCACTCAACAACGCCATCCGAGTCGTCCGAGTACTTGGGATCGCAAGAGATGCTGGATCAACCACCGGACAATCCGGGGTTGCTCACTGGAAGTGGTACATGTCACGATTCTGAATCCTAGTTGTACTGAGGAAGTTGCAGAAGCTTACACGTGCGAAACCTTCGAGGAACTGGCTACTGGAGTCGGATGCTGGCACACTACAATATTGAATTGGACGGTGCAATGAGAGGCAACGGGGCTTAGCGCATGGCTAGGATCGAGGTCGCATGGGGATGGGCCAGTAGAAAATTTATCTTTGGAGCTATTCATTAGCTGCCAACCAGGTAGTTCTGTCGTATATCCTATATGTCGTCACAAAATACCCAAGTCTGATTCATATGCGTCCTATCAATAACTTTCCGTCAGCCTTTCCCCACTCTGCCGGTTCCCCGGATTGCCACCCTGGCCCTCCTCGGCCGAGTTCTGTCTTTGTCCTTTCGCAGCGTCAGAGTGCTTGGCCGGGTCAAACACGTAAATTGGTAACTCGAGAAATATGGTGCGTTTGATAATTATAGGTAGATATTCGTAGATTTCTGGAGGGAATGGGATAAGGATGCTGGTCCGGCTGAGGTAACGCTTGTAGCCCTCCCAGTTGTGGTCGTTCTCATATCGCTTCTTCGCTCCGGGCCTCTCCGATAGAGTGAGCCCCGAAACGAACATGAGCAATATGGTGAGGAAGAAGGGCCCCACAATGGTGGCGTATAGTGCTTTGAATACCTGCCCACCGACATAACCATCTGCCGCGGCGGAGACAGCGATCATGTAAATTGCTGTGGCTGATCAGTACGTGTCGCACGATAATCAAAACCAGTGGTTCTTCGACTTACAAAACTGAATAATGATCTCCCCAAAATAATTCGGATGTCTGGAAAAATAAAAGAACCCCGTATCACAAATCGCCATTTTGTCATTCCTCTGCCGAAACACAAACTTTTGCACGTCGCTTACGCTCTCCATGACGAAGCCAATAGCGAACAGAACCACGCCCGCAACGTCCCGCCCCGTGCCAAACGGCACTTGCGGGTACTGCCGAACATTGGGCGAGTTCAGAATCGTGACGGGAAGCGACACGGTCCAAACCCAGATCATCTGGAAGATCCAGAACCCCAGGAAGGGAAAGAACTTATCGCGCTTGTCGTCGAAGCGATCGTCTTTGCCTGTTTTCAGGATGCGAAAGAGGAGGAAGCCCGAGAGGCGCAGGCCCCAGGCCATGATGAAGAGGGAGGCGACTATTTGGCGCGCATCGGGAGTGCCGCTGAACGAGAGGGTTATAATGGCTAGGACGACGAAGTTGGTGCCGCCGGCGAAGTCTGGAAGGGATGTTGGATGATGTTGGCCTTTATTTGTTAGGAAACTGACTCACCTGTTAACTTGTCGAATTTGAAGGTAAATGCTACGGCGAAGAAGATGAGCTGATAGGCGACGGTGATGAGAAGGGTGATGGCGAGATAGTAATCATCGAGGACGTGAACGGTGCTCGCCATCTTGGCCAGCTGCGTGGAAAATTATCGCACAACTGTGTTAACTAATAGATCGGGTTGTGAGAGGTGCAAGTGGGCTTGGGATCAGGTCAACTGAGGTCAACTGAATTCTGAAACACCGGGACTCGGGAGGTTGAAGTACTCGAACGCTGAGGAACTTGAGACGGTTTGCTGTGCCACGTGCTACGTTTTCCGTATTCATTGATGATTCCACATCTCCCAACCATGACTTGCAATTGAGTTGTGGACTCTATAATCGAATATCTTTGGGGTATTTCCTGTGAGTATTGAAAAGTCATGGGCGTCATCGCTAATCTTGACGATTTGGGGAATGCATGCCAAGCTTTCTTAGCGGGTAACGTCGCTGATCCACACGCATCTTGGCCCCGGTCGCCCAGACAGCCCGGTTCAGCCTTAAAACGTTCGTCGTGAAGTCAGTCGTCTTCCACGTCAGCATGGACTCGTCGGGACTCCTATCACACCGAATATCCTCGCCCATTTCTCACTGCCGCTGATCCCTTTGGACAATTCCCTGCCTGCTGCCCCCGTAGAGATCAGAACCGAACGTCCTAGACCAAAGCCTGCTGGGTATCTTGACCCTGTCATCCCTTGCGGCTCCTGTGAATGCAAATTCTGGTCTGCCGGGTTCATCGGCGAATGTCGTGATGATTTCTTCAAACTAGCAGCGGCAGCCGTCGAAGTGAGGAGCCGGTCGTCAATAATGGACCAGTACAGCCGGCTCCACGGCTCCTGACCGGCGAAGAAGGCTTCATCGAATGGAGCGAGTCCGGGTATTTCTTCTTTAGAAATTCTCGCAGAAGCCTGCCGTAAAAAGAGGACGTACGATTTTGCGAGGCGCACGACGTCGTTCACGCGGCAGTCGGGACGTTGGCCATTGGCCGTGCTCCATAACCGAGACGAGTGGTACGGGTGTGAGGGCTGTCGGGCATTCCCTAGATCCGCAAATACCCAGTGCGTGTCTGCCTCATATGACTCGTCGGAGAAGCTGACGAAGATATTGTCTGGTTTAATGTCATCGTGGCAAAGGTTCTGGCTCGTGTGCATCCTGTCCAGGGCCGTGAGAAGTCGGTTGAATGATGGACGAAACCGAGCATCGAGGTCCCGGTAGTTGACGCCTTCAGCGCGAAGTCTGCCTGCTGATTTTTCCAGATTGCCGGCTTCGAAGAACGGGGTAACAAGATGCCACTGAGCAGAAGATCCGGCTCCAGCAAGGAAATAGTCCTTGATCGAAACGAAACCCAACGCATCGGCATTTTCATCTTCTGCTACCATGGACACGTTTCCGAGCAGTAGCGACGCAGGTATCTCGGTTGGCCAACGCAAGCTTGGATTTGTGTCTGGCACACAGTTGCGCAGCGGACTCCGCATAGTGAAGGTCTTGACGACTGCGTTGTCATAGATGAAGGTTTCTCCCTCGTATCCGGAGCCCAGTGGTTTCCATTTGGCCCGATTCTCCCAGAGGTGATCCGGGTCTTGGGAATGATCTTTTGATGCAAATTTCCATTGCGCTGTCGAATTTCGCAGAACATCACTACTGAACGCCGTCGGGCGATATTTGTCTCTCAGAGCCTCGCGATACTCGTGGTGTACGAAGACAAGGTATGCTGCGACTAGCATGAGGACAAGGGCTGACTGGCGCTTGACCGACAAGCGAAAATACAGCCGGATTCGGGTCAAGACTCTGCGCCGTGCTGTCGCAAGTCTTACACGTTTTTTGGAGACCTCCATTGTTTTCATTCGGACATGCTCGGACTTCGTGCCTCACGATCGGTATGGATTTCATTTTATCGAGTTGAGAATCCAGCTTGCTTTTCAAGAATGTCGCCGGTCAACGACAACTCATAAGTAGCACCGTGTCATCATTTACTGGTCACACCTGGCCACATTTTCGTCGAATAATTGATGAATCATATACATCAGTAGAATGATCCAGAATTAATACCGTACGAAATATGGGGTCACCACACTTACAGCATCAGCTGCCCCATGCGATGTCTAACCAATTCAAGGCCTTTCGTCGCCCGAAGTGATATAATGTACAACAAGCAAACCCAATCACAGGGACGTGCCTCCAAGCTGTGTTTGATGTGTAGCTTGTTTCTACGCCATCTGAGATCGTCCTCGGCATGGCCCACTCAGAGCCGCCGGTTCTACATGCTTGACTACATCTAGTCTAGCTCATGTGACTGCGCTGTGGAACTCGAGAACGTATTGTGGATATCATAGATGTCAACTTTTTTTTAATAAATAAACTAAAAAATCATAGGCTTGGGTTGCCGTTGCTGCCGCTGCCGCTGCCGCTGCTAGGCCCAAAGCAAGATGTCAGAAGTTCGAGGTCGGTGTATCTGCTTGGTCAGCCTTGGCCGACCTGCTGCCGGGCATTCCGAACGGGACTGCTGATTGGTGGGTGATGTTCAGATGGTATCACTGCTGTAAATTCTTGGATGAGTCGCGTGCCCTATCTGTTGATTAGAGTGTTTGCTAAATATCTCGTGAATCTTGATTTTCATGTTGTGCGAGGCACGTTGGCGGAAAGTCTAGCGGCCGGCTTACACGGAGTTTAGGGAAATACCAGAGTACCCCAAAAGGACCAGCTCAATACAGAGCGTTCTATCGGAATCATGTCTTGAATTACAACCTCCGTAGGCCTGGCGAACAGGGGAAAAGGTGAAGTTTTAGGGAGTCATTACTAGGTAACAACCGAGTAACACTTCCATGGACTTCATGGCCTTTCTACTGGTCGTTCTTCAGGTCTCATGTTTGTCGTGCCCTTTTCGTCAGTCGAGGTCTAATCTTCCAGGCATCTCTATCTCTCCGCGAGTCTCTTGCATTGATCGTTGCTTGTTGGTTGGCCAGCCCCTATTTCACCAACCCCGCACCCACGTCGAGGCCCCTCGTTGTCTGGGAGCCTTCCACCCTTTAACTATTACTGAATCGTTGTTCGTCAATTAGACTGCATTTTTTCATCATGAACGTGATTTAATTCCATCCCGTGAATCCCAGAAGGTGCAGTAGAAGAAAAACCAGCTCAACTCGGGATGCCAATATCGATTGATTGGGCATATCGGTCCTCGTCAATCAACTTTGGTTCAATCATCTGCACCCTGATTTTGGAATCTACAAGCCATTTGATCCTGTGCCATGGAGATCATGGCGCCAGGCTCACGAAAATCTTCGACGATATTAATATCTGAAGATATTTTCGGGTCACAAACGTTGTTGACGTCGTCATTCGGTATCGAGGCTTTATATCATGCTGTCACCACAGTGCTCAAATCTTTGTTCGAGTTCCACAAAGTCAACCGGTCCACGAAGAGAGATAATCTCATCAACTTGAACGGACAGGTCAAGAACGACGAGGAAGTCAGTCATGGACTGGACGAAGAAGCCTCCAATTGAAGGCGCGGCCTGAGATCAACATTATCGCAGGCTGATCAGTTGCAGCCCCGCCAGCTCTGAGAAAGCATGGATATCGTCGGCGAAAGATTCTGCAACGATAAAATTGGTCTGTTGCGGGACCGACTAAGGGATCCATCAAAGTATGACGGCAGAATCAGGTTGCCCTCGGCGGGTTCAGACTGGTACAACTCGACTTTCCAGGCGCTTAGATACCAGACCGACACATTGAGAGTACTGCAAACGGTCATTAGCCTGCTATAGGAGTGATTTCAACTCTTAAGGACATGTTACCGACTGCTCGTAATTATGCATTAGCACTTTCATCTTTGACTACGGACCTCCAGGTCCTGCTCAAGCAACCACCTAGGTGTGAATCAATTCAGTCTGATGGCCGGTAAAAGAACTAACAATTGGTGGAAGGGTACTGAAGACATGGAGGATATTCTGGATGGGTGCGAAGCATTGCCGACCGGGGCCTTCCACCCCGGGCGGAAATATCAGATTTGGCGATGATCACGTACGCAGAAGAGTAAGTATATCATGTACTACTGGGGCATCGTCTAGATCGACTCTAGTAGTCGCACCTATACGATTGAGTCTTACAAGTAGATGTCCACCGCTGCAAGGGTCGACCAAAGGAGCAAGCTACCAAGCACTGGCTTTCCCATGTCCCATACTCGTGGTTGCTGATAATCGAAAATGCTGACACAATGAGCTACCACTGTTGGAGCTATTGCTGCCAGGTTCGCAGGACTGCGTCCTGGTAACGATGCAGAACCCTGAGCATCAAACGTATGGGAATAAGGGAAGTGCCTACCTTCAGCTTGGCGCCATGAGGGATGATGGAGCCAAGAACCTGCTTCTCAAAGCGGCTGACGAACCCCAGCCATAGACAGGCAGCCCAACCTAATCGGCAGGGTCTATTTGCAAGCACCTAAATTACCTTCCAATCGCACTCGACGCCGGAAGAACAATCATAAAAAGGCTCACCATCTTGATGGACTACATCGATCTCTCAAATGTCACGCCCGGCGTATACTTCTAGACCAAGATCGCCGATGTCATCGAAGTTCTTCATGGGAAGAGCGGCGTTTCAAAGAAGATGATGAGCGCATGCCGATATTCAGAAGCCATGAAATATTGTACGAGTCCTTAGAAGGCAACGCGGCGAAATACGAGGCGTTCATGGACGCGCTGCAGCTACCTTACATCTTCTCCTACTTTCATTTCCCGAACATACACTTAGATATACGTTCACGTTACCGTATGCCCCTTCTTGAGAGTGACTCAACAGCAGAATAGCAAAAAGAGGAAGTGGAATCCCCGAGGCGCCTACGTATATCGCCGAGACAAACATGGATCGCATGGCCACAAAATCTCGCCATTAGTGTCTAGACTGTTTACTACATCAGTCTTGCATCATCTATTGAAGAACCCTGACGAGCTACACGCCTCGGACTTGCTACAAGAAGCGACAATATCTCTATGAAAAGCATTGAACATTCTGGTATCGAGGTCTTGGGTCAGCCGCGGTGAGGGTCGTGGCAGTACGGCTGAGCGCCCGCAAACGGATCGATATATTATGCAGCCCCTCGTCCACAAATGGTTACGTGAGCGACCACAGCTATCTGTTGTTGAAGAAGCTCTGGAATGCCAAACTGCAATGGCAGTACTGTGGCAGGCTATTAGCATGTTGGGTAACGATGGGGAAGGTGAAATGGCCATGCATCGAGATATGAAACCACACGTTAACCATGTGCGCGATCATGCTCTAACTGGGCGAAGAAGGCTTTACGACAACCGCAGGAAGAGTGAATCAATATTGCCATTATTACTTAGCAACAAATATTGAGCAGTGTTTGGGGGCGGATCAGGCACAGGAGTGCGCACGCTTCGGAAAGGTGTACCCAAAATGTGGTGCTTTCTCAGATGCCGAGGTGTTGCTGCGGCAGGTTCAGGACCATGTGGTTTTCTCGCCTAGGTCGCGGCCACAACATACGCGTTGCTTCAAAGAAGCCCGGGCTGGTTCGCTGTGGTATCTGACATGGTCCAACGACGCAGCTGAGCTGCTTCATGAGGTGTACGACTCCTGAAGATAGACAGACCCTTGGCGTTGAATACCCATTGACTGTAGACATAACCAAGAAATTCGGGGATGGGTGTGGGTGGCGGCTGTTCTCTCTAGTCTTTCACCAAGTCCCTCACTCCATCGGGCTGCACGCAAAAGTCTTCTGAAAGCATATGGACCCAATCACAAAGATACACTCAAGTGTATGGATCATATTGGATTCCTGTATTGTTACATCTACTTCAATTGGGAACAGTCAGTCGCATACCATTCACAAGCTCCGGACGGAATGAAAGTATGCAAGTCGACAACGGCCCGGACGAACTGGACGTCCTGTCTGTTGAGAAACACTTAGCTGCGTCTTTCATCTGCCTTGGAGGGAGACGCATTGAAGTGCGGAGCAACTTCAGCACAAAGTCGTCAAACGGCGTACTCAGATACTGGGGAAAGAAGGCCTAATGATACTGTGGGCAAAAGTAAGTTATGATCGGCTGCTTGCAGCTTCCGGCCGACTCAGGGACGACACCGAATTGACAAGCAAGTTACTTGAGACAGCAACGAAGAACCATGGCGGTAACCACCTAGCTGTCATCGCCAGCAAGGTGTGGTACGGGCAGGTCCTCATGATAATTGGTGAGCTAGACATGGCCGGGGAGTACTTCCGTAAGACAACGGACGAAACGAAATACGCCAAAGCAGCCGCGCAAGATGACGAGCACCCAGGCCGTGTCTTGGCTGTGTTGTATTTGACCGAGTGCCTTGAGAAATAGGGACGACACGAAGAAGCGCTGTACTGTGCCGTAAACTCGAGGTGAACATACCTCGCATTGGTTTACACGGCCTAGGCTTCAACCACAAGTTTGCGGATATACTGCCCAGAAAGATGCGAGCCTTGGAACGCATAGTCAAAGAAAAGGTAGGCGTGGTCAAGAATTTGAATGCCGTGGCTACGGTTCCGATTAACCAAATGGGGATCTGAGCACTTTCCATGCCAATTCTTGCATTGTGCAAATTTGGTACGGGCAGCTTGGATGGTGTCACTAGATTTCATCCGGGGGAGTCTAGGATCTGAATGCTGCACCAAATATGGATCCGTCAGACCTGGGTGTAATCCCCATCTTGGTATGCACCGGCTTGTTTAACGTCTACGATTGAAAAATAGTCCCTGGAGCAGGAACTTTCAGACTAACTAAGTAATCATCCATGGCCTTCTTGGACTCGTTTCCAATGAAATAACTGGTATGTCCACTCCCATTCCGGAAAGTCAACACACTCCCGGAGATTTCGTCGTTCATCCCCTGAGCCCACACAACACTTGTCGCCGGGTCATTAATGCTATTCACCAACAGCACCGGATTCGCCAAACCAACCACATTCAATTGCTTCTTGGGATTCGTTTCAGCAGGCGTCCACCCATCACACAGCGTCTTCGTCCGCCAAAACTCATTCATGCCCGGCACAGTCGCAAACGTCCTACTAACCAACGCCCGTTTCTGCACCTCAGCCAACGTCTGCTGTCCCGTCTCAATCCCATCCTGGCACGCAATCGCATTAAAGGCAAAACCCTCATTATCCGTCGCCGTCCCCGTGCTAAGCCCCGTCGCAAACATAATCCCATCCCCCATATGTGCGAGCGCCAACGCCTTGCCCAATTGCTTATTCCACGCAAACTCGAAAAACAACATGTTCCGCCCCCCGCCGACGACGTTCTCCACGGGGACATTTGCCAAGCAGCCCGTCGCGGGCGTGCCGTCGCAGCCCCGCGCTTTGAGAGTCCCGGCTGCCGCGGCGGAGGTCACATTGGCCCAGACGGTGGCGGGGTCTTGCCCTGCGAGGGGGCTTTGGGGGTCGTGAGAGGAGGCGGCGAAGAATTTCTTCAGGGTGGACTCTACGCTTGTTTGCTCTATGAGGAGCTGTGAGGGGGTAGAGCCCGAGTGCTGCAGGACGCCGTCCAGGACCATGGCGCGGACGTTGCCCGGGAAGAGGGAAGCGTACTGGGCACCGAGTTGAGTGCCATAGGATTGGCCGAGCCAGTTTAGAGGTTCGTTGCCTAAGGCTTTGGGGACGGGGTGGTGTCAGTACATGACGTCCCCTTTGGCTGTGCAGGATTTATCCGTCTCCCTTATTAGGACTAAGCAGACTCACCGACTCGCACCGCTTCCATGTCCCGGGCCGCACTAATTGTATCAACCTTGTCGAACACAGGCCCGGTCAAATTCCGACAACTAGCAGCAATCCTGCTATTAATCTGGATCAGCGCTTGTAACGAGTTCGCATCGTTCGGATCCAACAATGGCGGAATCGCATTCGACACATTCGAATCGCACCTCACCGGTGCGCTTAACCCCACGCCTCGGGGATCCAGCCCAATAACGTCGAAGCGTTGCCGGATTACGTCGCTGAAGTTCTGCCGCCGGTTTGCAATGGCGTTTACAATGGACGCGGCGGAGATGCCCGGCCCGCCTGGGTTGAAGAATAGGTTGCCGATGCGTTGGGTGGGGGATTGGGCGGCCAGGCGGACCATGCCTAGCTTGATTTGTGTGCTGGATGAGTCAGACCAATCGACGGGGACGCTGAAGTTGGCACATTCAAGGCCGATGTTGGGGGTTAGGCCCGTGGAAGGGGGGCACGGGGTGAAGTTGATGACACCTGATGTTGCGGGAGCTGGTGATGGTGGTGTCTGGCGTTGTGAGACAAAGGGAATCGGCGATTCGGGGGCGGCGTTGCCCGGACCATTGAGTTCAGTGTTATTGAAGACTTGGAGGAGAATGGCGGCGTGGGAGAAAGGCAACCGCATTTTGGTGATGGGGGTTGGTTGGAGTTCCTGACTCTTACCCGTGATCTACCACACCTAGATGGCAGACGAAGCTCCTTGTGAAAGAGGAATTCAATGCACGTTAAGTCCGTGGACCTTATAGAACCAGAAACCTGGGCATAGAAGCCGGTAGTAAACATAGACGACCCAGACCTCGACGAGTCAATGGAGTCCGATAAACTTTTCGGCGATACTGGAACGCGACAACCGTGCCAAGTCTTGATGCCACGGCGCTCGCATTTCGTCTTTTGATACTCCGTCTGATGTTTTCACTGGGTGACCTGATTGATTAGACTAAACCTGCAGGGAGATAGGGGGTTAACTAACTCCGTTTCGATGCCACCTCGACTGGTGATTGGTCAATCGGAACAACAACAATAGTCATGTTCAGCGCATGGAACAGAAAGTCTTAGCGCTTGGTAACCTTTGTCACATCAGTTTATTACGTTTGGGATCATACCTTATTCTACTTCACTCTTAGTGTAATAAGGGCCTAAGTTGACGTAGTAAGCGGTGTAAATAGATGGGGACTACCAAAATCAAATAACTACTATTCTCAAAACTATCCCAATATACGCACTTTTGGGCTCATATACATATCCTATTTTTCTTCTTAATCATTATTCGTGACAGCAGCAGTTTCCAGTTCAACACAAAACAAGTTCCCTCTGGTTCTTCGTACTCACCCTCTGCGCCGAATTCTGCGCCAACATGCCCACCAACCTCTCAGGCAAACCGACAAAACACCTCAAAACCCAATCATAAGCCACACACCCTCTACCTCATGTACTTCCCTTCACGCCAATAATTCCATCAACCTCTCCTCCGCAAACCACTGAATCCTATCCACCCCACCCTGTTTCATCCCCTCGACTCTCTTTCCCTGGCTGTGTTCCAGCAGCTCCTGTGCCGCGTTGCTCAGAGCGGGAGTCTTGGTCGTGTGGTAGATGGCCTGTACTTTGTGGTTCAGCTCCCCGCCCTTGAGGCCCTTGTGTTTGTGAAAGGTTGTGAGGTGCAATTCGGGCTTGCCAGGCCTTGCCAGGGGAGGAAAATGGAGCGGGTGAAGCCGAGGGAGGCCGGGGGGTGAGGGTTAGGGGTTCACGAGGCAGAAGATGGTGAGGTACGTATATGATGGACTTTTAGGGAATTTGGAAAAGATGGCAAGGACTTCCGGGGATGCTTTTGTCCCCACGGCTCGGTGCTGGCTAGAACGAGTACTTGGAGATGCGTGTTCTGAGTTGCTGCTTTGAAGTTTGGATTCTCTCTTTGATTGGAATCACGGGCTGTACCTCTAAGTTTTCAAGAGTTTGGGGCTTATGACGAGTCTCGATAAAATATGAAAACGATGGCTCTCCGTCCCTCAGCTATGCTAGATGGCCCAGGGGTTCACGGGTAGGATCATCTGGAACGTCCAGTTAGAATTTTTCCTTGGGCTTCGATGTTGATGAAATGGATGTGAGATAATCGCAACCGTAGATTAACTTACACCAGGTTGGAAGAAGCGGCCGGCCATGGCGATTCCTGCAGGGGGGTACGACCCTAGGTAAGCCTAGACCGTTCGCCCAGTGGAAGCGGTATGTTTTCTTGATGTATGAGAACTCATTGTTATGAAATATACGGGAAAGGTAACTTATTTGGAAAATAAGTTATAAATTTACAGAAGTTTGGAGAAACAGCAAATTCTGCGTTTCCACATGGGATAACGTCAGACAGCTCGTTCCTCACCTGCGCACCAAACCCTTGGCAACGGCCAACTGTTAGATCTTTAGGAACAAAATATCTGGTGTATCAGCAACTATCTCATTATGTGCATCCGAGAGGCACATTATTCTGTACTTGAGGCCCTTATGGCTACTTTAATTCCTTTGGGCTTGAGTAGATCAGAGACACATTCAACTCTATGTTTTGTTATAGCATGCAAGTCCGATATGATTCTCCAGTATCCAGTTATGGAACCAGATATAATATCCAATGACGCAGATATATATCGCCATGATGCGGGTCGCGGTGATAGCGCCGCGGATGTCGGTCCTGGACTTGAGGAATCCAAAGGCTTGGGCGAGGGTTACTTTGCCGACGACGTTGAAGACGAAGAAGTTCTACCACTTATCGAATTGATGAGTTCTTCGTATTAATTACTACGTTCATAACACTCGTGCAGAAGATAGCTTAGAAGTAAAGACTTCACTGCGTTGAGATGTGACACGCTGACTTCCTTTTCAGATGTGCATCACAGGCAGAGGCACAACGTTTGCAGACAGGTGTGCGGGCGCCGTCCTGGTTCATGGGAACCTCTTCGTGACCGTCAATAGTGGCGTCCATTGGCACATGTACTATCTCGCAGCAATACAGAACAAAATAAGTAAGGCTGATGATCAGAGCCTTATATGAACTTCGCAAGTATCACATTTTACCATTTCTGTGTTGTGTCCTGTCTACCGCGTTACTTTTAGTTCTGGTGTAATACTAGAAGGAGTATAAAGGCAGAACTCAATACTCTACTCTATTTTATATTTGGGATCTTTGCCGTGTTCCAACAAAAGCCATTGTTTATGGACATACTTTGAGCTGTAAATGAAAACTGCAGAAATGACATGCAAGTAACTAGAGAAATATTTTAGTGATTGCGCAGCTAAATAGCTGCAGATTAGTTATCCAAGCAAGACGAAACTTCTGCTACATTACTCCCCATTGGCTGTCCTTCAGGAGCTGATGCAAGGCGAAATTTGTTTTCATATACGGAGGCGTGCTCAAATTTGCAGTTCATCGTATTTGTAGGGTTTCTTTCACTCTTGGATCCAACCCAACCTAGCCACTAAACAAGGATACTGCCTGAAATGAAACCCAATGAAATACCACGCCTCGTCCAAATTTGGGTTAAACCCACGGTCACACTCATCTACTTAGCCATGTTCTTGAATCCTCACATGACCAAGCAATAGTCTTTCCTTGCGCATGCCCCTATTCCAGATTCGAGTCACCAAACACAAATAAATACTTTTTTCATACACTAAGTTCCCACTCCACGATAATGAAAACGGATTACAAGCCCAGATGTTTGGTTTCTTCCGCGAGCTCTAACATTCGTTATGCTGCACGTTAGTTGGCCCTAGACCTTTGAACATATGTCGGCGGTCGTATACTCAATCAATTTGTAGCCTCCTTCGTGGATACAGCGTTGGGACGAGCCGTGTTCTGTGGAATTTACAAGAAGACGATACCCGCTATATTAGCTGTCCTTCGTAATTTATCTCGTACGAGTCTTGTATTTCACTTGACCTGTGTAGCCACTGCACTGACGTCGAAAAGGAAACCCTGTCAATGATCAACCAGACTTATTTCAACGAAATTTTGAGTTACGTGGGGTTCAATATGGCACACCCAGGCCAGGTTCCACTCACGGGAGAATTTTTGAACATTGCCACTCCGCTGATAATCAATATTCAAGCAATCGATCTCGCAAACACCAACTATTTCCAAATACTCACTTCCAAGTTTGTTTGAATTGAAATTTGAAGATTCCCCAACGAGCCTGAGAGAGGCAGAAGGTCGGGGACAGCGGAGTATCTGAATGATCTAGATATATTCCAATGCGACATAAGCCGGGGCGTACAAATATCACAATAAATCGGCATCCAGCAATCAGTTAGAGATTGGTCAACAAAAGTTGATTCCTCTCAAACCGTCACGGACAGCACGAGTCACATATAATTCAAACAAACGGGATCACCTCCTCTGAAGGTCAATCCGTCGGATATAGGCGCATTAGTCACGCCCCTTTACATCCAGCAGTTTTAGTGAAGTATTCCAAGACCCGGTGCCTGAAAAGTATTATGGCGATCCACGCGGCGTGACAAATACGTAACGCAATGGTAATATACTGACGGTCTTTGACATGACCAAGAGCATGGCCAAGGAACTGCGCTCGAGATATGAGGTGACCGCCTACAGGAAATAAATTGATTCTGTTGTATAAGCTCACATTCAGTAGTGCTGGCTGACACTTCCCATCGCCGTCCAATCGATATCTGATCTGCTAGTCATCCCATCCATGATCCACGGCAGAAGACATAGTCATCACCTTTGGAAGTCTTCAATCGTCACATTACCCTACCATGAACTCTTTTCGGATGATAATTCTCAGAACTCTTGACACGTCAAACAGATGTTGAGAGCCAACGACATTTGAAAACTTTGGCGAAGCGCATGAGGGCAAAGTGGAGGCGGGTGGCGAGACGTTGCCGTGTTGTGACAGGTCTGGATGGGTGCTACATGTTGAGAGATTATTTGCGAAGGGACAAAGAGATCGGTACTTTTATCACAGTTTCGCAAAGCATCACATGGAAGTTTCAGGATACCTCATGACCCTATAATTTACATCTTGCAGTATGTTAACATAGGAAATGATATTGGCGTAGCTCCGCCCCTATTGCAGAATACGAAAAGGCTATGTGGGACACGTAGTGTATACAACTGTTTCGACGATTAAAACCCAGGAAGAATGTATCTCTGCTTCATCATATAGATTGCAATGTCGATACCTCGATATTGGAGAATGTGTTGAAGAAAAATGAAGTGTTGGAACGACCAATCATCTTACGATCTGAAATGCATATAGACCACGATTAAAAGAAGCATGATGGTTTCCAGGTAATAAAAACATAGAAATGCACTTTGCCGGTCTTTTACTCCAAAATAGCCTGCTTCAAAAGACAATACTGCCTTCAACTGTGCATTACATTGGCATTGAGACACAAAATGAAAACACTATTGGTCAATTCCAACGGGGTACACAGATGGGATTTAGGAAAGCATTGAATAAAAAGCAAGGCTGTCAATAAAAGACCATAGTGGTTCAGAGATTCACGGCGTGCTTTTCAGCCAATTTTTTTTAGTAATCGTTCGAGTTTGTTAGGTACTGCATTTGCTGTTACTGATATTCTGACCCAGCTACTCTCAGCCCTGATACACGGGGAAGAAACTCCCTACCAACTTTATTTACTTCTGTATAGGATTATAAATAGCTTCAATATGAAAATCCTCTCAAATGCACTATTCTGGTAACTAGAATCTCACAACTTAAGTACATATCTACATTGTATTGAGAGTGCCTTTTGCTTCGGAGACAATTAATTTCCAACAAGTCCCAAGTATGGACAGAAATGGCACAGTATTCGGCCCAGGCATGTGACAAATAGCGTAACTGGTACCTAGAATTGCCTTGGCTAGTATTTAATATGAATTTAGATCACCTGGATCAAGAGTCACTACACCCTATAATTTCCTCTGATATTGATGTTGTGGGCAAAAACGGCCCAATGTTGTTGTATCAATTAGGAAGTTATCGTAGGTTGTCTATCAGCCAAGCCAGCACCGTAAGCACCCGGACTTGGGATGTGGCTTCAACACCGAACATCCCTCAAACGGCAGCCTTTCTAGTACACATAGATGAAATCCTCGTTCTTCAAATCCGACACGTCTTGCAACCCATTGTCATCCTCAAGTTTATGAGTCTCGGCATGCTCGTTTTGCTCCAGCTCGGCCTGCTTACTGCTGCCCATGTTCTTCTTCCTCAACATGGACTCGTCAATAATAACTGCCGACTTTCCCAGTTGCTCACGCATCTGGGCATGGCGGCGGTTCAAAAGCATTAGGTATAGGGGGATGAGCCTGTCACCTTGTAAGTAAAAGAGTCAAGTGAGGAAGCATGGAAAAGTGGAAAAGTGGCTTACAATCCCATAGCACCAACCAAAACAAACATAATCAAATTCGCAATCAACCCGGGCCTATACGTGGGCGCCTGCTCGGTCGAGTACAACAGAGGGCCAATCACATTGCCCGTGCACATACCCACAAACACCATGCCTGAGCTAGTCTTCTTCTTGGTATCACCGCCAGTGTTCTGCGCGGACCAAGTAAATATCATGGGCGTAATGGCGCCGAGGCACTGGACAAGGTAATATCCGAACAGCAAAACGCCCTTGTTCTCGCGGGGCACAGTGAGCATGATGATGGCCCCCGTTGCGGGGAGACAGGACAGACAGGTGATGATGAGGCCTTTGCGGGCGAAGCGGGTTGAGAGGTAGGCGGAACCGATGATGGAAACGATTTGGACGCAGCCCGTGGGGAGACTGAAGAGGATGGCGGTGAAGCTGCTGAAGCCGAACGATTTGATGATGAGGTTGCCGAAGGAGCTGATGCCACCGCTGGGGATTCTGTGGAACGCATGTTATTAGATGCTATGGCCTGATTTGGAGCAGTGGAAGACAGAGAGTTGCTTACGAAATTGCGATGGTGAGAATGAACCACAACCACGTCTTGATGTCCATAAAGGTCTCAAGAACGTGATCCCACCTCCACTTGCGAGAAGCTACACCCATCTGGTTGGCCCTTAACCGCTCGATAGCAATGATCTTCTCCCTCTCGTTGAGGTACTTGGCCTCCATGGGGGAGTCGGGCATCAACAAGATGAATGTCAGACCGAAAAGCACAGTAAGGCAGCCGCAAAATACGAAAATGACCTGGTAAGTGTAGATCTTGGAGCTTTTTATATGACCCAGACCGTACGTGATCAGACTGCCCACGATGAAGGTCACGCCGTTCATGGCGTTCCAGTACGAATTTCGTAGTGTCTGTTCGGAGCGCCGCCACCACATTTGCGTCACGGCGACGCAAGAGGGGGCGATCATGGACTCAAAGGTTCCGAGCAGGAAGCGGAGAGCGGCGAGGGATTTGAAATTTGTGCACGAGGCCATGATGGCGGCGCATGATCCCTATCGACACTCGGATCAGTCATGGCTCGCATCAAAGAGGTCGTGATGCGGATCCATCCAGGAACATCCAGGATCACTCACCCAGCCAATAATAGCAATCCCAGTAACCTTCCCATACGGTAATTTAACCAAAATAAACGCCGCAAGTGGCTGCATGACCAACTGAGCCAAGTACAGAATACTCCCCAACCACGAGTACTCGGTCCCCTTCAAGTTGGCATCCTCAATGAGCCCGAATATACTCGTGTACGATAGCGTGCTCTTGTCTAGCTGCTGAAAGAAATATGCCCCAAGAATCAGGGGAAGGATACGCCTGTCGATGCGCTGAAGAACATGTTTCTCCTCCTCATAGTCGAATGTCACTTGGCCATGTTGGGCCAGGAATTGCGCTGCTTTCTCTCCCCGCTCGCCGGTAGCTGGAATCGAGGCGGTGTTTTCTTTGGCTGGCTCGATGGTATCGCCCGTGTTGGAGACCGCGGGGATTTGCTTGTCCGCCATGTTAACCGATTTTCCGCTGAAACTGAAGGATAGGGGTAACTGTCCAAACCGTCCACGCAAGCAGGAGGAGGTATCCGATCGTGTGAAAAGATGGACAACTGACGAAGTTGCGGCCCGTGGAGGTGGAAATGTCTTCTTTAAAATCCGAGTGCTTCTTCAAGATCCAGGTTTTGGCTGAGGAGAACCCTGTCCACATCTTACTGACTCGCTACCGAGCTTGTATTGATCCGGTGCTCACAGCCAACTTGGCCAACATTACCTATACTCGGCATCGCCTGCTCGGCGATTCGGATGTTACGTACAAGCTCCCTGAGATAGGTACTACTTCGTATGGGTGTTCCAAGCTCCTCGGCTGCTGTTCTGAGCCCATGCCAACATACTGTCTTCAACCGTACGCACCAAGATGCCTCACAATAGTTCCCGGAAGCACAGTCTGTGCCGAACCCATGGATACGCCTTGATTCGTGGGATTTGACTAACCCGAGTAACTGCGGAGCCTGATGCTCTCACTCTCGGTAAAGTACCAGATGGTCATATCGTACGTTCCCAACCCCAACGAACTTCATGTCTGTCATGAGGTGTTAGCGGTGAACCTAACCCCAAGACTTCAGGTGCAAGGCTCAACAAGCTCATTGTGGCGTTACTATGGTATGTGCCGACTGCTCATCTTCATTCAAAGTCGAAATCGGAATAGCTGAAGCTCGAACTTGGGTCGTGATTTGCTTGAACGAGGACTGCCAAGTGCCAATCGACAAGATCCCCCACACATCCAACAACGTCAACCCCGCAAGCTTGAGCTGCCACCCCGGGTTTTGCCCAGGATTTTCATATTCAACCGAGGCAATCCCCAGGTTCGGATAAGTGGATCCCTTAGCCCCAACGGCTGTTTTCCTGACCTCTCATTCTGAACCCCTGCTGGGGAGGATCTTAAAAATGGAACATAGGTAGCCCGACTTCAAAGGCTAGCCTGGATGTAAGTGGATGGCAGCGAGTCTCATAGTCAAGTCGGCAAATCAAGGCTCTTGTCGGTTGCACCACTAGTGGCCAAAACGGATACTTGGCAAGCATCAGCATCCCGAGTCTGAAGAGGCTGGGGCAATGAGATACTCAGTCGGTCGGAGGCCCAGCGATAACCCGAAATCCAGCATGGTGATGAACAGGGTCATAGGCGATGCGGGGTTGCCCCAACTTCTCCAAAGCTCCCGATAGCGGGCTCAACATGGATGAGATAGCGCCGTTGGATATTCCAGAGCTATTTCGCATCGTGTACACCTGGACTTTCAATGTCACTGTTCATGTTCTTCTGAGTATTTTCGCGCCGGTTGAGTTCAGTCTTACTCCGTCTCGTCCATCCCATTGTGTTCATCAACCTCCACCTCAGGAGAAACAACACAGAACACAGCCACCATGGCCGAACTCCCCACCCTCCAAAAAAAAAAGCGGTACGCCCTTGTAGGTACGGGAGGTCGCTCCATCTTCTTCTACACGGCGATAGCCAAAGACTACTACTCCACCTCGGAGATCGTAGGCTTCTGCGACACGAACCAAACGCGCCTCAACTACGCCAACTCGAAGCTCGAGTCGCTTGGCCACGGCGCTGTGCCCACCTTCCTCGCCTCTGACTTTGACACCATGATCCAGTCCACCAAGCCCGACGAGGTTATCGTGACAACCATGGACCGCACGCACAATAAGTACATCGTGCGCGCGCTCGAGCTAGGCTGCAACGTCATCACTGAGAAGCCCATGACCATCGACGCGCCGCGTTGCACAGATATCTTCGACGCCGTGGAGCGAAGGCGGAAGAAGGTGAGGGTCACGTTCAATTACCGGTACGCGCCACACAACACCAAGGTGTTCGAGCTGTTGAAATCGGGCGCCATCGGCACCGTGACGTCCGTCCATTTCGAGTGGATGCTCAACACGTCCCACGGCGCTGATTATTTCCGCCGCTGGCACCGCGACAAGCGGAACAGTGGTGGGCTGCTTGTCCATAAAAGCACCCATCACTTTGATCTCGTCAATTTCTGGCTGCAGACTCGGCCCCAGACCGTGTACGCCCAGGGCGACCTTAAGTTCTATGGCAGAGAGAACGCGGAGAAAAGGGGCGAGACGAGGTTCTACACTCGCGCTCAGGGAAGTGAGGTCGCCAAGAACGACCCGTTTGCGCTGCATATGGAGAATCATGAACAGCTCAAGGCCATGTATCTTGACGCCGAGCACGAGGATGCGTATTATCGTGACCAGAGCGTGTTTGGGGACGGCATCAGTATCGAGGATACCATGAACTTGCTCGTCAGATACCGGAACGGGGCCGTCATGACGTATTCTCTCACTGCCTACGCCCCGTGGGAAGGGTTCCGGGTGAGTTTCAACGGCACAGGTGGCCGTCTGGAGCTTGAGGTAGTGGAGAACAGCTATGTGAACTCTGGAGGCGACCAGGCGAAGGAAGGGTCGATTGAGAAGACGACGCTTCTTCTCAGGCCGTTATTGCAGAAGCCGCAGGATATTGAGATTCCCGAGGGCGTTGGTGCTCACGGCGGCGGTGACACGGTACTGCTGAATGACTTGTTCGGTGAGCCTGTATCGGATGAGTATATGCGTGCGGCGAGCCATGTAGATGGAGCACTGTCGATCTTGACAGGCATTGCGGCCAACAAGTCCATTGCCACTGGCCAAGTGGTCAACGTTGATGATGTTTTGAGGATACCGTAAAGGGTGGGAAAGAGAAGCCGCCGGGGACAGGTCAGTGCTGGCGCACTTCAACTTTACCGCGGCTTGCACGCCCCTTCCTTGTGGCTTGCTCTGCTCTCTTCTGAAGTGGGGACCAGGAACTACGTGGAGAATATACCATGGCCAAAGAGCTGATACAGGCAGGCTTTGCAAACTGGCGTGGATTATTACGCCAATGTAAACGCAATCATGTAACCTAGGGAATTTTAGAGGAAACAAGAAATATGTGATATATCGCATGTTAAAACATTGAAACTTACAGGCAAACGACTTCCAGCCAGTTTTGCATCTCTCTGACATATCAGTGAAGTTGGACAGCCATCAGACCGACATATGCGGCTCCGGTGTGCCACAAAGAGACTCTTCTGTTGATGCTTTGCGTGAGATATCTAACTTCTCCAGACTTGTTTGGTGGTCTTACAGCCATTGTTGGTGGAACGGCTTAGTAGTTCGTGTACCACCGCCATTGAAGTTGATGTGATTTGAGCATAAGTCATTCAGCTCCATCTCATAATCACGAGCTTGACCTGCACTGGGGACTGCCGCAGGATGGGGGTTTGGAGACCATGTAGTGTCTGGGTTTTTCCAAATTGAATCCCCCAATCGTGGCCATCATAACATGGGAGTACATGCCAAATTCTCGGCTGTGCCAATTATTGCAACCCACCGAACGATACCTGTGATGAAGACACTACATAAGTCAGTCGTTATCCCTGGCATGTGGCTTTCAAGATACATATAGCAACCCCACAGCAAACATGGCAATGAGTCCATAGTTCTTTCGACGCTCGATCTTCAACGCGATAAGTGTAGGCATAGGCATAATACAAATCATCAAGTCACTGATGCTTTCCGATAACTTGATATTTATCAGCGGATGCGGGACACAAGAGCCGCCCGGTGAGTGTTTGTCCCAGAAATATGAGACCGGCTTGCATTTGCGAAGTGACGCCAATTGAGCCTGTAGAGCCCAAACGGCTGTGTAGATTCATAGTCAGAACGCTATCTGCTGGAAGCTCCTCATTAGGAATATACTCGCGAAGTATTGGATGATGGATGACTTGACAGAAAAGTGCGTTGGCAGATAAAGTCGATTCCCGCGGTGTCAGTGGTTCTAGGTTGGAGACACTTGCATGAGGAGAAAAGGTACCTGGACGATCTAAACGCTCTGATGTGAAGGTTAGCGAATGACTGACTTCATGGCTGCATTACCATAGCTGCAGCACAAAACAGATAGCACGAACCGGTCATCCGGCCGAAGACGTGTTACTACGTACAACCGCCCGAGAACTCGGAGGCAGTATGTCAAGGTATTCAGTGCCAGCCCTATAGCCGTAGAAGCTGAAACATACACCCGCTTCTGTCGGGGTCGAAGTTTTCCATCGTGTAGACCATCTTAGGCGGGTAAGGTCGTGCTATGTCGGATTGTGCACTTGAGAACCGAAAGTGGTGCCACGATCGGGCCACGTAAAGCCTGAGCCGGAGAAGATATAGAAGAGTTAATCTCTTCCTCTGCTCATCCTTTCTTTCGTCCCATCAACATGTCCTTTCGACGAGTATCGAAGGCCATCACGGCTCTCAAGTAAGGAATAGTAATAACTAGAATGGCAGCTATACTACCACCGAGAGGATACCGCGACCTCCATCTCACATGCTAGCCACTCGCACCACAATCCCCAAGGGACGAAACGGTACTGAGCTTCATGGGCATGCATGGCGGCATTGGAGTTAATAGAGGGATGCATCGTCGATACAATCCAGCGATACTGACAGACAGATGTGTGATTGGACAAGCTTGCGATGTTTGAATACAACGCGGCTGGGATGAGCTGTGTGTTTGAGTGTCGGTCTGGACTTTTGAGTAACAAAACAACATCATACTTTCTATGTCAGCACTCTCATGCCTTTCCAAACGGAGGGAGAGCGTGCGGGGGGAGGGCAGATGATCTCGACATGGACTGACGGTAATCATGCCTACCCAGATGAAGAGACACAAAAGAAAAGGCTCAGCTGGCAATGCCTTGCGTGTCGCCGTCGCAACAATGTAATACCATTGCCGGAGTCGTGCGGCTCAAACATAGAGTGTTGAAGATGCCGAGGACGAAAGCAATAACAGACTAATGTCCTACAAGCTCAATCGCCCGTGGCGTCGAGTACAGCCTACCTCGCATCACGACCAATCAATTGAAAAAGATGAGCGCCACAGAAGCGCATTCTCGACCTCACCATAGTAAGGAGCTTGTGGAGATTGGACCCTAAGTAATGTTGATCTAGACAATTCCAGGTCATTACGCATCGTAAAACTGCTCGAGGGGATGACAAGGTCCATTTCCTGGGGCACCGCATGCCATCTCAGGTCTAAAAATTACCAGGATTGACCAATTGCAGTCAGTGCCTGAAATATTTTGCATTGGAAGTTTCAGTTGTGGCTGGCGCTGAGGTCATGACAGGTGTGGCTGTGCTCTTATACTTCGGTAGCGCGCCTTCTTGGTTTGAATCCGTTGCAAGAGCATTTGATCCATCCAATTGGAAACGAGCTTGTTGCGACGACCTTCGAGCTTGCTTTCAAGCAGCACCTCATGCCTCAGTTCACACAATTCAGATTGTAGAATTATTACTGCAACACATCTCACCATGAGAAATCTATCGTGAAACAGTTCCAATTTTCCTCATCTTGCACGTTCAAACCCCGAAAGCCCCGGCTTGTTGCCCCTACAATGGCGTCCGCAAAACGTGGGCCGTCGGTACTGGTATGACCTTGATTCACTCCACTTTAAAGCAACATTTCTGACGTCGATACGAACCACAGGTTACCGATTCCCGACAGAGACCGCCTTCACGTGGAGGATCCCAGATCCAGAGACCAGCAGGTCCTGCTCGAATGCCCTCGATGCGCTTAATATCAGTCGACAACGTCCTCCAGTATGCCTCGGAGATCCCGTCAGGTCAGCCACGAGTTCCACCCGGTATGGCTGGACGGCGCGTCAGCGGTGGCGGACTGCCCATGCTTGCTTCGCGAACTGGCCAGCAGAACATGCCGTCACGAACAACGCGCATCAGCGAGAAGCTAGTTCTGCTACCGGTCACGGACGAGAAGGCACACGGCTCTGACGAAGAGTTGGAGGACGAAGAGGAGAACCGACCGTTGAAGGACGAGGAGCTCGATGTTCTGAAGAAACGAGGTGGACTCCGAGGCAAGAGCTATGCCGAGCGATTACCCAAAGTCCAAAGAACCGAGAAGTTCTCGAGGCTGACAGCGTATTGCACCGCGCAATCATACAAGATGAAGGCAACATCCGAGTTCTTAAGGAAACAACACGATGCCAAGACGAAGCTTTATGATGATTGTCTGTATACCGTCTACCACATTCCGCTTCTGTCCGGAGTTGGGGGGTACCGAGTTCGGAGCCGACCTATCATGAAGACTCCGGGGACGGGCAAGACGGTACTCGACCTCGAAATCGAGCGTAGCGAGCGTAGGGACGAACATATGGGCTACTACGACGAGAGCCCGAGTAACGAGAACGGCAACCACCCAACCGGCGACGCAGACAAGGATAGATTCCAGCAAGAAAGTAACTCGATGAACCCTGTCAATCGCCTAGCGCCCGACGCTAAGCAGTTTGCCGAGATGTTTGTGTTTTCCTACGGCGTCGTCGTCTTTTGGAATTTCACCGAGCAGCAGGAGAAGAATATCTTGGCCGATCTCGCCTTCGCGGAGAACGAGACTGGAGTTTCGCTCGTTACCCGGCCACTCGACCAGAGTGATTTTGAGACGGAAGAATTCCACTTCGAGTACAGCGCCGATATCAAGAGACCCCGAGTGTTTAACGACATGATCACCTTGTTGCCGCGGTCGGATCACATGGTGAAACTCACCATCAGTCATGCCATTGCGCAAAGTACCAAGCTGTGTCAATTTGAGGGCCAGATGTCGGAGACCATGTTGAGTACAGAGCACGTACCGAAGCAGCTCGCCTTGACTGGAGAGTTGAATATGGAACGGCCTCAAATTGTGAAACTTCTGGGACAGCTGTTCAAGAGTCGCGTCAATATCAACCTCTGTAAGTTGCAGCACGTCCGATCATGAAAAGATATCAACTCAACTAACCGTGATGACAGCTTCAAACATCCTCGATGTACCAAACTTCTTTTGGGACTCCGAACCCACACTGCATCCACTCTATGTCGCCATCCGGGAGTATCTCGAGATCGATCCCCGCATCAAGGTGCTCAACGAACGTTGTCGCGTGTTCCTAGATCTGGCCGAAATTCTTTCCGACTCTGTTGCTGACGCCAAGATGAGCACCATCACCTGGATCATCATCATCCTCATCATCGTCAGTATTCTGGTCACGGTCACCGAGGTTGCACTCCGCTTCGGTATCCTTACCAAGGAGAAAGGCAAAGGCAACCGTAATGACGAAGTCAGTGCTGCTGAAATCCTTCGCTCCAAGCTGCAAGGTGCCATTTCCAATGCTACGTTGCAGGAACTACAACTATGGAGTGCCGGCCTAAGTGAGCAGGAGAGGAAAGCGGTCTGCGGCTCGGAATACATTGAAACAACATTTACTGGCATTTGATTACACAGCATCTGGGAGCATGGGGGGCGACAGCGTACGCAAGAAAAATGCTCGATACCCATATATACGCTTGGGGGCTTGGTGTATTATTACTGCATAACTTTGGCGTTACTACTGCAGGACCTCGGGTTCGGGTTCGATTCTCTCGGGTTCGACCTGTACTGTTTTTCTCTTGAGAAGTCACGTCTTAATCGACAAAATATCCAGTTCTTGATGTCTCCACAGTCTGATTTCGTCTTCGTCTTCATTGTTCATCCCAATACGGTGCTCTTCGGCACCTCTATCATGCAGGGTTTGCCATCAGCCTAGGACGCAATATTTATCAGGTTGCTCACTCGTTAGGGTTCTCTCCGTTCTTTTTCAGGTCAAGTCGGACTAACTCAAACTCGGATCGTCCCTATATGTTGAGGAAGCTTTTTCATTTCTCTTGTTCGACACCCTTGAAAATGGTCAATTAACACCTCATTATCCAGCAACTTCCCGCCTTTGCCCGCTTCATGCACCATATGGCCACTACTACTAGCAATAGCAACACACAGGTCCGGACTAGTAGTGCTTCATACTGGATAATGCCATCAAGAATGGTGCGGAGAATAGGATGAACGATATTGTGTGGACCACCACGGGGAAGGAGCCTCGAAAATATAAGGATTTGGTCGAGGCAAACAAGTCATTATGGTAGCTAGAAAGTTTAAGAAATAAATATATATCTATTTGCATGTATCAAAGCGTCCAACTCCTATCTGGGCCTACTATCAGAGGGATTGCAAATGCATTGGATTGAGGTCATCATTTCCCTGCTTAAAATCTCATGTTGCTGAGTTTTTTCAACTCAGAGAAATCAGCTGGCGGATATATGGTAGCCGAGTGACCTGTCATGAGCTCAGCATGCCAGATTGATAGTCCTGGAGGGTCAAATAAACTACATGGGGGTGGTTGGGCTCGGTCTCGACTTTTCTATAATCAGGTTCCGGCAGTATTTTAGGAGAATATTGTGCTATTTATTCATTTGGACCTGTTCCGGGTGCCTTTTCTGAACCCCTTAATCAGATTTTGGATGGGTAGAACAGGAAGCTGCTGGAACCGTGTCACTACTTATACTTCGGAGAAGTATTCATCTTAGAATGGCGTAACTTTTTATCAAGCCTATAGGGAGTCCTGATTTCGTGCGGGTCGTTCTTATTGATCATATTGTCTCGATTAATGATAAACGACATTATCGGATTAAGTCCTCTGCGGGACGTGGATACGAAGGCAGGTTTTGATCTCAATGGGTAAAGCATTGACTCATACAATAAATAAAAAAAGGATATAATCTCGATCTAGAGAAAATTTGGTTTGAAATATCACCTCTCTCTCACCCATATACCCAGATACCCCGACCAGAAACACCAAGCACCATAGCCCAGCCAACACCTCGTCTATATTCACCCGAACACGTTACTTAACCTCGTGGAATCTCAGACGTATGCGGCCCATCACAGCAAAAGTACCTAAAACAATTGAAATTATAGAAGAAAACCACCAGATTCTAGCACGTAAACTTGATGAAACCCCAAGTAAGCAGCAATGCAGGCAGAGTGAAGAAAACGAACGTAGCCACAGCATGCCTCGAAGAATCAAAGAACAAAGCCGGCACTGGCATCCAGTACTCTTTCGCCCACTGCGCCTTCTTCCCCAAATGCACGACCGCATCTCTGGGACTCAAATTCAGCTTGCTGGCCTCGCGCCAAACCTCTTGCCACCAGTACCACACCACAATATAAATTGCCAACACAAGCACTAAAGAAATCATCCTTCTCTTCGGGCCCGCAAGCTTCTTCTGAATGTCCTTTTGCACCATAACATACGTCATGAGCCTCAACCCATCAACCTTCTCGTAGAACGGCCGGCCACGGTTGGCAGTCGTATCCGGGTACATGAGGCCCTGGTAATACACAACGATGCACTTGCCTATATCGACGATCTTCTGGCCCTCCTCCGTTTCCATAATATCTCCGTCCGGTATGCCGGCGCGCAGTCGGTGGTTGCGTCTTCTTGTTCCCAAGCCAACGTTGATTGGCTTATACCGCTTCACCATGGGCCATACAGCGAATTTGACGCGCGCGCCGCGCAGGCGGTGGTACTGCTGCCTCCTGTACTCCCTATCGACCTCGGCGCGACGACTAGGTGCCGCTTTCTCAATCTCCTCTTTCTGCGCCGCCTCCCATTCCTTATTAAGTTGTTCAGCCAAATCCTTGGAGCGGCGGTAAGGCTCGTAATCAGCCTGGCTTTCAATGGAATAATCCATTCTTGCCCCGGGTGTGGCGGAAAGGATGTGGAAGATATTGGGGGAGCGGCGCATGCAGACGGAGAAAAACGCCGCTTGGGCGATGAGGCCGTGTAAGTCTTCGAAGAGAGCGAAGGAGGTGGACCGGTAGGCGGGCGATTTGAAGTAGCTGAGGAGGTTGCAGAGGGGAATCAGGATCAACATCGTGCGCGCGGCGAGGTCATCGACTGCGGGCCAGAAGTCCCGCGGGAGTTTGCGGCCGCGTAAGTACATGTTGATTGTGTGGGTGCCGAATTTGGTGCGGGAGTATCCTGGTGGCATGGAACTTGTCAGTCTTGCTCTTGGGTCAAATTAAATGGATATGAACGGCAGACTTACCTTCCGTCTCAGCAAAGTCGAGATCCTGCATCTCCAGCTCCTTGGCCAGCTCGGGCTCAGCCCCAAACATCAAGTCATTGTAGATCTTCCTCTCGATAATTTGGGCAATGATCCCCGTCACCAGCCACTTGCGCTGCTCCTTATCCTTCAAGATGGCCTCCCATCCGCCGAGGAGGATGTCTTCATGTGCAACCGCATTGGCGTACTGAATGAACTGCGGCCCCAACTCCTCCAGCCAAACCGACTGGCCGTCATAGTCCTTGGGGAATTCAATGTCCCCGAACCACTTCTGCACAACAGACACGGCGAAGTGATAGAGCTCCTGGTTCCGGATCTTGAACCAGTCGTCGGGCAGGTCCGTCGTGGCGAGCCCGTTAAATTCGAATCGAGCAACCCTTGGCCCGACAACCCTGGCCTTCGAAACCTGCTGCTTTCCGACTATCTTGCCCTTCGGAAGGGCGACCACATCCTTGTCGAGATCAGGGATGTTTTTCAGAAGTTGGTCAATAGGTTCGTTGTCCGAACCCTCCATGCCCTCCTCTCTTATCTTGATCTTCATATAGTCATCATCCAAGTCATCCTTGATCTTCGGCACTAGCTTATTCTCATCCACCGAATTCGGGTCATGTGGAGTATACAGCTCCCTCATCGACTTATCCACATACCCACCCCGTTTCGCAGCCCTCTTATAAGGCTCCGATCCGGGGTACTTCGAGATCGGATCAACATACCCATCAATAAGCTTCCGCCAGCTCTTCTTCGCCGAACCCTGTTTGATCAATCCGCACGCAATGCACAGCGTATGTCTACAATCAGGACACACAATATTCTCAACCCCGGTCTTGACCACCATGCCATGATCCTTGCTAATAAGGGACGGCTTCCGTCTCGCGGCTTTCTTCTTATACTCCACCTGCGCGTCCTCAATAGTCCTTGTGTCGAGTTTGCACGCACAGCCCGGGGTAGGACACCAGTACGTAAACTCCTCTTCGCCGGAAAATTCGTGCAGCGCCCAGCCCCAATGATCAACCACGCTGATCTCCTGGCAGACACTGCACTTCTGTGCCGGCACGAGTTGGCGAGACGGGAGGTCCTCCTGTTGCGTCAGGTCATATTTGGCCACGTTCTCGTTGATGCTGCGGAGGACCTTGTCCCAGGGCGGGACGATGTCGGCAGGCACGTTACTCATTTGCAGCCAGTACGTCGGCGTGGTCCATTCGGGTTCCAGGTAGTGACTAGTGTTGATCTCGCGGATCTGTTCGACGTTTTCGATGAACTTTTGGTTGGTCCAGCCTTGGGTCATTTTTTTGCGCAGGAGCGCGTCGACTTGCTCGTCGCTGCTGCGCTGCCGTTGGAGAATCCAGTCGCGGAAGGAGAGGGCGGGTTGTTCGGCACCATGCCTGGACCGCTGTTGATGTTCCTCCACGTACTCCTGTTTTAGATCTTTCCATTGCAACGACATGACGCTGGTTTCTTGGGTACAAGGCTAAACTGGTGCACTGAAAATGGGGCAACTGGTGAACGGGCTAAAATTTGCTTTGACTGACGGTGGTGCAAAGTGGCGATGAGAAAGTTGTCTGTCAGTTTGATGGAAGACAGCAGCTGTCCCGAATAAGGGTGATGACATGATAATCTCACAAAGAACCCGCCAGTCAAATTTCAAACATTTGATTAAAAATCTCCGAGAAGTCTTTGGATGCTTCCGTCAAGACTGAATGGTTTTGGCCATCGTGCTTGGACACCTTTGCGCAACATTCCACTTGAACGCGGCAGCAAACCACCCATTTGAGTGAAACAACAAAGAGAAACTGCCAAACTAATCAGAAAGAAGGAAAACATTTTCATGCAATTGAATGCTTCAATTAAGTGCAGGGTATAAACACGCCATTCCGTATTTGACTTCACTCCATCATGTAAACACACTGCCACTTGCCCCCCGAAAAGGGGCGACACTCAAATTATGAGCAGTTTCAAGATACCCTTTGATCCTGTGTAAGCCATCGGAAATTTTCTAGTATCTACCATATTCGTGTTTGGCTCGGCACACACGCGAATCATTGCGGCTTAGGTTGTGTAGACTGTCCATGAGCTTCATATGGACCTGTGTAGGGATGCATCTGCGCCAACTCGTAGTGCTGAACGGGCATCTGTTGGAACGAGCTACCCGTTTGTTGCGCCGACAGCGGGCTTGGCACCTGTTGAGGGTAAAACTGCTGCTGAGGGGCTGTGTATACTTGCTGAGACGGCGACGGAGACTGTGCCGAGTGTTGGGGAAAGCCTTGCGCTTGAGAAGTGCCCGGCGTCTGCTGGGAGTAGGGCTGAGACTGTGGTTGCATCTGAATCTTCTCGCCCCCGGCTGATGCAGCTGTGGCAGCGGGTGCGCCCTTATGTGCCGTGGTCGAGGCCACAGGCGTGTTGTGAAGCCCAGCTTTACGGTGACGGTGGACGCCAACACTATGGATAGCAAGGGAAACAATGAAGAGAACACTATATCAATCAGAACATACTTATGCAAAAGAGGCATTGGGTGGCGGCTATAGAACTCACAATTCGAGGCCTCCCAGGCCAGCAGCCCCAGCCAGACAAGCAGCATAAATCAGTTCAGCGTCGGTAAGGCTGTACGAATAGCAGTAGTCGTAGGCATCGCAAGATGTGTAACTGTCGAATACGGGTGCAATTTGGGAAGCAAGTAGCGCGAAGGAAATGAGCCAGAAAATGAGCAGAAAGATATCCAGTGCCATGACGGCCCAGTAATTGTAAAGGTTTGGCGAGCCGAACTCAGCAACAAGGTGATATATGCAACTGATGAGTGTTGCTACGGCCTGGCTATTATTAGGGATTCCCATCGGAGGCAGCGGCCGACCTGACTTACAGTGAACAGCATCAGAGCATCCCCTGAGAATACCAAGAAGGTGACGCCATAACCACACAGGCCTAGACAGACAACTGTGATGATCAACTGGAGGATTCGAACTGCAATGAAGCCCTTGGGATAGTGAGGGAAGTGTTCTCGACCCGCAGGTCGGTGAGTCGAATATTTCGAGTGGTTCTCCATCTTGCTGGTATTGCCGGTATGGATGTTCATCGAGGACTGAGCTCTCACTGCCTGTGTGAGTTGTTGGCCAACGGAACGAAACTAGTGAATCTGAAAAGAACGTAGCTGTGATAGGTGCTTGGTGGGAATTCGGGACGAGAGAGACAAACTTTGAAACTTGGACAGAGCGGCGGAAGCGATTTTGATATTGGGGACATCCCTAGGACTTCCTAGAGACTGCCGGTAGACGTACCCTGAGACTCAGCCGCTAGCTTGCCAAGGCCACTCACCATGCGTCAAAATGCAAGCCCGGAGTAATGGCTGAAGGGGCTTGCTAGGTCCCCTGTTGCTCACGATTTGTGAATACCGAGTTTGCCTTGCCGGCTCGTGCTGTTGCTGCACCAGCAGCTTTCAGCGAGTATTGACGCAGGCTGGATCCACTTAGGTCTTCACACCTTCCCAGAAAATATGGCTAATTCCTGATCACGAGACCTGGTTGCGAGACCTGGTTGTGCGGAAGTGAGGTCGACGAGGTCGATAACCATAGAGGGTTGTCTTTGAACTTCTGCTTCTCCCACTGCTATTCCGCAGGGAATACTAGAGAATGGCATGATTTTACACATGCTGTTGAATCTCCCATTCCCATCATCAATGCTACAACGCAGCAGCATTGCTGCCAAACCTTCATCTGCAACCTGGATCAGGCGCCGAGCTGGTTGTCGCCAAGGTGTGTGGCTCTCATAGATAATATTGGATGTCGTGAGCTGAAAGAGGATATATTGGCCTTTTCTGGTGAGAACCTGCCTGCAAGGCCTGGTCGATATTGGCTTGGACGACAGCATGTGTGGAGATGATCGGATGCGGCTGGAGTTTCGTGATAGGTAAACAAGTTGCTTACTCCCTGACAGCTGAAAAGAAATTAGTGGAGCTGTAGCACCGTACAAGTCGGGATGAAGCATTGACTGTGACAATAGCGGAATAGTGCCGCCGCGCTCGACGACAGTTGGTAAAACTCCAGCGGCGTAATGGAGCCTACTCCGTGGAAAGAGAAGACCATCCGACACCGAAGCATACGTACTCATCTTTGTTCCGCTGCTGCTGGGTAGCTGTTAGTAAGCATCTGCCCTGCAAAGCTCGTTCACTGATAGGCTGCCATGAGGCCGCTGTTGTATTTTAAAGGCATGTCCCATAGGTCGAACCCAAAGCCACACAGTAGACTTGGCAATTAAAATTGAAGTATTGAAATTTGTGGCTGATAATGCTACGAGTTATGCGTTGCAGTCGTCGCACAAAAGCCACCGTCGGCAAGTTGTGTGGTGGCGTATTTGTGGCTGCAGGCTGTGTGATTCTAGACCCAGAGGCTTTTGATGCGCTTCTCGTTGTCATTGACTTCAAAGGTTAACAGGAAAAATCCGAAAAGCAACATCTTCAATATCTTGAGAGTGAGCTGAGGTTGTCTTCAAGATGTTGTAAGACAGAAGGCGCCCCGCTGATTGACCAGTAGCACGGAATGCAACATTACATTCAATGGCGACGGGAACAAGCGCGTGGGCTGAAGGCAACGGCATGAATGATAATTTCAATACCCATTTCGGACACTCGTATTTGAGACACTCCATTTTCCGTACCCAATCCCCCGGTGCCCTTAACCATAGGATGTTACGTAGCCGATCCAGGCTTTACGGAAGTGTAATCACTCCCGTTGAACAACTTAACCAGTAGGTACGTATTTGGTGAGAACGATATTTAGAGCCGCAAGCCGCAACTACGGACATGGTGGCCTATGAAAAAGCTTGTCGGTGGTCACAGTTCGTCATAAGCAGAATTTCAACTCCGCCTCAAGTCAGAGCTGTAGATGTCCACTCCTGCCTATCCTACCTCTTTCCAGTCGTCAGTATTCTCTTATCAGCCGGTTGGCTTAGCGGCTGTGTCTTTTGATGGCTTGCGGGCGAGTTGTTATCAATGTTGCTGTCATCGTAACGGAGCCAATAATTCTGCTTCTCCCAGATCCCCTGGTATGAGAGGCCCGATAGGCTCCTTTCTTGACAAGCATTGCCAATACTGGAGAATATCATAGTTTTATTCGTAGAGTGCCCGCTTGGTGCATAATCTGGCATGTCGGAAGAGTAGCGAACGATCTTGCTCCATGAAAGGCATCTATCCAAAATTATCCACTCTATCCCAATCAGTCAGATGTCCCACAAGGCCACTTAGGAGGTTGGCCATGGATTCTCCAGTGGCAGCCACGACACCAGTCGGTCTTCTATTTTGACATATTTAGTTGAGAAACAGGTACCCTTCGGTATCTAATTAGCCACAAGTTTTCAAGTAACTGGCCCTCGCCAACTCCTCGTCCACCCACGAATACGAAGCGTGCTTTTTGCGGCAGGCCCTGGAACCTGAGGCTGAGGTCTTCAAAGCAACATATGACGCATCTCGCCCGACTTTTCGTGGTAGGAGAGGCGGCATACTTTGGTTGGATACCTTAGGGTCGGCCCAGGGAAGAAGCAATCTTGACTGCAAACGATGCCCCCGTTGCAGATAATGTGAGGAAAGCATGCCGGTAATAGGGTCCAACCCGTTCCGCTTCTCGGGTCCAGTCTTCAGAGATGCCACCAGGTGCTTCGGGTTGAACGATACATAGCGCATCTATCCAGAGATAGCTTATCCCTAACTTTTATTTGATCCAGGTTGCTCAAAATTGTTCTTCCGTCAACATTGGCCCGTCCATAACAGTAACTGAGGATGTGATACAGTCCAGATTCACCTGCCAAATCGCAAAGCTTCGGTGCAGCATACTCACCTCGGAACGGAGGGCGTCAGCGTCCAACATCAGTGACCCGGCTAGGTTATTTTTGAGGTACATTGTAGGACTCGTAGCCTCCATGTCTCTTGCATTGTGCCTGACATGCATGGCAACTCCTAACCCACGTTCTGGTTTATCGAACCACAGTTTGATGTCTGCCGATGTTTCTATTCGTTCGATGTTGTTCATGATTTCATCAGGTGGGACAAACACACAAGGGAGTTTGGCAAACCAGGGGATCTGGATGGTTCATCGGGTTCAGATATCTACAACTGTACTTCCAATCCATCAAGACATACGAGTGAGAGACGATGAAGTTCTAAATCAAGCAAGAGGTCGACTGGTCCTTGAAACTGATCAGAGAAGCTACAGTGTGGATGAGAGCTTGTCGAAGGATGACACAGATCTTGCAACCCCTCGCCGCCGAATTGTCAAGTAGAGAAAATGCGGCATAATAGCAGGCCTTAATACCGGGCCTATGGTATATACTCTGTACGGCTTGCTCGCATGTTGAGCAGCACCCGCTCAGCAATGAAGGAAATTCCGTCATCTGCTTTGGTATAAGAGTCCACATATCGAGCTAGATGACTTTTACTTCACACTATTAAAAAAAGTTATCTAATTTAGATCGCGATGAGGGAAGGAGGAGCATTGCCCAACTGATACCGTACTGGCAGCCTGATCTCCAGATATCATGAGTGGCCTGCAGCATAGCCCAGTGCCCCGGACCTACTTGGTGGCTGCAAAGGCTGCAAAGAACCATGGCCCCGCAATGGGATTTTCTGATGGCTGTTTTCGTACCCCTTGAATGGTCGCTTCGTCTGATTTGCTTCCAGATAAATATTGGACAAACAAGCATCATTAAGCCGATGAACTCTGGGAAATGCCGTTCATCTGACTGAGTGTGTAGGACAAAGAGTTGAATGAGACTTCCCGAGGTTGTCCCTTTGGCCGATTAGGTTGAGCTTGCGACAGCCAGCAGTCCGAGCGTCGCGCAAGTCGGCTCCATGCCACAAACACTGCTATGAAAACTTCATCGCAAACGCCAATTTGCTCCCAAACACAATCTTTAGGCAAGCTTGATGAGCAGCTCTCGTGCGACAAGCTCCTCATTCAACTGCAATGGGATACCGTTGGGCAATTCCAACACCCCGAATTTGGAGACACGACCTCCGTACTTGATCTGATCAACTTGGCGACAAGTTCTTTGTTCGTCAACCAGCAGCACGAAGAGCTTCGCCGCACCGTTGAAAGGTAAGCATTCAGCGCGCTATCTATCTTCAAAACCGTCTTACTACAATGATGAAAACTATTGGAGCTGTCTGATAATTCCATGGTGACACTAAAATATTACCATACGCAAACTTTCTGAATGACCCTAAAACAACTCAATTCTTTGTTTCAACCCATTTTGGTGGCCTTAACTGACTATCCTTGAAGAAGTGCACTGCAGGACCTTGTCGCAAGCTAGAACAACTATGCGAGACTATATCTCTTGCATCTGAATTCACTCTGGCCCAGTGAACGCATCGTACGACCGTGGTCGAAATGGATGTGGCCAACGGAGCTTCAGTAGCAGCGGCTGCACCGCCAGCACAAAATGGAGAGCGAGACGAGGCAGGGGGATACAAGCTGAAGTTCTGCACAGTATGTGCCAGTAACCAGAACCGGTACGTCAATAACTGCCTTAAGCTCCTGCACACAATCTAACAACGTAAGGTCTATGGAGGCCCACCTCCAGCTATCCAAAGCCAACTATCCCGTCATCTCCTTCGGGACTGGATCCCTTGTCCGCCTCCCAGGACCCAGCATCACCCAACCAAACGTATACCAATTCAACAAGACATCCTATGACAGCATGTTTAAGGAGTTGAGAGAGAAGGACGAAGACTTATATACACGGAACGGCTTACTCAACATGCTTAACCGAAATCGTGGAGTTAAGTGGGGCCCTGAGCGATGGCAAGACTGGCAAGTGGGTATCCCACGACTTGAGCACACTTCAGACCGTGGTTATGATGGTACAGAAGGTGGCGTGGCCGACGTCGTCTTTACCTGTGAAGAGCGATGCTGGGATGCTGTCGTTGATGATCTACACAACAGAGGGGCTCCACTGAACCGTCCAGTACACGTCATCAATGTTGATATAAAGGACAACCACGAAGAGGCATTGGTTGGTGGTCGCGGCATTCTAGATCTCGCAGATTCCCTGAACAAGGCCGCGAAAGAGGAGCGAGAGGCTGCGGGCTCTGCTGCGTTCGACATAGGCAGTGCGACGAGCCGAGCGTCCTTTGACGAGAGGGTTCCCGAGATTGTGGGCGAGTGGCAGGAGCGATGGCCTAATTTGCCAGCGACCTGGACACTGGCTTGGTTTTGAGCAGTTGCTCGGGTATGTTTTCAACGGGCGTTTTTCTGCCATCAGTACCACAAGTTAATGGATTTGATACCCACAATATGGCATGGCGTACTCGGAGGGAGGCTTGGTTACCGGCTACGCAGCTCTAAAGAAAACTTCAAAACTTAGAGTTACGGGCTCACAGCGAATTGTGCGTTACCAGAAAGGCCTTCTTTAATGATCAATGACACCAATTTGGTTCCGTCACCTGCGCTTTTTACAGGCATAGAACCTTGGTCCCCAGTGTGATGCGACGCAAGCCTCGGCGAGGCCATAGGCAGATTCGAGTATAGTGATCAACCACCATTGTTGGTCCCGGAGTTGTGTTGTTCAAGATCCATTCTGTGGTGGATCTTGCAGTGGTTCATGTCTGGTATTGCGCACCGCTGGTGGCTTCGCTTTCTGCAGCCTCTATGGCGTCCTCGGCATGTCAAGCCAAGTAAATGTATATTTAAGCAAAGGAGTTGAGACCTTGGAGCGGGCTAAGATAAGTGTTCTTGGGTCTATAATGGTAGTTGAAATCGAAGCCGAGGCCCAGCCGGCAGCTGGCACAGTTACCCCTGACGAGAAAAAGCACTCCGAACCCAAGATCGAAACGGCCTCAACTAGCAGCATCCGCAGCCCTCGCTCAAACAGAAGCGAAAAGGAAATATCGAACGATGGTGAGACACCCAGAATCATGGGCAGGCCGGAGTCATTTTTGCGGACGGTGCAGCGATATATCTGGGATCCGGACAAACCCAAATGCGAGAAAAAGTTCCTGCTGAAGCTCGACTTCTTCTTGTTGACCTACATATGTCTGGCCTATTTCTGCAAGAACCCGGATCCGGCCAACATCAACGACGCCTATATCCGCTATGAAGGAGTCGTTGGGGATGTACGGCAACGAGCTGTCGTATTGCGGAAACTTCTTCACGGCCGGCTATATCATCAGCCAATTGTCGGATGTTATACTCGTCTCCATGCTGCGGCCGATTTATCTGATACCCATGCTTGAGGTGCTGTTGTTCATTTCCACCTTCACTTCAGCTACCGTCAAGACGGTTCCGTAACTGTATGCGATGCGCTTCCTGGTTGACCTATGTGAAGTAAGATACTCGACCTAAGCATCTGAACAAATGGCTACGTTTTTCTAACACCTCGCAAGGCGCATTCTTCCTCTGTATCACCTGTCTCATCGGTGTAGTTGGTACACCAGGAGCGAGCGAGCCAAACCCATAACACTCTTCTATTCCACAGCAACCCTATCACACGTGTTCTCAGGCTACCTCCAAGCCGGGGCCTACTCCGGTCTTGACGGAAACTTAGGCCATGCCGTATGGCAATAGCTCTTTATCGTCTGCGGTGTCATCTCCCTACCTCCCTCCCCGTCGGCGTAATCGGCTACTCCTTCAACCCGGACTTCCCTAGGAACATGCGCGTCTTCTATCTCACCATAATAGACGTAGCTTTCGCCCAGTAGTGGCTCTCCAACGACGTATAAACGCGTCTGAGCGCCTCGGCATGGCCGACTGCCCTGTGGGCCACATGTTGATCTGGTAGATTGTATGCCCCTCTGCTTCGAGGTCCTGCGCGAAGAAGTTCTGTTGGGACGGGAAACTCTAGACTGGACGAAGTATCCAAAGCAGAGAACCCACAACTGCCACTGCATCACGATCCTCAGGATCTTCCCGCGGTCTCGTGGGTGTCGTGACCCATGTTCTAGCCAGCATGCTTTCCGACTCTCCGCTGCTCAAGGGGAAGCGGTAGCAGGCTATCGCCGTCATCCAGGGCGGAACGATCCTCAGCTACATTAAATTGTCGATCTGGAACGTGCCCATCGGGCTCAAGTAATTCATATCTCGTCTATGTTGGCTGGTATGCCGGAGAGTTTTCTACTCGTAGTTCCCAAGCCTGATGCCGCATGACCACGAGATGCGCGGCTTCATGAGATCGTTTTCAGATTTTTCCTTGTGTTAATCAGATCTGTTTTCCGGATGCGTTTTGGAGGACGACAGAGGCGCCTGGGCTTAGGCCAGGATTTATGGCTGCTTTGGGTTTTTAGGTTGTGTATTAAACGCGTTGCTAATGTGGTATCTGGAGACTAGGGATGAGAAGCGTGAGCTGGAAGGTCGGGAAGGGGGCCAGGATGTATCCACGAATCCGGCTCATGAAAGGAGTGGTATTTGTTGAGTTACTGTTTTGAAGGTCAATTGTTCATTAATCATTAGAAAACAGGTTCCTTCGGGCTTCCATACTTGGTAGGTACGGGATACCAATTGGTTCAGTCGATTGTGGAGTGGCCATGCGCTCAGCTGTCGAAGCTATAGCAAACCTCTTCTGGTCACGGTAGAACTACATCAATGAGTTGCAAACGCTGCGAGAGTCCAGTCATAGATACTCGTTCAGATCCAATCCAGGCTTGGGCCGATTTGACGATTTGCCTCGCGATAGCAAGACGTTCATCAACAAAATTTCACTACTAGAAGTGCTCGGTCGCATGACAAGCCGAGTCAGGGACCCTGCACTCTGGAGCTATGTCGCGGCTCCGAAGTGGTGATCAATGGCCTGTGCCATGACCTTCCGCGTGGGTTCCCGAAGTCGTACACTGCCCACTGCGGGCCATCCATCGGATTTGGTCCCCCTGCCTCGAACGCGCGTAACATTGAAGATATTTCTTGTCCACGATCTATTTGCCTCCCTAGGTTACCAGAAAATGACTCAGTTAGACTAATTTCCCAGAAGGAGCGCACTGCCACGGAATGCTAACTGAGTTCCGGACATGGTAAGATGAACAGCAGGCGATATGAGATGAGCTATGACCAAGGGTTGTGCGGTGAGGCAAGAGGCGACGTGCGAAATTTAGTTGTTTTGTTTGGGACGTTATGCATACAACCGAAATAGAGGTGTAAATATAATGCATATTTATCTACACATACGTGGAACATCACAAGAAAGTCTATTTGAGCCGCATGATAAGACTGGCGACTATCATTACTCTGGATCCCTGTATGAACGTCCTGAATATGCCCGACGTTGTCCAGAAACGAAGTCAGTATGCCATGCGATTTCCAAATGTGTGAGGCTCGAGTCAAACACTCGAAACACAAGCTTCGGGATCTACAGAGGATGGGGACGAAAAGACTGGATTGGTGTTGCGCGAGTGGTTGCTTAATGAACCCAGGCAACACCCAGACAATATAAAACAAGCTTACTTCCATCAGTTAGAAGGTCTTCAATATCAACCAAGGCAAACCAAATATGCCAGTCATCTCCGAACGCCAAACCTTGGTATCCGGCAGATGAATGTAGACTTGCATCCAGTGCTGAAGTGGATAAGAGCCCTGATGCCCAGGTCTCCATTATCTGCGGGTCATGTTGCTGTGGATCCGGGGCCTAGAATTTTGCATCTCTTGGCATTTGCATTCCAGACTTTGGCTTCAACATTTGCCCAGTTTTGCCTTGGGCTTATTAGACTTGAAGTTGTTCTCTTTGCTAACCTTGAACTTGACTGCCAAGAGCTCACTGGTCTCTCAATATTTCTTGGCATAAAGACGGCAAAATTTGGACATGCAACCGTCAGGGCCCAATGTTACATGGAATAATTACGTGTAGTTGGACTTTATGCAGTCACACGCATCTTATTGGCCAGAGTAACTAATCCCAGAATAGGACGGATGCAAGGAGGGTTGGATCTGACAGGGGTGCACTGAGCTTTTCCCTTGAGTCGATAGATTTTCTTGGTATTTATCCGTCTGGTTACTGTTAGGTGTCAGAAGTCATTGTGCCAAGTCCACAAGGCTTTCATTGAGACCGTCATGTTGTTTTGGTTGATAGGCTAGGACTTCTGTGGATGCAATTGGTGCAGACTTGTCACGCACGAAATGCAGTAACGCGCGACGAAAGGGAGCCGCCTTCAGCCCAAAAGTGTGTCTCGTAGGTTCACCGCAAGCCAATTAATCCAGCTAATCCAACGGTGACGCCTTTTCAGGGGACTAGACGCCCTCGGGCTTGATCAGGATGTAGTGTGACTGGAAAGGGGGCCCCTTGGACGACAGTAATAGATTTCGCTGAGCTCATAGTCGAGGAAGCAACCGACGAAATCTGCTCTCTCTGCGCAATGGACAGAAAATTGAAAGACAGCTCTGATCTCGATTGTGTTGTTGGTATGTAGATAGTTGTGTACCTGCTTCATGCAGCCGTAAGCCGGCGATCCCCTGTTGAGCACTACTTTTAAGTCGTCTCATTTTAGCGGCACCTCATTGAAGTATGGCAGGGACTTTAGTGTACGAATAGTACACAAATTTACCCTGTTGTGAGGGGTCTTTGGGTTCCTTAATGTTGATAAAGTTAACACACGACATCTGACTTCAAAATCGCGGTTCTGGGTTTCTAGACAATTTTGGTGTCACACTGTCGGCCACTCTTTCGCGCTTGCAGCAATAATAGGAAGGCTCCATCCAAGTCGATTCAGGAACCAGGGACCCACCCCCTTTCCCTAATCTCCTCCCAATTGGCTGCGGCCCCCCTCTCGAGCCTGCCACCCCGGCCGTCCGACTTCCCGTTTCATGCTTCCCAGCCTTTGATGCATTCCGATAGTCTCGCAACTCACTCACGCAAGCGAGAATCTCCTCCACACCCACACTCGTGCGGATTCTGAAGCTTGAGCATTTGCGATCAGTTTTTGACATCTTTACGTTTGTGCATCACCAGATACCTTCTATCCGAATCCAGTCCACGGTCACTAGCACCGCACGCTGTCCATACTCTCGCTTTCTGGAACATCTATTGCGGAGGACCCAGACATTTGGAGACTGTTACGACCTGATCTCGAACTGGAACACCAAGGAGGTGGAAGAACACGCGCTGCAGGCACCCGACTGGCATTCTATTTTCCGGCATGACACGACATTGACCACAACGGCAACCCACGTCTATCTCGACCCATATACAACTCGATTGATCGCCAAGTCACAGTAATTCTTTTCAACCCGACTGTGGCAGTTAACACCGGGCCTTGCCGAGGGTGCATGCGTTTGCTTTTTTTTGCCGAGTGTTTGGATTGTGCCGAAGTGGACGGGGCTGGATTGCATTGAAGTGCCACCACCTCGACAATTCCCTTGAACCCACGGCTAACTTGACACTCATCCCTCGTGACACCCGCTCCTGTGCTGGTCTGAGCAGAACAACCTTACAGCTACATCAGCTACCGCATTGTTAATTATCATGAATACTCGAAATGCGCCGCTGTCACCTGTCTCCGTAGGCGGTAACGAATGGTCCAGCATCCCCAAATACCAGAACCCTGCCAACGGCGATCCCTACAATCAGAACAACCGTGGTCTCATATCGCCTCCCGATTCCGGAGGACCCAACGGCAACATGAACGGCTTTTCGGCCGGCCCTAGGAGCGTCGGCGGGCCGTCTCCGCCGCCCTCGGTTGCTCGATCGAGCACTGGCACCAACGGTGTGAGCATGTATGCGAGAAGAGATAGCAGTCGGAGTATGCGGGACGAGGCCAACGAGGGTGTTCTTGGAATACACTATGTCGCACTCAAGAGATATTTGCAGCAAACGTCGAAAGACGGAAGAGCCAACCCACCCCCAAACCGAGCACGCGACAAGCTATTGCGCCTTTCTGCAGTACAATTTCTTGAGCTGTCCACAGATGTTTACGACGAATTACTCAGGCGCCAAAGTTTGAACAGACGCGCGGGACCGCCCCCTCCCGACTTTCTCCAGCCCGAAGACACTTTCCATCCGAAGCGCAATCAGGCACGTCAAAAACTGTCAACACTTGGGCCTCCGAGGTTCAGAGACCTAGCCACAGATGTATTCTGCGAACTGGAAAGGCGCTTCCCAGGGTTTGCATTGGGTGAGATTCCACGCATGAGCAGCTCTGCCGTTTCTTCACGGGGCCCTCCGAGCCGTACCGGTACACCGGTTGATAGCATGAATGGAATGCCGCCTAGAGGGCCAAGTCGTATGCGAAGACCGTCTGATGCAAGCTCTACACGCTCGGGAGCACCAAGAATGAACAACGATTACCCAGCACCGTCGTCGCCTAGAATGCCCAGCAGCGGCTTTGACCGCCCTCAACAGAAGCAGATGCAGAGCAACACCATCGTGCCCAACAAGAGTACCATGGTTGAAGAGGACGATGATGTGGTAGGAGACAATGACGAGGATACCGATGCGTTCGGCCTCGAACGTGTCACGGACCGGGAAAGCAAGAGGAGTGCAGGGACTGTCACATCAGAAGTTCGTAGTCAAACGACCATCAAAACGAATAAAAACGCTGGGCTAACTCCTTTACAGGCTGATAAGAGACTTCTCGAGGATTCCCAGGCCCATGCGCGAGATTTACAATCAAAATTGGACAGCCTGGAAGACGCTTTGAAGAGGAAGGACGACGAATTAACCCACGTACTAGACGACGAACGATCCCGTGCCTCGGCCGATAACATGGAGAAGAAGCAATGGACAGATTTGAAGTCAGACCTAGAAGCTCAACTAGCCGAAGCGAGAAACTTCAACGATACATTACGTAGCGAACTCGACCGCATGCGTGAGGATCATGATGCGGAATCGAGGAGACTCCGGGAACAAATTGATGAGGCCCAGCAAAACAATCAACAAAACAGCAGAAGTATGAGTGGTGCTGGGGAGGACAGCAAGCTGCAACAAGAAAACCAAGAACTCCGAATGGCACTCGAGGAACAGCGGCAGGTGACGGAGGAAGTTCGTCGTGAGGCACAACAGTTCCTGCAGGAAATGAAGATGCTTTCTCAACAACATACTCCATCCTGGGACAAACAGGCCGAGCTGGAGAAGACGGTTGAACAGCTGGAGCAGGAAGTCCGAGACTGGCGCAATCGTTATGCTCGCGCGAAGACGCAATTGCGCAGTATGCGAGCTTCTTCGACGGGGTTGACAATCGACCAGGATGCAGGCAAATACGTGCGGGACAGGGGTTTCATGGAGGGCAACGGTCTGGTCAAAGACGTGCATGTTACCAAATTTCAGATCGCTATCGACGAGTTGCTACAGAGGGCCCGAACTGATGATCCAGAAAAGGTTATCGACTCTATGAAGGCCGTTGTCGTGAGCATCAGGCGCATTACTAAGGATATCGACGAATCTGCCCCGAACGACGACCAGACTATCCAGCAACGAAAGGTGCTGAAGGCTCGCGTATCAGCCACCGCCAACAACATGATCACGGCCGCCAAGAACTTTGCATCTGCCGCGGGGATTTCGCCAGTGTCCCTTCTCGACGCAGCGGTCTCGCATCTTGTGGCTGCGCTTGTGGAGTTCCTCCGCACCGTCAAGATTCGAGCCACTCCTGCTGGAGAGCTGGAGGATGACGATGACGGCACCGTCACACCTGTCGAATCCACCGGGTTCTTCTCCAACCGATCAACGCAACAAGAATCGTCGTTCGCGAGAAACTATGCGCAGGATAACCCCCAGCCACTCATGCCTCAACCACTTATGCCTCAACCGCTTGTGGCCCCTCCCCGATTCCAAGGTCTAGGTGGTGATCGCAACAGTGGGCAATCTTCGGCCTACAGTCCCATTAATTCCCCGCGTGAATCTCTGGAGCAATACAACAACGGCCAGGGAGAGATGAATTTCATGAGCAACAAGAACTTGCCTTCAGCTCCCAATCCTTCCAACGGTTACAGGATGCGCAATGATCGAGCCGAGGATCTCAAAATTTACCTCGAAGGCCAGACAGATTACTTACGTGATGCGATCAACGGCTTGGTCGCATCTATCCGTGGTGACGCGCCAATCGCTGAGATCAACGACGAAATCAACTCCATTGCCGACGTAGTGGGCAAGGTGGTGTCCGAGACCGAAGCAAGTGGTCATGGCGACGACGCAGTGGACCGCCTGTCCGATTGCCGTCAGCGTCTGCTTGAGGCTGGTGAACATGGCCAAGACCTGGCCTCCCGCGGCTTGGACACGGGCGATCGAGAATGGCGCATGTGGACGCAAACGCTGCCACCCATTGCCTTTGAGTTGGCACGGGAGACTAAAGAGCTTGTACAGAAGATCGACCGCATTGCCATGTCTGGCGGCGCAGATGACTTCTCATGAAAGCAGAGTCACAAGATGTGATGCCACCGTCTTCCATAATATCTTTTAACGACGCTTACGGCCTAATCTCGGGAACTCGATTGCGCGGCAACTTGGTCCAAATCTTGATACCCCGTCACGACTAAGCATTTTGCTGTCGGCGCTCTTCTGTTTGGGTCATAGCGATGATTGTCGATCAATTATGCTTATTTATTCTTTCTAGTTAATTCATGCCCTTGTCCTCGTACATACGTCAACCCACCTCTTGTGGATCAGGGTGCTGTAGGATGGACACGCGCTCGGCTTCAGAAGTGGTTTGGCCTCGAGGTTTTTTTTTTCTTTCGCTACCACTTGACTTACATAATTGGTATGTCTTGTAACGCTGGATGCATCTTATTGAAGGGCGGCCAGGTGTTTAGCAGGCTTGCCACTTCCACTTTCCCTGTTATGTAGATGAATCATTGGCTGATTTGGCCATTGGGGAGAAACATGGACAGAACCCGGACCCCGGATAGAGATGACGGGGAGATGAAACCGGGAATTGGTGACGAGAATGACGCAGCATGCATGGCATGGATGTCATTAACATCAGCGCACTCCGTACATTCATCTGCCTAGCAAGACATGTCTGTGTCAATAATGAATTGCGAGAACCATTTCGTCAATAGCACTGGAACTGCTTCTGTAACTTGTGGAGTATGCGATGATTTCTGGGACGACGATTTATGTTGAGTTAATACGGTGGACAGGTGCATCTGTCTAGCCTACCTTGCTTCTCACATGGCATAACTATGACACGACTTTCACGTTGCAGCAGAAACCTGGGCAGCTCATGGCAGCTAGACATGGAAAGCCTGCCTGACACGGAGAAACAGAGGGTACCAAATAATATGTCTGATCTTTACTACTATCTATAATCTAGATATCTACCTTATCTACGCACGCCTCAGCTTCGCAGCCTCTCCTGGATGGTTTTGCGTACCGAGAGCAATGTCAATATCCCAAGCCAGATCGTGATAGCTGTCACTTACGTATGTTAACAATCGCGACTTCTTCAACAATATTCTCGGGTCCACGTTGGTGGGCCACCATGTCAATTGGCTGAGTGGTATCAAGGCCCTGGGGGTGTCTATGTGGAAAACATGGTGAGTGATGAAAAGACAGATGAGAACATATAAGCAGGTTCAATTGCAGAGGAGGATTCCGCTAATTGACTGTGTCGTGAGCAGCTGAGTGATGGCCCTAAGCTCTGGTTTTTGGCGAAGTTGCAGGTGCATGTTGTAGATGTAGGTGTTCCTTCAAGAAGTCCCTTCTCTTCGGGCGAATGCCAATTGGAACTTCGGATGTCTCTCGTTACAGAGAAAAGACGGAGACTCGAAGTTCGCGCCTCAAGTTTGAGCTGACCGTCCGGTGAAAAGTGTGTCTGAGATGTCGCCCGATATTGAACGAAAAGATATATCAACTAATGCAGGAGGGATAAGGCTGAAAGCCTGTTGGCTGATGCTGACCTTGATGTTACTCTCACTGGCCATCTTGGTGGTCAGGTGATCGAAGAAGGTGATTCACGTGAAAAGATGTGGTGATCCGATACACGGAGTTGCTACTCACGGTATCATACGAAGTGATCCGCAAAGGAAGGTTTCCAGTCCTGACGGATGAATAAGATGCCAGGATCATAGACTTAGGGAGGTCGGTCAGGGGTGTACGACGGGCGGTCGTTCCCACAGAGAAGCATATGTCAGACCTCGTTGACATCATGCTTGCGTATCTGTCACTTATCTGATTTTTGGTCATCATACTCGTTCCGTGGACTCTTGCTACCTCCGTCCTTCTATCAGGTCAAACATTGGTGCTGAGATGATTTTGGCGCCAACGGTCTCCCCGTCTGAGTGCCAGCGGCGAATTAGGAACGACGCTCATGGCCTCATGACTAACAACACGTTACTCATTCAGTTAGTATCTTTCCCTGCAGATAACACATAATTTGGAAGTCCTCCAGTGTTTGATAAGTCGCAAGACCTGGCCTTTGGTTCCAGCGGCACTCCCTTCATCTTGTATAGTCGCGGCAGTTTACAAATCGGGAAGTTGAAAATGGCGGCAAAGGGATGGACTCGTTTCAAAATGAGAGGGACATTGGCGCCAAGCTCAGCATTAACAGCGCAATGACATAACGATCCTTGATGTATTCATGACACGTCTGATCGATAACATAGTAATTAATTCTTAAGGGTTTTTAGAGCAGTCTATATAATCATCACTCCTTACTCCAGAGAATTCATGAAGTAAGCAATTCTTCATTCCTTCATTATCAAACATGATGTACCTCTAGAATCAGGGTTTCTAAGGGATTTGCATATATTTCTTATTCCGCTTCGCTTCCGCTCATTGTCTACTTTATGTTCCGGCGTCAAAGCTATTCCTTGTATGCACTCTTAATCTCGCGATCGAACTCTAGCATCATGAAGTAATTAACGTAGTCCACGGTCCAATTGCACACTTTGGCAGACCTTATACGACAATGTATAAGTTAATTCAACCACAACGCCTATCATCAATTGAAACTACTCAGAATCGTTATCTTCAGAGTCTCTACATCATTTCCACAAGTGCGCGCATTATGTCCGGGCTCGCCGCAGATTCTACAGCGCCGTACACGCGCAATTCGCCGCCTCGTACGACCACCAATTTGACGAAATTCGTCATGTAACTGCCCATCAACCTCTTGTTGAGACTGTAGGTCCTGTCCAGCTTGTATACGAAGTGACCATCCACTCTGTAGCTGTTTTTTCTTCGCACGGCGACGTCGACTTAAGGTCTCATTTGCCTTTCGAAGTGATTCGACCTCGCCTTCTAAAAGGGCAAGCCGATGCATAACCTTCGTTGTACCTCGCGCAATCTGATCTATTCCAGCAAAAATTGACGTTGGTGAGCTATTTTGATGTCGTACAATCCTATTTTTCACATAATCGGTTTGTGATTGGGCTTCGGTTGGGTTGTTCGGAGTCTTTGATTCCCAAGGGACGGGGAGACCAGCCGAGCTACCCGGAGGTGTTGGCGTATGTAATTTCACATCGAGCTGTGATATGACATAATCTGCATCGTACGGAACTATTACTACCCCTCGGAGACCTCCTTGGATATTTGAAACCGTGAAAGTTGCGTTGTACGCGTTTAAAAACGCCGGTAAAAAGTCTTCTTTCGAGATATGACTTATATGTGCTCGCATGAGATCTTCGATTTCTTTTCCGTGCGCTCTTTTTAACCCGCGAAAACAACCAACATCAAGAGGCTGGAGCTTATGCGACGAATGAGGAGGCATACAAAGCGTGACGATATTGTTAGCTTTGCAATATACCTCGAAATCGGTCGAGTGATGGCTTTCGTGACCGTCGAGGATCAATAGGCGATGAGTACCTTTCGTACGAGACTTGGTGTGATGATCGAAGTGTTTTATCCAATCTTCGCCTCTCTCGTTCGTAGTCCAGCCATTTTTAGTAACTGCGATAACCCAATCAGGCGGTAATGGGCTGTTTTCGTACCATGACGAGAGGTGGGTTTTGCCGGCGAAAATGATGTACGGAGGGAGGGCATAACCGGACGACCCAACGCCTTAAATAACTGTAACCCATTCCCGATTTCCTTGCTGGGCTGCTCTAGGCCTTCCGCGCCGATCAGAAGTCGTCATGACCATTTCGGACGAGATTTGGCCCATCACAAAACCGGTCTCGTCGAAGTTGTAGATATCCTCCTCCTGGATCGCGTATTTCGCAATTGTATTCCGTACCAGGTCAAACCACGCGCGATACGCGTCGGGGTCTTCGCAGAGGACTCTCTGATAGTCGATCCTTCGGTTTAAACGCGTCCGGAGGTCTGGTTGTCGTCTTACGAAGCTCGAGGCCCAGTTGACGCCGACGCGTCCCGCGTCGCGACTTCGAAGTAATCGGTTGGCCATATCTTCAACACCACTCAATCGGGGAGGAAATGCTCGCGAATCTAGGTCGGTTATATGTCGTACGATTTCCTCTTCTTCGGAAGGAGTCAACTTTTGCGTTGGCGATCGCGTAATCGCTCGAGCGGTTTTACCGTCGCGTCGATACGCAAGGGTTCTAAAAGGTACGTTATAGATCTGACCAGCGCGACGTACACTTAATTTTGGATCAGATTGAAGCACATGTAATGCTAGAATCATATCACTTTCATTCCAAGAACCAACCATAGTTATGTGGTGCAAAACCGCAGGTCAAAGTGGTAGCGTACGAAAATCTGCCGAAGTGTGCAATTGGACCGTGGACTACGTTACTCTCAATAACCCTATTTACTTATTGATCCCTACCTGTTACTATGGCTTATTGATATCATTGCCCATCTGAATTTAATAGAAGTGCCGACGCCCTTAAAACCTCCGAATCTCTATCAACTTAGTAACGATGAGAACTGTCTGTAAGGGGAGGAACAGACAAGTATGAACCTTAAGGCTTACAAATTAACTAATACATCCAAAAGACTCCCTTGGATCCGACCTCTCCTGGGGCTACCGAAGCCAGTATGGCATCCTTAAAGGAGCACTAAGTGCGTCGTCCGTAGGACTTTACCGCCGCCAATTAACTAAACTATCTAGATATGGCGTCCCTTGCATAATAATCAGAGGGCCTTTACCCCTCGGGCTTCTATCTTCTCTGCTCGTTTACGATGGTTCTTGTTAATAATACGAAAACAGGCTCCCTATAATCCCTAGGAAGCTTACTTCAGGTCTATTCGATAGGCCAGGCGGTGTTAGGCGTAGTCCGTCCTAGTACGTGTCGTACGGGATTTTCTGCTTGACTACGAACTATATATTTGATTTAGCGTGTGTCATAGGCCCTCTAGGACCAAGTCTTATAAGCAATACGGTAGCTTCATCTAGATTTATACTGCTATTGTATGGTCCTCTAATAACTTAATCTCCCGCTCGGGAACGCTATTGATACGTGACCCCATGGGGGTTGCCTATAGCTAGAGTGATGCGTGCACCTAGGGGGAAGGATGCTATAATGCAGCAGTGCGCAACGTTATAGTATCTAATTGAATGGGATTCACCTAACCAGTGGGTCCCCCTACCTTTTCGTATCATAGAGATAAGATAGATAAGAGCTATAAAAGAGCTCTGCCAGGCCAGAATAGCTGACCTGGCCATCCTTTCCCAATACAACAATTCACACCCCATATGCACTCGCATCAGCTATTTTAATACTAGTTATCCAGCGTCTAGATCGTGAGCTCAATATTCTTACACTTGTAAATATCTTCCAGTTTGCATATGCCAAATTCCCTAACACCTTTAGTCCGAAGGCGGCGTATTCGGCGCGGTACGGGTAAATCTCATAACGTCGCCATATACAGATTCAACTCGATCTTAGTGGCACTTTGAGTCGATCTTGGTTATTTCAGCTTAATTTTATGCCTGGTATATAAGCTTCTCGACTGCTGTTAATGAGATCTCTATCCTAGCTGTGTAATAGATAGTCCAGCGTATTCGCTTTGAGTTTTTGTGCTAACCGTCTATGCTCTAGGGTTAACATGGCCCATATATTATCATCTTTCTCTGCCTAATTACACGATGTTACCTTATCGCGGAATATCGCAACTTCGTATTTAGGGATGGCGGGCGCTGCTATACCGCGTACCCCTATCTTTTCTTCAAAGGGCCCCTAAATATTATAGTATCGACTGATATGCCTACGTCTAAGTCTGCCTTTTCGGGGGAGGTGTGGATATCTCCTCAGTGTCCTGTAGCAGTAGTCTCTGTGTGCTACGGGAATTCTTTGAACAGATTCTGACTGGACAGGTACATACGTACTTACCAGCTACGTCTGACGTAGTATCTGGTCGGATACTAGTTGAGCCTAACTTCTAACGCTCTATCTCCTTGTTATAGCTCTGTAAACATTATTATATATATTAGAATTCCCGTAGCACACAGAGACTACTGATTTGAGCCTCGCCCACTTGGGTCGGTGACGAGTCGCGGGTTCGAATCCCGCAGCTGACACACAAGGGGGTTTAGTCAACCCTTACGGCGCGCTGCCCACCTTGTTGACTTCGCCTACCTAGCGATAATAGGGAGATTGGTGCAGTTTAGGATTACGAGCATCCTAGCCAGTCGACCGTCAAGCACTACGTCGGCGGAATATAACTCGACAGCCGGTCCAGAATTCGAATCGTTAATCCGACCCCTTATCGGACCCCCTCTCGCCGCGATTCTTGCGAGCGTCTAGACCACGTTACGGTCTATCCACTTGAGCGTATGGTTGAGATGTATACGCTCGACGAGAACCCCAATTAGCAGATACTACGACTTGTCGCGACAAAAAATAGTCGAGCATCTTCTGCACATCAGCAGCATCCCACCCCTGATGATGCGAGTGCATATGGGGTGTGAATTGTTGTATTGGGAAAGGATGGCCAGGTCAGCTATTCTGGCCTGGCAGAGCTCTTTTATAGCTCTTATCTATCTTATCTCTAGCTATAGGGCAACCCCCATGGGGTCACGTATCACCTGAGGACGAATTTAAGTGCCACATTACCACACTTATCGGTAGTTCAGGCAGGGGTTGTAGCACAGACTTAGGGAGGGACAGGAGGTTTAGTAGTCGTTTGGCTACAAGTTTACCTGTATAGCCGCCCGACGCGGCTTAAGGGCCCGCTATATCATCTATAGCCCCTTAAGGGAGTACTTGTAGAGGTACCGAGGGTTAACACCTACGGCGTATTTAATATTATTATTATATTTGGCATCTATAATTATACTATCCGGTCTGTTAAAGAGTATCTCCATGATGCGAGTGCATATGGGTTGTGAATTGTTGTATTGGGAAAGCTTGTTAACTAGCTATCTGGCTGGCCGAAGGCCTTCTTGGGCTGCCTATCTTATCTAGAGCTATAGGGTGGCCCTTCTGCATGGCGTGCTGAAGCCTATTTTTCGCGTATTCGGCTGTGCTGTACCCTCCCTAGAATACCTCTTTAGTTGTGGATAATCCCTAGAGATATGGCCTGTTTTATTGCAATTCTACATCCCAACGAAGTCGTGGTGGGATATGATAAATTCTTCTAACATCGTGTCCGGATTTAAGGTCTTATACCTTATCAAGCCCACTTGCCCTATGTGGTACAAGAAGTACCGTTAACTATTCTAGGAGATAATCCGTTACTAACTGCTCTCTATTAACAGACTGGCCCAGCTGCCTTCATCCCCTGATAATTCGCCTGAATTTAGCTATATGAGCTACTAGGTCTTTCCTATATTCGTAATCCAGCCTTCGTAGCTGTTTGTCTCACACTGCCCTCTCGCATTAGCCTGTAGTGGCGTAGATCTTGTCGAAAAGGCGTAGGCACTTAGTGCCTCTATAGATCCCTACGATCATATCCTACGGGACCTGGTCACAGGCTTTCTTAATTACTGTAACGAATCGTATCTTATCCGTTCTTGTTAGGGACTCAGGCTTCTTGGATGTGTACATGATACCTTTTAGTGTACCTATTAAGTTATCTTAGTAGATGAACCAGTTGGAAGGATTTTACAATACGTTCTTGCCCTCTAGCTCTAACTTCAAGGACTTCCAGTCCAACTTCTTCTTGGACTAGCCTCTTATTTCTAGGCTCCTCTTCTTCGCTAGAGGACCCATCCAACGTATCATGGTCGGAATCCTCAGAATCAGAGCCTGACGAGTTAATTGGCCGAAACGTCGTCTGACGAATCAGGATCTGACCGCTTTCGTCTCCTGACCACTCAGGCCTGTCCCTTGTGGACTTGCTCTTGGAGCTGGGGGAGGTCCTTGCTTCGCCACTCACAGGCTTGATCGCCACCTTTGCGCTGGACCTTCCAGCATCCAGCTGCTCGCTGATGGTTGCGACAACTCTTGTAACACTAGGCCTGTTACCTTTGCCCGCTGGGGTACCGGCGACTCTTATGTTCGCTGACTCCGATCCTTCTGTTCCAAGTTCGATTTCAGCTTCTCGGAGGACACTAGCTTCCCCAATCTCCAGTAGGATGCTCTCCTGTTCCTTATCTACTATGTCAAAGCCTTTAACAAGTTGGCTTGGATCCGACTCGAAAGAGCTATCATGCATTATCTGCATGCGGCCTCCCAGGGCTTCCAGACGGTCCTGGTTGATAATCTCTTGGTCGGCTTTGAAAGGCATCGTGAATACTATTTCAATACCTAACGAGAATAAGATACTATCACGTAGATAAAACAGTGATTGAGGGGATCAGACGGAAGTAGCCGAGGTGGACTTGGTAGTATTGTGACTACTGGGACACTACTTAAAAGGGGGAAGGACCAATTGTCCTGATTCCGTCCAGCATTACCTATTTGTAAGCGCACGGAGGGTGTAGCCTTAGAATGATCTTTGCAGTCTGACGGTACCGATACACTCGGCACTACTATAGCTGGCTCAAGCTTATAGTGGGCCACTGCGCTCATCAAATCCATTCCTCACGCAGTCCCTATATTATTTGTGTGAATTGGCTGAGGTATGGCCTATTGAAGTCTGAAGATTATTATGTGAAGCGGGGGCCAAATATCGAGGCGACAGAGAAATTTGTCCAAAGATTGTATCTAGAATATAGCAGATCCGTTGACTTTTAATCCGTTTTATAACTTTGACATACTATGTTATGTGCCCACTTGGCGAACAACGCATTATTCTTCATGATGCCGTCCTGAACCCCACTGAGTGACTGGTTCATGAATTGCTCAGGATATCTATCTATTCTAATCCCCATGTCCATGGGTTAGAAGTGTGAACCAAGACCCTGAGAGCTACTTCAAAGGTGGCCTGGTAAATATCTCTGTGCATATATCTCAGCTTAACGGCTTTTTCAGGTTATATTTCTCTTGCGTATGAAAAACAACACTTGATCGCACCGCTTTTCACCAGCGATCCGCACTTCCGGATGTGAACCTGTGGCAGGGCGGAATGTCACCGAAGTCCATGATGTACTATCTCCCGCGGTTGATCGAACGACTGAACGAGCGGGACTAGTAGGAGATTGTATGTAGTTGGTCGTACCTCGGTGAACATATTCGTCGGTTTCTTGGTTTCTACCAGTTTGAGACAGGCCTCGGCGTTCTCTTCATGTATTTTGGTGTACGTATCTCGCAGTCTCATGATGATGCTGTCCTGATGCTAGAGTTGTACGAATTTGCCACGGTGGAAAGAATGCCAGTTTCGCCCGATTAAACTTGTTCTTTGGCGTCAGAATTATTAGAAATCTTCGGAATGATTTGATGGATTTGACTCGGCACTGTGTGACACCTTCAGGGCGACGCAGTAAATTTAGAGAGCATCCTCGCGTTTTCTTGATAGCTTAGTGTGGGATTCTAATGGCCAGAATAGTGCATTTGAGAACATTGTCCTGTTGGAGCTATTTCTATCCTATGAATAAGGAAAGTTGGTATGAATTTGCTTCCCTAGCATTCCAGACCCGAGAGCAGCTAAAATAAGGTTAGGATATCAGGTACAGCAGATGCAGTACCTAACAAAGTCAAACAATTACCGCACTTAACTTTGAAATATTCATGGCCCAACCATACCCTACTATCTTTGAAAGTACCGAGGGCTGCTTCTAGGGGGGCAACAGAGGTGGTGCTTTACGGAGTTTAGAGACTTGGCATTCAAGGGATTATTCCTTATATCGTATGAACTTCTCGCGACATCGTTCTTCAGCACCCTCGAGGATCAAGTCGTTAAATCTGCTGGGTTCATTGGTTGTGATATTCGGATCAAAGAACTTGGATATATGCCCAGGGGGGTGGGGAACCCTCAGTGCGGATGGTTGGTTCACATTCTGTGTCAAGTTGCATGCCAGGGAAAGTGCTGGAATTATTGAAAAATGAAAACAAGAAAAGGAAATCCAGCTGCGAATGGATGCAGGTGGGGAATGAGCCCCTATTTCATATTCTCCAGGTTCAACACATCCTCTGCTGCTTTTGACTCTTCTGTCGGCTCCGAGATAGCGTAATCTCGATCAATAGAAGCTTCAAGACGCGCGTGTATCTGGTCCGCTTCATCAGTGCGGCCAGCTCCACGCAACATATGCTCAAGCTTCGAGAAAGCCGTGGCCAAGCTGCTGTGCACCTGCGATTTGTACAACTCGTCGTTGAATGCACTCTCAGTCCTGTTTCTGGACTCCATCAAAAAGTCGACTAGCTCATACGCCGCACGAATGGCCCCGTCAATATCTTTCGACCTCTCCAAAGTGATCACGAGTATAAAACACGCATATACATACTCATACGGATGCTGTTTAGCTTCTTCAGAGCGTATGAGCTTCAAGAGACTAGCTTTTGCTTCGTCAAAGTAGCGATTTCGCTGTAAAGCAGCAGCAACCTCAATCTTGATATGTAAATTGGAGAAGCCAAGAGAATCGGATCTCTGAATCTGTTGATCAAGAATTCGCTTGGCCTCGAAGAACCCCATCATACCAGTAGCTTCCATGAGGCCGACGGTAAGGCCGCGTAACTCAAGGAGAAATCCCAAGGATTCGCTCTCTGGGTCTAAGAAAGGTTCGAGGTGCTCAAAATAGCATTCCATTAAAGTTCCAATGTTCCGTGCCAACTCGAAGTAGTCCATTTGAGCCAGCTGGGCCAAAAGGATATAGAGGGGATGGTGCACCCCAAATAACTTTTTGCAACATCCGACGGTATATTTGAAGAGTATTCGTGAAAGGCTTCGTCCTAGTTGGTCGTAGAACATAAAGCGTATGGCTTGTTGACAGATGTAGATGACCAAGCGTGGATCTTGCATTGCAATGATGCCCTCCGCCGCAGCAAAACAAGGCTGGAATATGCTGAAAGCCTTCGTGACCTCTTTCTTACCCAGCTGATCCATGCCGGGGTTGAAATCATTGTACCATCGATCCAGCTTGATACACGCTGTGTTCAACAGGGATGAGTCAGCGGTCTGTGACAGGGTCCACAACCCCGTTGAAAATGTACTGGATATGTAATGTCGCGCGTAAAACAAGGATTTTTCCGAGAGCAGCAATGCTTCGGGTGCTTCTAGATGACGGAGGGATGCCAGTGACAGACCAAAAGATTGATTAGCAGAGAGTGCAGAGGAACGTGAGCTGGAAGACAGCAGCGTTCCACAAGACGAAGAAGCGTGCGACGTCCGAGACCTCGAGGACACTCCTGATTTGCGAGTAACTCCAGAGGAACGTGACATACGGGATCTACCTGACGATGATCCCCTCGAGTTCGAGGTTGCTGCCACACTTGGCGGTGTCTCCATCAGTACAGTTGACATCCAGGCACCAGAGCCGGTGACAGAAGGATTGGCGCTCCCATCAAAAGAGTCTTCTTGTTCGTCTGGCAACGACTCTGCCATAGCAGAACTGATTGCACCTTGGCTCTGGCCGGATAGAAGGCGAGGCGATTGGGACTTGAAAATGAAGTCGTTCCATGCCGAAGGTAGCATCGATGCATCAGAGAGTTCCATTGAATAATCTGGCCCACCCTGGTAGCTTGGCGGCCGTAGGTGGGTAGGCAGTGACGGTAATGGAATCCCAGTGCCATGAGGCGCTATTATTGGAATTGGACCGCCCGCATCGGAGCCAGTCACTGCTCGCTCAGGAACGATGTTTGTTTGGGGGGTGAAACTCAAATCCTCGCTAAGGACAGTTGAGCCTCCCTCCTGCGTAGTGGCTGGGAGGTACGAAGACGATGCAATACTCTCAGCTTCTTCTAGACTCCGGCGTCTTTTCTTGTTGGCTCTGCTTTCGGGTCGGCTTTTTCGCAGGCCCCATTTCTGGTAGAGTTGGGCCTGGAACATCTTTGGGCTAGACCGAAACATCAGCAACCAAAGTCTTTCTGAAATTACAGAATTAATGAAATGCGGCTGGCCTACGTGGCATGGAAATCGTGTTCCTCACGCATGACCCGCATCACCACAGGCAACGAATGCAACATCCAGAGAGCCGAAATGGTGTTCCGAAGCCTTTCCCAATCCTCGGGCTTCGCCCACTTCTTTTGTGAAGCCATCGTACCCGTCATGCTCGGCTGCGGCTCCATAATTGCCTTAGTCGCCGTAATCGCGTTAATTGTCGCCCGAAAAGTGTCGTGTTACCGCGAGTCGCTTATTTTCGGAGAAGGAGGAACATTGGTGACAAGTAGATGGGGAGGTGTCGGTGCGGGTCGAAAGACTAATTATCTATCCCCCAGTAGGGAGGGATTGGAGGCGGTCTGATAATATGTTGATTGAACCTGCATTGACCCTGCTAAAATTATCTGGAAACTTCCCATTGGTCGGAGCAGGCCAAGTCATATGATTTTACCGTCGAGAACCATGCCAGCAACTCTCACTTGATAGGGTGGCCTGGGGGGTGGTGCTGTTACATAACATGACCTACACCCTGGTTGATCACCCGACCATATAGCCAAATCGAGATGGTGGTGTGGGTCCGCCAAGCACTGATGGGTCGCACTAAATATACTAGCGCTGGTCATGTAATTCTAATGCTTCCACGCAAGTCCGAAAACTTTTCTCTTTCCTTCAACGACTTTTTTCAATTGACTAAAGAGACATCCCTGCACTACTACTCAATCGTAATTCGATCGCTACTCGATTACCAATGCATTCAACAACTGCCCTACGTGCTGTCGCTGCTAACACCGACCAACCCTGGGATCACCATGTGTATGACGTAAGATCTCACGAACAGGCAACTATCGACGATGCTGTAGCAGTCTTTGAAAGCATTCTCGAACCTTTGCAGGACTTGGAAAGCGACGAGGTACCTGTAAGTGTGTATTAACTTGATTGCTAATTGATCGGTAATCGATCGCTAACCGAGTATACATAGAGTGGATCCGACCTAGCCGCTGCATAGGGGGAGATAAGTCAATTAACGTTGATTTCATCGGAGCGTAATAACAATAAGGAGACGTTATTAACTGCTGAAACCTTTATTTGGGTATCCCAAATGCCTGAATATCCTATGACTAGCGAAACTGGGGTCTGTTACGTTATTTCGGCTCGAGGGCAAACGAAAGAACAAGCGAGAAGCTATATCAACGAGGTATCTAATCTAGGTGCTCTGCTACTACGTACACTGCTCGAGCACTAATCGATTATAGATCCAATTCTGCCATGGCCATAAGACTTCTTGGCGTCAAACCACCTGTGCATTTTTAGATAATGCGATTTGTAACCGCGTTACTTATAAATGTACAGGAGTAAAAGCATGTGAATACCTATCTCCAGCTTTGCGAAATCGGTCTTACACAGAGGTTTCGGAAAATGAATGGGATTTAGTAGCAACAGCTAAACAAGAAGCTGAACGGGCAATTAACGACCAAGTCCATTATCAAGCGCTCTGGTAAGCCTTATCGATTCCTACTCGATTAGTACTTGAATCCTAATTAATAGCTTTCTTTATGTCGAGATTAAGCTTTTTGAGGATGGCAAGCTTGAGATTATTCAGGATGGAAAGGTACGTACATAGTTCTAAGCGAGTACTAATCGATTAACACTTGATAGACTATTTCCGGGGTTCCTCGCCATACATTACGTTGTATCCATTCACGCCCTCGCATGTGCGGCATCATTGGAAGCCGATTCCACGAGAATATAATCCAGCAATTATATTATTCCAAGCAGTTCTGAATAACACTCTAGTCGACCAAATTCAACCGGGGCCTTGCTATCATATAGCTCAAAATAAAAAACTTGCAAAACTATGCCGTAAGTAATTAGCAATAGATTAATACTTGAGTACTAATCGAGTACATCTAGCTATCGTACATCCGCAAGGAAAAGGGAAGATCATCGATTTATCTTGCCAATGCGAATACGACTTTTATATACCTCTGGATTTAGATCTATATCCATACGTATTATGCGTTTGCCACGGAACTCATCGACATCCAATTCCTCCACCATCAAAATTAGGCTCAAAGCTTTATACAGAGATTTGGGACTTAATTCAGAGAATAGCAGATCCAAGGCTAAGATATAGTATGTCGAGTACCAATCGATTACCGGTCGATTACTAACACTAGTAGCACTCTTTCTCAAAAACCCAATTGTACAAACTTGGATTCGAAGTAAAGGGGCTACATCACTTGTAGACCTTCATCCAGCTTTAATTAATTCGGAATTAATTGGTTATATTATTCGAAAGCATAGGATGATTCACTTTGCAGCAGGCTCGGGCTTAATGGCAGTCCAACGGGCCTTCGAACGCGAAAATGGCAAACCAGGCCAAGTAAGTACTCCAGTATCTTTCGAGTTGGAGTCGATTACTAATTAAGCTCAGTACATCCAAGAGGTGTTTCAAAACTCGACTAACTTTATGGTTATTTGTTTTAATAACGAACAGTTTCATATATTCAAGTCATTACGAACTTGTACTATAGATATGAACTATAAGCATTTAATTGACCGCCAAGATCGAGAGGTTATTTGGGCTGTCTATGATGAGGGAATCCGTAAGAGTAAGTTAATCGACTTTTACTCGAGTACTAATCGTGTACTAATCAAGTATCTAGATGTTGCTCTAGTTCGAGTTATAACAAACTCTGATTCGATTAACGTGATCCACAAGTCATTTTCGCACACAAGTCACTTTCGCACTTTTTCAAATATTTCAACCTTTTAACTTAGCTTGTACTTTTCTTCCCTCCCACAACATGCCTCGTAAATCTAAAGAAGCCGATCTTCAGCTAGCTATCCAAGCTAAAAAGCGCAACCCTGAAATTTCATGGCGTAAGCTTGGCCGTATCTACAACGTTTGCGACCGTACACTAAAGAATCGATTCGACGGCGACCAAACGCGACACGAAGCTAATATGTTAAAACGAAATCTAACTCAAACCGAAGAGGATACGATTGCCCGACGTATAATTGAGCTAGATGCGCGAGCATTTCCTCCTCGGCTTCGATACGTTGAAGAAATGGCGAATATCCTACGACGCGTACGCGACGCGCTCCCCGTCGGCAAGAACTGGACCACGAACTTCGTTAACCGCCGACAAGACCTCCGAACGCGTTTAAACCGTCGAATTGATTACCAGAGGGTATTTAGCGAAGATCCTATCGCGTATTATGCGTGGTTTGAGCTTGTTAGGGACACAATCGCTAAATACGGTATCCTACCGGAGGATATCTACAACTTTGACGAGACGGACTTCCTAATGGGCATAATCACAACCGGTATGGTTGTAACGAGTGCAGAAAGACACGGACGGCCTAGACAGGCTACACAAGGAGGTCGGGAATGGGTTACGGTGATCCAGGCTATTAATTCGCAAGGTTGGGCGGTACCGCCGTACATCATCTTCGCGGGCAAGGTTCATCTTGCTTCGTGGTATCGCGGTAACGACCTACCGGCCAACTGGAAGGTCGACCTTTCCCATGACGGTTGGACTACTAATAATATTGGTGTGGAATGGGCAAAACACTTTGTTCAACATATTATTAGCCGTCGGAAGGGTGCGAAAAGTCTCTTAATATTGGATGGTCACGAGAGCCACCACTCGATGGATTTTGAGACTTACCTCGCGGCGCACGGCGTAATTACATTGTGTATGCCTTCCCATTCATCCCACAAGCTCCAGTCTTTGGATTTGGTACCTTTTAGTGTGTTGAAACGGCTGTATGGTGCGTTCGTGGAGGGTTTAATGCGAAGGCATCAAACCCATATTGAGAAGCAGGATTTCTTAGCTGGGTTTTTAGAAGCTTTCATTGGTGCTTTTCACGAAAAAAACATCAGATCAGGATTCGAAGCAGCTGGACTTGTTCCTTTTAACCCGGATAGGGTCATATCTACGTTGGATATCGCAAAAGTAGTACGAACACCGACACCCGACCCCCAATTGCCTCCCTCCGTCTGGGTTTCTAAGACGCCTACCAACACCCTCGAAGCCGAATCGCAGTCAACTTTGATTAAAAGTAGCGTCCAGAGGCATCAAGACAGCTCGCCGACGCATATTTTGAACTCAATTAACTCGACTACGAAGGCTACGCATGCAATGATGCATGAGAATGCATTATTACGTCGGGAGAACGAAGAGCTTCGTGAGACGAACCATATACTAAGTAAGCGTCGTAGGACGAAAAATAAGCAAATCCAATATGGAGGAGCACTTAGTATAGGTGATGCACAAGTTTTACGGGCCTTGAGGGGTGATATCAAGGTTATGGAGGAGGAAGAAGGCGGAAGCAGTCGTCCTGTAAAGCGCCGGCAGACCGGTATAAGGCGCTGTGGTATTTGCGGAGGGACTGGACATAATGCAAGGACTTGTTCAATAGAAGTAGAAACTGATAATGAAGAAGATTTTGAGTAATTTAAAGGATAAAATGCGGGTTATGCATAGGATATTACTGAATTACTTGAAGGTGCCAAGAAAAGTGCGAAAGTGACTTGTGTGCGAAAATGACTTGTGGATCACGTTAAGATGTATCATTTTATGTTTCATCAGGTCTTTCGAATTATGAGGGAGAAGTTTAACTACGAGGTTTCTTGGGCATTCGATCAAACGCTAGGATCCGCTGAAAATCCATTTAACGTCCCACACCCACATCCGGGACACACCCACATGTGGGACGCCCTAAAAATGATGCTGTATATTATAACCATTGACTTCAACCTTTTTTTACACTTATTCTGATGCGACTACAATACAGCTTTCACCGTCACTAGGGTTTTCAGACTCGCTAGACTCATCTGTACTATCCTCAATTTCACCAGCCTCGATTTGAGCCTTCCGAATAGCCTTGATATTAGTAAACTTCGAATTTGGGCTCATCTTGACCTTCCTCCGCTTCCTAGCCCTACTAGCCTCAAGCTCTGCCTCTATTGCCTCAATCTTTCGCTGTGCGACAGCTAACTGGTAGTCCTTCTCATCAAAGCCCTTTTGAACTTCCCGAAAGAGTAGCCGCTGGGTATTTGGATCACTATCAAGCTTGCTGAATAAGCTGAGTTGATCTTGAGCTCATCTCTCCTCTTAGGCGTTGACCAGGCTACTGCTGATGTCTCTAACGCCCAGTCCTGACTACCCTTACTATCAGAGTACCCTTCGCAAGTCTGACTAGGCTGTCTGATTGGTGCTGACGTATTCTCAAGGAGCAGGGGGCTCATAAGGGGTCTAGCTATGCTCCAAGGCCAGAGACCAGTATATTTCCATCCACTGATAATGTTCTTAGCGGTCAATGCTGCTAGACGTGCCTTTCTATAGCAGAGGAGAAAGTTTCTCTTCCCTACGACAGTAGTAGTATCCCATCGGTCAAGGTAACCAAGCTCCTTCTTATAGGCTGCCTTGAGGGGTCGAAAGACTGACTGATCGAGAGGCTGGAGAACGTGGGATGTGTGTGGCGGTAAGAAAAGCAGGTGTATCTTGTTTATGAAGCAGAGGTACATAAACTCTGTCGTTTCGTGGCTACTATGCCCATCTAGGATAAGTAACCTAGTCTCTTCAGGGTCCTCTGGTTGAGTCAAAGGAATAAAAATCTTTTGTAGCCACTCAATAGTGTGGGCAGAAATGGCAGTGTTCGGCCCCGCACGGACCACCCAGTGTGGCCACTGTAGATTAGCCAGAGCTTACGGCAAGTAACGATAGTCATAAGAACAACAATGAACGGTGGGCTGCGATTTGCCCACATGGTAGCATCTCAGAAGACGATCAAGGCAGCGCATTACTGCAAGATCATCTTAAACGGCAGACTTCGATAAAAAGGCATTTATCGCGATTACTCCCAAGGACTCTTCCCTGCCGCCGTTGCGGTGCGATCAGACAGCTGCTGCTGGATCGCCGTCGTGGGGAGAGAGACGGATGCGTTATTTTACGCCAATTCGGAGGTCGACAACCATCACAGAGATTACTCTCGCGCATTCTGCGAGATAATCATCATCGTGAGCCCTGACTTCATCGCAAGGCAATTCTCGCGCGTATCCCAAGGATCCTCACCTACAGCGATTAGCTGAATCGCCGTCAAATCTGTTGACGTGAGAGGAAGAAGGAGCGATTATTACGCCCTATTGAAGTCAGATCAGCTCGTCGTACGTGAACGACACAGAACACGCGTTATTACACCTTAGCCACCAACATGGCAACCGCGCCGTCACGCATGATGACGCGGGGCAGCAAAGCTGCGGCTGAGGCAGGTACGCATGACAGCGCTGACGGCGCCACTGGCGCCAGCGCATCTGCCAATCAGCATCCGTCGATAGCTGAGCTGATGGCAGAGCTAAAAGAGATAAAATCAACGTACGCTGCCAAGGAAGAAGAGAACCAGCGCGTTCAACAGCAGCAGAACGAACGAATTGAGCACTACAAGAACCAACTTGACGCACTAGTGCAAACAAAAGAATCGCGACCGAGCTCACGGTCGAAATCTTGGCGGTCACGCCGCTCATCTGTTGAGCAGGCAAAAGAACTTTACCAGCCAGCCCGATCGAATTACGGGGCTGCCGAACCCCCCATAGACTGGCTACCCTACGAAGGGCTTGATCAATTGCAAGAAAAGGACCAGCTCGCTGACGTAACCGCTAAGGCGGCAGAAGAACAGCTACGGAAGCACTATGAGGAAAAGATCGCCAAACAGCTCGAGAAGCTGAGAAGAAGGCCAACCGGCGGCAATCCACCACCACCAGACGACAACGAGTCGGATGACGGAAAGGAAAGGAAGAGAAGACGAGACGCAATCCGCCGCCGCACCCAACCGCCGAGCGACCCAGACGATTCGAGTGATTCGGATGGAGATGACAGAGCACGGGGCACGCGCTCGCCGGCCGTAAGGCTCTGCTGGAAGCGCTTCTCATTCAAACCAGACAAGTCTCAACACCTAAAGGGGGCAACGAACTTTCGCGTGTTCTTCGCGGATTTTCGGCTCGCACTTAAGGCGATCGGCTGGAAGGAGGAAATGAAGCT